GGTTTTTGTGGAATCGCGATGACAATATTTATCTGAAAAAATTCCAAGATGGCCGCCAGAATGCAAGATGGCCGCCGCAAAGTTAATCAGCTCTAGAACTTCTTACCATGTAACATGTGTGAAAATTTGAAGTAAATCCGTCTAATGGTTTACCTGGAATCGTGATGACAAGAAAGTGAGACTTCAGAATGCCACCTTGTCTAACCCCGTTTTGGTGCCTTTTGCCCCTGTTTACATCAATAGAAGAGGTGTTTTCTTTAAGAGGGAAGTCTGTTCTTTCAAACGGTACAATCATTTTATGTGGGAAAGTACCGGACAACAAAACCCCTTTTCTAGAGCCCTTTTGGAAATCAGATCGGGGACTATAGGCCTATATGATATGGTATAGCACGAGCACCGAGTTTACACTATACAAAAGTTTACGTTATACGGAGTGGCTCCAGGACCGACTGGAGACTGTCAGGGGCGTAGGAAGGTGTAAATTCAACACTACGCCAAAAATCCCGCCAAAAAATATGAAACAATTGTGTCAATATTCTATATCAAAACGCCTATATTATGCTCGTAAAACGTCATTTTATGGTAACAGAGATTTCAAGCTTGCAATATTCACAACCTAAATGTGAACGGAAATACTTAAGCGATGCATTTGTATGGGCGATTGGTCATACGTATAGGTTGGCGTTTCGATTTCATATGCAAGCTTTAAATCCCCGATACCTTTTTAATGTGCTTTAAAATGTTCGAATGATTTTCATCATTTAAAATCACCTTGGAAAGCCTATCTTTTATATCTCGACACAAATCATTCTCACTTTGCTAATATCTCGAACGATTGAGACGACCAATTTCCAAAAAACAATTAGAGATTTTTTAATCATTTTCGAATAATTGAATTAAGATCTGAAGATAAATAGTATTGTCGGATTCCATCGTGTACCGTGCAATACAATACGTACAGATTAAAGAAACTAGTTTGATCAATTGATATAAAGAAACGCATTCGTGATCAATGAAACAAATAAATACACCCACCACAAAGGTCAAATCGAGGTCAACGTGACTTAGGGGATGCCAAAAATGTTATAAAACAAGAATCTATTATTTGTCAAATGAAAAAACTAGGTTATCGCTTTTCTAGAACTGAAATCAATGGAACGTGTAATTGAATAATCAGCATTTTCAAGTTGTTTTTGTCTTTAACATCCATATTTCAAAAATTCTCAAAAAAATTCTCAAATTCGTGAAGAGAACGCGATTCACGAATATTTGGCGAAATTGTATTTATAAGACAGTCAATAGTGGCTCGATTTTCATGAAATAAAGCATGTTGGTAAGAGAATTCAATCTGTTAAATGATATTTGCCAGACAGACCAATAATGATATGGTATCCACAAAACATTTCTTTAGGCTAGTGTGCTCGAGATTACTTTTACAATTTAAACAATGAGAAAATATGACTAAAGAACATAGGAAAGTTAAAAAGTCTTTTTTATTCTCACTTTTCAACACTACGCACTGGCGTTTTGGCGTACATTGTTCCTACGCCACTGACTGTCCAGGGGTATTTGCTGGGGTACCGACAATTGTCGGCACTCTATCGTCACCTAGTAGTGTCAGATAGAGAACCGACAATTGTCGGTACGCAAGTGGCTGCTACGTGTTTTTGCTAGAGAGCTGACAATTTCATAAATAAATCCACTACTTTTAATTTCTTAAATAACCTCATCATGGTTGTCTAGTGGTTAGCGAGCACGACTCGAACACACTCGGTCCCGAGTTCGAATCCCGCCAAGACCTACTTTTTTCTTTTGAGGGGGGGGGCATAGTGCTTCTTTTGCAGTATGGAGTCGTACAGGCATTAACTTGTAGATAGCCATAATTTATTTCGACAAAAATTGATTCAACTTCCATCAAAATTGTCCTACAAGCTTCAATTAAAAAACATTTTAACGCTCTTTTCTTGTTCTATCTAATGGGTCGATATATACAATTAGGAGGGGATGCTTTCGCCCCCGTCGACCTCTACCCTTACTACGCCATGGCACAGGAGAAATATCTCATTTGGAATATATCACTGTTTACTTTGCGTTTGGTAGCTCTCTCATGCGAGATGGAATCGTGGCCATTAACTAAGGGAGCCAAATGCAACTTCCATCAAAAATTGTGCTATAAGGTATGAGTACCGTAATCCAACACCAAATTCGAAAATTCATAACAATACTTAGTTCAACGTCGTTAAACTCAATAACGGCGTTCTTTATTATTGGGAATTTTCTTGGGGCCATTATTGAGTTTAACCTCCTTACTATTCTTTCCTTTGATGCAAGTTCTGAATCCATCGAAACCATTTTTCCGCGATAACGTGCAACTGATACTTGACAGTAACATAAAAACACATAACATCAAGCGATTTAACACAATATTATTGTGTTAAATGTTCATTTATACGAGTAAAATGAGGCTACACTTACCAATCTCTAAAGTGACATTTCCGCATGTCCGTCATTGTGTCTGTTCGTCTGAGTGTCCCGGATCGTAAAATTAAACTACCACCGAAACGAAATTGTTGTCAAATAGATTGATAATTATTATCGCGATTACTCGCGATAAAAAGATCAATTTTGAGGATAACAGGTATCTTTGATTAATTTATATAGCGCGTATATACACGCAAAATAGTTATTAATTGCAAATCAACTGTTCGTTAATGCAGTGCCGTGATGACGGTTAATTCCTGAAACGATTTGCAATTTCGATGTTACCGAAACTGACCGACATTTTCGTCATATTCCAAACCTGTCTCCAATATTTTCGTAATTATGCATCAATAGGGTCTAAGGGGGATACGGGACGGGGTGTATGTGTTTATAAGGTATGTATGCATGCTTGAATCACATTCTTTGTGTAATATTGCCATGTTTTCAGGGTTCAATTAGTTCCGCTTGTCGAAACCTGCTGAACGATTAAATTAACGCATCAAAGGCAAAATGGTCATGGAGGTTAGACCTAGCCGGGCCATAACACATGTCAGATAAGAAACGAGGCCCGGGCTAGGTCTAATGTTGTTGGACTAAACAATACTTTGCACATATGGCGTTCGTGACCAACTATGAAACGCTTACCCCCCATAGTGTTATATATCAAAATGTACCTGTCCATATAGCAGGCCTGTCAACTTGGGAACACCTAACATGAGTGACGCGTTTCAAACATCCGTCAACGGGGGGGGGGGGGGGGAGGTACGAAAAATTTCGAACGGATTGCGTGACATATACGTAATTGGCGTGAAAAGTCCGAACGAAATGCGTACATTTTTTTCCTGCGTTCGTATTTTTGCTGTGTAGACGATCTTTTTTAGAAATTTTTCTACAGAAATATTTTTGCTTGACAATTACCAGGTAAAATGCGTATTTGCGTGACATTTTCTGTCACGCAAAAATAACTGGCGTGACTACAAATTCTTCAGCAAATGCGTGACAAATACGCAAATTGCGGGACAGTTGACAGGCCTGATATAGGGGTTCGATTGACCTACATCAAATTATAGGGAGTCAGGTTACTTTTTGAGATATCAGCGTCCGTTTATTGTAACTCGCGTTTGCTACCACTTCCTCAATTCTGATATGACAGGCAAACGCGTAGTAAACATGCTCACGTTCGGAACTATTTTGACCTACATCGCTATTTTCGTAATTCAAATGAAAGTTGAAGTCCTCTTTATTTTGATACCAAATAGTGGCATACTAGGTACCCTAGAAGCCAACTATGGGTTATTTAGAACGATACCACAGGTTTTTAAATGGACTATATAGGGGTCATACCTTTTGGCGGATGGATATGGAACCTCATACCATACGATAAGCTCTAAAAAACATTCTAGCTATTTTCTTCTATCTAATGGGTAGCAAACGCCCCTTCCTTTTTATTGGGCTTTCAACGTTTACTACCATTCCCTGTTCCCGGGCTACCATTTTTTGACTGGGTTTGGTAATCCCCGGGTAACCGGGGCTAATGCCCTCCCCGGGTTTTGCACTTGTTCCCAAAATATCCGTATGATATCTGAAATATCCCCCCGCGCATTGCGCATGCACCAGAAAATTCGAAAATCAATATTTGTCGGTCCTCTAGCGTGTAAACACAGCATATCTCCCGTACCGACAATTTATTTGTTGGTCCTCTAGCGTGCCACCACATCAGAGTCTAGAGTACCGACAATTGTAACATTTCCCATGTTATTTTCCCATAGGGAAAACTCATGCTATCAATTGTTTTCAGCATGATTTTGGTCATCGAAAATTGATATCTTCAAAACTAGACTTTCAATACCATTCTACTTTCGAAATGTTTGAATTGAAAGAAAACATATTGTTTCAATAAAAAACACTGTATTTATGTCCAGAAAGTACTCATGGTGAAAGATATGACCGTGTAAAATCACTTGCCATACTGCAACATGGACCTTTAGATTCATTCAAAGAAAAATAACATAATGATTTGGAAACCATCTTTATTTTCCTTTTCATGATTTTCTGAAAATTCAAAATATTATATTCAGTAACCTTTCCGAACGTGCAAGTTCTAACTATTTTTTAGTCACGTTTTCGGATCCGGACGGCTGGAAAATCGATTTTATTTTGATCCTGGTCGTCTAAATGATTGACTGAATTGACTGAACTCAATTATCTGAGTTCAAAATATTTCAAAAATTCCGCATGTTTTGTGACTTCCTGTTGACCCCAGTTGCCTATCTTGAGACCTTAAATAATCCGAAGTCAAACTTTCTGTACTTATGGGGCAACCCTCGTATAATCGAAGTTCTCTCTAGACTATTGTAAAACCCATCGTCCTAATTTCGAACTCAGTAGTAACTTGAAAAGGTCATGTAAGGCTCTCGCCACTATTTTTTCCAATGCTCCAAAGAATCTTATCTGAGGAATTTGATATGCTAGTTTATTTTATTAAGATAACTTAGAATATGCCTTTGAATAATTTGTAGATTCTTATCCAAATTCAAGCCATCTGTATCAGACAACAATAATGTGAATATATTTCCCATCGGTGACGGGGTTTATACAGCAACTGAGACGAGTCTTCTGCGGAGAATAGACCACGAAACACTTGATACGGAGGGCAAGGTTGGTTTGTATTTGTTTTTTAATTTTGATTAGGATATTTTGATATAGTTTTTGAAACTTAAATGAGACTTACCTCAAATTCAAAATAAAGAAAAGTCTGGGAATTTGGCTAAATCAAAATTTTCACTACTTATATATAATGATTTTGTATTTTATCTTTGGAAAGATATAGCCCAAAGACGATTCAACCGACATTTAACTGAAAAATATGAAACAACTATACAAAGGTCGGGGAGAAGTAAAATAAGCACTGAAAAACAAAAAAGTAACATACAATAAAACAACTTGACCAAAATGTTTAACCTAAGATGGCGGACGGGAAGTGTCGATTTCGGTATTTTTAGTTTTCATCCAATTATACTACTTTTAAGTTGACATTATGCTATGGTATTTGAACTAAATCAGAGTTATATGACATGGAAACTCTTGAGTATGACCATTTGTTCATATATCATGCCTGGGCGCCACAGTTCGCCAAACCTTCCATCGATTAAGGAAAGGTAACTGGAAATGTATGATACTGTAACGGTCATGAAACCCAAATCCCAGTTACCTTCCCTAAGCGCTGGAAGATATCGTTGCCTACGCACGATATATGAACAAATGATAATACTCCGGAGTTTCCATGTCATATAAACCTGGTTTATTTCAAATATCAAAGCATTACTATGAAGTAGTTTAATTCGATGAAAACTAAAACTATCGAAATCGACACTTCTCGTCCACCATCTTAAATGCGAAGGTAACGAGCGTTACCTTCGCTTACTGACCAGTTAACATAATGGGGTTCTATTTTATTGGCAGGTGGATTTAGTGAATTTGGTTTCTGTAAACCTAGCGACGGCTCATCCTCACTACGACCAGGACGGGACGTACTATAACATTGGAAGCAATTTCAAGGCTGGTCTATATCATGTTATCAAAGTTAAACCTAACGTAAACGTGTCGGATCCAGTTGAAGGTGCAAAAATACTAAATACAATTAAAATGGAAAGCAGGGCCAAACCAGGCTATTATCATAGGTGTGTATCTGTTTACTGCTTTATCTTTGTTCTGATAGGTGTAGAAGTATGCGTGGGCTCCTACATGTAAACTACAATCCGTTGTTGAGACTATGATTCAAATGAAATAAACACATTCACCATTTTAAAATCAGGATGATCCTTAACTATAAAAAGGTGCAATGATGAATAAAATTCCTATAACGTTGATTCATGAAATGCGCAAGTGTATTTCATTGTTGACAGTCACTAGACAAATGTTGGGTTGCAAAGGTTTTCGGCCTAGCTTTTTAAAGATATGCGCTTTTGGGTAAAAGACTAAAGCTATGTCCAGATAAAACAGCATACAGGGTGACAAAAAAACTGGAACCCAGTACGTTTGTACGTTTGATACATAATACAAATAAAACATTAGCACACTTGAACCTTTTAGTTTCTCTATGTCTGCAAACTACATTATCTTCCACGAACAACCATTGCGGATGAATCTGTTGGGTCTGATGGTGAGGCCGTTTTTCAAAACGGCGATTGACAAATTGATGATCTTTGACAGGAAGCTGAAATCAAAGTTCCATATCTGCGACAAAAACACAGGTAGGATGCAACATTCAGGAGTTTCTACGAAGTGTAGAACTCATATACAGCACACTGAAGTACCGTTTCTGAAAACCTAAAGAGTCACTTTGATTTTCAATGATGTCATTTTCAGCAAATGCAGCACTCGCGCGATTTCAGATCAATATCATCTCGAGTGTGCGAGTCGAGGGACTACAAACGGTGGTCAGAACGCATTTAATAAAATAACATCAAGATATACATCATACTATCATTCAATGGCATTCACCTTAATGATTATTCATACATCTGAATCTCTTTTTTTACTTTTAACCTTTAGACTACTTTGTAAATTATGTAATTTAATTTGATGTACTTTTTATGCTCTCCTAACACGGAGGAAATAAGGAAACATCAACATAAACATGATACATCTTCAACTTCATTTTTCTTACACCACACTACAGGAGAAACATGGCAGCTGAAATTTGTAATGGAACCATTTTTACACCTCCATACAATGAATTCATTTGAAGAAGATGGTCACCTGGTCGTAGATATGGCTTGTACTGACGAAGCCTCCCCATACGATGACTTCTACCTAAGTAGCTTCAAGAAAGTACGATATATTTTAGATCGTCAATACTTTTATCATATACAGGGGCGTAGCCAGCTTTCAGTGAGGGGGGGGGGGTGCGATCGCCAAAAAAGCCGATTTTCAGTCAGGGAGGTGCAATCGTGGCATAAGAAACCTCAAAAAGTGAAGATTAGATTTGAATTTTATAAAAATTGATGCAACTTCCTTCAAAGTTGAGCTAGAAACTTCCGAAATAAAATGCATTTTAAAGCTATTTTTCTTCTATCTAATAGATCTATTTCATTGATTAATGGGGGGACCCACTCTTGGCAACGTCTAATGATATATAACACATTATTTAATTTGACACTTGTTTTGCTTGTACATAGCATTTCTATTTTGTAGATGTCTGCGGATGATGCTGCACCAAAAATGAAGGATGTTAAGTTAACACAAGTCCCACGGAGATTTGTGATCCCATTAGATGTAACACCCGAAAGCTCTAAAGATGTCAATCTTGTCACATTATCTGGAACAACTGGTAATAACACTTCTTCACGTTTGGAGGATGACCTCATGCATTTAAGGGTTCCACAATATATACCAGTGCACATTTTGTCACCTCTTATCACTTTTAATATTCAAGATCCAGTTCCTTTTCTTTCTATGAACAATAAATCATTGGCTTTTTGTGTTGCAGCATCTTCTTATTAAAAGACACCGGATATAGCCCAACATTGCAAAATGTTCTACGTTATCATTATCTCTATAATTCATATTTTTGCAACTATCAATGATTTTGATATTCAACTTGTTGATCGCATATTATATAAACGTACAAATAGCCATTTAAACACTGCTACAATACTACTCCAATTTTGTTGTACCTGTTGCTCATATACCTGGAATATTATATAACTCAAAACATTCCAAATATACATGTATGAGATTGTGCAACGTGTACATGTGTGACGACGTGACAAACTTTTTTAACAACTCTGTTGAAATAACGTTAGCCAACTTTTCATTGATACTGCTCTATCCGGATGGCCACAAAGGCTAAAAGCTATCATAATCGAGGGCATATAAGTATACATCAACAATTTAATTGGGCAACCACAGTTCCGGAGTGTCTTCCTCTCTTTTCCAGCCACTGCGATCCTAAAAGAGGATGGCTTTGTCCACTTGACTTACGAGCCTTTATACACTGATGAATTTGTGAAGTTGAGTAGTGGTTTCGACTTTCCAAGAATAAATTACGACTTTTACAACACAAAGCCGTACAGGTATTGCTACGGGGCTGGCTTTGATAGGATTCTGGTGGACAAGTTGATCAAACTTGATATTTCTACAAAGAGCGGAAAGGTAAGTGTGAGACCGAAACATCACCGGATAATTTCTTCTGAGCAGTACTGTCTAAGGTAACTCTCATTGACAATCATGATCATAATTTCGTCACCCTCAGAGGCTTCAGTTTTGTAAAAGGAAACCGAATTACATTTTTAACGACCACATCAATTTATTGAAGATTATGTAGGTACTTGATGATATGATATGTATTCTCAAAGTAATATGGGAAAGATGATTTTAATTTAGGGCTACACAAGTCTGTTTCTGCCATGTGAGTCTTGATAATTAGCATTCCAAATAGTAAAAATAGTTATTTTGGTATCATGCTGTCTCATTTGTCCGAAAACCTATCCATTATAATTCATGATGACATCTTTCTGAGGTAATACTATAATACAGTCAAGATATCACATCATATATAACATAATGTTCATAATATAAAATAATCCTGTTCCAATTCAGGTGTGGAAAGAGGACGAGTATTACCCATCAGAACCAGTATTTGTTCCTTCACCCAACGCTACTGAAGAGGATGAAGGTATGATATATAAGTAAAACTCCTAAAAATCCTACAAAACGAGTCAGTTTGTCAGTTGTATTATTGACCTATTGTAAAGACATAGACCAAGTCATTAGCATTTTATCATTTTCCCTATTTTTCACATTTACTCATTTATTTTGCAGGTGTGGTATTATCAGTGGTTATAAGCCCAAACAATGCCAAACCTACTTTCTTGTTGGTTCTTGATGGCCAGAGCTTTACCGAGTTGGGCCGAGCGACGATTCCCTACGACATCCCGTTTGGCATGCACGGGATGTTCATGTAGAACACCTGATAACATTCGCAGATAAGATGATTACCAGAATAAGGGCGCGATATTGTTAACATTTATGCACATGTGATGTTAACATTAATATTGATGTCATATCTGGTAAAATAACCGAGGTTGGTCTTGTACATATATAAACAAGTTTATAGAGACGAAGTATACACAGAACGGTCGCAATTATCAATGAGATGGAGTATTTGTAAATATGGATTAAATGAAGAAAAGAATGAATGTTAACATGTAAAAATGAATGCAAATATGAAATACGCAAAATGTGAAATGTTGAGATTTATTTTTCTTACTGTACTTGCGTGCTGTCAAGTACAGGGAAACCCTGCATTTTCCTAATATCTTTGTCATCTTAAGGAACTACTCCCTATGTGGCCCGACAGAGCAATAGTGGCCACTAGGGCATGTTCTCTAAAGTGCTGTAACATTGTGACTATCAATCTGATGGTCATGAAACAAGGTAGGCTGGTAGTAAATCGAATGATGTACAAATGTCCAAAATATCAGGGAGTTATTTCTTAAAATGACATATATATGAGGAAAATGGTGTAAGGGTTTCCATTTTTTGACCACCCTGTATGTTTAAAATGTTCTGGAGATGTCAATTAATATTGTGTTCAACTGCGCTAGCTTGTAGCCAGTATATTGATCATTAACTGCACGTATCTGTTGCAATTGTTGCTACGATAAAACGGATTATTATTTCATTTGTACTGAACACAAATACATGACGTATATTCTAGTAAAAATGGAAGGTTTACAGGTCTCTGATATCGATGATATCGCAATATTATTATATGTATGTACAAATCTAATTGACTAGTTGAAGAGTTAAACCACCTCGATCTATCCTTCAGGATCGCGCGGGCCTCGGTGAGCATATGGAAAGAATCAAAATACCCTTGGTCCAAGGATGACTTTGATCAGTAGGATCCCCAAGACAACCTGTATTTATTTCGTACTGGACGAAAATAAAAATTTCTTTCCTCAAGAGGTCCAGAAATGATTTTTCTTTGACAATTTCAACAAAGAAAAAGCGCAAAGATATGAGCATTTGCGAGGACACTATTCTCAGGTCAAGAAGCGAATTATTTCCAAGCTGGAGACACACAACCATTAGATCCTCCGCCGAGTGGGAATAGATGGCATTATAAAAACAAAAATATAGTCCAATTATTGTAAGTACATTAGCATCACCAGTGGTTGGATTTTGGTAAGTACATGAATGAAAAAGTGTATGTATGGACCAACTCTGAAATATGATTTGATTTGATTAAGGTGCATTTTCTTAAAAAAATTTTACCTTATTGACCTGCGTCCATCTGTCAAAATCAGAATGACATTTTTTGACATTTTCTATAGATGACGTCTTCAACAGGTGAGATCTTTTGATTTTCGTGGGGAGTTTTGATTCAAACTTCTTTGACTGACAGAGAACATACTGGGGTATGATGGAATGACAGCAAAACATGTCCACAAATCTTAGTTTTCTCTGGAAGACAGATCGTTTGTATGGGAATACGCATGTTATAACAATTAGTTGGGTTAACCCGCTTTTGATTTGCTTAGAAATGACCTCTTTGTCATCAAGAGGTGAAAGCCACGGGTGAGTAGCTCACATAATTACATTTTTTATATCGATGAGCACTCCCTAAATGTCAGCTTTATATGCCAAAAATGTCATATGACATTCAAATTACGATTAGATCGACATCCACATGATCCATCTCTTATATGAATAGTTGCGTGTAACTCGACTAATGAACCATAAGGTGATATTGAAATGAAATAAACCCTAGATGGGTTATATACGAGGGGTGATCCAAAAGTCTTGGACGCCACGCTCTAACTTTGCTATTTTCTAATATGATTACATGAAACTTTCAGATAATAAAGATCAACATCTTAACAACTTTGTGTATAAGTTTCAACAGAAAATATTATATTTTAGCTGCTTTTCTAATTATTTTTTCATACCGGGTCCCTGCCACCCGGAACGGTATTTAAATATAGCAAATCACGTCACACCTGTTATAATATGGCAAATACTTTAGGTGCAGATGCACAACCTAACACCAGTCATGATATGAGAGAATTTGCAATTTTCAATCTGAGTGTCATCTGCCATTATCATTTTCACATATTATGACCTACTTTTCAACAAATTTTCCACGACTTTGAACACATTTTTCATACAGCTCTACCAATGAATAGAAGACATTTATGAAACCGACATTGCTTATGAGATACAAATGCTGCTGGAGTGCCACTCTAAACCTCATCCAATGAGTAAAAAGACATTTTTATTCGAACCTCCCTTTAACTTGGAGAAAAGGAAGAAAATAACACGGAGCCATATCTAGACTGTATCATGCATATGGTAGCTGCTCAAGGTCAATATTGGGGAGAATATCTTGTAGTATTCTTTGTTTCACTTTGATTTCTTTCATGTTCTGCATTTCAGCAGTCATCTTGCAGTAAAAATGATACCAGAATGAGGGTTGCTTGTCTGATGTTATTTTCTTAGAATTTGACATATACGGCCAATGTCATATGTGATATTATAATTAAAACACAATTAATTGGTTGCCTAGTTACAAAGGAAGTAAACTAACATGGTTTAACATACAAAATTCAAAGAAAGATAGTGGTCAAAACTTGCAAAACAAGTGAAATGGCGGCAACATTTAAGGCTGAAAGTTGCCATGTGCGAATACCGTTCCGGGTGGCAGGGTCCCTATATCAAAAACTATCTAGAAAACTACATAAAATAGATCATGTCTCCATGAAATTACTACACAAAGTAGGTAGGTCATTGGTCTTTATTATTAGAAAGTTTAAAGAAGCTTTATCAAAAACCAACAAAGTTAGAGCAGGGCGTCCAAGACTTTTGGATCACCCCTCGTATTAAACAATGTTATACATCAAATAATCCATCTCTTTTATGAATAGTTGCATGTTACTCGATTGGTGAACCTTTAGGTGATATTGCAATGAAATTAACCCTAGATGGGTTATATAACAAATAATGTTATACATAAAGTAATCCATCTCTTTTATGAATAGTTGCATGTTACTCGACTGATGAATCATTAGGTGATATCGAAATAATATTAACCCTAGATGGGTTATATATAAAAAATAATGTTATATCGGAGAAATAAAGAAAAACGGACACGTTGCTGATTTACATAGCTCGATCGAGTGAGCTTCCTCAAGTTGTCTACCACAACCCGATGGCAAGTTTGAATTTGGAGAAATCACCTCCTCTGGGTCAAAGTTATTTATGTCGGCCGGCATGTTTAAATTCGCTAACGAAACCAGCACGGTGTCCTTGTAAATTGGTGTAAACCAGCATGGTGTCCTTGTAAATTGGTGTAAACCAGCACGGTGTCCTTGTAAATTGGTGTAAACCAGCACGGTGTCCTTGTAAATTGGGGTTTTGTTACAATCTACGTACCGAATAAGTCAGTTGTTATGATAAGCTTTTCTTATTTTAGTTTTATACGTTGACGATAATGTTAACAGGTAAAGAAATGTATATGTACCGAGATACTCTGTTATGAAAATAGTAACCCCTGGATTTTCTCGTATTGAAAACTATCGAAGTGAACTATAGCTATCTCATGAGTACTAACCAAACTTTCAAAATGACCTTAGTTAAGCTTTAATGTCCTGTTTAAGAACCCATGTTCTTACTTTTGAATGGATTCAAGCAATACTCAGATAAACACAATATATGTAGAGTCCTGGATTAAAATATGATGAAAACCGAATGTTAGATCAAAGACTATACTGCCGGTTAAACATTAACCATTTGACTAAGTATCTGAGGAATGGTAAGTTCATAGGGCAAACATTTTAGACTTGTATAACATACTGTAATGAAAAGGACAACTGTCTTAGAACATGTTGGCAAATACGATCATTGCGGCGAGGAATTATCGGCGTCAAAGACCTCTCCATGTTATTGCAGGGAGGCTGTAAGTCCGTCGAGATTGGAATATTGGAAATAGGAAAATATACATGACAGGGACAATGTATGCGCAACAGATGCATATTACACTGGACAAAGATACCATGGAATCAAAAGATGTATTCGTCGTCGGTGACGTGCATGGCTGTTTAGATGAACTTAAAGAACTGCTGACGAAAGCAAATATCGTTGAAGAAAATAATGACACACTTAAGGATGACGTTGTACTGATATTCGTAGGTGATATAGTTAACAAAGGGCCTAAGACGGCAGAGGTTGTAAAATATATAAAAGATTTGGGTCCTGGTGTTTATTCAGTAAGGGGGAATCACGAAGAAAAAGTTATTAAAAGGAAATGGAAACGAAAATCATATTGTGTTGATCTGGTACGTGGTATAACAGAGAGTTCAAAAATTGATCAGCTGACTATAAGTGATGTAGAATACTTAGAAAGTTTTCCCTACACTATTTCTATCCCACATCTAAATAGTATTATCGTTCATGCAGGAATACTTCCAAGCATCCCGCTACACGAGCAGACTGTTGTCAACATGACGTGTATGCGAAACATTGTCCAAAACAGCGCTGGGGCAATGTCAGGTTATGTTGAAACCGACAAGGGGTGTCAATGGGCAGATTTGTGGCCAGGGCCACAGCATGTGTATTACGGTCATGATGCACGGCGGGGGAAGGACGATGTCGGCAGGCCCCGTGTACAGCTTCACCAATTTGCAACCGGGCTAGATACTCGCTGTGTAAAAGGTGGTGAACTGACTGGAATATTTTTAAATTCAAAATGTATCCATTCTGTTAAAGCTCATCATAAATATTCCGATTAGTTTGGAACTGGTAGGATGACGACCTTTTTCAAGTTGGGGGCACATGGCGTAATCTAGCAAAACTAGTACAAAGACGTCTACGTAGTTTCAACAATAGGAAAATATTTATGCCATGCATTTGTATGGGCGATTGGTCATACGTATAGGTTGGCGTTTCGATTGTATATGCAAGCTTAAACTACCTAATATTAGGAACAATCTCCTTATCGTAAGGCGCTTACCCTAAGTAGCGATAGAATATTCAGAAATTGGAATGTCCTATTGAATTTTCTCCTTTTTTATACACCTAGTATACAGGTATAAGCGCTAAACTGTTAATCTAGGCTATATGCACACTTTGTACAAAGCTGAGAGATGTAGAGCATGTTTACGATAAGGAATGTACCTGGATATAGCTTAGTTTAGGATTCCAATAAGGAACCCATTAAGATTTCAAAAAACATGCGGATACCTCGCACTAACTTTTATAGAAGCGAAATAAAACTCTTGGCTGCACATGTGTGGAACTTAAAATCAAGGATCAAATGCGAGAATAGAACCATGCATCTTTCAGATTTCTAAACATGACATTCAATACAAACACAAGAATTATTTATCTTTATTACTGTATTGCTTTATATTTCTTACAAAGCTTACATGTATAACGTCAAATCATACATGTGGATTAGTTCTATCTACTTGTTGATCAAAATATTTAGGTATATCAACCCTATAATCAAAACATTTCATATAAATATTTGTTTTGATTATGCAAATATATTTAGAACCACCTATTGAAGCTCTTTAGTCATTCTAACAAAGGTCCAGCAACTCGAACGATAGAGTTGTGTAATCTTTATTCTAAGAGCCTTTTAAGAATCATGTACAGCTCATTAGTCGACCCAGATTCCTCTCTCTTCTCGGCTGTAGCTGCAATCAAATATTGAAATTACCACTGATATCAACGCAAATGAATCAGATTGAGACCACGTAGGGAACATTTTAGTATTACAAATTAAATTTTAAAATGTTCGCACTTAGAAAAAGTCTGATGTATGACTTTTACAAAAAGTCTCCAATGAAAATTGTGTAATTAGCGATGTTCCTCAGGTTCTATTCAATTTTAGGTCCCATTTTGTTTCTCTTATTCATAAATGACCCCCATGTAGTATATTCCAAATGTTATATTCATGCTGTGTACGCTCCAAAGTTCATAGTTTCAAATGTTCTCTTACCTGGTTTGGCTTTGCATACACGATCCAGAATGGCATAGTCTTGGGAACAACATGGAGCATCTTTGGTGCATACAGAAGAAGTGTCAGAGACACAGCATTTCCCTCTGCAAGAACTACCGTCTCCATTTACAGATGTACAGCTTCCGCCAACATTAGTGTAAGCACGCGTAGATCGACCAAGTGCCAAGTCTAGCGTTGCCAATGTCATCTCTCTCTTCTGGGCCTGTGCATTATTTTGATTATCTGCTCCTTTGGCTGCAATCGAAGAATATGGTCTTGAATTAAACACCCATATTCAACGAAAACGTAACATTCAAGAGAATGCCAAGCACATATAATACATATTGTCAAAAGCAAAAGAAACACAAAATAGAACTCATATTATCTCTTGCTGGTTTTTGGAGGAGATTGGTAAGGTGGACACAAAACGTTTGTACGCAGACTTATCTTTAAAGGCTTGGGCTATATTATTTTCATACCTGGTTTGGCTTTGCATACACGATCCAGAATGGCATAGTCTTGGGAACAACATGGAGCATCTTTGGTGCATACAGAAGAAGTGTCAGAGACACAGCATTTCCCTCTGCAGGAACTACCGTCTCCATTTACAGATGTACAGCTTCCGCCAACATCAGTGTAAGCACGCGTAGAACGACCAAGTGCCACGTCTAACGTTGCCAATGTCATCTCTCTCTTCTGGGCCTGTACATTATTTTGATTATTTGCTCCTTTGGCTGTAATGGAAAAGGGTAACTGGTCAACTCGTACCCAAGACAACTCGTACCAAAGACAACTCGTACCCAAGTATATATTTTGTTTTGAATCAAGCGTTGGACTGGGAATGTGAATAGATATACATATTATAATTGTAACATACTGTTCAGAATAGTTTAAAGTTTGAAGAAGAATTTTCGGAAGAAATTGATTTAATTTTGTGACATTTTGAGCTGAGTGTCAATTTATATTGACTATTATTTTATATTGGTCACAAATTCAGGATGTTCGAGTGAAGAGACATATGTTTATTCCACATATTCATAATCATTTTTCAAAATATTGTATGTCTATGAGTGTTTGGAAAAAGTGTCAGATCTAATGTTGTAATTATATTTATTAATATATATGTTTGACAAAATAATGTTGAGAACAAGTGCTTCAAGCACTTCTTTTATTTAATAAAAAATGCTTTGATGATCCATTGAGAAAAAATGTCTTCTAAATTCAAAAAAATATTAAGGCTTATTTGATTCACATTATAACATGAAAGCATTACAAACTCAATTTTTTCCCTAATATGCACCCATAATACTGAAAATAATCTTTGGTGCGAGTTGTCTTGGGTACGAGTTGACTAGGAAGCATTGAAAAGTATGGTCTTGAATTAAACACCCATATTCAACGAAAATGTACCATTCAAGAGAATGCCAAGCTCGACTTATTTTCTTGGCACATAATACATATTTTCAAAGTCAAAAGCAAAAGAAACAAAATAGAACTCATATTATCACTTGCTGGTTTTTTGGAGGAGATGGGTAAGGTGGACACAAAACGTTTGTGCCAAGACTTATCTTTAAATGCTTGGGCTATATTATTTTCATACCTGGTTTGGCTTTGCATACGCGATCCAGAATGGCATAGTCCTGGGAACAACATGGAGCATCTTCGGTGCATACAGAAGAACTGTCAGAGACACAGCATTTCCCTCTGCAGGAACTACCGTCTCCATTTACAGCTGCACAGCTTCCGCCAACATCAGTGTAAGCACGCGTAGAACGACCAAGTGCCAAGTCTAGCGTTGCCAATGTCATCTCTCTCTTCTGGGCTTGTACATTATTTTGATTATTTGCTCCCTTGGCTGAAATTGAGAGAATATAGCTTGATTCTTCTTTATAAATAGGTTAGGACAGGCTTTAACGACGTTTTGTGTATTATGGCAAACATCAATTTAACTTATCGATCAAGGAAAAGCGAAAAAACAATGTACAGTATGTGCTAAAAATCGTCCATGTCTGTATTTGTTTCTACATTGATTTTGGAAATTATTTTGCTCTATGCACAGGAAACACTTCTGTCCCTGACACAATTGTTCCGAAAATGACTTAAATAAAGAATGAATGAGCTTCAAGGATTAATAAATAAGAAAGGTGAACAGGCACATTGGGACTCAGTTATCGTAAAGGATAGTGTTCTTCAAGTTGCCCTTCCACTCAGAGGATGATTAACAGAAACCTCGTGAATTAATTCATTTACAAATGTTATTTAATCGATCAAATGCATTGTAAAGCAAATTATTTTCTCTAAACCATTTGATAGATCAAGCAGGGGTTATATTTTTCCAACCATACAATAAGTTTTATAACATTTTAAAGATGCGATGTCAAAATGAGAAAATCCTTTTCTAAGTATGCTAAACTTTCACAATGAATCTAAATCTAAATGTCAAGACCTGACCCAAATGCCGAGACCTGGCTAAACTAATGTGATACTAAGGAAAAAATACTCTTAAAACCTTTGGGCCTTAATCTGTCCAAAATGGTTGCCACATACCAGCATGGGATTTCAGCTAGAAGGGTAGGCAACTTCCCATATTTCATACATAAGCATTGCCTTTGGGTTTTCAAAATTGGAGAATGTACACAGTCCAAGAAAATCTTATTTTGTCTAATTGAAAGCCCATGATACCAGACTACTTTTTGACTTTTTAATTCTTGGCTGTTCTTACTTACAAGATGGGTACGACTGGGCTGCAGCCATCGTCAGCCCGAATACGATTATTGTCATCATAGTGATAGCTTCCATAGCTTTCTGTGTCTTGTTTGACTCTACCTACAACAATCATTGATAAACAATCAGATCTTAGAAAGGTTGATAAGGATTTGATGAAAAACTGGTACGAAATCCGTTTTCTTCAAATTCTTGTTGATAAAGGGGCCAATGTATATTTTGTTTGTTTCATAGCAGCTGTGCACTTTGAAATGGTATATATTTTGTAGTGGATGTAGGAATTGCAGGTTCTAACTGAACTATCCCGGCTTAGGTTGTTTGTAAATATCTAAGATAAGTTAAAAACACAGTTTATAAAAAATCTAGTATTTTGGTGAAAGATTCTTAACTATTAAACTGACTTTCAAATCGAGTTGATCGATAGTTCTGACACCGGCATTTTAATTATAATTCAGTTTTACTAGATTACTAGAGTAATTTTCCAACCTATTTTATTCCAACTTTGCAAGATAAAACAAGTTTAAAACTTACCTGCACGAATGTATCCAATGAATGAGGTGACTCGTCTCTCCAACAATTTACACAGCTGACTGCTGACCGCACTCGACCACTTATTATTTTAAAGGTATACTAGTAACCAGGAATGGATTATGACCTTTTCGAAATAGTACAAATTTTAGAATGTTTTTCATGAAAAACAACAATGTTAATCCTTTTTGATAAAATTCATAAAAGATGTTTACACAAAGGATCATTTAAGCTGATTTATGGAATAATTTTCAACTTTTCTTCAAAAAGTTCCCCCATTTAAGGGCATATTCTACCTTTAAATACCGGGCGAGACAGGTTGTGATTGTGATGAACGCACATATACCTTCTATTCAATACAGGCACGATTTATTGTGTTGATAGTAAGGATTGTCAACTACAGCTGATACTTACCTTACAATGTTGCACACTTCTTATACAGGGTGACCCAAAAAAAAATGCAACCCTCCATTTCTTCAATATCTTAAATGGAGGTCAATTGCTCTGAAATTTGGAACACAAGGACTTCATTCAATGTGGGATCCTCTGGCAAAGTTTTAATAATCATAGCCTTATATTGATAGAGTTATGGTTGTTTCAAAATATGCTCCAAATGTCGTCCATTTCCAATGTTAGGTTTTCGGATGAATCACATTCTCTTCTTTCTGAACATGTTAACTCAAGAAATAATGTGTTCTGGGATCACAAATTCCAGATGAAGTGCTTCAAAGGCCCCTTCATTCTGTTTAATGCACAGCTTGGGCTGCCAATTTCCAAACATGAAATCATCAGCCACTTTTGGTTTGAGGTTGATAATGGCAACACTGTTACTGTTAACACACAGCGCAATATTGGCATTCCCAGGAAGTTTTAGGCAGTTCTAGAGAGACATAGAGGCTTCAATAGACAAGAACAGTGGTTCTTGAAGGATGGAGCTACTCCTCACACTTCTAATGATAGCATAGCCTGGCTCACTAGTCATTTCTATGAGAAGATTATCCCTCCTAGGACGGAGAACCCATAGTCATCCCACAGTCTTGATCTCAATGCCCCTGACTTCAATATATATGGGATTGTTTAAAGGATAATGTGTATGAAAATAACCCTACCGCAATTGCAGAACTCCAACAAGCAATGGCTGCAAAATTTGAGCCATACCCATGGGGAAGAATGCATCCGTGTTATGGACAGTTTTCCTTGAACATTGCAAGTTTGTTTTCAGCGAGATTGAGGACATCTGGAGCATATTTTGAAACAACCATAACTCTATCAATATAAGGCTATGATTATTAAAACTTTGCCAGAGGATCCCACATTGAATGAAGTCCCTGTGTGCCAAATCTCAGAGCAATTGACCTCCATTTAAGAAAAATATAGAAGAAATGGAGGGTTGCATTTTTTTGGGGTCACCCTGTATATAGGACCATGTCGAGAATGCATATGTTTTTGCTTTCCCTTTAAGGGAACCTTTAAGATCCGGCTTAAGGATTGCAGAGGATTACTATAAGTACGCTATAGGTACACATACGAAATCGTCAATACAATTAAGACGTCTATAAAGATCTCGGTCTTCGTTTAACATGTACAGGGTGTTCCAAAAGTAACAGGACTGGTGCTGGCATTTTGTCAATTTTGCACTGAGTGTCTTCAAATTTTCACAAATTGTACTTTGAAGTATTGCAACTAAAATTTTAAAGTTTCAGAAAAAAAGATGAAATGCGGTTAGAGTTATGGTTGCTATAGAAACATGACATCACAATACCCGGGGCAACTTTTCCGTGAAAATATGATATCTCACATTTTTGTATTACTGAACATCTCTTGTTTATTGTATCAGTTCCTTTGTTGTAAAGGTGTTGCATATACAACTCAGATTCAAGTATAATTTCATAATGATAATAATATTTATTCAATTTCCTGGAATATCACTATGTATAAGGGTCTGGACAATTCACGGTTGAGTTTTTGAAAAGACCCAATTTGAAGCCAGTCATCTACCTTGATAGCGCGCCTGCCCGCAGGTCACCATTTAAGACCATGCAGCTATAGAGGAGCTAGGTCTTGAGTCTAAAACCACGCCCCATACTCCTCTGATCATGCAATATCTAATGTTTACTTATATTGAGAATGGAATGCTAATCAGTGCTGTAGGACCTTTAAAGATGGGAATGACCTTCTCCAAATTGTCCAATTGGCCCTGCGTGACATGTCATCAAATGGGTTCACTCGTGTGTTTGGGTCATGGATACAGAGTACTACTCTTGTACTCACCAAAGAGGAGCCTATTTTTCAAAGTAGAGGATACATAGGAATATCAAATGATGTAAAACAAATGTAATTCCCACCAGTTGCTGCATTTCAACTTTGATATGGCATGTACAAAATGATATGGCATGTACAAAATGTTTAATGTCTCTGTAACTTTTTGCGTGGAATATTGCCCCGGGTATTGTGATTTCATGTTACTATAGCAATCATAACTCTACCCGAGTTTCATATATTTTGTCGAAACTTTGCAGTCTTAGTAACGATACATGAAAGTACATTATGTAAAATTTTGAAGACGATTGGTGCATATTAAACAAAATGCCAGCACCAGTCCTGTTACTTTTGGAACACCCTGTATTTCGACATAATTCATAATAATTTTTATATATTCTTATTGCTATTATATCAGCCAAGTATTTAAACTGAACTTTGGAATGGAATTTTTTCAATTTTAGCGAGAATATTACTAGAACCTATTTAGAGACTTCATGACATATTCTACAATATTTAAACAGCCAACTTATTTTACAGAGGAAGAAACCTTTTGAACGATTGTGTTTGTGAAAGGCCATCTCGTCGCGATAAATCCATATCCAAACCTTGGGAGTAACACAAATAGTGTTCAATTCGGTCTAGGTTCAATATTGAGCCAGGTTTCTAGATTTCATTCAAGGGTATGTACACTAATGCACCAAATAAAATAACAAGAAATGCCATTTTTGTCAGCAATATTAACAATATGCAATTTTGGCAGCATTAATGCAAAAATGTCCTGAATAAATAAACCTCACAAATCACTGCACAGTACCATGCAATGTCCAAAATAATAGTACAAAAACCTCATTTCGAAGGGCAATATAGTGAAATATTGGACCGAGGGCCTGAGGGCCTTCGCCCCGGCTCGGTCCAATATTTCACTATATTGCCCTTCGAAATGACGTTATTAGTATTATTACCGTTAATGACCAGGACTGAAATAGCAAGAAAATCTTACGCACTGAACGATATCTAATTTCCCGGGGAATTAATTGCATTATTGACCGCCATTATGGACTGCCACTATGACGTCACATATTGCTCAGGTCTATAAAATGAATGCCTTTTAAACTAGCACTAAAACGCCAAGAACTGGCCAGGCAAGGTGGTAATAATGATCATGCTTGTGTTTATTACCCTGCTGTCCAAGAGAGAAGTACCAATGACTAAAAGAAGCATATTTAAACAATTGATACAGATTATGTTCTGCCTTTCGACATCAACACAACATGTACGAGTGTCGTTCAATAATACAAACTCTTATTTCAACCTTCATCACGGAAAGTTCACAAATTGGAATGAAGGTTTAACATTGACCCGGTATCGCGTGTACTTTATGCCGTGGTCACGTTTGCTAATCTCCAATATCGCGCTCGGCCGATGACTATTTTGTTAAAAACTGAATTCAATTTTGAAAATGCTCATTTAGGCCAGGCGCCGCACTAAAAATCGGAGCAAAAGTGACCACACCATTATCATATGCACCATTCAGGATCAACAAAATATTGGTTTGATTTGTAATACAAAATTGTTTATTTGATATAACATTCATTATTCTTTCATGTAAACAAATAATGCGTATGCGCTGCTGGTCAAATAATAGGAATATATTGACGTCTTTATCTAAAAGTTATTAATTATTATCATATCTTTAATACCACCATTTGATGATTAATATATATAATACAACTGTAACTATAAATAAGTGAAAAAGATGAAAGGATTATAAGTAATTTGTGAAAAGGTATATAAATTATCATCTAGAATTTGTATGTCCTTCTTAGCACAGACCATCTATCCAAGCTACTAAATGATATATTGTCCATCTGTATACATCGTGTGTACTGTATTTCTTGCCAAATAAGTAATATCCTTATTATCACATATTATGTTAAACTATATACATTATGTAAATATATAGAGATTATCCAATATGAGGTTCAGAATATTGGGATTATCCCGAGGCCAATATAATATATTTGCCCGAGGGCCGCAGGTCCCGAGGGAAAATATATTATATTTACCAAGGGATAATCCCAATATCCTGAACCGACTATAGGATAATATTTTTTATCCCATACCAATCTTGGTCATCTGGTTCACATTGTTCAATCGTGGAAATATTTTAGAATATTCATGTCCAGTTTTGTTTTCTTGGCCGTGGGCGGATTTCTCTGTTCTCTCAAATATTCCCACATCTATTTTCTCGAAAGAAAACAAAACTGGACATGAATATTCTAAAACATTTCCACGATTGAACAATGTAAACCAGATGACCAAGATTGGTATGGGATAAACATATTATCCTATAGTCGGTTCAGGATATTGGGATTATCCCTTGGCCAATATAATATATTTTCCCTCGGGACCTGCAGCCCCCGGGGAAATATATTATATTGGCCTCGGGATAATCCCAATATCCTGAACCTCATATAGGATAATCTCTATATACTAATTTACTTAAGATGAATATTCTAAAATGCATTGAAAAATCAAATATTGGTCATAGAATATGGACGTTACGTACTTAAATGGTAACTATTCTTGAACATCAAATTGCTATTAGATATACAAATACACGTGCTGTACGTGTACGTAATAATCTTAAAAGTCACTACTCTGCATTTAATAAATATAGGTCCCTGTTCGTCGAAATAGTGCTCACACAAACGCTCCATGAAGTCCATATGGAAAATCGTAAGGAATAGTTGCCCTCCCAAGTTCTTTAAAGGATTCCCCATCCAATACCAAGAGGAATGTAGACTTGTCCTTGCTTGGGCTCAAGACCAGAGATAGCACAACACCTATAACGAAATCAATAAACAAAGGCCTTAGTCTGTTATCAAATAAACCCGCTGTCACATTTGCAATACCAAAAGGAGTATGAGAGCTATGATATATTCATAGGTTGTGGGCCAATAAAAAGATGGCAGAGAGGTAGAATTCTATTAACAACGTATAAATAAACACAGAACGATTGGTCTGTCTTCTAAAAATCATTTATAGGAAAATGTGACAAGTATAAACACGATAAGTGTAAAAGTACTATTCAATAAGAAAACTCAACACCAGATGGCTATAGCTAGAAGAGCATACCTTCATCCTCTTTCAATGCATCGGGAGCAGGGACAAAAATGGGCTCTGATGGATAGCAATCGTCTTCTTGCCATTCCTAATAAATGAAATATTTATTGTACTTCTGACATTAATATTTTGTGTTTTTTGTATGATTTTTTAATTTTGTAGCTGGTGGTTGTTTTTCATTTATTGTCAATCAATTTCGCCGATTTTGGGATTATTAAAATTAGTTTTGTATTCAGTTATAAGTATTTTTGGTATTATTTGATAGTTTGCTCGGATTATATTTCAATATAACTCTTTTGACATACATTTGACATTAAAGAGGGAAATTTGTATAATGATTGATGTAATCACCTGTATAATCTGTATAGACGTGTCGCAAAAAGCTCGCGCACGCATTGTTACACATTTTGTGGCGTAATCCAGAGGATCCTCGCTTTTAACATGATAAAATGTGACGTTTTTGAGAAAAATGATCATCACTTATGGAAATCCTTTCGTCCTCCACATTTGCCTCTATATCTCAAAATATTTAAGGCGAATAAATCTGATATTGTATATGTATTAACAATGGGTTAGGAGCATCATAAAACACGAATCAATTGATATTTTAGGTGAAATAAATATACGTGTTGCTGTGCTTGAAAATAGGCGAATGGCGTAAATTAGCCCTATTTTAATGAATTTTGAAAACCTTTCGTCCTCCCCTTTTCCACATACAACAGAAAACACATACTTTTGTGAACAAAATCAACTTTTTATTAATAAACTAGAGTTTAGGAGCAAAATAATCATGTATGATTTATTAAAAATTGATCTCGTATTTTTTGTTTTATGTACACCTGAAAAGTTGAAGGTACCAAAAAATGAGCAAAAAAGGTCGCTGTTAACAGATTCTATTTTTCAGACTCTATGACGTCACAATATGGGACGCTTACTAAAATTCATCCATTGAAATAAAACTTCCATCTACCTTTATCAAGACGAAAAATAAGTATAATAGTCATATATTGTTTGAGTTATGAGCGTTTAAAGACGAAAAATAATTCAAAATGTAACGTGTCAACATGGGATATTTGCCAGATGTTTTGGTAAAAAACTCATTTTTAAAAACGAACGCGCAAAAAATGTGAACGGAGTGTAGTTGATCTAAAATCTTCATCGAAACAGCTTTAAAATGATATATAACTTTAATAAGAATATTATCTTATAATCCGGGGAATCAAAGTTACATTCACGCGATACCCTTAAAAAACAAATGCGCCGCCTTTTTGCGACACGTCATAGCGATTTGCCAAAATGTGATGTATAATTGGCTAATAGCTATGTGTGAAGTGCATATTGCATGCTTCGTACTATGAAGCAAATTATTAATTAATATTAAACCAATATAAGGGCAATAATACAAAATTGAACATTTACATAATTTTCATATTCCCACCTGCGTCGTCTTATTCTGAACATCCAGCTTTATGATTCTGTCTGCGGGGATGCTGAACCTCGCCCCATAGCTGTACCTATATGGCCTCCCATTATAGAAGTTGTAGTTCATTGTAGGAAAGTCAAATCCTATGCCGGGAGATTCGTCCTCCTCGTGTAGAGGCTCATATGTCAAGTGAATACAACCATCATTCTTCAATGTCGCGGTAGCTGTAAATCAAACATTTTACTTTTTACGTCAAATGAATTGTATTCATAAAACTTTGAACAGAGGGCGTGTGTTGAATTAGCCTACCTTCAATTAAGTTTATTGAATAATAGAAGTTATGTTTTAGTTTTTACATGTTAAAGTTCCCAATGTTCCCAAATATTATTGTCTTCAGGTATAGTCCGGTTTAGTATTCACATCACAGTCAATATCCTAGATGCGAGTAGAAATAATCTTGATTTACGTCGTTAAAAATTAAATATTCAGTCAAACTGATGTCATATTTGGAATCTACATGTAAAATTATGTCTAGAAATATGGCTTTGAAAAGAGTTTATCAACTTAGAAAATTTAATTTTCTTTGAAAATGTGACTTTTAAGTCGGGGAGATTCCCCATAGCCCCCATGTTGTAAAATCACAAAAATGAAAATATATTTTCTTGTGTTGGGCAGATAATATTTTCTTTTACTGGACATATTTTAATTTGTATAACTATCAGATACATAAGGGTAATATGAAAAGTGAACCACTAAAACTGATGAATATTCAAGTTTAAGGGAATTTTGTAATACCCTGCCGTGTTATTTCCCCCGAATCAGCCACCTGGTGGCGAATCTGGTAACTACTTACTCGCATCTGAGTAATTAAGCCTGAATAATAAGCTGAATAAGACCACAATAAATGTTTGGGAGCCAAAATAATACGACAATGTTGCAATTATCACGAAAATTATGGAGCTGTCACACTTCGGCCGTGTGCACTCAACGTTCGCCACTATATGAAATACTTTTGGTGCACGGTGAGCAAATCAAATAGCTTTACGGCAAATTATTAACCATGACATCAAATACAAAAAAATAATGAAAAAGAATTAATGCCAAAATAAGCCACATGTGGCGAACAGAACTCAGCCATTTTTATCAGAATGTGTTTACAGCCAAATAAAATATCATAAAAAGAAATTGAGACAATGAAGAACTTGGAAACGGTGAATTAAATGCGTTATGTTACCATTCTCTATATTTTTCGACTTATTAAGTTTATTAGTTTCAAGTCATGAATATCAAAATATTTCGAATGAAATGTAGTTGAAATGCTACTGTACCGGAAGTAAAGCCATCCTCTAGTTTAACGAGATTCACATTTCTAGGACCATCTTTAGCTATATCTAGTGGTAATACAAATCTCCTCGGATGTGTTAATTGGTCGCTTGTGAATTGTTCATCCAGATCTTTAGAATCAATCAACTAAAGCAAAGGTTTACATCAGATTGATTATGTAAGACCATTCAAAGTTGTTTAATCTAGGATGATCTTGATCTTGGGTTTCGTCATATTATTCTCAATCCAAGAATTCCCTCCACTTCGATATTTTTCTATTTGTATCATAACTAAAACATGTTATTTATATTCATGTATTAAAACATTCTGTAAGTTGTTTTATACATTAAGGGCATCAACGCAACAAAGCTTTGAAACCTTGTTGAAGTTGAGTGAGGAATAGGGAGGTTAAATTACACGTTTTTCAAACGTGTACGTGACGTGTAGTATTGTGGTCTTCTATGGATTAGTTCTCCCATTGTAATGTTCCTCTTGGCCGATTGAGTATAAAGGTATACGGAAAATAATCATAATTAGGTTCCCGGTTCCAAGGAGACAGTCAATTGACAACGGGACAGTGATAATCGGGGATCGAACTACTACACGCTCGCGTACAGTTTGTCCTCTTCATAAAGGGATTAAGAACTTTATGCTCAATCGGAAAAGTAAATACTACGAAACAGAGAACTCATCCCTAGAGAACCACACTTCTACACGTTCACGTACAAGTCCCCTTAACCCTACTATCACACCAAACTAGTTCTCACTACGTTCTCGAAAACGGGCTTAAACGAATGGATTTGACCTACTAAGAACCCACTAAGAACCGTTTGGGATCTGTTTACAAACTTCATGAAACTACTAGAACGAGTAGGTCCTCCAAAACTTTTCTGGTGATCGTCAAAACGTTGCCGAATCGGTTTTAAAATGTGTGCGAACTGAATGAACGTAGCTACAACGTTCTGCGGTCTGTTCACGAACTTCATGGACTTTCTCGGACGAGGAATGTGATTTAGAATTTTGAATCGATTCAAAATTCGATGGCGACCCAGGCCCGTAGCCAGGGGGGGTTCGCAGGGTTCGGGCGAACCCCCCCCCCTGGCCAAAAATTCTTTCAAAATCATGCAGTTTTTGACCATTTTGAGCACTTCTCAAGTGATTTTAGCCTAATTTGGGCCAAAATTTGGGCCAAAATTGTCAAATGTGAACCCCCCCTGGGAATTTTTGAAAATTGAACCCCCCCTTGGCAAATCCTGGCTACGGGCCTGCGACCATACCGTTCTGTAATCAGGTCATGATGACCTTCTAGACTAAGGGACGCGTTATTGGACGTTGCACACCGTACAGGTATTCACTTTTTCGATTGAGCATAAAGGTACGAGGTATTTTAATTGTAATAAGGTCCCCGGAAGATAGGGGAGAGTAATGCTACGAGTGTTCTACTTTTGATAACATTGTGGATGGAAAGGTGCTCACTCGGCCGAGCCCACCCTTGCACCCGGCAGACATATCAATTATTTAGAGGAAATGCATCAAAGTTTTAGAAAGTTTCTCCATCGAGAAATTGGAGCAATTTTAGCTTCACATACGTTTTTCCAAACTGTTAATAACGTATAGCATGTGCATAATGCACCACTATGATCTATCATGATATTTCGGTATAATGTGACCAGAAATGCATGTACATGTACCTTCCCAAGACTGCGCAAATATAACCTATCGTATTGGGCCCCGCCATCAGAAGCACACACGTCTACTATAACATGATCGTCCTTTTCATAGGCATTCATGGAATGGAAGTTCACAAATGGTTTAGTGACATACTTTAGCGATCGCACTTCTCCTAAAATGCAATAGTTACACGTTTGGAGCTATGTATATCTTACACTGTCCATCCTTCAAATATTTTCGGAAAATGAAAACATCCTTACAACAACGCATGTATCTATCATTTTCTGAAACCGCCACTCGACGATTACTTTTGCGTTCAGTGTTAAATAGGTTTTGATATGACTCTCATTCATCGAGATACGATCAAGACTATTATAAATATTCACCTGTTCTTTTATCACAAATGTGAAATATCGACTTGAGACTAGGGTCGAATTCCATTAACTCATCAATGCCCTTTTTGTTGAAGTTTCGTGTAAGAAGTCCTAATGGACTAAATCTATAAGGCTGTTCGTGAAAGATAATGTAGTTTACGGTCATTGAGAAACTGTAAAAGACCAAAATTACATGTACCAATTATGTAGCCAAGTGAACAGAATCAAGGCAGGAAATGAATTATATGATTATTATATATGATTAATATATATAATATGTATACTTTTTGATCAATCAGTCAGCAAACTATTGCGGATCATATCTGGAGATTTTTAACGGGGTTATAGATGTAAAATAGTGGTTCACTATAAGTTTTATTGTTTTACTGTTTCAAGGTATTCACACTACTATACCTAACACCTAGAAATGCATAAGACACTTTGTTTGTCTAATTGGATTGTTTAGTATATTTTTGAAAGTACCTTATCAACATCTAACTTTCAACCGATAAACCATTAATAAGGAACAGACAAATAAAAACAAATATATAATCATTACTAATAAGCCAAATAGGTTGCTCATGGAAGCCAAATGCAAGGTATAGTAGAGTGTATTTGCTACCTGTGATAGTAAGCAGGTCTCCTACTATTTTCCATGGGAATGGTATGTAGGATTTCGGCTCCTTCAACTGGATCGGCTTTGTTTGCTCCAGGGGATATCTTTATCACGTGGTAACATCCTGATTTCATGTTCGTACCTAAGTTGTAATAAGTGCCATCGGGGTCAGTATGGGGGTGAGTTGCGACAACGTTGACTGCTACCAATTGGGAAATGTCAACCTAAAAACGGGTCATGGTTTAGTACCTAATCAGGGGTAATGGTGTGTTATATATCTTTTATATATATATTCATATATGAGTTAGTTATTTTCAAAAGGTGGAGTGAAGTGTAGTACCTAGTTTGGTCAATAGAGGGAACTATTATCTGTCCCCGGGAAAGTTTCCCCGGGAATGTTACTCCAACTGAGTAATACAGTCAGTAAATTGGCTTAAACTACTATACAATTTCAATCCCAGAACTTGTTGTATTATGCATGAGTTCTATGTGCAGGATTGGATAGCTTTTACCAACACGTGTCACTCGTCGGGCGAGGTGTACCGTGATGAGTTGCACATTCAATATCGCAATTATTTGGCCTTTTCGAATTAACAACTTAGACCACACTGGAGGATCCAGAAGAAAATTTAACCCCCATTCTTTGAAAATTTGGCCTAGGTTGTCAAATCATTCCCAAAAAGGCTCGGTTTTTATGAGGCCCTAAAATGGATCTGGATCCGCCAGTGGACCATGTATGATTACAAAAATAGGCGTATAAACACGGTGAACAATCGTAGAACTACTGATATGCCCGTCATTCAATGATTTACGTGTACGCTATGAACAACTTCCATTGTGTGTTTCATTTGGACGCATCCCGCTCTATACGTATACTTGAAGTATTGCCGCCCTTAAACTTAATGAGAATGACGTATACCGTTTGCATAGCGTCCCGAAGGCGATGATAGAGAAGGCGTGGCTTTCCAAGGCAGGGAAGCACAATTTTACAAATGTAAATCCTTTACAAAGTTCAAAACACAGCGCGTATTTAATTAATTTCGCTATACATTTTCATTTAGTTAAGGTACTGAAAAACAGTTAAAAGATCAGCAAAACATGCAGAGAAAATACAAAGGAAATATTCATTTACACGGAGTTTCAATCTCCTTTATGGCATAGTTGAATGAAACATTTGGAAACTAAAAAACGAACTGTAACGTATAGAACGTTTAAAGGAAATGGCGAAATATTTTCCTCATACTAACAACATACAGTTTGGACGATATGAAATAGATAGCAACTTAACATAATTCGGCGCATCATTGAAAAACGTATACCGTCCTTCATAACAGATTTGAATCAGACTTTTGGGAAGTGATATGCATTTGACTGACATAATATATAGATAATATTACAGACGCTTTCATGATTTTAAATAGCTACACATACAGCAAACATTTGTTTAAAATAAGATTTAAGAAGAATGGATAAGCCTTCTAATGGTGTGCTGATAATATTGTTTTGGTTCTGGTAAAATGGAGATAAAAGTATTTCTAATAAATAGCTTAATCTTTCAATCGCTCCCTGCTTTTGAAGAGTGCCCCGTTGCTTACGAATCCCTATGTTGGTGGGGAATGAATACAGAGTTGACATTTTTAAATTAATGTTTATATGGATGCTCTTAAACCTGGCAGTGACAAATAAATACAAATGGATGATGCTTTTTAGAATGACAGTTAAGTTGACCGTATACGAATGACCCCTCCAATTGCACAAATGTGATGTATTGCTTTGAAATACGACCTTATTGCGCCCTTATTGAAAATGTTAAACTTATGGTTAACGGTAAACGCATCCCTGCTTGGGACGTTTGATCTGTAGTCGTGTGAAAGACCTTCAGGAGACAATTTTCAGAATAAGGTGCATGTTACATCCAGGCCTTTCTCATTTTCTAACTGTCCATAAAACACCAAACACATGGTGGATCTTAGCTGAAGAGTTTACAAAAAGGTTAAACAGCCGTAGTTTATATTTAATTATTGACGGGTCAATTCAATTTGATCTTTTGTAAGAAATGGAATAGGTTGAATTATAATCTACATTATTACCACCTTGCAGGGCCTGTTCTATGGGTTTTAGTACTAGTTGAGAAGGCATTTAAATTGCTATATTGACGTGAGCAATATTGTGTCGGGTGTTAATGACTTTAGTCGGGCAATAATGACATTATCCGCCCGGCTATGTTTCCCGAAAAAGTGATATCGTTCAGTGCGTAAGATTTTCTATTTCAAATTTGCTATTTCAGCCCTGGGCATTAACGGTGGTAATAATAGTAATAACGTCATTTCTGCGGGCAAGATAGTGAAATATTGGACCTTGGGCCCTTGGTCCAATATTTCACTATATTGCCCTTTGAAATGACGTTATTGTACTAGTGTCATACATACATTATTTTACCACTTTTCTCAGCCGTCCCTTAATATGTCTCCTTCTTTTTTCAACATATTCCTTGTAAAAAGTATCTAATTTCAAAGGCAAGACGTCGTCTTTTGATTACTTTTACTGATTTTGACATTCAAAGTAAGGACACTGAAAAGCCGAGGTCCAAATCTAGGTCTTTACGGGGTTCTCTAAATTTAACGCGTGGGTTATGAAAAAGGTGTACAATCTTTTCAGAAATCCTAATCTGAAATCAGAATTGAAATCTGAATTCCGTTTTAGATTCTATGGTGCTTTGCATTTCGAAAAACCAATATGATGATAACCAAATATTACTTTATGGGTTAAGTCAGTTACGTAATCAGCTACCTACTAACGTACTTACTCACCAATCGACTCAACTAAAAAACGATTATAATATGAATAATTAGTTACGTATAAAACAAATATTTGGTGAACGTACAGCTTTATTTGATACATACTCTTTGGCATGGAGAGAAATAGCATATTTAGTGTACTATAGTAAGATCACTGCTACCCACCTAGTTACACAGACGTATCGTCAGTGTATCATGGCGGGACTACTTCTGGGACTAGGTTTCGGTAAGATTTTTTATTTCCCGATTTACACCTACTTATAAGTCACGTTGCGGATAATAATTTGGCTCGAAGTTAAGGAAGGTCTAGTTTGAGAATGTGAAAAAAATATGAAATCAAATTACATTTTCAACTTGATACGGCTGATACGGGATCGAATATGGTTTGTTACGGAACTTTGGATGAATGGGATCTTTTACGGGATTCTTTGAATATAAATTCTATTCTCTGCCTATTTCCCAGGGAGAACGTGTTATTATGCAATAAGGAAATATATACGAGTTGACGATCGAGCGAGCGTAAAAAATGAGTACAGATATTGATATCAGTGAGTCAATTAAAAATGGTATCAGGAAATATTATATTCACATGTTATCATACAGATTTTACAAGATCATACAATATATTGTAACGTTTTATATACAGTTGTTGTTCAAGCCTATTGTCTTTGCTTTTTTATTGTTTTGAATTACGAGATACTTTTAGCATTTCATGCCGATCTTTCTTATTGACGTACATTCAAAATACATGTACTTTGAAGTATTTAACACGTTGATACATTGTACCGTTTTACGCTATTTTAGTATTTGGTTGAATTTCTTTTATATTGCGTTAAATAGTATTTTGCACTGCAATATATTAGATGTAATGAATTTGTTATTGGGTACTTTTTTATATTCTCTCGGGTTGCCTTTTATTTAGCCTATGTGTTACTGTACAACAACATGTTATTATAATTTGTTTTTAAATTATTGTAACTGAACGAGATACACTATTCTCCATAAACTTAGCATCCTTAGCTCCCCCATTGAACTACGTGTTAAAGCATCTTTACTTAACTTGCGATGAAAATACTTATTACTATTGATGAAAACGTAATATGACTTTATTTCCAATATCTCCAAATCTCCAAAAGTTTTTCCTTCAATTACAATAGGTCGAAAATTGGTGATAAAGATGAATTTTTGAAAATCGTCATTCCCATGTAAACCAATGGAAAATTGTGGGTTCGGGGCAAATCAGATATCAATTATGTAAAAGATTAAAATATTTTTACATAGAAAATAGAATTCTCTAATATTTTCATTCACTAAGTCTTGGTTTTACTTGATGAATACAAAAGTTGCAGAGCGTCAAAGTCATTTTTGAAAATCATTTTCGCCTCTTGTGTTATTTCAATAGGAGATGTTTTGAAAAAACAATTTTGACTTTAAACACCTATAACTTTGTGGAACCTGAAGAAACGTACCAATTTTTGTAAAATAAGTTGCAAATTCAGTTGCCTACCTAACTTGTATATTTTTGCAAGGACTCGGATGACTGTTTTTTTCTCGTATGACTTGCGACATGTCGATCTTCAAAAAGTCATCAAAATCATTAATTTTCGACCTATTATAATTGAGGAAAAAATTAAGAAAATTTGGAGGAATCGGAAATAAGCTCAAATTACTTTTCCATCGATAATATGTATTTTCTTCGCAGATTAAGTAAATAAAAAGGTAAAGAGGCTTTAACACGTTGTTCAATGGGGGAGCAAAGGTTGCCAAACTTATGGAGGGGAGTGTACCATCGTTTTATAAAAGGTGGTTGTAAACGGTAACCCCGACACTGTTTTCCTCACACCTTAGCAAGTTGCTCACTCATATTTTGTGTACACCATTCAAATTCCTACCGGCCTATTGTATTTCACGACCATCAAACTAATAGTCATAATGTTACAGCACTTTAAACAAAAAATAGAGTATACAAGCTTGAACTCAGGACAATTGATAACCTCAGAACAGAGATCATATCATCAGGCCACGCGTGCTGATGAATGAAGTTGGGTCGTTGAAAAGGTTGGGCGACATAGTGCTGTAACATAATTATGATTATTAGTCTGATGGTCATGAAATACGGTACACTGCTAGACTGGTAGCAAATTGAATGGTGTACAAATGTGCAAAATACGAGCAAAAATATGACGAAAATGCAGAAGTGCCGTTTCACCAAACTGTAATGTATTGTGTCATATTGACTATAGTGTACAATAATATTGATTTTTGTTTTTTAATTTTGCATCGCATTACGTTAAAATACAATTCCCTCTATTAGTTTGGAAGATAATTGTGCATCACTTATTAGAAAAGCACAAAATAAAATCTTTCATCAGTAACGATAACATATAAATCATGCAACGAAAATACATACCAAACCTTTGAGGGCTAGTCATTAGTGATAGGCATTTGTTTGCATTAATTTTAGCGCATATTATCGCAATTATGTAAGGTATGTACCCGGGGGTATGTATCGCAATGTAGTACTACTGATTGTTCAAGTCAAATGCACAGGATTGCGTTATGTTGTACCATTTTACGATATTGTTTTTTTGCATTATATCGCTTTTTGTATAAGACTGTTTTATCTTAATGTTATTTTGTATTTTAAATACATGTTTCTTTATTTTGCAATAAAACAACGTTCTTTGTTCGTGATTTGCATGTTTAACAAGTATGTCAAATACGTTCTATGTCAAATACGTTCAACAATCATTTAAGTATCTCGCTACTAAGGTAAAGGTAATATATGTTCAAACTGCGAGAGAAAATTACTCACTTTGATTACCGATTGAAATTGTAACTTGACAACGGATTAGGGATTATCATTTGTCATTGTCTTCGTCCTTTTTAAATTAAGGATCCATTGTCTGGAAGACGGCATATGTGGCCGTATCTGGATTTGCCACTTCAAATCATTCAATAACGTTTTTATCGTGTGATCCTCTGTATTGCTACTGAGATTGTCCCTTCGCACCAATATTTTCTGTATTGCGACGGAGATGATCAACGGGGACAATCTCAGTAACAATACAGATTGGTACAGCACAAGAACTGACCATTACATTTACATTGGGCTGAAATATCCATATTTACTCACCATTTACAAAAATATTATTCGTCTGATCGCCTAATAATCCTATACCGAGTATCGCATTTAGTATCAATGACCAGGGTTGGTCTGACAAATCATTTTGGACATTTATATATTTCCTAACCACAAAATCAACATCTCTAACCTACAATTACGTTTCTCTTATTTATGTCTCCGGGATAGTGATCAAATCGACTTTCCAAAATCGCTTGGCAGCGGCGATTTCTAAAACTTTATACCTTTGCAAAGTAATCTAAAATGACCAATTCATTGACATGCAAAATGTCAGCTACAACCTACCATTTGTTACACACCATGACCGCTGAACGCCGATAATCACCGACAGCCGAAGGAGAATGCCATCCATAAAAAGTTAGAGATGGTTCACTCGATGGTTTCAAAAGTGTTTTGGTTTTGAAAACTGTCCATTATATCTAGTTATTGATATGAATTATATTTTTCCACAACCATGGGGTATTTATAGGATATCCTATGATTTTGAGGAATATCATTTTTATCTACGAGGTGATATTGGTATCTGCACGAGAGAGCAAAGAGAATGAGTGCATATATCACCGAGTAGATTAAAATGATATTCGGAAAAAATCATAGGATGTTCTTATTATCCTTCACAAGGAGTGTACAAAATGCATAATACCATTGCAAAATGAATTCCATGCCAAATAGAATCAATTTGGCGGGAAATCAACAAGCGGAGTATATCGTCACACTATCCTCCGCATATTGGGTTTCTGGAGTATATCGTGGCAATATCCTCCAGTTCAATATCTCTAACATCATGGAACGATTTCCACAAAAATCTATCCCCCGATCTATCCTAACGTTTTTGCATTGTTATTATTTCATTATTACCGTCATATTCATAGCGTATCATGTCAAAATAAAACTTAATCACTTATTCACCACATATTGTTTTTGCAACTGGAGTCAAAACGACGCTGGTAGATGTTTGAGACACGTTAGTAAATTACGAATAATCTATTTATAAACAATCACATTAAGTTGTAAAATATCCTATGTTAAACCTAAGTCACATTTGTCGTTTGTCATACGACAGGTGACATCGGCAGCAGATCGCAGAAACTGGAACGAACGTTTGCCACAAGGACACCCTGCATTTGCCTTCGTATCTGGGGAAAATACACACTTCAAGTTGACACAGTACGGTGATCGCGAATCGCGATTGAAAGGTCATCACGGAAACCATGGTTTAATATCAACATGCATTCAAAATGTACAATATGTAAAATATTATATTTTCAAATTGATTAACTCTTCATCCTTGGGTTAACTCAACATTATATAATGGGCATCCAGCTGCCCATGATCATATTCAGTTATCATTATTACATCTCTTTATTTCCCATTTAGCATGGAATAGAAATAGGATAATTGAATACAAATAGAAGTGGAAATAATCCAATTTGAATGTGATCTCTCAATTCAAATAAAAACGGAGGAGATTTTTGACTGTATTGGTAAAATTGTTATATCCGACGGGCGTACAGTGGCAGAATGAACTAGCTCAAACTCGTGTTAAATCCATCATTTGCATGACAGGGAACAATATTTCACCGGCTGGACTGTCCAGTGAATTCATTTATAAAGTTCACTATCCACGCAGAGCAAGCAAGCGTTTTAAATTTTACAGTTTTATGGTTTGTCAATCCTTATCCTATATATTCACATAACAAATGTTTACAAAATGTGTGTTTTCAAACCGACCACTCATCCATAACTCAAGTATTGGCGTCTATATTTGTTTCGATTGTTATAAGCTAACTAGCCGCACAAACTACTCAGCTTGATTACATTTTCTTTCATATAGATTTGTACAAAGGCAAAAAATAATTAGGTGTATTCCCAGGTATACATTCACCAATCAGAAATTATAAATATTCAAAGTAGGACATGCACGATGGGATTGGAAGGTACAAAGCGTATAGTTACATTCCCGGGGAAAATCCTCCCGGGGACAGATTAATGTTCCCTCTATTGACCAAACTAGGTACTATTACTTCACTCCACCTTTTGAAAATAACTAACTCATATATATATCTTTTATTGACTCTTTAGATGTCATGACCTGACATATTAGTCATTACAAAATGAAATTTCACAAAACTACACTACACTACACTAATATATACAATTTATACAAAAAACTTGTTATTTACATATGTTATAATATACTTTAGGTGTGATGCATCCAAAATGTTAATCTCCAGGCAAGTTTAAGTTTTTGAATGATTTTGTAATAAAACTTCCAACTTGCTTTTGCACATATTTATCTTTTGAAGATATTAACATAATGAATGTATTTTCAGGATCATGTTGATCAACATTAATTTTGCTAGTGATGTTGTCAAACAATATTTTTCTATTTTCTCTATGTAAATGGCATTTTATCATGAAATGAACCTCATCTTCTATTTTCCCACAAAAGTTACATAATCTTTCATATTCAGGTTTTGGCCGTGGTTTTACATGTCTACCCAGTTCTATTTGTAATTTATGTGAACTTAATCTCAGTTGTGAAATTGACTGCCTGTGATTTTTGTTTTCAAGGCTTAAATATTGTTCTCTTTCAAAAGTTGTTTTGAATTTAATGTATGTTCTTAAAACTGGGTATAATTGTAAATCACACTTCCATTTCTCCTTATAATTTTGGTACAATATTTTAGTTAGGTTCTTTTTAAATACATAGTCATCCTCAACAACTTGTTCATTCCAAGTGCTTTGGAGATTACAATCTTTTAAAATATTATGAACCTTACTTGACCAAGTATTTTTAAATCCTAAACTGTACATTTCATAATCATATAGATATGCTTTATAAAGGAGGTTATCTGGACAAAGTTGTATAAGCCGTATCCAATATTTAATAAGATGAATATCAAAGCACAAACTAAGTGGAAAACGACCCAGCTCTCCATAGACTGCTAGGGTTGCAGTTGATGTTTTCACACCAAGGATGCTTTTTAAAAAGGACAGGTGAATAGTTTCAAGTGACTTGATATGTTTTTTACTTGACCATATTTCTGAACCATACATCAAAATTGGTTGGACAAGTGAATCAAATAAATGTAAGGCAACGGGTATGGGAATGTCATTAAACTTGTGATATTGTTGCTTTATTTTGAATAAAGCTTTTCTAGATTGTTCTTTAAGATAGCATATTTGTTTATCAAAATTATTTTTACTGTTGAAGATACACCCTAGGTATTTGTAGTCTTCTACACATGCAATCACTTCATCATTGAATTTAAAAGTTTCATCTGATTTAGAGTTAAAAATAATAGCCTTTGTTTTAACTGTGTTGACAATAAGATGATAGTTTCTGCAAAAATCAAAGAGAGAGTCTAGCATAGATTGCGCCCCAGATTTAGAGCTAGCCATTAATACTAAGTCATCAGCCCAAAGTAGATGGTTTAAAGAAACACCTTCAAACTCGACACCATGTTCTGAGGGAAGAAAATCTTTCAAGTCATCTAAAAAATGGTTGAAAAGATATGTACTGAGAACATACCCTTTGTAAAAATGGGTCATGAACCTCAGATTATATGTGTGATGCCTTATCGATATCAACACGCAGGTATTGCCAACAAAATGGATCCATCGGAGCAAAGGGTCATGGGAAATGTACGTCAAATTGGGTGTCCCACAAAATGTACACACACGAATTGGGAAAAACTTTTTTTATCGAAACAGCTGAACATTTCAGAAGATGAAGAAAATTCATTAGCAATTTCAATTCGCAATTAGAAAATTAATTTGTAATTACTGTAAAGTTAACATTTTCATATACCATCATGATCGATGTAGAGCTGGGACACCCTGTACACAGCGTATTTTGCATATGAGGCCTGTTTATACTCGCAGGTGTAAAACAATACTAGTGCAATAAAAGCTGTGTAAGTAGAGCAAATTTGGTACCCCTTAAAGTGTTTCACTCAAAAGGTGTTCCACTTGCAGAGATTAACATTGGATTAGTGGATTTAGTTGAACAAGTGTTCAATTTCAAGAGGTGTTCCCCTTACACATGAGCTGTTTTTACTGTATACATATTACATATTCCCATTAATTCAATTTGTGTCTGATCATATATAATATTTAAGATGCTATATGAGTTTTTATCAATCATTTTTACCCTCTCCCCTGTTTCTAGCGTCTCAGGGTCGATCCTTCGAAGGATTCTCGAGTCAGTGGATACATACACACCATCTCCAAGATTTGTGATCGAGACCGGATTGTTATCCGAAGGAGTTGGACGAGTGAAATACGAAGCAAACCTTTAACAAAATAAACAAATAAAAATCGTTTTATTGTTCTTACCACCTGCCATATTGTTAAATAGACAAGCAGGATTATTAGAAATTACTGTTTCTAGTTTCACCTTATTATTCTTGTATGATAAATCGTCGCGTGAGAATAACTTTGTACTAACTGCCATTTTCAAAAAAATTGAGATAGACATGGAATTTTACTATTTGAAACACAGGCTTTCATCTCAGATACATGCCCCATCTCAATTCCTTCTCATTAAGCTAGAATTCAGTGTGAAATTGTACCATCTCCAGACAAACAGCTTATTTCTAATTTCAAATTGTCATATCTGATATCAACTGTTTCAAACAATCAACTCTCTAAGAATTGGTCATGTGACTTGCAAAACTTGGAGTTATAACAATCTTATATTAAAACGAAGTATGCCAATATACATGTTATTGTATCTAGAATGAAATAATGTTTTGTAACACAATACCATGCCAGTTTGCATGCCTGGCCTTTCATGTTTTAGTTTTAGAACTATTACAAGTAGATCAAAAAAATAAAATGATACAGTATGTGTAATCCCATGTATATTCAAATTATATGCCCTCAATTACTCTTTGTATTATGGATGCTCATTGGATTATTCATGGCCACATGATATGAAATAGAATTACTAATTTCCTCGAAAACCCAAATCCTTGCTACCAGGGAAGATGAAAAGTACAAATGACCAGTTAATTAGATCATGTGAGCAGTCAAAAGTACCCTTTATCTTCCCTGCTACCAGGTCTTATAGGGGTTTGAATGGCCAAATGCAATAGAAATGCATATACGAAGCTGTCATCATTAGATGTTGAAACTGAAAGACTACTTATTTGTTTCTTCAAATAGAGTACATTTAGGTTATATACTAGATATAGTAATCAAAACAAATAGTAACTGTCATATTTTGCACTACATTGCTCAAAGGCAATTACTGTCTGTATACTATTGAAATCTCTTTCAAAATGATGTTTTATAGTTTGTGGAAAAAAGCTAAATCTATTTAAACTAGCTTTAACTTTTACTGACCATACACTATATCAATAAGGAGTTATCTTTATGTTAGTATAGTCCCTTAAAACACTTATTTTATTTTATTTTCATCTATGATTTACTTTGGGCTTTTCACTGAACATCTGGGATCTTTTTAGTTATTTTATTTCTAGTATGTTTTTCAGATTTGTCCTTTCTTTTGCATTTTTGGGATCATTGTTTTTAGATCATCTACATTTTATTTTGGATAAGTAACAAATTGGTTCAATTTCTTTACAAAGAGCCACTCTAAGTCTCCACTTCTACAATTGCTTCAATTCCCAATTGTACTCCACAGAGTAGCAAACAACAGAAAATGAATGGATAATGATAGCTGCATCCCAATGAACAAAATGTGATTACCTAAATCGAGGTTTCATCACTTTCATTAATCTAAAATGAATTAGAAATTATTTTTCTATTTTCAAATTTCTTCCATGTGCATGTAATAAAAATTGGTTTTGTCTTAGGCCCTAAGGATCTGAAACCTGCTGGTCAAAATGGAATTACGGACCAGTTGCAATGTTATTCTCCTATACCCAGTGAAAAAATCAACTGGTCTGTATCAAAAATAACCTGATAATGACCAGCGGACCGACCCTTAGGGGATACATTGTAATGTGCTGGGAGGTTTAGGCTACAGGGTTTATACTGAGGGAAATATGTGGGGGACCGTACTGGCATCATTGGTTTCAATGCATTGTATTTCTGCCTTAGTTTCAAAGGCAATAAATTCTTTTTGAAGGGTGTCCTGAGATTCCAAAATTAAGAAATAATTGTACCTATTTGAGAAATTGATTTTAAAGTTTTATAAATTGAATTTTCTTTATTTTATTAAATAATATTCTTTGGTTTTTGAAGATTTTTCATTCTAGATACAATAACATGCATATTGGCATACTTCGTTTTAATCTAAGATTGTTATAACTCCAAGTTTTGCAAGTCACATGACCAATTCTTAGAGAGTTGATTGGTTGAAACAGTTGATATCAGATATGACAATTTGAAATTAGAAATAAGCTGTTATTCCGGTGGGAAATTGTATCAACTCCATTTCCATAGTTTTAAAAAAGGATCTTGTAAATTGTTTCAAGGTATGATATTTCATATAAGATATCTCTAGGGTGAGACCAGGTGACATACAAAAAATCAAGTTTCACATAGCAATACTAAGTAAGATACAGACCTCTAAACTTTCAACCCTTGATTTCTCAGTTCCGTAAAAATGTGACATAGTACAAAGTTATTCTCATGCGACGAAATATCACTTTTTATCCGATAGCCATAGCCATGGACATTCACATTTACTTCACCATCACCTTGCTCAAACTGCGTGTGAGATGTGTGCTATGTCGAGTGTCCAGAAAATGGAGAAAGAGTCGAAGGCAAATATACAAAGCCGGCTTTCAAAGCCGGCTTTTAAAGCCGGCTTCTACAGTACATCAGAAGCCGGCTTCTGGCGTCATCAAGAAGCCGGCTTTTAAAAGCCGGCTTCGAATGACTTACAGAAGCCGGCTTCTGCTGTTACCAAGAAGCCAGTTTTAAAAGCCAGATTCTCTCTCAATCATTTTGTTGTGCAATATGCATCTTATTCTAGTATAATTAGCATGGAAATGAGAAAAAAAATGAAAATAAGTAAAATTGTAACATATTGCAAGATTTTTTGCAAAAAGTAATTTCAAACCAAAACTATGGGGGAAATTTAATTCTAAGTAAAAATATCGATGAATTAAATCATGTTCGTTAAATAAGAGTAGATTATGCATTGCATTTCTGTTTGATAAAAACGCATCGCTCATTTTACAAAACTGGCTCCAACTTGGAGCCAGTTTCAAATCAGCTCGCTTCATCTTACACAAGCTATGTAGGGGCAATCTAGCAACTGGGAATCACGGGATACTGTTTCATGATAATTGTTATGTGCATAATGCATCTTATTCTCGTATAATTTGCATGAAAATGAGATAAAACTGAAAAATACGTATAATTATTACATATTTCAAGATATTTTGGAAAAGGTCATTTCAAGCCAAAACTATGACAGTAAATTGAATTGTAAGCACAGATATCGATGAATAAGATCACATTCATTAAATCAGAATAGATTATGCATTGCATTTCCGTTTAATAAAAACGCACCGCGGGATACTGTCTCACGATCATTTCTATGGGCATTATGTATTTTATTCTCCTATAATTTGCATGAAAATGAGAAAAAACTGAAAAATACGTAAAATTGTTACTTATTTCAAGTATCCCGTGATTCAAAGTTGCTAGATTGTCCCTACATAGCTTGTGTAAGATGGAGCGAGCTGATTTGTAAACTGGCTCCAAGTTGGGGCCAGTTTTGAAAAATGAGCGGTGCATTTTTATAAAACGGAAATGCAATGCATAATCTGTTCTGATTTAGTGAACATGATCTAATTCATCAATATTTTTACTCAGACTTCAAATTTCTCTTATAGTTTTGGCTTGAAAAGACTTTTTCCAAAAAATCTTGAAATATGTAATAATTTTACGTATTTTTCAGTTTTTTCTCATTTTCATGCAAATTATACGAGAATAAGATGCATAATGCACATAGAAATGATCGTAAGACAGTATCCCGTGATTCCCAGTTGCTAGATTGTCCCTACATAGCTTGTGTAAGATGAAGCGAGCTGATTTGTAAACTGGCTCCAAGTTGGAGCCAGTTTTAAAAAATGAGCGGTGCGTTTTTATTTAACGGAAATGCAATGCATAATCTGTTCTGATTTAGTGAACGTGATCTAATTCATCGATATTTTTACTTAGAAATGAATTTTCTCTCATAGTTTTGGCTTGAAATGACTTTTCGCAAAAAATCTTGAAATAAGTAACAATTTTACGTATTTTTCAGTTTTTTCTCATTTTCATGCAAATTATACGAGAATAAAATGCATAGTGCACATAGACATGATCGTGAGACAGTATCCCGTCATTCCCAGTTGCTAGATTGTCCCTATATAGCTTGTGTAAGATGGAGCGAGCTGATTTGTAAACTGGCTTCAAGTTGGAGCCAGTTTTGAAAAATGAGCGGCGCGTTTTTATTTAACAAAAATGCAATGCATAATCTGTTGTGATTTTGTGAACGTGATCTAATTCATCGATATTTTTACTTAGAAATGAATTTACTGTCATAGTTTTGGCTTGAAATGACTTTTTCCAAAAAATCTTGAAATATGTAATAATTTTACGTATTTTTCAGTTTTATCTCATTTTCATGCAAATTATACGAGAATAAGATGCATAATGCACAAAGAAATGATCGTGAGACAGTATCCCTTGATTCCAAGTTGCTAGATTGTCCCTACATAGCTTGTGTAAGATGGAGGGAGCTGATTTGTAAACTGGCTCCAAGTACAGTTGGAGCCAGTTTTGAAAAATGAGCGGTGCGTTTTTATTAAACGGAAATGCAATGCATAATCTATTCTGATTTAGTGAACTTGATCTAATTCATCGATATTTTTACTTAGAAATGAATTTTCTCTCATAGTTTTGGCTTGAAATGACTTTTTGCAAAAAATCTTGAATTAAATAACAATTTTACGTATTTTCTCATTTTCATGCACATTATACGAGAATAAGATGCATAATGCACATAGAAATGATCGTGAGACAGAATCCCGTGATTCCCAGTTGCTAGATTTTCCCTACATAGCTTGTGTAAGATGGAGCGAGCTGATTTGTGAACTGGCTCCAAGTTGGAGCCAGTTTTAAAAAATGAGCGGTGCGTTTTTATTTAACAAAAATGCAATGCATAATCTGTTCTGATTTAGTGAACGTGATCTAATTCATCGATATTTTTACTTAGAAATGAATTTTCTCTCATAGTTTTGGCTTGAAATGACTTTTCGCAAAAAATCTTGAAATAAGTAACAATTTTACGTATTTTTCAGTTTTTTCTCATTTTCATGCATATTATACGAGAATAAAATGCATAGTGCACATAGACATGATCGTGAGACAGTATCCCGTGATTCCCAGTTGCTAGATTGTCCCTATATAGCTTGTGTAAGATGGAGCGAGCTGATTTGTAAACTGGCTCCAAGTTGGAGCCAGTTTTGAAAAATGAGCGGCGCGTTTTTATTTAACAAAAATGCAATGCATAATCTGTTGTGATTTTGTGAACGTGATCTAATTCATCGATATTTTTACTTGGAAATGAATTTACTGTCATAGTTTTGGCTTGAAATGACTTTTTCCAAAAAATCTTGAAATATGTAATAATTTTACGTATTTTTCAGTTTTATCTCATTTTCATGCAAATTATACGAGAATAAGATGCATAATGCACAAAGAAATGATCGTGAGACAGTATCCCTTGATTCCAAGTTGCTAGATTGTCCCTACATAGCTTGTGTAAGATGGAGCGAGCTGATTTGTAAACTGGCTCCAAGTACAGTTGGAGCCAGTTTTGAAAAATGAGCGGTGGGTTTTTATTAAACGGAAATGCAATGCATAATCTATTCTGATTTAGTGAACTTGATCTAATTCATCGATATTTTTACTTAGAAATGGATTTTCTCTCATAGTTTTGGCTTGAAATGACTTTTTGCAAAAAATCTTGAAATATGTTACAATTTTACGTATTTTTCAGTTTTTTCTCATTTTCATGCAAATTATACGAGAATAAGATGTATAATGCACATAGAAATGATCGTGAGACAGTATCCCGTGATTCAAAGTTGCTAGATTGTCCCTACATAGCTTGTGTAAGATGGAGCGAGCTGATTTGTAAACTGGCTCCAAGTTGGAGCCAGTTTTGAAAAATGAGCGGTGCGTTTTTATTAAACGGAAATGCAATGCATAATCTATTCTGATTTAGTGAACGTGAGCTAATTCATCGATATTTTTACTTAGAAATGAATTTTCTCTCATAGTTTTGGCTTGAAATGACTTTTTGCAAAAAATCTTGAAATAAGTAACAATTTAACGTATTTTTCAGTTTTTTTTATTTTCAAACAATTATACGAGAATAAGATGCATAATTCACATAAAAATAATCGTTAGACAGTATCCCATGGTTCCCAGTTGCTAGATTGCCTATATATAGCTTGTGTAAGATGGAGCGAGCTGATTTGTAAACTGGCTCCAAGTTGGAGCAAGTTTTGAAAAATGAGCGGTGCATTTTTATTTAACGGAAATGCAATGCATAATCTGTTCTGATTTAGTGAACGTGATCTAATTCATCGATATTTTTACTTAGAAATAAATTTTCTCTCATAGTTTTGGCTTGAAATGACTTTTTGCAAAAAATCTTGAAATAAGTTACAATTTTACGTATTTTTCAGTTTTTTCTCATTTTCATGCAAATTATACGAGAATAAGATGCATAATGCACATAGAAATGATCGTGAGACAGTATCCCGTGATTCCCAGTTGCTAGATTGTCCCTACATAGCTTGTGTACGATGGAGCGAGCTGATTTGTAAACTGGCTCCAAGTTGGAGCCAGTTTTGAAAAATGAGCGGTGCATTTTTATAAAACGGAAATGCAATGCATAATCTATTCTGATTTAGTGAACATGATCTAATTCATCGATATTTTTACTTAGACTTCAATTTTCTCTTATAGTTTTGACTTGAAATGACTTTTTGCAAAAAATCTTGAATTATGTTATAATTTTACATATTTTTCAGTTTTTCCTTATTTTCATGCAGATTATACGAGAATAAGATGCATAATCCACATCAAAATGATCGGGAGACAGTATCTCGTGATTCCCAGTGGCTAGATTGTCCGTTAATAGCTTGTGTTTAATGGTGCGAGCTGATTTGAAAACTGGCTCCAAATTGGAGCCAGTTTTGAAAAATGAGCGGTGCGTTTTTATTAAACAGAAATACAATGCATAATATTTTGGGAATTGATGAACGTGATCAAATTCATCGATATCCATGCTTAGAATTCAATTTACCCGTATAGTTTTGCAAAAATATGACAATATAAACTATATTCAAAAGCCATCTTCCGCAGTACGTCAGTAAGTAAGAAGCCAGTTTTAAAAGCCGGCTTCTTGGTGATTCCAGAAGCCGGCTTCTGTTGTCCTTCAGAAGCCGGTTTTTAAAAGCCGGCTTTTTGTTGACTGTAGAAGCCGGCTTCTGTAGTACGTAAGAAGCCAGTTTGTAAAAGCCAGCTTCTTGGTGACTCCAGAAGCCGGCTTCTATTGTCCTTCATAAGCCGGATTTTAAAAGCCGGCTTCTTGGTGACTCCAGAAGCCGGCTTCTGTAGTACGTAAGAAGCCAGTTTGTAAAAGCGGGTTTTGCCTTCGAGTACTTCTGAGAAAATGAGCCGCTTTTGACAAGTATTTTCTCAACAATGGATGGCTCGAATCCATTGAAAAATTCTTTAAAGTAGCCTAAGAGTATCATTAGTATGTGATACAAATATGTAAACGACCAGTCACATTATTTGAGACATCTGGACCACTATGAACTAGTGTACAAAAGATTTTTCCGGGGTGTAATTTAAGTAATATTTAAAAAACGTCGTGTTAATATTTCATTAAAATTTTTCGTCTAAAAATTAAAATCAGTTTTTCTCAATGCCGCCAAATTCATAATTTCGAACCACAATTCTTTTAATATAACTGGTAATAGGTAAATGGTAATTCAGTGTTATATGACAAGTGATTTTAGACAGTCATATCGTTCACCATGAGTACTTTCTGTCCATAAATACAATGGTTTTTGTTATTTCAAGTGAAGTACCCATGATCATAAAAATATAAATCAAACAATTCGAAAAATTACGAATAGGGACCCCATGTCAACATTTTTTCAAAATATTGAATCTATTTACTCAAAAGTGGATCTTCTCTTTATTGCATGAAAACATTATTCAACAAGGGGTCTAAGACATGTTCAAAAAGCAAGGAAATACACACATGCCTCCATACTTTATTTTGTACCAGCAAAAATCATGTATGTGCAGGTATTGGATTTTTTTCAAAAATGTTTTCTTTCCGCCAGTACCTTACAATTCTTTATTCACTCCAGAAATTCTGATTAAGGGTCTCAAGACAAAAATGACAAAACATGAAGTGACAAAACCATGCTGGATTTCAAACATTTTTTGAACCAAGATATCATAATAATGAATCATCAGAGTTCTGTTTTGACATCCAGTCAATTATAAAACTAGTTCCATATATCATTGACATGACCAGGATCTCAATGTACATGGTCAGAATGACTCTAAAAATGATGAAATCACTTTTCAGCCCTCTGAAAATTTGACTGAAAAATAACTAAAAGTAGGACTTTGGGAAAGGTCACTTAACAGAATATTTTAATTTTTTAGAAAATGTGTGCAATTATATATATTGCTGTAAATGATACGAGCTTTGTAATTTTAGAAAGTTGTCTGAAACAAACGTTGCGGTCATAAAAAGGAAAATAGATCGCTTTTCGGTTCTTTTTATTTTTCTAGGAACAAATTTTCAAAGCTTCTGCCATTTTATTGGGTACATTTTCTGAAAAATTCAAATGATTATGTTCAGTGACCTTTCCTAAGGTCCTACTTTTAGCTATTAGCCCGAACGATTAAGTCTATTGTTCGAAATTGTAGTCAGTTTTGAAAAAAAAATATTCATCCGGCCGGGTGCCGCCGATTGATCGGAACAAATGTGACGCAGGTATAAAAGTTAAACCCATACCTTTGGAAAATGTTCATACATGGATCTGGCGCAGTAACCGTCCCAAACTCAGTCACAACTATCCGATTTTTCTTTATGGCCTCAGCACGGGAATTGCTCTCAAGGAACTTGCTGTGATATTTGACCACACCATTGTCGAAATCGAATCGATGTAGCAGTGAATGTCCATCGAACCAATGATTGTATTTGTCTTTGCCGACTTCAAATTGTCCTGGCCCATTGCGTAGGAGACCGCCTTTTATCCACGTCGGTATAGTACCTAGTAATTATAAGTGATAAAGGAGAACTTGTCATGGGAAAGAACGAATGGCTTAAGACACCCCCTGAGGTCATTTTTGGAAAAATGCAGTGCCATTAATATCCTTGATATGTAGGGTCAAATTGCAGATAAATAGGTACATGAAATAGCAGTAAAAAGCATTCAACATTACTTATAATATGTATATTATGTTTGATTCGGGAGGAACGTCACTTCCTGTACAAATGTGCATGGTCAGAATGACCCTAAACATGATGAAATAACCCTTTTCAGCCCTTTGAAAATTTGACTGAAAAATAGCTAAAAGTAGGAGCTAGTGAAGGTCACTGAACATAATCTTTTGAATTTTTCAGAAAATGTGCCCAATTTAATGTTCTTACTGATACAATCTTTGAAATTTTAGAAAATTGTCTGAAACAAAAATGGCGGTCATAAAAAGGAAAATAGATCGCTTTTCAAATCATTCTTCTAATTTTTTCTTTTTCTACGAATGATATCAAATTTTTAAAGATTCAGAGCAATATATTGGGCACTTTCTGAAAAATTCAAAAGATTCTGTTCAGTGACCTTTCCTTGCTCCTACTTTTAGCTATTTTTAGCCACTTTTTCATAGGGTTGAAAAGGTTATTTCATCATGTTTAGGGTCATTCAAAACATTTTTCTGTTTTTTGATAAACTTGCAAAGTATGTATATGGTTATAGCTACCATATTACGAGAGAGATGGTCTGGCAAGGAATACTCCTTTAAAACAACCAAAATATCCTTTGTATAACTATACTATTGAGAGGTATAAGAATGAATAAGCGCACGGAGCACACCGCGTCTCGAACTCGCAACCTCGTGGTTACGGCGCCCAATCGCCTAGCCTGAACGTGCCTGGCACCTAAGCCCTCTCGGCCAACTCGACAACCCCCCCCCCAAAAAGTTGTTTTATTAGTCGATCTGACTAGGGGCAGCTGATGTTAACGCTCAAATACATTCCATACCCTTTCCATTAGCCACCCTTTCCATTTGGCATTTGTGCTTATATATTCCTACACATACACACGTTGCTCAACTGTCCTTAAGAGCCCAGAGCGGGTTAATACCTCTGCAACTGAAAGCTCAGACAGTGGTCATAAATGAATAAACGCACGGAGCACACCGCGTCTCGAACTCGCAACCTCGTGGTTACGGCGCCCAATCGCCTACCCTGAACGTGTTGTATATGCTATTTTGTTCCAACGAGCTTCGAAAAGATATTTTATTTCATTCTCAAGAATTGGTAGAGAGGAACAAAAAACATTTGCACTATAAAACAAAAAATGTTAACAAAAACAGTTCAATAAAATATGTAAACATTATTTTTGCATTAAATTGTTGTCAATCAGTCAACATTACATAAAGGACCGTGTTTCTTTACAGAATATTTTCAATAACTGATGTAAGAGGAAAACATTGTTGAATTCAGTTCACCATATCGATACAAATCCTTTGAGGACTTCATCATTTTCACTGAAGACGATGTACGTAAATTCACTTTTGGTGTTTATCAAGTCAACCAATCTAAAACGGTACACAGGCGAGAATATTCAAGTGGATGGAAAATATACCATCATGGTTATAAGAAACGAATAGGCTCATTAGTGTAAATATTTAGTCAAGGGTTGTGACCTCAAATCTCACTATATATGGGTTGAGTATAATCCGGATCCAGATGTAAGTAATGGCATTGATCCAATCATTGGATGGTATTTCCCATGTCCAATTTGGAATAGGTTGTAGGTTCATGTGTACAGATTGCATGTGCTATTTGGTTTCTAGCCCTGGAAGGCATGGGGGGTATAAAAGCAAATGGAAATGCACAGAGTTTGACATTCTAAATTCAAGAGATACCGTATATCCGACATGCTGCCTCCGAAGAAGATGATGATAGCTCCTAGAGTCTCTTATAATGAATGTGTTCATTTTCTGTTATAAATCGAAGTACAACAGTTTTGTACATAGTAACCTTTTAGATATTGTTATATTTTGTGTTGTCAAATGCTGCCCCTTGTGCTTCCTCACTATGATGTGAAATTATGAATTCAATATTTTACTGCTACTTTAATACAAACAGTATATGAGCAATTGATCTCAATAAATCAGAAAAATATATAATTGATTGATATGCCTTTTTTAGTTTTCAATTTTCATCTTTCTCATTGTGATTTTAATTAATAAACCCATTATTCTTTTGTTTGTTTTGTTTGCATACTGTTTGTGGACACGCATTTTTGACTTGTTATATTTAATGTGTTTTCCAATGTTGCCTTTCGTGCTCCCTCAATATGATATAATATGGTATCAAGAAGATCAATTAAAAAGTCCTAAAATACTGTAAATGATAATCATTTTGATAATAAATGTGAAACCCCTGACAGAGAGACAATAATGATTTTTCTTTCAAAACGTCATTTTAAACAATGTTAGTAGAATACTATATTTGAATTATTAATGACAGGGGTTACTAATAGAATGATATACAAACGTCAATGCAATCGAAGTCTTATTATTAATGACAGGGGTTACTAATACAATGATATTCAAACGTCAATGCAATCGAAGTCTTATTATCAATGACAGGGGTTACTAATACTATGATATTCAAACGTCAATGCAATCGAAGTCTTATTATTAATGACAGGGGTTACTAATACAATGATATTCAAACGTCAATGCAATCGAAGTCTTATTATTTTGCAGTTTTGAACTTAAATACTTTAATCTTGTCATAAAATAAAAAGCGTTTTTAAGTGTTAGCAAAAACATTGTATTATTTCATGAACTGTTGTAATATGGTAATTTGATTGCTTATTTTTTTCATTCAAGGTACTAAAGAGAATTTTGAATCGGACTGTAGCAAGGAATGAACCCCTGGCGAAAGATAAGAACCACTTCCCAAGAGAAAAAGTTGATTTACCTGAAATGAGCGCTTCAATCTGTTGAGGTTGTTCACCTGCGGTTTTAAAAAGATCTCCAATATTTCCCTGCGACATGTTTGCAGGAGAAGCGGTCACTGGCTAACGTTCCATCCATCTGCGTCTATTGTTATAAAATTTGCACTCAGTTGGAAGCTAGCCCACTATCACCGGGGATCAACTAGAACGAAGACAGTTTGTTTTCGTTGCAACATGGCTGAACTTCCGGAATAAGAATTTAATAAAGCTATTTGATAATGATGGGCTGCCTTGGGGCATGTCAAATTGTACAGAAATCCTATGATAACTGTACGATGCCCTGCTGGGTAGGTTTTGATGACTTTTGGTCAGAAAAAATAAGGTGGACATCAGCAAATTTTATCTCCGCGATAATAAGCTCCCTGCCTTGCTGGCCACTGTTGTATGAGCTACTTGTATCAGTCATTGCATGAGCACAACCCAATAGTGAAAGTGAAACCGTTGTATCCCAGCATGCATCAGCATTTAGTAGCGCCCTCTTTAAGTAATAAACCACATGTCTATTCTAAAAACTTTAGAAGACTATTTATGTTCTATATTATACAGTATATAATTCATAACTGCAAAAGGTTAACAGCCACATTTTGGTCAAAAACCTGTTTAGCCTGTCTTAAAACTTGTTGTTTATGTTGGCATTCATGATAGCTCTTTGGCTTCATTATTAGCTTGTATTCGCGAGGACAAACTAATTTAATACGAATATTGCCTGCCGTGCTGTTAGCTACCGATCCTATCGCTTCAAATCCAGTCGCTAATGCCTTGGTCACATTTGCTCCAATTTTCGTACGGCGCCCGGCAGATTGAGTATTTTGTTCAAAATTGAATACAATATTGAACAAAACACTCAATCTGTCGGAGCAAATGTGACCAAGGCATTACCCAAATCACTCTACCCTCCATGTGATAACGGTTAAAATGGATACAGGCGACAGTGTAGTTGCAAATAGAAGACGTGTGTTTATTTCCATATTTCTGAAGTTAAACAAAGTTCAGTTATTTGCATGATAAATAATGTACATAAAAAATCTTCACATAGATTTGACATTATGCAATTTATTGTACTGAAGTTACAGGTAAACTGGATTTAACATATCATCTTAGTGTTGTACTATCCATTGTATAGATTCGCCAAGCAGTTTTCAGGTTTTTAGTTTTATTATTACCAGAAACCCCCTATAGACAAAGATATAGAATATATGACAACGTAAATTAAATTAAAGGCAATACAATATACACATTAGTAATTCCATAAATATACAGGGTGCTGGTCAGTTTCACTTGGAATTTGTAACTTCTTTTAAAATTGATATGCAACAAAAATTGCAAACAATATCCGACTTTAGATGCCGTAATAGGGAAAAACAACCTACTTTTTTCATAGAGATACATGTAAAATTGACAAAGTTCAAGTTATAATTTTTCAAATGTCAGCCCATCGAGATCGTGTAGTCTGAATCAAAAACTTCCCATTAGCTTATATGGTGAGAAAAATATCCCGCGAGGAAAATTTTACAGCATACATTCTGGGTCTGTAAAAACATGAGGGATGTGATGATGCCAGCGATTTACTGATACCGCCAAAAATATGATTTACTTTTTTGGTTAAAAAATTGTATTTCAGTGGTCCCTTACACTCCTGCTAGCTATATTCCAAACATTAATTGTCAATACATATGCACATGTATGTGCCATGCATTTGCTTAGTAATGCAATGGAAACCCTTCAGGCAGTGCTATTTAACTCACAATACAGGTTTTTCGGAAATGTATGCTGTATTACCATATGACCTAACTGTACTTATCTGGGAATTAAAATTAGACCATTCACATCTACCGGTTCACAAATGTCCCATTGCACATTTGTATAAAACATGGTCGTATTTTTTGCTATATATAAAGCCATTAATTCTGGCCGCATAACTCGGTTTACTTTCCAGCACCTTGTACTGTTGATTAGTTTACATTGCCTGTATCTTGTATCGATCAACTTTTCAGATTCAATGTCTTGTATTAGGATCAAAACGATCTGATTTATATCCTTCCTTGTACAGTCATATAGTTTTGAACATATGGTTTCGAATATTGTTTACCTAGTTCGGGGAGATTCCCCATAGACCCCATGTTACAGAATTACAAAAAATGAAACTTTCTTGTATTGGGCGGATAAGAATTTCCTTTACTGGACATATTTTAATTTGCATAACTACTAGATACATCGGGGTTATATGAAAATTGAACCGCTAAAACTTAAACCTTCGATTAGTGCTTTGTACTCGTGCTGAATTTCACCATGTTGAATGGCCTATCATTACAAACTCCCGTGCAATGCTAGTCTGATATAAACCAAAACAACCCAATAAGATGTGTATTGATGATTAAATTTCCTGTTCTCTCAAAATCTACTTGGAACTATACCATTGGATTACTATGGGAAATTCCTCAAAGAGAAAATTCTTGGGATTAAGGAAGGGGTTCCATTTACACAATTTGAGAAATTATTGGCAAACATGAAACCTATTTCAAACAGCATTAATATTACTCAAAAGCGATCGTAATAATGATTCCTAGCCCTCTGAAGTTTAAAAATAACAACACCTTCGTGTTAATCCAAAGATAATCCTTGAAAATGAGAAATATTTTTGAGGAATTTATGGTGCAATTATAGTCAATAAAATGTTTTAAAATGCACTGATGCTTTTTAGATGATAAACACAAGCGAAATGCAAGAAGAAAACTCACATAGAAAAAAGCATTTGAAGTTCAGAGATTATTAGACATGCATGCACATGTTAAACAAAGTGTGTGTTTTTAAATTACTATTGATTGAAAAGATGGCGATACTTCTATAAAAATGAATTTATCATGTAATGCAAACAACTTTGCCATCTTTCAATGACATTGATATATAAACTTGATATATAAAGCTTGACAGATCGAAGATGTTATTTGATAATTTATTAAGCTTTGGTGTGATCCGTTTGAGCTGTTGTTGGTGTCAAATGAAAGATAAGGTTCTTATCAACACATTGGACATACTACGAAATTCAAATGTAAGTCTATTTTGCCCAAAACATTGAAAATAAGCAAAGTGGCCCTTTAAATGTTCGGAAATTTAGTAATAGTCGCATGTAGGTCCATACTCGTTGAAAAAACTGTTCTTCACACAAACGCTCCATGAAGTCCATATGGAACATCGTAAGGAATAGTTGCCCTCCCAAGTTCCTTAAAGGATTCCCCATCCAATACCAAGAGGAACGTAGACTTATCCTTGCTTGGGCTCAAGACCAGAGATAGCACAACACCTATAATGAATAGACCATGGGCTTAAGCAAAGAAAATAAACTCTGTCACTTTTACCAAAAGGGGGCAAGGATATATATTCATAAGATTTAAGGTGATATAAAGATGGCAGCAAAGAAAAGTATAAACACACATTGATTTGCCTGACATCTTTATTTAAAAATTATTTATATCGCCCTTTTTTAGCAGGTACAGTGTATCAATAATGTTTAAAGATGACATTCTTGGAAATTTTGGAAACTAGCAATAAGTTTATTGGACTATTTTTGTATGGAAGCAGTGCTACCGATAGCTACAACCTGTGTCATCCTTCATATGACTAACGTATCCTGGCTTCCTTTGTTACAAAACTGGCCAGGTTTATTGGCACAAATAGTAGAATATTTCAAATTATAAACTACTATTCAATGGGAAGACCCAACACCAGATGGCTATATCTAAAAGAGCATACCTTCATCCTCTTTCAATGCATCGGGAGCAGGGACAAAAATGGGCTCTGATGGATAGCAATCATCCTCTTGCCATTCCTTATTAATAATAAATGAAATATGTATTGTACTTCAGGTTTAATTTTAATTTTCTGATATATGACTAGTTTTTTCTCCGTGCTTATGCTGTTTTTTCAAATGCTGTCAATAAAGGATGAGTCTGGGAATGAGTCTGGGTATCGACTTAGAAAATATTGAAAATTGTAATGTCTGAAAAACCAACTCAATCACACATATTATTTAACTTCAATATCTTCTTCTTCTTCTGAGATTACAAAAATATCAATTTGTATCACAATTGATGAAGAATATTGGCATCAAACACAATGCATATCACTTTGCTAGAATTGAAAAAAAATCAATGGCAAATATTAAATAAAATTGTTTAGACAAAAAGTTTGAAACATATCCTCCAAAACATTGCTTACTTTCTTTTTATAGACATTGAATGGTATTTCTGGATAAGTGAATTGGTGTTTATCTGGGTAATCAAGGGATTATAGTCACTCAAAGTTACTGAGCATCCAGTTTTGGCACTTCAATTGTGTTGGTGAAGTTATACATATTTCAGTCAAATTCATGCTGAGCACAACATTTTGGTTTCAATTTTATAATCTCTATACATGACCCTGGTGATGAAAAGTCAGAATCAGTCAAAAAACCTAAACCGGAAAACTGTGCTCATTGTGAAAACTCAAAGTCAAGCAACTTTTTTTCTGATATTTCTTACATCAAATGGCAGCCATCTTGTTTTCCCCCTTCAAATTAAACTGGCGGGAAATTCAAAAATTTGAAAAAAAATTAATCCTTAAATATATTTCAAAAATATGATTTTCTTTTTAATTCTTCATGGGTCTTATGTTATTTCTTCTTTGTATGTCACACATGTTGCCATTGGTGTTTTTTTATGATAATGACTATTTTTGTTGTTGTTAAGATACTTATTCTGACTCTCAGCAGGGGGTTAATTATGCATCAAAACTCGTGAAAAAGTAAATATACTTATCAAATATAACTAGGACAGTAATAAAAACCATATTTCACATTCATTTGACTGGGGGACCAAAAGGGCATATATCCAGACACATCCTTTCGGTATTCCAAAATTGGTTTTGCATTCAGTTTTTGGTAATTTTGGTATTTTTTATATCTTTTTCGGATTATATTTCAAATTAACTCTTTGGCATAAGAAGAAATCGCACAATGATGAAATTACCTTTATAATTTACATACGATTTGCCAGAATGTGACGTACATTATACGATGCCGAGCTACCTAATCATAAGTGTAGGTATGTGTGAATGCATAAACTAAAATAGTACCATGCACATGTCATTGCCTGCTTCGCATTATGATGTAATTGCATATTAAATCATTAAGGGCAACATTTTATTTACAAAATTGAATATTTATTTAATTTTCATATTCCCACCTGCATCGTCTTATTCTGAACATCGAGTTTCATGAGTCTATCTGCAGGAATAGTGAACCGCATCCCATAACAGTACCTATATGGCCTCCCATTATAGAAATTATAGTTCATTCTAGGAAAGTCAAATCCTATATTGGGAGCTTCATCGTCATGTAGAGGCTCATATGTCAAGTGAACAAAGCCATCGTCCCTTAATGTCGCAGTAGCTGTAAATCAAACATTTTACTTTTTACGTCAAATGGATTGTATTCATAAAACTCTGAACAGTGAATGTGTCTTAAATTAGCATACAATTAAGTTTGTCTTCAAGACTTATAAGTAGTTTATCTATTTCAAATCGATTCAAATTCTATTCTATTAAAAATATGTCGAATCGTATGATATTGTTAAATGAATGCTACTGTACCGGAAGTAAAGCCATCCTCTAGTTTGACGAGATTCACATTTCTAGGACCATCTTTAGATATATTTAGCGGTAATAAAAATCTTCTCGGATGTGTTAACTGGCCGTTTGTCAATTGTTTATCCAGATCTTTAGAATCAACCAACTAAAACAATAACAAGGTTTATATCACATTGCACATTGATTATCTAATATACATGTATGTGACCATGGATGCTACGAGACACCATGATTTAACAAGTACCTTTCCAAGACTGCGCAAGTATAATGTATCGTATTGACCCCCGTCATTAGCTGCACATACGTCTACTATAAGATGGTCGTCCTTCTCATAGGCGTTAATGGTATGGAAGTTCACAAATGGTTTGGTGACATACTTTAGCAATCGCACTTCTCCTAAAATGCAATTGTAAATTAAAGCTATTATAGCAAGTATTGTGTCAAAACGTGTGTCATCCTTAGTTATGTTTAGTGTTGAGACATCACAGTAGCCATTCCACACACGTTATTTTCACATTGAAACCCTAAATACATTAATATTCAGATACTGAAACCGCAACTCAATTACATTTGGGATTATTTGAGCGTTAATAGACAAACCTGTTCTTTTATCACAAATGTGAAATATTGACTTGAGACTCGGATCAAATTCCATAAACTTATCAATGCCCTTCCTGGAGAAATTTCGTGTAAGAAGTCCCAACGCATTTAATCTATAGGGCTGCTCGTGAAAGATAATGTAGTTTACGGTCATTGAGAAACTGTAATAGAAGGAAAAATACATGTATTCATTATGTAGCCAAGTGGACAGATATTTTTCTATTATATTGTCATTATTTTTGATTTATATAGATATTTGAGCTGTCAGTCAAAGTGTAGAACATGTTTCAAGATTTTCAACGAGGTTATAGATGCAGAAGACTGATACACTTGATGTTGTTGCTTACACTCACAGGGCGTGTCGCGTTTTCCTTGGCCTGGGGAAATATGCGCCTAACTTAGCCGTCCGTGCTGAAATGGGATGGACTACTCCATATGAATGGCAGATACTGGCAGCAGTTCGTTATAGGGACCGTTGTCTATCTCTCGACGAGACAAGGCTTACAAGGCGAGTGTATAATTGGAATTTATCCTTTGGAACTACTCGTAAACATAATAACTGGTTTTTTAACCTTAACAAAATATTAACTTCGGATTTAGCAGTACCATTTGACACTTCGAAGGACGAAATAGCTTCCCATCTACGGATAAAGGCTTCACAAGATTGGCACCGAAACATTTGGAATGATGGTCAACGCCCACCCGGCCAGAGAAACAAGCTTAGGACATACCGCACATTTAAACTTGATACAAAGCCCGAGGCTTATTTGAAGTCTGACATAACCCTTTCGTGTCGACGGGCATTTGCTTCAGTCAGATGCGGTGTGGCACCATTACGTATAGAGACTGGGCGCTTTGAAAGACTTCCAGAACATGAAAGACTGTGTGTTTTATGTGACACTGGCTCAGTGGAAAATGAAAAGCATTTTATGTTAGATTGTGCTTTTTATAATGACTTAAGGTCAGACTTGTTCAGAAAAATTGTATGTCGACTCCCTGCTTTTCTACACATGGACAGAGATTTGAAATTTTTTAACTTAATGAGCAACACCAGTATTTACCTATATGTTGCAAAGGCCTGTGGCCAAATGCTTAAACTTCGTGAAAATTATCTATATAAATGATTTACATGTATTTATAGTGTCCTATAGGTCGTTGTCGGCCTGGGGTGTTTTAATTGTATTTTATATGTTTTATGACTCATGACACTTTAATAAAATAAATAAATAAATAAATAAATAAATAAAATTTATTGTTTTAATATAAGTTTCTTGCTACCTATGGTAGTAAGCCGGTTTCCAACTATTCTCCATAGGAATGGTATGTAGAATCTCGGCCCCTTCTACTGGATCGGCTTTGTTTGCTCCAGGTGATATCTTTATCACGTGGTAACATCCTGATTTTATGTTCGTACCTAAGTTGTAATACGTTCCATCGGGGTCAGTATGGGGATGGGCTGCGACCACGTTAACTGCTACCAATTGGGAAATGTCAACCTAAAAAGGGTCATGTTGAAAAAGCTAAACATGGGTCATGGGGTGTTGTACCCTTCGTAAAATGAGCCTCAAATGATATGTGATGCCCTCGAACTCAACGGGTAGGCATAGTCATTAAGCTTAATCATTTAATTTTCTTTTTAAGTAATTAAAATAGGTTTAATCTTTTTTTTGGTTTGATTGTTGACTCTTATATGCATACATGTAATTGTATTGTATAATATCATGTATGTTACGAGGGCCTATACCCCCCCCCCCTTAAATGTTGAACAACCATTCAACTCGACAGCGAGAGTGATTAAGCCTCTTAGCGTCTATAACCATTTGTAAAAACGAGTAGATTTGTAATGAAATTCTTGTGAATTATTAGTTGCATATATACACATGATACACCACTTATTTTTTCATTTGAACGCATCCCTGCATGTCACTTCATCAAATAATTGAGGTAATGCATAGTTCCGGGGCAATGATCAGCTTGTCGGAAATCTAAAATGCGTGAGATTTTCTAAACACTCATGTCGTGGTTGGAGTTGACTCGACCTGATACAAAACCTCCATGTTGGTGTGACTGGTGTGGCTATGAATGATATTTCAGAAATATTTCCCAGAGCAAAGAAATATTGTCCTGTATGACCAAACACAAGTTACAATACTGAATAGCAACCATAAGTTTTGACTTTGCGTCTTTCTGCAGCAATGAGCCGTGGGAAATGTACGTCAAACTGTTAATGATCAAGCTACCATCTTATTATTTAGATAGCGAGTGTACCAAAATGTTCCCTCGTAAATTAAGGTATTCAAATATTTCAAAAACACTACACAAAGCAATGAAATCAGCTCGAATAGACTGGATTTTAACATTTGTTAAGTGGATTCAGTGGATTGTGGGACTCTTAAAAGTGTTTAATTTATGGAGGTGCTCCTCTTATATATCACTCAATTTGTGTCTATTTATATATTATTAAAAATTATAGCTTCTATTAATCATTTTACCCTCTCCCCTGTGTCTAGTGTTTCAGGGTTGATCCTTCGAAGGATTCTCGAGTCGGTGGCTGCATACACGCCATCTCCAAGAGGTGTAATGGAAACCGCATTGTTATCCGTCGGAGTCGGACGAGTGAAATACGAAGCGAATCTTTAATAAAATAAATAAAATTCGTTTTATTTTTCTGAAGCAGAAATAATGTAATTTCTAGTTTCGGTTTATAAGTGGTTGTTGTTTGTGATTGCCTGCAAACTGTGAATGAGATGGGATGTCCCAAATGGAATTTTAAGATCATATATTACTCTTTGTAGCTCTTCTGTAATATATTTCCAGTAAGTCATACCTAAACCTGTTTGCAAATGGGTATAAGATTAGTTGCACAGTGCACGTGGGTTTGTACCTTTACAACATTCATCATGCGTACAATGTGCCACTTAAAGCTAAAACACATACCTTTGGAAAATGTTCATACATGGATCTGGCGCAGTAACCGTCCCAAACTCAGTCACAACTATCCGATTTTTCTTTATAGCCTCGGCACGGGAATCACTCTCGAGGAACCGGCTGTGGTATTTGACCACACCATTGTCGAAGTCAAACCGATGTATCAGTGAAAGTCCATCAAACCAGTGATTGTATTTGTCTTTGCCGACCTCAAATTTTCCTGGCCCATTGCGTAAGAGACCGCCTTTTATCCACGTCGGTATAGTGCCTAGTAAGTGAAGGATAACTTGCCATATAAATATATCAAATGAAGGTATACCCCAGGGGGCCAATACCTCTCCATTTTTTTCTCCACAATGCTTATACGACTGATGCCCTAGAAGAGGAATGTGGAACAGATCATAAAAATAGAAAAATCACTAAACGAGGACCTTAAAACACTATTCACACTGTGAGAGGCTTATGTGTGAGCCATGGAACATGAGCATTTCTCGGAACAAATGCGAGGTTGTTTTGTTTAATTCATTTGTTTAGACACGATGGCCCAGAATTTGAAGAATCAATCAAGTTATTTGACATCATTTTAGAGCTGGATCTCAAATTCGAAGCCCATATTTTAGAGACAGAGGAAAGGTTTTAGTGCACTAAAACAAATACCCAACTTTACAAAGAGTAATATGAAGTCATCGACGTTTCTTCTATTGCAAAATATAGCATAAATGCCCAATTGCTAATTCTTTGAGATGGACTTTAAGTTATATAACAAGATAAGGAGTACATGCAAAAACCTCACTCAAAGGGAATCAGTATAAAATACTCCTGGCTAACGAGTCATCATAAAAAATGAAAAGATTTTAAAATGTAAAGGATAAGGACAAGGATTTTAAGTTACATTAAAACACAAAAAATAATGCAAACCATAAAGTTGAAGTACAAAGTGAAATTCAGCACCAGAGACTATTCAAAACTGTTGGATATAAACAAACAGACGTTTATTTTATGGAGCATCTAATCAAAACCAGTTTTTTGTTTGTGTTAAGAACCCAGTATACAAGAGCTTGAGTGTATTTTGTTGGTTCGTATTACAAAAATTAATTAAATGTTTAAATAGAGAGTTTAAGATTAGTGTAGATAGCTCATTAGTAATTACGCACCCTTATATACATAAGCGTTGTTGTTGTTTTGCATTTTGCAGCATTTTTTCATGATACCCATAAAACCAAATATTTCAAATTGTACTTTTGGCTCTATACCAAAGTAGATACCCTGCGCGTAGAGTCTACTTAACTACTTTAACCCGAATGTAATGCTGTAAGGCCAAAATATAATATAATGAATTGTTAAAAACACGATGTTTTATGGTCAATTTATAATAACAAGGGTTTTCTGAAGTGATTTAACTGGGTTGGACAAAAAGTTAGTTTGGGGAAAAAAGTATATCGGCTAATTAGGGAGGGGTGCATTGGCTTAACATGGCGTTGACTATTGACTTAGCGTCGGGATACCACCATGTACCTGGTATGTTATCATGGTGATGGATACAAAAATTTTCCCCAACGTTAGAAAATGACAAATGGACTGTTATTGGGTTAACATACTGTCTTACAAATGCATTTCAATCAATTCCTTTTATATGTAATGAACAATATTGCAGTGCTCTTTTCACAAGAATTTCTTTTTGTGAAGTTCAATCAATTAAAAATATTTTTTACGGGCGTACGGGAGACTGCATTAAAATTTTAAATGTTTGGAACTACTTAGAATTTAAAAAATAAGCAAACAAAAAACTATATTGCAACAGTATATAAAAATAGAAGCATATGTACTCAGTCCTAACTTTTGTATATTTCAGATAGTTATATATAATGTGCAGTAAAGCTGTGGCCTTTTGTAATTTAGGGAGTTTCAGCCATGTTAATTTTTCCGAAAATAACATGACATAGTAGCATCAAAAAATCAGAGGCCGCATATATGATAGCTAAACTACAAAACAAACTAATTAAAATATACAAAAGTTAGGACATGTATTACCCTTTGCATTCGTTTGACTTCACTTCTTAAAAGAGAGCTTCGTCTTGTAGTTTAACTAGACTCTGCACGCAGGGTAGACATGTATAAATGTTTCTATTTTTACATTTACTGTTTCAATATGGTCCTTTGATTGATTATTTTTTAAATTCAAAGAAGTTCCAAACATTTAAAATTTCACTGTAATGTAGATTTCTACGTTGGTTCAGTCTTTGTAGTAGTTTGCAACAACAAATTCGATTTAGCGCCAGAATAACTTGGCACACAGTTCGTCAAACTGTCATAGTCTATATCATAATCATTATCGATATCATAATCTCTCAATCAACTTTACTAAGATTCGCTCCTCTTCACCATCAAGAGTTCCTTTCAAAACCAATTTACGTAAATATTTAGGGAAACTGAAGCAATTAACAACCACAAACCTGGATCTTACAAGAAAAGAAGAAGTTTAACTGAATAGAATAAGATGTGATCACATGTCTTAGCAAGACTTCAGGAAATGGGCAAGAATGGGTTTGAAAGTGTGTTTAGAGAGTGGGTGAATAGGCATAAGAAGTGTATATCTAGAGATGGACATTATGTCGAATAGCTTATTTTCATAACAATTGGACTTTTGGACTGTTTTGATATTGTATTTGTGGTAGTAATAGACCTGAGAGTATGAATAAAGCTATCAGAAAGAATAGATATGTTTTGGAAAGTTGTGACGTAAACAAACTTGCCCCGCCTTTTTGTTGTTTCGGTTGGTATAGCAACCACAACTCTGGCCAATCAAATAGAAGACGCTTTAAATTCACAGAATTTTATTTTATTTTATTTATTGATTTCTCAATTCACCCCTTATAGGGTATAAGAGTACAAAAGACAAACTTAACTAATACAGTAACAAACATTAAAATAACATTTATATACATGTAAGAACATTTTTTTGCCCAGCCTCGATTAAAAATTTACAAAGTTTTATGAGTATATTTTTGTTTGAATTCATTAATTTCTCAAACTTCTGTGTGATTGGTAAATAAAGGTAAAAAGGTTTGGGCTACAAACTCTGAAAATTTCATCAAGATTGGTGCAATATTAAGAAAGTTACAATATCTTTCACCTTATTTATTGGACACCCTGTATATAGTTTGAACACGTTCCTGCCATGCATACATGGTAGTCATGTTGGTAGAGTCCATTTCACTCGAACTCCCGTGCAGTGATATATCACTGCGGCGGGCAGGTATCTCACCGTAAGCATGGTAACATCGTAATAAACAACTGACGTGATTGGTTCTAATCCAATGCTCAGGTCGCGTGATTGTAAAATTTAGACAATTTCATTGGTTGAATTGCGCGTATTAACTAATAAACAACACGTGCGGTAAACTTTTATCAACACAACTTTTACTCAGAATTCCTTCCGCGGGGTTTTCCTCTTATAATTCATTGATTTTGGAATATTTTGACAAAATAATTATTGGTGAACATAAAAGAACATATATTTTATAAGTTGTGTGAAAAACAAGTACATCTGTGACAAAAAGGGGAACTATCTTCCCCAAATTTTGGGGATTCCATAATCTGCCCGCCGCAGTGTCTATACCGAGACACTGCATAGGAGTTCGCATTTCACTGCTTCATTGCGTCAGTAGAACGGCAAAAATAAGAAATTGGGAGACCATTGTGCAATAAAATATGGAAAAGTATATTCATAATGTACATAAATGACATTTGTATATTTCAGATTTTTTAGTTTTTTGTGCAATAAGCCTGTGACGTCTTGTAATTTGAAGAATTTCAGCCATGTTAATCTTATTGAAAATAACATGGCAGAGAAGCATCCAAATATAAGAGGCCACGCGCTTTATAAGCCAAACTAGAACCAATCCAAGATATACAAATGTCATTCATGTACAACAGGAATATATTTTTCCATATATTATTGCAAAATGATATTTTGATTTCTTATTTTTTAGCTTTTACTGACGCAGATAAACAGTGAAATGGACTCTAGTCATTTTTGTTGTCATTTTGCATATACTTTGTATTAACAGGGCCAATAATGCTGAATTCAGCCTCGACCCCATCATTTGTAAGCTAATATATTGTAAAGTAAAATAAAGAAACCATATAAAATAATAAACTAAGATTTTGCGGCCTACACCCCCGATTACGCCCTCCGACAAGTTGCATCCAAAGTTTTGACATAATAGATCCTTTGAGAATGGCATTCTCGTACCCCGATCGCGAGGCTAATCTGAAAATTCACAAATTCAAATAATGCCCATGTACCTCCTATATAGACTACATCATCTATGACGTCTAGTCTGAAAGGTATTTGAAATTCGGAATGAAAATATCCAGTTCAAGTCAGTCTGTCGGATACTACTTGTACATGTACTTCTAAACTATATCCTATTGTTCTCCCAGTTGGCATTTCAGCATAAAATGTACCCCTGGCAAAAGAAAAGAACTCCCTCCCAGCCTCTTTCCTATAGAAAGGGGTAAATTTACCTGAAATGAGCGCTTCTATCTGTTGAGGTTGTTCATCTGCGGTTTTAAAAAGATCACCTATATTCCCCAGTGACATGTTTACTCAGACGGCAGGCGGTCACTGATTCACGAAAGCTATCGTTCCATTCATCTGCGTCTATAAAATAAAAAGTGCACTCGGTTGGAAGCTCACTTTCACTGGGGATCAACTGGAACGTAGACAGCTTATCTTCATTTCAACATGGCTGGACCTCCGGAAGAAGAATTGAGTAATTAAGATTTATTGTTTTCTCGATTTAATAGCTTTTATCCTTCAAATTTCAATTAAATATTTTGCAAGTGCGTAGATTCCGGTATCGAAATATGATTACATACATGCAGTGATTTACAAATCAATGCCCTCGCATATAAAACGAAGAAAGGGAAATGAAGGGACCTAGCTTTCTGAAGCATGAAACGAAGACAACACATTTCAATATTAAAAGGAAGGTTAAGTTACACGTTTCAAGAAAAAACGTGTACGTGAACGTGTAGAAGTATGGTCCTCTAGTGTTTACTTGGCCGATTGAGTCCCGATTAGGTCCCTTAAAAAGTTAATTGAGAGCGGGACAGTTATCTCCGTATGTCAAAATATTACATGGTCGTCACGCACAGATTCTCTAAACAGTTACTTAGTTTAGCCCTCTATTGTATATGATGTATTTTGAAATACCATTTGAAATTCGGGGGAAAATGCTGTCAATAAGCATTCAGAGACTGATGTGACTGTCAATAGCTGGATATGATCTGGCAAATACTTAAGTGCATATTATGTTTGTACGATATGAATTTGATTGTTTTGAAACTCAGTGTTTTTATTCAGGAAGAACCCTGATAAAGAAAGTTGCCGTGTCTTAAGGCATCATTCGATCACATGTCTGTACAATGTTTAAACCGGTAAATTGTTTGCGGATGCCGTATTTACACGGCAAACACCAAGTAGATCCTACCTGTAACTTGAATTGAGTGAACCAACGAAAACATTCTCTGATTCGATTGTAAAATACTTTTGGAAAATAAATTATATGAAAATATCTTATCAAATTCTTCTTCCGGAAGTCTGGCCATGCTGAAGCGATTACTGACTGTCTTCGTTTCCAGTTGATCCCCAGTTACTATTATTTACTGTAGTGAAAATCTGAGCTTGTAACATTCGCAAGTGCAGGGTTGATTGCAATTCGAGGACAAACTCATTTTAAGTGCCTGCCGTGCATCCAGGTGTAAAATGGGAGGAGGTGGGTAGGAGGATTATGATCCTACTCGTCATTGATTTATATGGTGACCCCTTTCCCTTATTATCTTATACACAATCGGGGCCAGAAAGGGCCGTTAAGAAAGGGGACCATAATCCCCGGGGGACCATAATTTCTTTCACACCGGCGTTTGCTGCCACCTCTCGCCTCAAACCCAGTAGCTGAACTTTATGTCGGGTTAATCAGCCTGCCTTGGTCACATTTGCTCCGATTTTCACTACGGCGCCCGGTCGATTGAGTATTTTGTTAAAAATTGAATACAATATTGAACAAAACACTCAATCAGCCGGGCGCCGGCCGATGGATCGAAGCAAATCTGACCCAGGCATGAATAGCATGTGGCATAAAAGGCCTGGTCAGGTGTGATCACTGATCATTGTTCGTTGACTGATGGTTTGTTCGTAATTACAACTACGAACAGTAGTATCTATGTGTTCCTAACACGTTTGGGCGTCCGGGAATAACAACGTCTACCCAAAGTTTGCACCCGAAATTGACGTAATTCATGATTGAAATCGGGAAGACAAAATTTGAGATTCACAAACAAATTGCTTATGAAAACTATTTACAAAAGTGTTCCAGGGATTCTAATCTACATATTTGAAGATACATTGCCTTATTAAAAGCAAATGCTATATTGAAAATTTTCGGTTATATATATTTTACAAGTGGATCCAAGAGACCAAGTGGGCAAGTCCACTATTTTGCAGGGGTGGCAGGATATACACATATCAATTTCCACATACTCACATTGCCTTTTTAAAGAACCTTCTAAAAGTTTACTATAGTCAATAAGTATCAGATCTGTAAATTCTGGAATCAGAAGCGAATTTAATAAAAACAAGATTAGAATGCACAAATACCGGATCACATATTTTTTTAATGAGGGACCTGTTAAATGTTTCACCAATAGTCCATTTTCTCCACTTGGTCACACTTAGATTGAGCCAAGTATTGGATGATTGGAGGCAGTTTTGATCAATTTTGCAAAGGGTTAATTTTATTCTCATCTATCTCAACAAAACAGGAATATCCCAGAATTCATAAAGTCACACTCCTCTTATGTAAACTATATCATTGATTGGCCAAGGGTTCATCTATAACCCTGGGAAATGACCTCTTCTGGACGTAAAGCGTGTGAACATCTGATATGACCAGTTCCCGTGGTAGTGTGTCACCAGTCATTTCTCTGGAATGATGTACACTTGTCTTAAAAAGATTAGCTGGTCCCTCGGATTAGACAGGTTTTACTGTAGGTACAATCCCCTCTAAAAGTTACTGAAATCACTGGCTGGGAATTGGTGTTCGCTTACACACAGGTGTTCAATAGAGTAGAGTCATGTGTTCACTGGGCACAGATCTTCACTAAAGAGGTGTTCATTATGACAGTTTTACTGTACTGAAATCAATCACTGGGAATTCACTATATACAAAATTGAAATGTGTGTATCAAACCACCCCTGCAAAATAATTGACTCGCCCACTTGGTCTCTTGGATCCACTTGCAAAATATATATAACCCAAATTTTCTATATTTCAGTTTGAACATGTTATTACGTCACGTATAGACTAGTAAGCCAGTGTTTTATATGGGGATTATATGTACTTGTTTACATGAACGTAAATCATTACATGAAATCTGCAGTCTTCCGGATTTTATCTGGGTTTGTATTATCTTATTGGGGCTTTAGACTTTAAAACAAACCTTACCTAAATGGATTTGTGTCTCGGGAACATTTTTGTTGAAAGAATATCACATATTTTTGTCTTCCCGATTTCAGTATGAATTACGTCAATTTTACATGCACACATTGGGTAGACGTTGTCATTCCCGGATGCCCAAACGTGTCAGTAACACATAGATACTCGAATGATGTTGATTGGACATCAGGGTGCAGAGAAATCGTAATTTCACTGAGTGGCTTCACGAAAAATAAGCAGCATTTTAGGCCACCCTCATTTATGAAAATTAATAGGTTAATCCGGTAGCCGATAGCCGCTATTTGGTATCGCGAATACAATGTAAGTCTATCAAACCAAAATACACCAGCACACTGTTTCATTGTGACTGGCAAAAATGCACCACTTGGCTGTATTTCTGTATGCCTGGTGAGTGAATTGCGTAATTTAATGAGTTTTCTCCCCAGGTATCACTAGAACAACAATAAACCCTGCAGAGCAAAATACATGCTCATGTGTTTTCAACAAAAATAGCTCATCCAAGCGCACTTACTCTAACATGATTCTTTTGAAAGACATCACTATTTATTTCAATAACGCAGATGCGAGTAGGTAGTTACCAGATTCACCACCAGGTGGCTCGTTCGGGTCAGATATCGTGGCGGGTATAGTAGAAAGTTCCCTTTAACTTAAATTACATCTATTTGTGTGGTTCAATTTTCATATAACCCTTATGTATCTAATATTTTTGCAAATTAAAATATGTCCAGTAAAAGAAAATGTTATCTGTCCAATGCAAGAGAAGATAATTCACTTTCTGTGATTTTGTAACATGGGGTCTATGGGGAATCAACCCGAACAAGTAGTCACATTTTCAAAAAAATTAAATTTTCAAAGTTGATAGACAATTTTCGAAACCACATTTCTAGATGAACATTTACATGCAGATTTCAAATATGAGATCACTTTGACTGAATTTTGAATATCTAATGGCGTAAATCAAGATTATATCTACTCGCATCTAGTCTAGTCCTTGTGGTGCACTAGCAACTAGCCGTTGCGGTTGATATAGGCGGTTACCCGACAAGTTTGACATATCGTAATTAGCGTAATTAGCGCTTGGATGATTTTTTTTCGTTGAAAACGTCGTATAGCCGTGTAATTTGTAACGCAGGGGCTTATTGTTCTTTTCCGTGATACCAAGGGAAAAACTTATTAAGTATTATGCAATTGATTCGCGCCGCGGGCAGTTTTAAACATAGCCTTTACCATGAATTATGATTGCGGCTTGGCCTCATTAAAAGAAGGCTCTTACATGCTAATACTGTAAGTTATTTTATGATTGTCTGCCTAATATAAAGGAAATATGGTTCTAACCATTGATTTCCAAAATACATTCTTTGAGTTGTATCTTTATTTACACGTTTTAATCTATATTTTCTTTCAGGAAAGATCTTTAACTGAAAAATTGACGAGAAAATTAATTTTTGCCTCAATAACATGTTTGAGTTCATACAGGAATAATTGATTAAATAAAGAATAATAAATGTCTGCCCTAAGGTTGGGGTTTAGGGTTTTCTATATAGCTGAATAAAAAACCGAGAACCAGTGCCGCCATCTTTTATTCAGCTTTTTATTTGGGCCAGACTGCCATAGGCTTATGTGTCAAGAAGTAGGAATATTGACTTAATTTAATTCGGTTGAATCAGTCTAAAACTTGAATCGTTTATCATATGATGATAATGTTAATGTACATTTTATGATCTCACGAAAAATGAGATTAAGCGAGATTTCAAAAACTTTAGGGAATCTGTACAATTATCGACGAATTATACCACAAGCGCTAGGTTGAAAGAAAGATGGTAGTAGTGATGGTCTGTCTATTTGTATGTTCACTTTGTCCAAGTTGAGAATGTCCTACATTTGATCATTGTCAGAATAACTACTCATAGAATCAACATTTTACACTTGGAGAATATTTCAGATATAACAATCTTCTGTTTATTCCATAACCGAACAATTTAGTGAAATGTATTATGACAACGGTTGTCATCTAGAGTCGGATGATGCACGGAACATTGACTATTCCCTATTAGAAAGGGTGACTTCGGTTTGCAACACTACATGTAAAACGCCAGTATTCTCACATAAAGATAATGCTACAGAGGACCTTCGTTGCGAGTCCATTTCTCTCATATGATAGCTGTATCCTTTTTAGCATGATATTTAGCTTGATTAAACACATGTACAGACATTGTTGATTCCGATATAATATTAATTGTCATTGATTCAAGAATTCTTGAAGAAATAGATAAAAGCAATAGAGACTGTCAATATTTTGGACATTGTACCATACTATCGGTACTTGTATCTAAGACTTCTTCAAATAAATCTTATTATTAGCTTCTAGTTAACTTATTGTTGTATTCATCGTGACACATATTAGCACATGACGTAAAATTATAAGGGGATATTATACCTGTAACTGGTTGTGGAAACTGGTAAAACGTTATGCATCTCAAATTGTACCAGGTCTTGTCACTGTTGGTTGCAGCAGGTGTGGTGCGTACGCAGACTCAATACTTCGTCGGTGTGGGGATCGCTGATGTTACTGGACCCGCGGCAGAAATTCCATTGGTAAATATTTACGCGACATGTAATATCTTATTGTAGGATAAAAAATTGCAAATGACCTCGATAGTACAAATGAACGCAACAGTGGTGTAAATGTATGGTTGAATCAAAAGTTTATCCAAACTCATTTGTAGTTTGATTTGGACAAGCCCAAATCACTTTTAATATTATTTGACTATTTTCTTCTGAAGATGACAATTGATGCTGAAGAAGTACTCATAAAAGTGGGTTTGGTTCAAAACGCTGCAATCTGATAGGCTAATATGGCGAACTTTGAAATTGTTAGGGAAGTTCGGGAAGAGATATAAGTTTTTACCCAGGTTTTGTGTAAACATGACCTTGCGTGATCTTTTAGTAATATTTGAACATGTTTTGCACAACATTGACTCTTTCCACGTTGTTTAGGAAAAATGTTATCAAAACTGGTTTGGCCCAAATCAAACTGCAACTGCTTGGTTTTATGAATTTCAAATTTATGTGCCACTCATTGCGTAACATGTTTGATGTGAAGGGTGAAGATCTTTTAATTAGGTCTGCCAGGAGTTCGCGATCAGCCTCTTTTGAGAATTTAAGCCAATGTTTTATTGAGAAAAAATATGCGCTGAACATTTGATTATATTCGCATGGCGATTAAACAGATCTGATTAAACGAAACCATTACTTAGTCTTAGGATGTTTTTACTGTGTTTTATTTTTATTTTGAGTATGGCTATGCGGACCCAGGTCAAACAGCTAAGGGGATCCACACTCGACAGTACTCCCGAGCGTTTATCATCACAGACTCCTCAGACGCCTCTGGTAAACGAGTAGTCTTCGTTAGTATCGACAATACAATGGTATCTACCATCCTCAAACAGGCTGTACGTATTCATTTATCTCTATTTAAAATCACTTTAATGACGTAATATAAATACATGAAGACGTTGTCTTTTACTGACGATGGCATCCGTACAATTTCTACGTGCATGTACATTGTATCATATATGGGAATTAATGTTTGCTTTGAACACAGAGTAACGCATGCGCAATATTCGTTTGGGACTCCGGTTGTCAAATCTATTCAGGGAGTATAGTTGAAGCAACTTGTGATTTACTCATTTAGGTAGCAGAGAGACTTGTGCAACTCTATCCTGACCTTTACAACAATGACAATGTGATGTTGTCAAGCACTCATACCCACTCCACGCCAGGAGGCTTCCTTGGTTATACCATGTACAACATACCACAAGCGGGATTCGCACATGAAACATTCAACATTCTTGTCAACGGAATAGTTGCAGTAAGTATACAAATACTATTACATAATCATACGATGTTCGTTATTACTTTAGCTACAGCTGTTTAACAAATGAATTCTCATTAAATGCCTCATACAATTAATGTTTTTGAAATAAATGTGAAATTTGAAAAAAACGTTCTTTGACCTCGTTCGAAATAAAGATTAAAACCTTCGACTCAAACAAATGAAAACTCTAAGTATGTTGTAAAGTTGCGTATTTGATCGTAAGTAAATTGTTTGATGTGTAAAGGACAAATACAAGTATGAGGAAGACTTATACCACAAAATGTTGTCCTTATCTTATCTGTTCTTGACCCTAATTGTTCTCATACAATCCCTTGGCTTCATAACTTTGGCAACCGGAAGTATATTGGATAGCAATCAACACGTAATGTTTGGATCTTAATTCTGTTCGTCATTTAAAATAGTTGGGAAATTTATTTATTTATCTTATGGATTGATTGAATCAGAAAACATAAACAGGCTTCGATTGTGATCCCAAAACCTCGTTCTATAAATATTCAAACAATTGAATACTCTTAAATGATGTAAAGTCGCGTATTTGGTCGTTCTGGAAACTTTAAAGTGTGAGTTATAGAAGAACAAAGAATAATACCACAAAGTGTTTCCCTTGACCTTATATTAATTTTGTTCCTCAATTACGATAGTTCGAAAACTGACGAGTTTGATGAATTTCTCAAAGTGTTAAACGTCAACAGGCTTGGTCCAAATGCATGTATAATTAAAACACCCACTCTTTCCACATTCGTTAAAGTACAGCATGTATAAAATGTGTCAAAAATGAAAATCCAACGATCATTTGTAATTGTTTAGAGTGTCCAGCGTGCACATGCAAATATTCGGCCCGCCAACCTTTTGATAGCAGAAGACGAACTTCTTGATGCTAGCAGTAACCGTTCACCGTATGCATATGAGCAGAATCCTGCAGGAGAACGTGCACGGTTTGAGTCTTTTATTTGATAAACAGCCAGTGGTTATTTTTCACACGTATGTACTGATAAATGTATGTACGAGATATGCTGTAGGTCGCAGCCTATACAAAGTTAGGTCCGGCTACCCTATTTTGGATTATTTGATACATAATTAACAAAATCATCCAAATTAAAACTACAAATATTACATAGGTACACGCATGATACTGACAAACAATTTGCAGTTCTGAAAATCGTAGATATGGCTGGGAATGATATGGGTATAATCAAGTAAGTCAAGATATTATATCTTATGAATTAAATTGAAATTAAATGTGACATTGTTTTCCATAATACTGGTAACATTCTTACGCATGAATTTGCTTACTGTGTGTACTATATTTTTGCTACCTTTGCTTACATAACCAAATTAAAATTCTTTCCACAACTACAAGTCGTTCCGATATTCCAGTTGGTTTGCTGTCCATACCACAGCTATGAATAAGACCAACCATTTAATCAGCGCCGATACGAAGGGTTATGCCTCCTACCTCTTCGAGAGAGACTTCAACAATGAGGGTCGGGAGGATCCACCATTTGTAGCTGCATTCGCACAGGCCAACGAAGGAGACATATCTCCTAACACAGCCGGAGTGAGGTGTCTGCAAACAGGTGGTGAATGTGATTACCAAACAAGTCAGTGCCCAACAGATGTAGGTATCTATATGCCAGCCAAATGATTTAATTTTCCTCCAAATGGCGGAAGTATTTTTTTCGCTTTTATACATAGACATATTTGTGTACATCAATTCAGTGACTTCTATGGCAATCAAATTGTTTTGTCTTCGTTGACAGGGTGACCAGTGCGTAGGAATAGGAATCGGTACAGATATGTTTGATACGACGAAAATCATCGGTGAAAGACAATACAACAAAGCAAAGGTAAGACCACGTTGAATGAGCGACAGTTGTCAAACAGAAGAAAACATAAATATGCAACGTATAACTTGTAAACAATAAAATATGAAGTACAGTAGATACAAAAATAAGCCAATGACAAAAATATAACGGTCAGTCTGGCGCCTACTATGAGCTCTCATTTTGATCTGACTTACTTCAACGAGTTCATTCGTTTTTAGGAGATGTACCCCAGTATAGAAAGAAGGGTTACTGGAAGTGTAGACTTCCGCCATCAATGGGTCGATATGTCAGACCAACAACTAAGTGGCGGAGTAAGTATTGATTGCAAGCCATATTTCACATTAGTGGCCATGGGAGTCTGTAGATTTAGTCATGTGTGGATGGATACTTTACGTAATGAATATTAGACTTTTATAGAATGTTGCATTCAGTATTGAATCAAGGTAACAATAAAGCGTCAGGGTATACATTTACATACGGCACTATATCTTACATGTTCATTTTGTCAGAGAAACACATGTCCACCATGTATGGGATATAGCTTCGCAGCGGGTGCCACTGATGGTCCAGGGGCCACGGATATATTTCATCAAGGTACATGTATATATTTATTCAGTATTTTCATCTGAGGGAATTGGAAATTTGTAATAAAATTATACAGAATGATTTTATTCATTAAAATGTTACGTAAAATGTGATATAAAACCTTATCAAACCTGAAACTCAAAATACCCTCATTTTTGCGATTCTGTATTTAAAAGATGGTACCGATCGAAAGTTGTTCAAGTCGTGATCATACAGCTTTAAAAGTTGGATTCGTTTCTCCTTTAGGAGACACAGAGGGAGACCTTCTCATTGATGGAATTCGGGATGCCATATTTGGTGAAACTGAGGAAACCACAATTGACTGCCAGGAACCCAAACCAATCCTTCTGGCCACTGGGCAGGTAGGGACTCAAACCCACACATGCAAGATATATCTATCTTCGTCTCGTACCAATACAGAATTTCTCGAGCAGAATATATCCTGTATTGCACTTCAAATCATTCAATAACTTACAGTGTTGTTTTTCCATCCATCTTGTTTTCTCACAATACGTATACGTATATGTTTTCAGTACGATACTCCACTACCATGGCAGCCTAGCATAGTCCCAGTGCAGATATTCAAAGTCGGAGATCTGATCATATCCTCCCTCCCATCTGAAGTCACGTAGGTATTCGCGAATAGGTGACGTACGTTACAATTCAGATGTTGTAAGAAATGTTGAAGTTGTTTATTACTTTGATACAATATATCAATTTAACGTAACTTTACAAGTGACAAGTTTTGATAAAATAACATCACAAGATTTCTTTACTATTTGTTTTTTCTGATGTACGTGGTTTATTTTGTCATTAGTACCATGGCCGGGAGAAGAGTTAAAGAAGCAGTGAAAAATGTAAGAAACAGTAAATATATAAGCACTAGTGCCAAAGAGAAAGGACCAAAAGTTGTAATGGAACTTAGCAAGAAAAAGCAAACTCTAAGTGCATACCAGTCAAAATATCATTAAAATACATAATGTATTAAATGTTATCGTCGTAACCGTAATATGGTGGAATAGAGATAATATTACTTGTATTATAGATTCGAGTTCTTAAAAGTTACATAATTAAAGACCAATAGCTATGATTCTTATCATTGGAAAACGTTAATTTGATATAAGTACATGTAGGTAAATAAGTAACTTCATAATTGTTTATGTGGGTTTGAAGAGAAAGAAATGTAGATATCCGAAAAATATATATCGTTATTCAGTTTATTCAATGAATTTCAGACTTTGGTCGCTGAAGGATATCCATCCAATCTTATGTCAGTTTTTACGGGACTTGCCAACACATATTCTAGTTACACTGTTACCTTTGAAGAATATCAGGTATGACATAATTCACTTCTTTATATACAGGGTGGGCCAAAAAACGAATACCCGAGTTTAACGTTGAATGATTCATATGATATATGTTAAACCATGCCATGTATTATATAAAATTTTAAATGTAAATCATTTTCTAACAATATGTCAACATCCAATTAAAAAACCTTTGTTTTCTTGTGGAGTTAGACGCTAAAATTGACAACAGGCGTGCCATGAGCGACCAAAAATCAAAAAACGAAAATTCCCAAATTTCCCTCCATACTGCAATCACAGCTGCACTCAATATACTTGACTGAATCATCATAAATGTATCTAAGAGTAATACACAATTGATGATTAATTAAAGAGATATATTAAGTATTATTGGTGAATTTTGCACTAAACGTGTCTAAATGTACCCATTTCGAAGGTGCCAAAGTTCAAACTCTACAGGAAGACATCAGTTTTCAAGCAGATGGTGTCATATTGTTAGGAAATGATTTATCTTTAAAATGATATCTTAAACATGGCATGGTTTAATGTTATATTGTATGATATTCATCCTTAAACTTTGGTACTGTTTTTTTGGCCCACCCTGTACAGAGTGAGCAGAAACAAATACGCCTGTTGCACAAAAACAGTTTAACTTTTCCAATCACACTTCCCTTCATGAGCTTGGCAACAGAAGTTTGAATGGTAATAGTCACCAATAATACTGTTAAATCGTTTTCAAAGATGATAAAAGTAAACAATTTGTACTTGAAACTCATAAATCTACGTTATTAAATTGATTCACAATAAGTACTATTCGTTTAGGTACAGAGGTACGAAGGAGCATCTACCATATTTGGACCCCATACACTTGAAGCTTACATCAACAAACTCAATGAACTTGCAACCTCCATGGCAAGGGTAGGTCAAATGTTAATCACTTCGTAGATTCGATAAGTATCCCAGATTCATAATTTAACAAATCGATTTATATTCAGTCAGTTCACGCGATAGTATCATCTACATTTTGTATTCTAACTCAGGACTTCAATTTCTTGAACTCGATAACTTATACTTATGTTTTTTGGACGTTATACTCGTATATTACCTATAATTAATTATCGAAGGGATTGGCTGTATCACCAGGCCCGAGTCCTCCAGATCTAAGAGGGCAGGTACCGGAGAACCCTGATCAACCTGCGCAATGGGACGAACCCGTGTCAGCTAGGTCATATGGGGAGGTTTTGATACAGCCGACTAATTCATACAACCAGGTCTTTTGTCTTCTTATATTATAATATAATTTATTTAGCATGATGTTTACTTATACATTTGTATATTAAATTATTTCAAAGATTGTACTCAGTGTTTCCGAAAAGTATGAAGCGGTCTATTGACAACTCTTTGGTGTATATGATAATGTCCAGGCGTCGATGGTGCACAACTAATATTGTATGTACATGTATGTGTATAATTTATTGGGATCTTTATATGAAGAGTTACATTCATAATTTTACATAACTTATAAACATTGGCATTTCAGTATTATTGGCTATTTCGCTCAAATATGTACCGTGATATAACCTCATTAAAACGTAACCTATTTGCCATTTTATAGGGAACCACCGTTTCTGTAACATTTGTCACTGCCAACCCAAGACATGATCTGATGGTACGCACGATGTTTAAGTACATTGAAACTAGAATAAATTGTTAACGAATTAATACAGAAGTTATACTGGACGTATTTGGGAGAACTTGAACGTGCATATTATGACCTATTTACGAATTGTTGTTCACCTCTCACTTTGTTTAAACGAGGACCTTATACACAACTATTTTCCTCGCAGCATCTTCAAACTGCATCGGGCAAATAAATAAAAATAGTGGACCATAATGTTACACGTTTCACGTACAAGTTTTTCAAAACAGTGCTAACTTAACCTCTCTACCGTTTGCTAATGTAGGCGTGAAATTTATAATTACGTAAACCAACAGAGTACAACGTACAATAATCTGAACTGATATTTGAAAAAATTAAGTTAGTTGTGATGATGATTTATTTTTTAGACGGATAACACATTTTTGCGAGTGGAACAAAATGTGAACGAGGCATGGCAGACAGTATTTACTGACCGTGACTGGGAAACAAGGTAAATTATGAATTTGCATTTATAATATTTGTCAAGAACTACTGTTGTTTTATTCATAAATACGAACGTTAACGTTAAACATTGATATGTACAGGGTGGTCCAAAAACGTCCACCTTTATTTTGATGTAATTTTTTGGAAAACGCATGGATTTCAATTAAATTTTGGCAGGATATGCAGACATCAATTGTGATCTCCTTTCGCCTACCAGTTACGTTTTTCTTAATGTTGAACCAATCCATCGTATCTTCCTTATCGGTTTAAATACTTCCAAATCCTTTAATTGCTATATATATGACGTGCAAGGACCTGGGGACAATTCGGGCAATGTGGGCTGATCTCAGCTTTGAGCGTTAATCTCTGCCTCATTTAAAAAGCTAACTATGTGTTTTATATACCTTTTTGAACTATTTTTTATTTGCATTTCAGTGAAATTATTTTTCCTTCAAAATTTTGATGGGATCCTACATATTTTTAAAGTTAAATATACCCCGACATCGTCAAATACGCTGTAAGACGTAACACTTTGCGCTTACGGGGCTCGTTGAAATTGGGATAACTTTTGAAATAATGATCAAAATCGCACTAAAATTTCACATTTTATTCAATCGAACATGTGCATTTCACTCAAAACCACTTAAGTGTGAAATTAATTTTGTTAAAAAGTGAAAAAAATTCTAAAATGTTTTTTTCAAATAGACATATAGTATATATCTGTATACAATTGTACATTCATTACCCAAGGCATTGAAGTAAACTCCAAGGAAAAATAGGCGAATTTTCAAATTGAAATTAGGGTCCGTCGCAAACATGTCGATTTTCACATATTGACCCCCTGATTAATATGTCAAGCAATTCAAATTAGAATGCAACATTTTCAAAAAACCAAGAAAGTTCCTCATGGTACTTAACTGTCCTTTAAAATCGCAAATGGATTTGGACTGCAAGCTTTCATTTTTGATGTACATCACTTGTCAACATGAACCAATAAAATCTATCATTTTTCTCGATTTTTTTACTTACCTTTTGTTTTTCATTTGAATAAAATTGAAAGGGTCGACTTTATTGAAACATGAATCGATGCGATCATGAAAAATGATCCTAAAGACGATAAAAAAACGATAACAGTTTTATTTGGGAAGATTGATCATTACGCTATTTCACTATTCAACCGCATGTCGATTTTCACAAGACAATTAGAAACAAATGACAATGATTTAGAAAGTTCATTTTAGGGAACGCTTACTTCACGAATCGACATTTTTGATATGTAGGATATAACTAGCTGAATTGAGAAACATCCAGTTTGTATATATTTGTATCCAAATATGACCACGTTTATGTAAAATGTCCCGTCAAAACCCGACATACGTAAAACATGATTTGGAGAATCTTGTCGTGTTTCACATTTTATTCTAAAATATCGTCAAAGAAAATAAACTTAGGACATGAACGTATTACGTCCGCAGAGTTTATATGCACTGAACACATCTTTTCTACATCCTTTTCACACCAACTTTACCAAAACATTGCACTGATTCATGAGACAAGGGTTTACATTTTTAGATTGAATGAGAATTGGATGACAGATGCCATGTCGTTAAAATATTTTTTGACACCCTTGGTATATGTTTCCCTTTTATCTCATGTACCAGGTATATTGTTTTTACAATTTGAGTAATTTTTCCTTTGGGTTTAGCTTTTAATGCATGGTTAGACCAGTTGCAGGTTGACGTAGTCACGTTTTTCCTGCATGTATCACAACAACAGGACACCCATTTACGTAATATTAGAGTACAATCAGCATCTATCTAGATATCTAGATCTGAAACGTCCCTTTAACATATTTCAAATCAAGAACCCGATCCTTATTCTACTCGAGTGTACGTTATTAATTGAAACATAATGATATTGATGTCGAGTGGAGTCCAGTAAGGCTGACGTATACGTATAGTTCAATCATAAAATTCATCTGCACCGGTGTAGAGACGTTTCTCTTGACACCTTTGTGGAGCGCTTCGCCGATAACCCTCCCCCCTCTCTCCAAGTTCCTATCTCAAGACTTTTTTCCATGACCACCGGAAGTGTTTTTATAACTATGCTTTGCTTCATTCTGAGATTTTTGTTTTAGTCGCTATAATTTCCGCTTTAGAGATACAAATTTCTTTCTTGTCAGACTCTATCCCTTTTCCGGATTTCTGATTTCACATCTCATAACTTTCGCTATTAAATTTGTTTCTTCTGATGTTTTGTTTGAAGCTCTTGAAGTCTATATATTTTAGTGGTCTACCCCCGGTTTTATTTTTCGAAGAGGGGAAAAATCATCTCGCTTTTGTTGCCTCTATCGTCGCATGCGCATCTTGTGGTTTATGTTTCTATAATGCTAGTTAATTCGATTGGCGATATTTTTCAATGAGGAACGTAATCTTATGCACCTCATCTCTTGATTTTTTGATTTATTTTATTCTCGGACATTGATTTGCAACGAATTACGTTTGACGAGGGCATTCCGAATCTTGTGCATCAGATCGTAATGTATCTAGTAGATCAGATCGTAATACATCCATTCTCAATAAGAATGCAAATTCCAGGTATGAATCTGACAAAAATTAAAGTAGCTTTAAATGGTTTAAAGTTGATGTATTTCTATTTGAATATATGTTAAGTATCTAAAGTGAAAATATCTTCATCAATCTCATACCCCTTCATGGAAAAGTCACATGTTGAAGCTTATCTAGTATTCATTTAAAAATGTAAGTCTCTGTCATTTACGTTATAGGGGGTTGTCGAAGCAAGCGACCTATATTTTCATTCAACATATTATTCTCATGTCTGTTTTTGTACCTAACAATAAGGATATATTTTGCCTTAATACTAAATCATACATCAGGCATTTTGAAGATACACAAGTTGAAAGAATTCACATTGAAGTCAACAATTACATGTGACTTATTATTCATTTTCAAAAACAAAACCTAAGTGCTACATGTCATTCCAATTTTATAAAAACTCAGTTTGATAACATTAAATTTATATTTCTTTTCTGATTAGAAATAGTGTTCAGAATAAAATGATAGCCGTATCTTGGTGTTTGATATGCCATACAAAATGTATTTGAGATTTGTATATCGTTACACCCTTGGTAACGTATATGATCCAAAAAAAGTAACATCGTAGAATGAGTCATATCATATGTGATCATGGTTAAACCATCAACTGGTGCTTCTTTTATCATGTTTACACTACATTTTAACCAATAGTAACATTTAAAAAACATAGTTCTGTGGACCATCATGTAACGTAAATGATGGTGAAATTAACTAACTTTTGCAATAGAAACATTAAAGCTAAGACAAACATTATTTATGCACAAAACACGTAATGAATTAATATATTGTCACATACGCTATATGTTGGAATGAATATATACAGGATTAAAGGGACATAATCTTTCTTCACACATTTGTAATGCTAAATCCTTTGTAACGTAAGTGATTACAAAACTTACAATCACAAGATCAAAACTATACTATATAATTTGTGATTATCGTCAAAAAGTAGCAACATTCAGTGTCTACTCTTATATCATAGGTACATATGAACTCCTGAAAGCGTTTCTAAATCCTAGCTTGGACATATAGATCCCATAGAACATGAGTTTAAATCTCAGGACACAGATCTAGAGTTTAAATAGCCCTTTAAACTTCCCTGTTCGGATTGACTCTTCTACTACACACTCAAAATCTGAGACTCTCAGCCAAATAACGTAACATTCTAAAGACCATTGGAGATTCTTCTTTTCCTAAAAAATAGTATTTATCATCATCAGTATCACATGCAGTGCCTTTTCGACATACCAACAGTATTGTAAACTGCAGTGAAAGAAAATCGCCAAGATGTAGCTCTTTATCTCCACTCTCAGTCCGCATGATGGCCCTGTCAGAATACTCTTGGTTGTCTCTTCTTGTATGTCATTCCTGGTTCGTTTCATTTTGTGCGGTGCACTTTTAACACTGTTTATTTGCTTCAACAAAATATTCCTTTGCTTGTGGTAAACGTCGAGTACTCATTTCATTTTTGTCCAGCCAGGCAAGGCCCTTAAGCTTGTATCATCTTCCATCGCCTTTAGTAATATTATATCAACTAGACTTGAACACTTTACAGGCATTTCCCCGCCAGTCATGTTGCGTCTGCTTCGCCTCTTCAACTACGTGTTTTCCTCGTAGTAATCTTCTCCTCAACTCTAGGGATATCACTATGCTAAAGTTTGCATCGCATCACTTTTCCCCTGCACTCTTTGGTGTTTTTGGCGTGTTTGGACGCTTCATTCTATTTTTCTCTGCTTCTGTAAGATCCTTGGGTATGATTTGTGATTGTTTTTTCCCTGTTTATCTATGTTCAGGGAGCTTTGTTTTCTTATGGCTACGTACGTCCCCAAGTTCTACTTATCCATTTTCTAAAGAGCCATGCATGTCCTTTTTGCAAAATTCCAGGCAAAATTAATATGAACTATAAATTGTGTGTTACTTGTACCACTGTCATAAACACGGTCACAATCATTGTTATCGGCATTACTTGGGTCATTGCTAACAGTTTTCTTCTTTTTGATTTGTCTCCTGTATTATTACGCTATCTGAGACTAACATAACATGTCTCGGACGCAATGACATATTTTTTTCTTTTATGGTCTTTATCTTTTCAGATAGTGCACGCAGCTATTGAGACAATGCATTTATGAACCCGAGCACGCTCTATTTGGTGCTTTTTTCCTATCACGATAGTCTTCTTGAATTTCAGCAGGATGCTTTCCCATCTACGAAAAGTACAAGTTGATAAATGAACATATCTGTAAAGATTTGACGATAGAAAATGTGTGCAATAGAATTTATCAATTACGTTACCATGGGTAACGTAATTTATGACATAGAAAACGCAAGACTATAGGTTCACTTCAAAATGAATGATAGAAAAGTGTTTTTATGTTCATTTTCACATTTATACCGACTGTGTTTATGCCATAGATAACATCAAATTAACACTACATCTTCTTTTAACAAGAGAGATACTATATTAGGTGTGATATATACCTTAAATTGTGTGGATTTACTCTAAAAAGGTGGTAGTGTTTCTTTATTCAGATTCAAATGAATATGGATACTCAAATTTCCCGCTTTATAAACTTTATTCAGAGCTAGGAGTATGGTAACCGTTATTTTCGTACTACTAGGTATCGTAAATGATGGTGTCGTAAATGATGCAAATACCCTTTTGTTGGCTGTATTATATTCAAACAATGTCAATTTAGTTAAAAATACTGATCAGCCAGGGTCACTCCTACCATACAATAAGGTGATATAACATTAATATGATCAGACACTTATTGCCTGTGGAAACTATGATCACGTAAATGATTTTCTTATCTATAACTTTATGAAAAACGGGAATTATAATTTTCTGGCCCCCAAATCTCAACGTTTCAAATATCAACTTGTACGACGTTCTATTAAGTATTCAAATTGGAATCCAGATACGAATATGGCACATATAAAACATTAATTTTCACCAGTTTTTATATGATTTATAGCACAAGGGGGTTGATATAAAAAAAGTCTGGCGACATTTGTCAAGGAACATTTTCAACATGGTAAATATCTCAAAAGGATAGTTTCTGTCATTTAACCAGAAGCTGGGATCGTCCTGTGTATAAAACACCACTTTATATGGGATGTAATGCATGAAAAGTGTTCTAATGGCACCATACAATCCTGATTTTTGATATGGCGACAGTCACGTAACTGATGAATAGCCCTATTCTAGTACATATAATAAAATAGGTGTAACTGAGAAATTATATATTACATATGTGCTAGGTAGAGGGTCATATGTACTATTTATATATATAACAAAAAGTGATGTTGGTAATGTAAATGCTGAGATTGAGCCCTGGGACATCGATTTTGCATTCTTATTGAGAATGGGTGAATAATGAAATTAGAAAACAATGATAAGCAAATAAACATCGTTGAAAAGCTATAAAATCTTTCATATTATAAATAAGAGATGCCTGTCTATGCTGCTCACCATTGAGAATGATGCATTCATTGAAAAGGAAACTGAACCCAAACGTTCATAGACTTAATAATTAAAGTCAGCAATCCCCGGGAATGCACTGAACGAAACGTTATTTACAGAGGTTGACACATTTAGGGCTATAATGGTCTTCATAATGATTTTTGTAGTGAAAATCTTTCGGTAAATTATGCTTATGGAAGTTACAAATAACTTATCATCTGCTTGCATGTAACGTATTTTTGTAAAGACGTATAAAATGGAAAAAGGTACGCTGAACAAAGAGAAAACTTTTTAGCTGTTATATTTTCATTGTCTATCAATTGATCTTTATGCGTAATTATCGGAAAACTGTTATGCATGTGTTATCAGTGTATTGGTAATCATATAAAATCAAATCAATCCATTTGTGATTTATAGAAATGACTAATTCACTGCTTTGAGTTCAATGGTATAACCATGTCGATTTTCACGCATGTCGATTGTCACAGTTTCACATCATATTCGCTCATAGATGGGGTCGTGCTGGTTATTTCGTAAAATGTTTTCGTTAAAACAGAGTGGATATATTGTTTTCTTGAATAGTGTCCGTCTTTACACTAGAATGCTGCCCATGTGTGAATTACATCTTGGTCGTTTTTCACAAGAAAAATGGTGAATTTTCAGAAATGATCAGATAATGCTCATTATAATTCAATCACAATTATTATCACGATTTGGAACATGCTGGTTTGATAAACTGAATGAAGGACTTGCTAAACACATATAACTTATTTTTCTCGGATTCCCCTAATGCCGTGTGGGTGTGTTTAAACGACCATGTCGATTTTCACAGAATAAATTTTACATTTACTTTATTTGGTCTATATAATCGGTAATAGGTTGAGATCAAATACAGTGCTCTCATCACACTCTGAATGAATGTTCTCTATGCCAGCATAACCAAAATTAAAAGATGCGACCATTTATTATTGAGATATGACATGTTTTCAAAAGCGTGTTGTCCTGTTACATTGACAATTTCACGAAATTCACAATTTTGAAGCCAGATATCACAGCTACTTATAATCGGAACGATCAAAAAAGTATGCTGACGTAGTCCATATAAAGGTATTATATTTTAGAATACATAAAATGATGAGCAAAAATGGGTTTAATTTCAGCTATGTTCAAAAACATCAAAAATGTCAATTTTTAACACTTATTTGTTTTCACTGATTTATGACGTCACAATTGCTTGACGGCTACAGTTCAAATTATCTTAAAACGAACGCTTTTAAAAATTTAAAAATTGTGTAAGGTTTTGAAGGCGAATGGGACGAGCAATAAGTTTACCTTCATTTAACCTTCTAATTTAGGTCTGATTTGAAAGAAAAATTAACTGCACAATATTGTCATGGCGAAATTTACAAAACAATAACCAGTTTGTCTATTTTGCAAATAATATTAAAATAAGAGCTGGTTTTCGAGACTTGAAAAAATGTGACGCATCGATTTTGTACCACAAATTCCATACATATCAATATTTACTAACGCCCCAAATAAATTTCTTGACCGTTTTTCAAAATTCAAAAACATTTTAGAAATATTGTCCTCGAGATCTTGCTACCCTGTGAATTTTGTAAAGATTAGATAAGGATAAAGTATTTTATTTTTAGGTTGAGTAAACTTGTAAAAAATGTGACGCTTGTCGTTTTTGACGTTGTAAGGCTGTTTGCGCCCTATACTGCTCATTGTTTTGTTTTGGTTTTTTGACGCCATAATGTTACGCTAATTGTCCCCAGTTTCGTGCGACGTGTAATAGGAAATTTAAATTATTATAGTGAATCATACATAATATCTCTCTCTGACTAAATGTATAACTGGAATTGCTATTTGGGGCATGACTTTGATCATGATTGTAAAATTGTCGCTTTCAATTTCATCTTGAAATCTGTCGTTTTTCAAATATTAGACATCTAGTGTCTCTTTAGTATTGACCGTCATTATTCAAAAACCTAAAAAAGTTATATCGAAATAAAAATCGTGGACATTTTTTGGCCCATGCTGTATATATACATTTATGGTTACCTATTGTGTTGGTCGATTTAGGTTTTATTGGGACCGAGAATGCAATGGGATACCGTGTACAGATGATGACACACCGGAAAGGACGAGCATTGCGAGAATCACGTGGGATATCCCATCCAATCAGGCACCAGGAAACTATCGTATTAGTCATTATGGCCACCATAAGACTGAATTGGATCAAGTCGTAGCTTTCACTGGTACATCAAACATATTTACAGTGAATGCAAACAAGGATGCCGAAAAATCCGGGACAAAAGAAGAACCAGGAACAAAGGCCCCAATGTCCCTAAAACCTGTGACTGGAGGCTTAGAAGGCAACAGCGGTGTACGACATGGTGCTTCTATCCTTCTCTGTATTTTTATGTTGCTTAAACAGCTGATATAAACATTTATGGGAATGTTTTAAGGGTGGTGGTTCGATAGACATTTGAGATAAAAAAAAAGTTACTGCAATAAGTTTGAAAAAGGTACAACAATAAATGTAACCGGTTATTTATTTTAATGTAAAACACAAACACTCAAAAGGAACAATGCATTTTCTTTAAAGGAAACTGCTTTAATTGTAGCTAGTAGTCAAAATTGAAATAAAAGCTTGGTTTATGCAGCGCCATATTATTGTACAAAATTCGTATACTCGTAAGCTTTAATAGAAAAAAATTATTGCCATCCCTGAATACATAAATGTATTTGTTATGTGAAATACTGTTGTTATAAAAGTCTCAGTCACATTTGTCCGCGGCGACCGCATGTCCACCGTAGTTATTTGAAATCAGTAAATGTTTGCGGCAAACATATGAAAACTACGATCGCCTTAAGGTCTCCGTACGGCGTATCCAATTTTTACAGGCCGTAGATCGCGTCGCTGTAGAAATTCTAATTCGCAGATATAACTTTTTTACTCCTGCAGTAACCGTAGAAATCAACAAGCTACTGCCAAACCGTAGAAAGGTCCCGCGGTGGTCGTACGTCGGGCGTACGGTCGACTTGCGGCTGCCCTAGGATTTTATTGATTACAATTGGCCTTTGGGAACCATACGAACGCTGTAAGGCCCCCTTGTGGCTGCCTTGCGTCTGGATCGTTTTTATTAGTCAGCGTAGGGCCGACCTTCTCTGACCGCACGTCATTATTAATCAGCCGTATTGGACACTGGTTTTTATGCCTCCTCAAAACCAAAATACGCCCTACGGCTGTCTTAGCAAATGTGATCAGACTGGTAAATTATCTGACCGCGGAAACTTTTAGGCGAGCGTAGAAATGTTACTGACCGCAAAAATGATAGATCGTACGGCCGCCGTAGCAAAAGTAGCAAAAGTGACCGAGGCTTTGTAATAACCCATATGCGAGGAAACTACTTTTCATAGTAGGAAGATGAAAGAAGTAATTAGGTCAGAGTGACCTAGATAACAAGAGTGAGTTTTGGAATTTCCTTAGAAGTGGCCATAGAAATAAGAAAAGCATGAATTCTACGGCGACTCTATGGCCTCTTAAAACGTCTGGAAACCGTAAGGTGACCGTTGATTTTCTAAAGTTGCCGTAAAATTTACCGATTTGAGGTACTGTATCGGAGGTTTTAATGTGGCTCAAGCTAGATGAAAATGCTTGGGTATTGCTCCACCGAAAACGACAGAAAACGTTTGCATTTGGGTTAATTTCTATATAAATTTGTGAAGCTACGGCCGCTGTACGCACGCCATAGAGCAAATGTGAGGCTATATTTGTTACCTATCTACGGCGAGCGTATGGCAACAGTTCCTCGAAATCACGAACTACAACCGTTAAAGAAATTGTAACGCGGATTTATTTTTTCATTTCTACCGTCTTGCGCGTGCATTGTTATTTATCAAAATTTTACGAGCGCCGTAGGTACGACCCAAGCGAGCATGCGTCATCACATCAAATACAGTGTGTCAACCACAGGTTTTATGTCTGGCTCCACAAATTCAAAATACGCTGTACGGGCGCCTCGGTATAAGCTCCTGATATACAGTATATGGCAGTAAAAATTTTACGGGGACCTTGCGATTGCTATTGACTATAAAAATATTAGAACGCGATGTCGCCGTGGCAAATGTGACCCGGGCATAGTAATTCATCACAGTCTACTGCCCAATGCGTATGGGTCTTTGGTAATGTTGTTTTCACAAATTGGAGTCACACAATAGATAGATGGTATTTTCTTTTCGGTATTACTATTTTCAATGTAATAACTGTTTTCTGTCTGTGACTTGGTCTCATCCTCAACGATGTCCCTCATTTCACTCTTGTTTGCCCGGGTTATAACTATCTTTCGAATAGATATGATAGCAAATGCTGCAACAAGTGGCAAAGGGGTGAACATAACGGTCGCTATGGGCATTACCGCTGCTAGATCAGCCTCAGGATTTGGAAAGGAAAACTGTAGAACGATCAGGGCAATCGCAATGTCTTGTATCCCTGTTTCAATAGCTATTGTCGTTGCTCGCTTAACACCCTGCTTAAGTAACATTGCTAGAGCAAAGGCCAAGCCATAAGCAACCCACGGCAGCATGATTCCAGCAAGTATCACCTCAGGTTGGCGACCCATAAGTCGATACATATATAGGTTTGCATAGATGCCAAAAGAGAATACGTATGCAATAAAGAAAAGAGAGAGCCATTTTGTCCCCTTGGCTAAAAAGTCTGCAACTTTAGGGGAAAAACGCTTGATTAGTAGTCCAATACCTATCGGGAATACAAGGGCTAAAAGAGAGTACCCGATGTTTGCAAATGGAATGGTAATTTGAGCATCTTGAACATATACGTGCCCTAGCGCCCACATCCAAAACGGCATCATTCCTGCAACAGACAAGGAGAAATGAATGACTATTATTCAATGGTATTGGTCTCAAAATACATGCAATAAACCTATTTCAAAATACCTCCCTATTATACAATAGAGGTGTACACAATTAACATAACTCTTCGTCAAATTTCTTTTTAATCTCAGAGCAAATCATCCAGAAGCATTCGTCTATAACATGTATACTTCTTCGACATACAAGTAAGTAATAGTGAAGTTTAACATACCCAGAGCGGCTATTTTGCTGATGAATGTCATTGTAACGCTCAGGTCGAGGTCTCCATTGAGAAGCACGGTGTATATATTGCTAGCACCTCCGCCAGGACTGCATGAAACTACGAACAAACCAAGTCCCAGTCCACTTTCCATCCGTAAGAGTCTGCTTATACCGAACCCAAGCTGTGACACAAAGATGAATTGGTCAAAAATTGTGTTGCTTTGATTTGATACTTGACATATGTGGATATGTTGTCGGTCTAAGGAGAGATAATCTACACGACGCACGAAGTACAGTGCGATGACTGTAGGATCCTTAACATATTTTTCATTTATTCATTCTCATCGTTTTTGTATAATGTCAAGGACATGGCCACAAGGATAATGGTATATTTGGTGGGGCAGAATCAACGTTAGTTAATTAATTGAAAAAAACTAGGATGACAAGACGTACACATTTTTTGAGTGCTTGACAACGGCGCCTAGAATATATGGAAGGCTTATGTTCAAAGTTACATAAAATGAACCGTTGATTACTTATGATACAGCACTTACACCATATACAGACTGCGCTATACGAAAACAAGCGGTGTGGATATCATGTGCGCAAGGTGCGAATATTAACTGTCAACCTTTCAACCTCTTAACTGTTAAACCTTTCAACTTTCAAAATGCAAATACAATTTGTCTTGATAGGTCAACTCGATCACCATTATTGAATGAATACTGTTTATGCTGTGAAACAGCTGCAGTTTCAACTTATTTGCTTTGGAGAGAGTATCATTGCTTGATGTGTCGCTATAGAATGATCTTCACGCCTATTTACACAATGTCCTTTTTAATAGAGAACCTGTACACATGTATGAATATAATTGAGTACTCAACATGTCTTAGTTGGTGAAATATCAAAAAATCAAATTAAAAAATGACCGTTAATATCCGCACCTTGCGCACATGATGTACCGCTTGTGTTCGTGTAGCGATATATGGTTTATTTACAATAAAAATCTAAATTTTGGCTACTCTTAAATCGTGACACTGTTGCGTATAACAGTCTGCATAGAGTGACTTGGTTACCAGTATCACCATCAGGTGACTTGTTCGTGTCTGACAATATAGTGCTACGAATTGTTCCCCTTACTGTGGATACAGTAGAGTCAATTTTGTTAGAATGATTATGAGAATATTTGTTATCAGTAATCCGAACATGACTGTATTCACGCCTTCTTTATAAACTGTCAATATTTCACCTGGTATGTATTAGTCGATAAGGCACCTGGTAATATGAGTAATGTGTGACGTCATAACGGCGGGTCGTAGTAATGACGAGCAATCATGGATATTCGAAAATAATTTGGTTTCATGTTCGAATCGTAATATAGACCTCAGAGCAGGTGTTCTATCGACAAGTACATAGGCCAACCTTAGGGTCGTTCGGGGTACAGGAATCATTTTTGCCCAGCCCTGTGGTATATATTGTGGTCGATATAACACCTGCTCTTCAGTCTATATATTATTATTCATTCGAACATTAATTATTACTGATTCGAACTACGATGTTATTCGACGAAAAAATTCAGTTTTTAAAACCAAATTATTTTCTTGTTGATATAAAAAATTAAAAGCACATTTTTTACTGTTATTGCATCCGTATATTTCAGATATGATATCGCCTTGATTATAGTACTAAGGATGAAAATAAAGATTATTTCTTATGTTATCAAGTATATTAGAAGGCACTGGGTTCATTAAAAGAACACTGTCAACGGTATTTACTTTCTTTGAATGTCAAAAACAACTAAAGGTAACCTTGAAGGTAATCTTTTACAACTACTGTACAAATAGTTTCAACGCCAACTTTAACTGAATATAACCCTGACAAAGGTCTAGGGGTCTGTGGCAATCACTACCCTCTGATTGGGACAAAAATTTGATTCGCGATAAAAATATCTGCATTACCCTAACAGTGTTGAAGGTAGTTGAAATATGAAGTAAACTTTTGAAAAGGGTATATTACATGTATATGTAGCTCACCAATGGCATCAGTATAAACTGACACAAAAATCCAATTGCAGGAGCGATGGGCTTCTTCAGAACCTCCCATATTATTTTAAGATCCACGGAACATCCCATCATGACAGTTAATATAATCACTATTATTGCAAGACCGACTGTAAAGATAGTCTGTTCTACACGCTCTTCTCTTATTATTGCAACACGGTATCGGGTTACTAATTCCCCCTTTGTGATGCAAGGTGTCTTGCCTCCCTCGCTGCATGACTGCTCTGGTGGGACATGGTGAATTGTCACACGGAGAGTTGTTCTTCCGAGGCGGTTGCCACGGATTGTAAACGAGGAAGGAATGACAGACCCAATGGCTGCATCGGTGAACAATGTCGTCCGGTTCCTGATAATGTCTACTATGCCGGTGTTCTCAGACTGGATATTAATACTCGTATTGTTGCTGTAGCAACACGTGTAGTTATAGAACACATCTCTGTCTTGGTTTTCCACTTGTCCTTCGATGCTTTCTGGATGGAATGTTATATTGTAACTACCACCCACTTCGAGCGCTTTGAAGTTCAAAATAAATACAAATATAAGTGCAAAATCTTTGAAGACCGCCATCGTCCTCGTTTGGATTTTAAAAAAAACAGCTGTTCTTTTCTATGAAGGCATTAGATTTGACATTGGTACTTGGTCAAGAATCTGCACATGTAGCTTACATGTGCTTTCTCCGTAAATAACATGTTTTGTAACATCTGTCCTCGTAATCAGGACTTGGATGGACTCTGGTTAAATCCTACAATTAATCACACTATTAATCCATAGTAAGGGATCTCTTATTTAATCTACACTAATAGTAAAAAATTCACTATTCTAATTTGTCAATGTCAAGGAGGTTAAATTACAGGGTAACCAAAAAACAAAACTGCCTAAATGTTTTATTGTTTAATTCACGTCCACGCATTTAACTTTTTCATTTTGTAGACACAGAAACTATGATCTAAAAAGAAATCGGGGGTCAGGAATCAGGATGAAAATCACGGAATATGTTAAATAGATAGATGGAGGGCTTCACTATATACCAACAGAACTTCGTTCGTTGGAATAATAAAATTGCATCTGTTGAGAAAAATGACAAATCAAAATTCTGTGTTAAGATAGTATCCCTTCGATGACCTCTCTCTGTCCATTTTCACATGTTGAATTGACATTGACCAGTTGTCCAGATTCAATTAAAACAGCAGCAACAGTCCCACGCCAATGGCTTCGAAATTAGTGATCACGCTCTTTGGAATTTCTTTAATCTCTCATTTAGTTTATAGTTTGACGTTTATTGATGGTTTATTTTTCTGGGTGTTTTTTGTGATCACCCTGTACATATATAACCTGAATTATATAAATTCTCAACGGCTGATAATAATAAGTGCATATGGCTTTGAGTTGTTTTTAAAAAGATATCATTCGGTGATAAATTTGAAAACGATTTTTACTATTCTACTACTATCTTTTTATGAAGCCGGACCCCATCCAATGTTCATATCAAATCAGTAATGACTAGGCTAAAGGAGTGCTATCGATATGGAGAACTGAATTCAACAATGTTTTTCTCTTAAACCAATCATTGAAAACATTCTGTAAAAAACACGGTATTTTATGAAATGTTGACTGATTGACAACAATTTAATGCCAAAATTATTTAGAAATATTTTATATAACTGTTTTTGTTCACATTTTTTTGCAATTGCCTTTGCTCCTTTCTACCAATTCTTGAGAATGAAATAAAATGTCTTTTCGAACCTTGTTGGAACAAAATAGCATAATTATACAACATGTTTTTAGACCTCTCAATATTATAGTTATACAAAGGAATTTTTAGTTGATTTTAAAAAAGTATTCAAAAAATTAAAACAAAATCCCCCCCAAAATAGATAAAAATCAAGATAAACCTTTCATTTCATTAACAAGATACTTTTTTTAAATCAACCAACATTTCCTTTGTACAATTACAATATTGAGAGACCTAAACATGTCGTGTTTATGTCGTTTTGTTCTAATGAGGTTCGGAAAGATGTTTCATTTCACTCTGGAAACATGATACCAAGAACAAAACAAGCGTATGGTGTGTTTTCTAAAACAATATAGATGAAAGTATGTATAAATTGTTCAAATTATATTGTTACCATTCAAAAGATGACCATTAAATTGACGATGTGTAAAATTTTAAGATTTATTTATGACTGGTTTAAGAGAAACGTGTGTTCAAAAGGTTCTCCATATCGATACCACTCCTTTGAACTGTTTTGTGTCAAGCAAATCTACTCTGCGTGTTTCGTTTTGAATCTCTGTCTTAAAGATGCATATCTGTTGCATCATTACATAAGTATTTCCAATGTTATGAATGCTGAGTAGAAGTAACACCACGACCAACGACTTATACAGGGTGTCTCAAAAAATGTACCCAAAAGTATATCAAGAGCACAGATAAACCAATCAATATTTTCAGTCATTTTTTGCATGGTCATGTATTCAAAACATGAAAGTTTTCTTCCCAATACACCATTTTTATTTCAGTCTCGTCTTTTTGATGCTTTAACCCTTTACCTTTTACACCACATAATCGATGTAACCTCATATTTCGATGACAGCCCATATCCTTCCTGCTACATTGTTCATCACATTTGATAATAATTCCTGTGGAATGTTTTGGATTTCTCTTTTGATGTTGCCCTTAAGTTGTTCTAGGTCTTTTTGCTTGGAATAAGCATTAAAACACTCCTTCAAATAGCCACAGAGAAAGATGTTTGAGGATGACGATGGCAGAACAAACACAGATAATCACGTCAATTATCGGCAAATAATTCAGGAGTTACCTTCCAGAGTTAGACAGGCTAGCCTAGAGACCAAATGATATCCAAATGAAAACACAGTGGTCTCAAATTGATACACACAACAAAAGCTTCTCTAGAATCCAAACCAATGCAGTTTCTTGAATCTCTGGCCTCTCTGTATAAGGGGGCTATAAGACATTGTGAGGGCCTCCCTATTCACCATATTTGATGGCCCATACTTTTTTCTCTGAGGCTATTTAATTTGAAGGACCATTTTTATGCTGAACCCAAGCTAAGAGACCTAGAACAACTTAAGACCAGCATCCGAACAGAAATCAAAACATTCCATTAGTTCAGGTGATGAACAATGAATATGTGGTGTAAAAGGTAACGGGTTATAGTATCAAAAAGGCAAAACTGAATTAAAAACTGTATATAGGGGAAAAACCTTTCATCTTTTATCTACAAGACCATGCAAAAAATGTCTGAAAATATTGATTGGTTTGTCTATCGTGTTGATATACTTTTGGGTACATTTTTTTGAGACACCCTATATAGTTCAACATTGAAATTGACACAGATCTTTTGATTAATGAGGCATCTATATAGATTTATCTAAAATAAGCTACGTTTACAGATGTCCATTGACCATCCATTCAAGAGTTTTCGAAGATAACTGAAATTGTGTTGACATTGATATCTAAAAGTACATGCATTCATAAAATTGAAAGGTAAAAAATTCAGTCTCAAATTTTGTGGTGTAGACAAAATCCACGGCATGGTGTCAAAAGGTCAACATACATTTGCAAAGCCGCCTTCCAGTTTATGGTTCATAAATCTATGACTGGTTTTGATCCCTCCTCGAGCATTAATGGCTCTCTAGCTGGGATCCTACTTAGAGACCAAGTTCAATGTTTATCACTCTTATTTTCCGATATCCGTATTATGCATGTACACCAATCAAACTTCATAACTCTTGATTTATACTTTTCAGTAAAGTCTAGAAGTGTCACCCTCTTTTTTCTGCCAAAATAATTTGAGATATCAGTTATTACTAGTTTTTTTGTACATAAAAATGCTCCCATTTGCATACAAAACAAAACTAAATAATGTAGGATCGTATAGGTTACCACGATTGTAATAGCAAAAACCTCAGAAAAATCAAGAAATATGTCCTTTTGAACAACTATGATTTCTATTACTTGTATCTTTAGTTTTGATATTGCTCTATTGATTCCTTTTTTAAAGCAAATCGCTCGGAGTTCTCTGAAGTTATAAAGAATTTCAACAAGGGGTGATTTTAAAGAATTATTCAAAAACATTCTAAAAATAAATCTCTGCACAGTATTAACATTATTTCACATAAAATATATCATTTAAAAGAACTTTACAATGACAGAAAAATAAAATATTAGGTAGTCACATCATCACATAGACAATAGACTATTTTTTCCTATGATCTTCCTACTGATTAACATCACAAATTTTCTTTTTTTAATTGGTCCGAAAATCGTAAACAATTTGTATCTAGAAGATAGTAAATAAGGCAAAAGTTTGGTTTCAGAACTAAATGATATCTAATGATTAGACTCCGGATGATAATCTGATTGTTTTGCCCCTTTTCTTTCTTCTCATTTTACTAGTCACGTTTTCTCATCAGATGTAAGGTCTTCGATCAAGGCAATTATATGGTCAATAGAGGAGTTTCTAAATGATTTTGAAATCTCGCTAATTCTCGTTTTTTCATGAGATTTTAAGAGATTTGCACATGTTACCTCTAATGACTTACTTTTCTTTCTTTTTAATAGCATATTTGAATTCAGTGATATATTTCCTATAATAATAGCTTTGATTTACACATTTATGTCATTTAAATCATTCTCCATGACATTTAAAAAAAAAACTTGGGCCAAATCTCCATTGATGTTATGCTAAAATTCTTTAAAACCATGGTTTAATCGTATGACAACCAACATTTTCATGTTTAATCACAATATGTTAATTGACAGGGTCATTTAATAGTATGTCATTCAAGTTTCAAACAGATTTAACTAACACTCTTTGATAAATCATGAAAATAAGTGACTATTGCAAGCTCTAAGCATAGAACTCAAAGGAAGGTTGGCCCAAGATGAACAAAGGTGACATCTATTATGTCAGCTTTATTCAGCTTTATTTAGCTATTTAGAAACTATACTATTAATGTGTAGCATCTAGTGAGGAAGAAATGGAGTGAAACTTTTATTTAGGTTAAAGGTCAAAAAGTAGGTCAAATCTCGTTTTTACCAACTTTCTCAGTCGCATCATTGTTTTCTCTGTCTGTCCTGTCCTGTCCTGTCCTGTCCTGTCCTGTCTGTCTGTCTAAAATCGAAATATCTCTCATCTTGAGTCTGAAATTGAACTTGTTATAATTATTAAAATTGTTCGATCCGTGGAAAACATGAAAATGTTCAAAAACATATAATTAGATGAAAAATATAAGTTAATATAAGTCTTGTTATGTCTAAACATTGTCCAGGTGTAGATTTATAAGGTGCTAAAAGCATTTCCAAAATTGAAAGTAAATTCCTTGGGCAGATTTCTTTAAATCGAATTACTAACCATATATCAAATTAAAAAAATAGACCCTCTCTTACACCCTCAATATCTTTCATATGCACAAAATGATTGATCTGATTATAGCCAAAATATATTATGTTTTCCTAGTAATAAAGTGAATTTATAAATTGGATTTTTGTTTGGACTTTTGCTCGTAAAATGACCCCTTTTTATCGTTTATCGTTATCCGCTATAACTGTCAGGAGCTACTATGTGCGTTCTTTTACCATCGTTTGTACCAGGGAAACCTCGTGACGCGAATTTATTTCAAGGGAGTAGCCATGTAAGCTTAGAACACCGCAATGTTTTCTTTGGAAATCTTTTGATCGTTGTCATAGCATACTGTTTTGGTTATACTTAGGTGGTTCAAAAAGTTTTGCAGTTGATGCCATAACTTCAAGGAAAATAGAACTGTTACAATGAAACTTGGTACACATATGTTATACATTTATACATTATATGTGATTGGTTCTTGAGATTTGGTTGCTATGGTAACCAGAGTGGTGGGTACCATGTTCAACCCGAAATTACGTTTTTCCAAATAGTTTTCTTGCTTGAATAAACTCTTTGTAAAGTGGCAATTAGCAGGTGTAAGTGTCTTTGGGTGGCTATTTTTCTTCAAATTCTTCAATTTTTCTAATTGTCTCTATGACATCACAATAGACAAGTGACACGATATGTTCCTTTGTGATGTATACTGTCCAAAACCCAGTTGAAAAATTGAGATGGAAAAGTGAGGAAATTTTTTTTCCAAATGCACTCTGAACCAGTTCATAATTATAAGTCTCTTGCAAAGTCTTGCCATTTTGAACCATGCACTGTATCAGATTTCTATGGTTCCATTTCATCAATTTGGTTGGTGTGGAAACATCTGCCATTTTGAAAATTTTGGAAAAAAATTTCCGGGAAGCTTCAACGGTAGCATGGTATTAGCCTAGTATTCGCTTGCATCTTCAATTCATCATTCGAATTAAATGAAGTCAAAATTGGAGCTCCTGTCAAATTACAAATTATCTTTCTAGCTACCATTTATGATAATTTAACCTTTCTTATCGATAATTGATACCTATTTCTTGGAATTGGGTATTCTAGAACGTCGATTGTGATCGACAATATGGTTTGCCTAGTGAAAAGTCTGGCAATACTGAGAAATAAGAAAAGTGTTATACGACATGATATTGTCATCAACAGGCGTACGTCACCAACGTGTCAGCCCTAGGGATATAAGCCTAGCTTATTTGCAGCCTGAAATGGATGTGCAGTAGGCTAAATGTTGACACCTACCTTGGGCTGTAGAGCCATGCACTATTTAAAAACTCCACGACTCTTCAAAGTTCAAACAGGAAAATGCACAAAATGTATGTCGATATAACAACTTGCTTTTATTTCGCAAACACTACACAAGTACATTGATGGTGGGACTAATCAATAAAAAGAGGGCGTCCGTATTCCTCATAGAACTGCTAATCTGGTCTAGTTGGGGCATCCTCGAGTTTTGAGAAATTTGTTTGGGGTTCCTAACAATGTAGTTTCATCAAAAATGTCATTTGTAGCGCCACTGCAAAACCAAAAACCAAAATAAGTTACAGATATTCTCAAATAAAACTACATGGCCTTTAACATACAGCCGTAATTCAGATAGATATTAGGGAGTTTAAGCTTGCGATGTTTTTCACAACCTAAACGTGAACGGAAAATATTTAAGCGATGCATTTGTATGGGCGATGGGATTATTGCCTATTTCGTAAATCTTGACAAATACAGATTCCTGCATTGTGTTCTAACATTATGCCGCGTTAATCAAAATAAGCTAATCATCGCTTGTTGGCCTTGTTTAATTGAACTCACTCTCTTTACACAAGATGATTTAAGAATGTCCCAAAAATTAAGAGTTGCATTTTGGGGTTGCCTAGTTCTATACAAGATAATTAAAACATTCTGACATATTCAAATCAATATATACGGTTCGTAATAAAAGTAAAGATTTCTTGCATTTGAGCAATTGCAAGTTAAAGATCTGTATTATAGTTACACGAGGTGCAATTCTGCCCAATGTCCGCAATTCTGCTCGTCTTTGCGTATTTACAAATACAATTATTTTTTACAAACATAAACGCACACATTCTTTATTTGCGATTCATTATGATGCCTAAAGGAAATGCACGGGTTTTCACATACTCTGGTATACAAATCACTGACCCCCGGGAATAAAAACAGAGATTCAAATGTTGGTGTAATACGACAGAAACGGTACAAGAAAAGTGAACCTAGGGCAGATTACGGCAACTTCACGTTCTCACCTAATTACCCAATCCATCACCTCAATATTAGTTTTATCAGGATTTACATGCCAGTAACCCGCCATAGCACCAGACTAAAACATATACAGTATAGTGATTATGCAAGAAGTTTTTGTGGCGATAAAGACACAGACTTTGTATATATTATTCGCTTCCTTCAATTCATAAGCATTAATCAATGCCCTGACAAAACATCATCTGTCATGGTTTATTTTATAACTGACTGATCATGATGTATAGGTATACTCACGGCCAATGCGGTTGCTATGGATGAACCTGGAATGAAAAGAATTCAATTCTATAACTCTAGTAGAGTAGTAAGCTTTGCCCCCAGCTTTGCCTTCATATCGTTGAGACAGAATTGAACTACCCAAAATGTTTAGTTTAGACAGTATCCTCCGAACATAAGGCTTTCGAACCTTTTCCTCCTGTTAGGAAGATGTTTTCATTATAGCATCTTCGTGAGATTTCAGGGGATCGTTTATAAATTTACCGTTCTTATAGCAGTATGTCAATCCACCGTAATAGCAAGGGACCAAAACGTTCACACCCTGGAATACATTCATGTATATTAACATCCCAATAATACACCAGAAACTCGAGCAGTACAGGGTGGTCCAAAAAAAATGGGACACTCGTATTTCAAAAATAAATATTGATTTTCTTGATGAAAACATGTCATATTATATACCAGTGGATAGGGAATATACTTATCTTTAATTTGGTATATCATAAGTTCAAATTTATTATAATGTCTGTCAACCAGCGTCCATAATATAAATGATGTCATTTTCATTTCAAAACGGGTTCTCCAAAACTTGCAAAACCAAGTTTTTTGTCAATTTTATTTACATACACAGAAATTCAATATGCCCTCCATTTTGATCAAATGTAGCCCTCAATTTTGGCCTACACTGATCAATAGTATCATTGATATGCTGTTGAGACAATGAATTTCACTTCTCAACAATTCTATCCTTAATAAGGGACTGAGTAGATGTAAGGGGTTCATGATAAATCAATTCTGTTAGTTCTTCCAATACGTGGTCGTCGCAGACGTTGATATCAGATGACCCAATTATGTTGTTTTTGGACCATCCTGATATGAGCTCATTTTTGAATCATTACATTTTCCAACAAGATGGGGCTCCAATCAATAGATCCCACAAGTGTCAAATGGTGAAAAGAAAACGTGCCAAGATTCATCCCCCCACCCTTAACCACTGCCTCCCCAGATCACCCGATTACCCCATATCTGCGACAACCACGTATGGGGAGAACTAACAGAATTGGTGTACCATAAATCCTTTACACCTATTCAGTCCCTGAAGGACAGAATTATTGAGAAGTGGAATTCATTGTATTAACAGCATATCAATGATGCTATTGACCAGTTTAGGCCAAAATTAAGGGCTACAGTCGATCAAAATGGTGGACATATTGAACGTCTTTTCACGTAAATAAAGTTGACAATAAAATTTGGTTTTTGCAAGTTTCGGAAAACCCGTTTTGAAATGAAAATGACGTCATTTATATTATGGACGCTGGTTGACAGACATTAAAATAAATTTGAACTTATAATATACCAAATCAAAGATGAGTAAATTCCCTATCCATTGGTATATAATACGACATGTTTTCATCAAGAAAATCAATATTTATTTTTGAAATACGAGTGTCCCATTTTTTTGGACCACCCTGTAGATTGTACTTATTTTTAACATTGCGTTCAGCATTTGTCAGTATTATTGGTTTTATGTTTACCAGGTATTTCAGTTTCCTTGCGAAGTTAAATGTATTTTCCCGTTCGATTTCTACGACATTTACAATATGTTTCTATGCTGAATATAAATGTTAAGTTACCGGTCCGACGATATCGACACAGCTGCCGTAACTCGAGTCCGGCCAAAGTTTGTCAGTTACATTAGACGCTGCAGCTGTAAGACTACAATGAAATTAAGAAACAGCTACAGGCATGGATTTATGTAGTTCCTAGAATAAAATATTTTTGAACAAAACACCTTCCTGAATATTAGAAACAAAATTAGGCCACAGCTTTGATACATATGTTTCTAATTTTTAATTTACTGTTGCAAAGCGGTCATTTGATCGCTTATTTTCTGATTCAAAGTACTGATTCGGGTATTCGTTTTCATATCGTGGATTAGTAATACTCACGCTTCTGGAACACGGGCTGGAGTATTATGACAAGCAAGGTTACCCCAATTTCCTGCGGCAATGGTAACTGCGGCATTCTATAAATGATTAACGATAAATGATTATCATAGTGCATGATCTTTTAATTTGGCAATATGTAGGTCGATGACGATATAAAATAAAAAGGAGAATATACCGCTTCAGTTATCAGCTTAGCAACAATATTCTCTAAATTTGAGTTTTGTGCATTCGGTGCTCCAATGGATAGGCTGCAAAATATGATGATATGTATTGGTGATAGTCACATTACGTCAAGCAATCCCACTGCCCTCATTAGTTGTGAAGATATTACATTCTATGGTGGGAGGTTGCTACTATTTAAAATATTTGTACAGTTATGGTGTTGGACTGAAAGATTTTATAATTACGTAAATGCTCATGTAGTGCCATGCTCATGTTTAAAAAATCAGACTATGCAGATTGTGGCAAGTAATAGTATTCGTCCTTAATATCTCAAAATGCATCTATGTCTTTAAGGAAAACAAGACATTAACATGACAAAATGTCACCACCTAGTTGCTCAAAATACTATGAGTTCAAACTTAAGTCAGATTTGAAATTCTGAGAACTTGTAGTTGATTTTGAAAAAGTTGGTCAATTTGGAGCAAGATGTAAAATACCTTTTTGACCTAGATAATGTTATTGAAGGTCAATCAGATTTGAACTTTTGATGATTTTGAAAAAACTGAACAATATGAAATACCTTTTTGACCTTTTTTTGACCTTGAGAAAGTCATTGAAGGTCACATCTCACATCAAAAGTAAGATTTGAACTGATAACTTGTAGATGATTTTGAAAAAATTGGTCAATTTGAAGCAAGTCGGAAAATACCCCTTTGACCTTTTTAACATTTTTTGTCCTTGAAAAGGTTATTCGAAGGTCAACTCTTAAGACCACATACCCATTTCTAACTTTCTAAATGTATTTTTCTCAAATGGATACACACCTAGTATATTTCGACCAACACTCATTACCTCGGAATCAGTCTCATTGATTGACAATATTTTCACCAACAAAAATAATATTCAAAACTCAGGACTAATTCTCATTGATATATCAGATTACTTACCATGTTATGCTATTTTTGAGACCACTGTTAGTGAGCTTAAAGAGGATATAATTAACTTTCGAAAAATTAACGAAGAAACCATGGCAAATTTCAAAAATGAGATAAACAATATGGATTTTTCAGAAATCTATCAACATGATAATGTTAATGAAGCTTATCAACTCTTTTCAAACATGATCAAAAATGCATATAATACTAGCTTTCCTTTGACTACCAAAAAACTCACAATAGTGAGAAACCGTGGATATCTAAAGCAATTATCAATTCTTGTAAAAAAAAAAACAGTCTGTACAAGAAATATTTGAAAAATCCTTCACAAGCACGAAAATCTGAATACAAAAAGTATAAATGTGTTCTTCGCAAAACTTTGAGGAAAGCTGAGAAGCTATATTATGACAATAAATTTGATAAAATCAAAGGAAGCATGAAGGACACATGTAGACTAATGGTCATTAATAAATGGCATCCTTAAGCGAAAAATCTCCCCAAAGAAAATTTCTACTACATTTAGATCAGGAGATAAGCACTTTAAGGAACCACAAGAAATCGCAAACAACTTCAACAATTTTATTCTATAATATTGGAAACAACCTTGCTAGAAAAATTCCAATCTCTCAAAAACAGCCAAGGTATTATTTAGAAAAAATTGAAAAAAATGTCAATAGGTCAATTTCTTTATTAGATGTTTCAAATGATGAGCAAAATCTTACATTAGAACTTGAAGACAAAAGCCCTGGTCAAGATCAAATCAAACCAATTGCAATAAAAGCAGATAATTTAATTATACCTCTGACATATATATGCAACCTCTCTCTTTCAACAGCAACATTTCCAGACTTACTAAAATAAGCAAAGGTCAAGCCTATAGTCCATGGTATGAAATCTCTAGGACGTCTAATAAAGGAGCTTGTAGCACACTATAGCGCAGCGATATTTGACCTTACATTAACATACCTACATATGTCCCGTTATAATTTTTATTATAACCTTTCAATATACTTCCGGCTTTTAGGCTGAATTATGCCTGCCATTAACAGAGGTAAAAAATCACCAAAAAATCAAATCCCAATTTCGCACAATTTGGAGTACACAATGCAACAGAAAATAATACAAAATGATTTTAAATATATGACTTAGGTCTATAGCTCAGTTGCTTTTAAAACAACCATCAAGACTTGATCAAATTCATGAATAATTGAGAAAAATCGTTATCATTATCTTCCTAAAATTTGATTGTATCCAGCGGTAAGGTCAAAGAACAAACAGCCATCAGAAAACTTGATGATATCCACCAGTAACGTCGAGGAAGAATATCAAGGCGTTCGATTGCATATGACTCTAATTGATTATTAGACATGCCCTTGGAATATATGAGCATTCCAATACCTCTGTAACATTTAATTAGATATAAATCTTACCTATTTGTTATTGTATTATGTTTTGTAAAACACGAACAAAAATTTGTTGTTTGACCCCTTGCGATTATATGGAAAAATTCTGGAAATAAAATGTTTTAAATGGTAAGAAAACTAATATGTTCCCAATCATAAATTACCTAAATATTCCACATAATTTTGTTGAATCATCTTGGCTCATATTTGAAAAATCAAACAAAATCTGAAAAACACACTTGCATAATTACACTAATTAAACACCGACATCTACGGTAAAATTAAATAGTTTAATTTAATTTTTAAATTGTGATAATTTATCTTTGTTCGTATGCTTAGAATAACGATCTGTGTCTTATAAAATGTATAAAAGTTCGAATCAAAATATTTACGTTTTTCGACCCCTTGTGATGAAAGACATTTTTCGACCCGAAAGCCGGAAGTTTTTTCAGCAAATGGTATTTTAAAAGAATCAAGACATGTACACCTTCATAAATATTGCTTCAAATGTTGCTGCGCTATAGTGTGCTACGGATCCTTCATATTCGAAAGTCATACCATGGACTACTACATTTAAAAAGGAGGATGAAACTAAATTCAATAACTGCAGACCAATATCCCTATTATCAGTATTCTCAAAAGTGTTGGAGCGAGTAATGGCAAATCGACTTATAGATTTTCTAGAAAAATATAATATCTTCTGTGAACAGCAATTTGGTTTTAGAAAAAATAGATCTACATATATGGCTATTACACGCTTCCTAGAAACATTAATCCAGTCAATTGAAAAGAAAGATCTTAATATTGCTTTTTTCATCAACTTGTCTAAAGCATTCGGTACGTTAATCTTGAAATACTTTTTCAAAAATTATACTATTATGGAATCAGGGGAAATGCACATAAGTAGTTCATTAGCTATCTTTCAAACCGAACTCAGGAAACAGAATATAACGACAAGACTTCCAAAATCAACACAGTCACCTGCGGGATTCCACAGGGCACAATCCTTGGACCTATTCTGTTTCTTATTTACATCAATGACATTGTTACGACATCCTCTATATTTAAATTTGTTATCTTTGCTGATGATACAAACCATCTCTGCTCACATAAAAACTAAGTACTCTTATTAATCAAGTCAACTCTGAATTAGAAAATCTTGACGAATGGCTATGTGCAAATAAATTATCGCTTAATATAGAAAAATTAAAATTCATGATCTTTCATCCACACAATTTAAAAGAATCTAAAATAAAAATGCTAAATATTAAAATTAGAAATAAACCCATTGAGAGAATTTCAAAGACTACTTTCCTAGGAGTTATTATCGATGATAAACTTAAATGGAATGAGCATATTGCTCATGTATCTACCAAAATTTCACAAGTAGTAGGAATTCTTTACAAGGTCAAAAATAAGATAGATCACTCTGCAATGATGTCTATTTATTACTCTCTTATATATAGCCATATAAATTATTGTATTCTTATCTGGGGAACAGCAACTAAAGCTCTATTGTTTCGAATTCTGAAATAACAAAAAAGATTTTTAAGACTTATTACAAACAGTGTTAGAACAGACGATTCCTCTCTACAATTTAAGAAAATAAAGATACTTAAATTAGAAGATATTCATAAGCTAAATGTTTGTATTTTTGTATTTAATTGTCTCAAACGACCCAACGAAATTCCTCAAACTTTATTCTATGACTATTTCATATCAAATGCTCAAACTCATGGTCAAGAGACACGTTATATATTCAATCTTAGAGCTAATAAATTTTAATCTACATTTGGACAAAGGAGCATTAAATACATAGGGCAAACAACATGGAATGAATTACCTAAAACTTTTAAACATCTGAATTCTAGAAATTTTAAGTCAGATTTGAAAAAGTATTATCTGGACAAGTATTAAATTGATCTGTATAACATTTAGCTATATGTGCTTATATATATGTATATTTCTTTCTCTTCTTTTACTCTTCTCCTAACTTTCTATCTTTAAAAACAGTTTTATATCTTGTCATCTTGATTAATACAATTATGTAATATAATCATATGTAACAATATACACCTGCATGTGTGTCAGTTGCCTGTACAATGAACATTGATATAATTGATGAATAAACAACTATGCAAACAAACTGTAAGAATAAAGTCAGATTTGAACTTCTGGAAACTTGTAGATGATTTTGAAAAAAGCCAGTCTATACAGTTTATGATAAGTTATTGGAAGTTGTAAGAATTTGTTACAGACGCCGATCGCCAACCACCAACCGCCGTCAAAAAACGGAGACCATTACAATATGTCACCACTTTTTGGTGGTGACATCAAAAGTCTAGTTTGTGCTATTCCCGCGCTGTTATTATATTAATTGTTTTATGTACAAATCCAGTTATCTATCGCCGATGGGTATTGGTTATTTGGTCATATGATCGCAACTTACTTGACAATGCTCTTTCGGCCCGATGCGACAATCATATCATGCGCACGATTAAGGCCAGCTATGAGTGTACTGAAAAAATAATGGAAATCCCTAAAACATTAGTGGAGAGCTCCACTTTCTTGATATGATTAAGATGGGCCCTTATCTGACGATAATCAATGGCCATCAATAACTAAATTCGATTCAAACATGACCGTGCTCTAATCTCTTTCTCATCCGTGCTCTTTCTCATCCAATCAGAATGCAGCATAGCCAAGAGATGCACGACTATTCAATCTGCTTCCAGGAATCTATGTACATGTATTGTGTTGTATAATGACGTCACGTGACGTGAAATTCTACACTCCAGAGGGGGATTAACACCAGAGTTCAAAGGAGACATACGCTTATAATGAAAATCCACACCAAACTAGTTCTTACCCGTTCTTGCCAGTACTACGAAAACGTCTGTGATCTGTGAAATATGTCTAAAATAATCAGCTACTTCGTTCATAAACATTCTTCAATACGACCATCTCAATCGCAGTTCGTTCAGGTCGCACCACGTCGGTGTGCAATGTCGTATAACGCGTCCCTTAGTCTAGAAGGTCATCATATGACCTGATTACAGAACGGTATGGTCGCCATCGAACTTTGAATCAATTCAAAATTCTAAAATCACATTCCCGTCTGAGAACGTTCACGAAGTTCGTAAATAGACCTTAGAAAGTTGCAGCTACGTTCATTCCGTTCGCACACAGTTTAAAACCAGTTTTGAAGAACGCAGTGGCAACTTGTTTGGTGTGATAGCTATATTTTTGTTAACTCGTTCACAAGCAGTCTTAAATACGTTCTTAATCAGTTTGAACCCGTTTGCAATTAGTTCTACCTCGTTCTAAATACGTCCTCAGACAATTCAGCTCGTTGTTAAAACGTCCCTAGTAGGATAGAAGTACGATGGTTCCGTTCGTAGTTCGTCCAGCTCGTCGTTAGTACGTTGTCACTTGTTCTAATTGTAGAACGTATCGACCAAGAGAACATTTTGAGCAAGTCATAGAGGACCTACCCGTTCGAGTACGTTCGATGAAGTTTGCAAATAGACCCCAAACGGTTATAAGTTCGTCCAGTCCGTTCGTACAAATTTGAAGCTCGTTTTCGAGAACGTAGTGAAAACTAGTTTGGTGTGATAGTAGGATAATTGAAAGGAGCGCTATATTGGAGGGTACACACTCTAGGAACACGTTGAAATCGACAGAGCAGTCATTGGTAGCTTCTTAAGTCCTTATTATCCAAAATCCTATGTTAAAACGGTTGATTCAATGGGTAACACTATAAATATACACGCCTTCAGATAATTCGAGGTGAATAAATATCAACTTTAATAATAATAGTCAATCCTCACAATTTCCTTGACAAGTTTGAATAAAAAAATTAGCAATTGAAGACCCTATTGGAACATTACATGGAATAATAAAAACATATAATTATGTACTGCCATGATATTAATTTGGCTCTTCAAAGTAGGCACAAATTATCTTTACATTCAATGTGTAATTTTGTAGTTTCATAAAAATAACTTCATGGGCTTTACAGTCATGGTCGAAATGCCTTCAAAACGCAGTCATACCTCCTGGTTCAGGCAGGCTTTAGAAGGCATTTCGACCATGATTGTAAAGTCCTTGGAAGGTTTTACAGGGTGGCCCAAAAACAGAACCCTCTAGAAATGTAATAATTGTCTATTCATTTTTAAATCAAAATATTAAATCAGACTTAGGCTACATTTCATCTCTTCTTTGGAATTTCATTTTGAATAAAATCTCAAGAAATGATTTTGTCTCGATGTTGATTTTCCGAAAATTGGACACATTCTAAGATCATCCATGATATCACAACTAATTAATTTTGTGTAACAAACTATACGATATCATATTATTATCCATATACTCTAGTTTATGCCTATAAAATAGGTTGAAATGATAGGTATTAAAGATATTATTACACTTTTAGAGGGTTCTGTTTTTGGGCCACCTTGTAGACGAAGCTCTACAGATTTTCCACATAATAGCCCAATTTACATTAGCACAGCATTCCAAGACGTTTTGGCTAAAACGTTTTAGAAAAATTAAGTTGAGTTTACATTACCATTTTCAAGACGTCTTGGGAAATAAGATCGAGTTTACACCTGTTTTCCTAAAACGTCTTAGAGATATGAGGTATACATGTAAAATGAAAAAAAAAAACAGTTCAGTACTGGTTGAAGGACAGTTCAGTCAATATAGCTATTCCTTTCCCGCTTCTATACTTTGTACCCGACTTTGTACTAAAGAATGCATCGGTTTCAGAAAAATATATGTCCTAAAGACAGCATTGTTAAAAGCATGAAAGAGAGCACGAAGATTTCATGCATAAATTAGGATTATGATAAATCGCCAGGCAAATAAGATTAGTTCTTCTCAATAATTTTGGGATGATATTGGGAACAAGGGATAAGACAAAATAAAGGACCATGCGACATATGTAAATGTAAAGTTTCAAATGTTTCGTTCGGCGCAACGCAAAAAACACTATGGCTAGTAGGCTCTTTATTGCGGTTACAGTAACCCCTGACTGCGTTTTGAAGTACAAAATAATGTCTTTTGAGTAGGTGTCCAAGGCATTTTGTTTTTCAAATAACTAACTACAGGAGCTATACATTTAGGGTCTCTTCTTATTAGTTTCGTATTTTCCAAGATATAGCGATTGATTTATTCGGATGCGTTTTTTCGAAAACCTTGTACTGTATATGGGCAATATATCAGCCATTATTACCACCTTGCCGGGCCAGTTCTAGGGGTTTTATAGTCTATTAGTGCTAGTTTAGAAGGTGTTTATTTTACTATATCGACCTGAGCAATATGTGACGTCATAGTGTTGGTCAAGAATGTATTTCAGACCGGTCGAGAATGCATTTAACGACCGGCAATTTTCCCTGGGAAACTAGATATCGTTCAGTGCGTAAGATTTTCTTGTTGTTTCAGTCCTGGTCGTTAACGGTGGTAACAATACTAATAACTTCTGCGGGCAATATAGTGTACTATATTGCCCTTCGAAATGACCATGTGGTACACGTTTTCATTTCGATTTTATATGCCATGCTTAAACTCGTTAACCTCTCATTTGAGGTTGAGGCAGTTATGATGAAACATTGTTAATATCATAAATGATTTTTTTATATATTTTATTTTATTTTATAATAAAAGATGTATGAAGAATTCCTGAAAGATTAAGTCTTATCCAACAAAATTTGGTAGAGATATGGGATAATTTGTCCCAGAAACTACATAATTTTTGGGAAAAATTCTCAATCGGAGGATATAATTATGCAGTCATTAAAAAATTTGGGCCTATTGTGTATAAAACCTGAATAAAAACTTCACTGATGTTGTTAGCACATATATATTTCATACATTTCAATAAATAGTGTATAAATCTATTTTTCTGATTTTTCTCTTTAGGACCTCTTATAAGAATTCAAGAAAATGGGCGTGGCATCTTACACTTACAGTATTGAACTTGTTGCTAGGGTCAAATAGAAAATGTGTTTCATTTCACCAAAATGTGTTATTCTAAATAAATCTACACATATGCATATGCGAACGTCCAGTTGTCAAAACTATGCAGGGGTGTACAAGCTTTATTTTATATTTGTCATAAATTGTTGAGTTGTAATGTTTTGTGTTGTGTTTATGTAATAGAAACTGTCTCTCGTTTAGAGCAATGATGTAGTATTTAAGGAGGAAAATAAAGAACTGTACATGATAAGTGCATAAAACCTGACTCAAATGAAATAATAGTGCTCTTCACCCTCTTCAAGTGATCCATTCGATTCCAAGGCAACGATTATTGGAATCTATTTCACTTGTCGGCTACGGGTATTTTACTTGAACATTTGTAATATCTTCAAATAAACCTTTTCTTTAGTTAAAAACATTCAATACAAGACAACGTGCATTTGGAAGCGCCCAATTAAACTGAATCACGTGATCTAATTATGCGCAATGAATTATATGATTTCTGTCGCAGTGTTGCGACGGCCAATCAGATTGCGAGTTCTTAATCGGGGAAATGCTAACTGCTTATCGCAGGGGGTAAAAGGAAAGAATATATTCTGGATTTTGAAGCCCTGAAGATTGGAGGATGGACAACGTGTAACTACGGAATGGCTCATCCATGGATATATCTTTTGGATGAGCCATCTTATACTTTTTTGGACAAAGGATCCCGTATTTCTACCAAATCATGTTGAATAAGGCTTAAACTTTCAGAAATTGTATATACTGTATGTTTTATCACAACTGCTGCATCTCCAAATGAGATGAGATGGTTTTAACATACGGTCAAACTCAGACTTGGAAATGATAACATTTGCTGACTCAGCACCAATTAGCCTGATTTTCAAACTGCCATCGATTTTCTTTTACATGTCTTGGGGTCCCCTACAAGGATCTGAATTCAATTTGAATCAATAGTTTGGACACGAAGAGGATTGCCCGAAGTTCTACTCGTATATAACACATTCTGCATATGGTGACTCTACTTCATTATTCTAAATACCTACGCAAATGTGCCGTAGCCCCACTCATCAAATATTTTGATTGCATGTATCCTCGCCCCTGGTGCAGCGCCAAATTCCCCACCAATCAGACCTACAAATAAAGAAATTTAAGCTTCTTAATCTTTCCTGTAAATTGAGCCAACAAAATGTTCTGAAAAGCAAGCCCAATGTTCTGTTTAAGAACCCATATTCTGACTATTGAAAATAGTTTCTAGGAATACTATCCAACATGAATCTACTTGTTGAGACTTGATTAAGTTGAGTTGTTGTATTGGCTAAAGATGGGGATACAATTGACTTAAAAGCTGCATAATATCATAGATGTCATCATTGGGTAGATACAAAATCCTCATAATCTCAGTCAAATTGAACTCAGGTTTATCGAGTCTCAACAAGTAGATTAAAAAATTTCAAAAATCAGAATAGGGGTTCAGGACATTAAAGCTTTTCTAAGACCTTTTGGATATTTTGGTTAACTCTAAAAGAATGCAAAATGTCGTTTGTTAAAATAGAAACACACCCAGCAGTGAAACTCGCTTTGGTTGTCAGACCTCAAATTAGTATCAGGAGTTTTGTACAGGGTGACCCCAGAAAACAGAACTCTCTAAAAGTGTAATAATTTCTTAAATAAAACCCAATATTGATTATTTGTAATACTATGGATGGTTTTAGAATGTGTCCAATTTTCCAAAAATCAACATTGAGACAAAATCATATCTTGTGATTTTGAGAGTAATTCAGAAAGAAATTCCAAAGAGAACGTCAAATGAAAGTCTCATTAAATATTGCAATTGAAAAATGAAGAATAGGCAATGGTAAAACACCTAGTAAAAATCAGATGACTAAAATTCCTGGCCTCAAACGCAGTACGAAATTCCAGTTGATGAATTCTGAAGAAATTGTTAAGATAGCAAAATGATCAGTCAGGAGAATTGCATTTCAAAGTCAAATATTTAATAATGAGCTAAAAGCGAAAGAAAGTAAAAGTTTAACACCCGAATGAAAAAATTGATCAGTTACACCCATACCCATTTACCGGGTAATTGCGTTGAACGCAGTTCCAAAATATCACCCAGAAGGTGCAGCCATACCTAAAGATGACTTAAAGGTTGCTTGGACACTACTTCATAACCTCTATATTCACAAAATTCAGCTAAACAAGAATCTAAAAGAATGTGATGAGTTTAAACAAACAATGTGTGGCCTTTTAGTTGACGTGGAAATCTTACATTTTCTAAAGTGGGCACATTTTTTATTTGAGAATAACAAGAAGAATATTGAATGTTATGTAACAAAGGACTCACATTGGCATCCATAGATTGTAGTTTCCTTTCTTGAAAAATGAAGCTGAATACATACGTATTAGAGAAATTATTTCATTTTTTTAGGCTTCTGTTTTTGGGTCATCCTGTATTGTAATGTATTGTTCTTATAATGTATTGCATTGCATTGTATTGTATTGTACTGTATTTTATTGTATTGTATTGCAAATATTGTATGAACAGTTTTGATACTGAAAGGATTTAAGAGCCCCATGAAAGTTTACGATAATTAGTATAAACTAATTTTGCCATTTTACTCAAGACATTTGCGGTAATATCAACGACATCCATTTGTACCATTTTTTGCCAACACAACGGGTAATCGTGACCAAAGAGATGTATTTCTAAAAATTGATTACTTTTTCCTAAAAACAGCTGCTTTAATGATGAATTTTTGAACGAAAAACAAAATTTCTATATTGAGGCTAATATAAACTCTGAATTAATATAATGTATAAATTGCATCGATATTTTCCAACATGTTTATAAAATCTGCTACCAGCCCCAATAAATAGATTGTTTGATATTTCTTGCTCATTAAATAGAATCCGTTTATTCCCATTAATACAATTGTGAAATATCTTTATCCTTTTACACAAATTAAACAAAATGAACAATTTATGTAAAAATCGTTTAAATACTACATTCAGCTGTTAGTATCATTTTTCAAAATAATTGATTAATCGTAAGCAGATATGTTCATAGCTGATATCTTAGATGTGTTTGGAGTATACTAAACATTAGACAGCAACAAAATTCACAACAGAAATACCAATATTTTGGCTGATATTTTTTTTAGGTACGCGATAAAGGTACTTTTTGGCGCATCAACACTGCTAATTAAACCATGGACGTATATCATCGTTGATATACGTCCATGATTAAACCAGTGTGTCGGGGATTCAAATATTTGACAAATCATATGTGCATTTCAAAAGCATTTCATGAGTAACACATATCTAATATAGCCATTTTAGAAGATGATTACAAATATATTTTAATTAGAAGTTGGAAAATATCAACGCAATCGACGCACTGCATGTGCTGTAATCTGAATTCTTATATGCCACAAAAACGCAAACGTTACTCTTTGATCAAAAGTCCATCATTAAAGCTGTTATTAAGAATGAATTAAATTCATGTTCTGTTCCTATGGCCAGGCTCATATATCCAATCAAGTGTGTAGCTTCAAGAAGCGAAATTAAACTGTTGGAAAGCGTAGGCCTAAGATGTTTTATTGTTTTACCTGCGATCGCAGTACCATGAGAATTCCACGTGAAATCGTAAGCGTTTGACTCCTGAGTAACTACATCATATAGCTGAATAATAAGTAATGGGTAATTGCATATATTAAGGAAAATATTATGGCATATCAAAATGTTGAATTTTCGACAACAGAATATGCATTCACAAGAAACGTTGTCAATATATTTCACACCGAGACAAAAGTTAAAGCTAAATTATCAGCGCACTATTTTAAGACTATACAGAATACGAACCTTCTTCTGCTAAATATAATTGTTTGATTGAATAGAGACGTAAATGTTAATGTCAACATAAATGTTAGATTACCGAATCGATGTTATTGTAGGTGGCAAATGCTGGATGTTGATCAAAAATCCCCCTAAAAAGATAAATCACAGTACGATTAATTATATTGTTAGTTGTTACCCATCTGTGTAACGTCGCAATTCTATTTAAATAGCATATACGCAACTTCAAAATATCAACGAAATTTACTCGGGGTGGAAAATTTTCTAAGAGGCTCCGTTAAGGAAAAAATGACTTTTAGAGCTGGATGGAATTTCTGTGTATTTTTTATTCTATTAGGGTGTCCTGCATAAGGGATTTCGCCTGCGAAGCATATAACTCTTGCGAACATATCTAAATACTGGTCCGAAGAAGACATACCTTGAATTTTTTAGAAAAGAATTGGCTAAAAATGGAAACTACAAAAAGTCAAAATGTTCAACTCAAACAAAGTTGTAGCTATTCTATACCAATATTATGTGTTATGTAAGGTTTCTCAAATGTTTCAGGACCTTCATTAGTATACTTGTGTCTAGAAATGTGACATTTAAGGACAAAATTTGGCATTTTTTAATCATTTTCGCTTTCAGCATTAACATATAGTTCCTTATATCTCGAGATTAATGCTGACTGGTTGTTGCATTTTTGATTAAATGTGTGCTTGTACATGTGTTCTTCCATTTAAGGTATAGAAAATGTATAGTGGACCACCAATGGTCACATTAGAGCTTTCAGATCTCCCCTACCCCATTTATTATGCAAAATTACCGAAAAATATGAAAAAATAGAATAACTTGAAATCATAAACTTTAACAAAGTTGTAGCTATTCTATATCAATATTATGTGTTATTTAATGTTTTTAAGATATTTAAGAACCTTTATCGTTATACAAGTGGCTAGAAATGAGACATTTAAGGACAAAACTTTGCATTTTTTCATCATTTTTGCTTTCAGCAGTAATATATAGTTCCTCATATCTTGAGTTTTATGCTGTCTGATTGTTTCATTTTCAATCAAATCTGTACTTGTGCATGTCTTCCTCCATTTAAGATATAGAAAATGTATAGTGGACAAACAATGTTCATATTAGAGCTTACAGATATCCCCTACCCAATCTATTATGGAAAATAAACGAGAAATATGAAAAAATAAAATAACTTGAAATTATAAACTTTAATAAAGTTGTAGCTGTTCTATATCAATATTATGTGTTATTTAATGTTTTTAAGATATTTCAGAACCTTTATTGGTATTCAAGTGTCTAGAAATGAGACATTTAATAACAAAATTTGGCATTTTTCATCAATTGATCATCATTTTCACTTTTATCAATAACATATACTGTATTTCCTTTTATCTTGAGTTTTATGCTGATTGGTTGATGGATTCTTGAACAAATCTGTTCTTTTGCCTGCCTACCTTGATTTAAGGTTTTTAAACATGTATATTGGACAGCCTGTCATTATATTAGAGCTTACATATCTCCCCTACCCCATTTATTTTGAAAAAATAACCAGAAATATAAAAACAATTTCAAAGTATAGACTTTAACAAAGTTGTCGCTATTCTAGTTCAATACTATGTATTATTTGATATTTTCAGATGTTTCAGGAACTTCATGAGTATACAAGTCCAAAAATTAGACATTTAAAGTTGAGTTGCAAATGGGACGGGTATTCTCTATCTTTGTCTATTTGGGCTTTCTGGTAATAATACGTTGCAAACTGCTCATGAATCTATGCAATGTATAGTAGAACACTTGGAATATATTTAAATGAAATGGGGTATAGTAGTGTGATAATTATTATAACCAGTGATCAAGCCATATTGGTTGAATTCCCTCATATCAATTGCAATGTTGTCAAAGGCTTGGTGATTTTCATATTACACTACTAAGGGTGGTGTAATTAGGAAGTTCATGAAGGATATTGGACATGGGGATATTTTGGTAGTTGCAAATATTGTGAAATGAAGAACAGCCAACAAGATGATTTTGGAAAGCATTACAAAATGGTAAGCTGTCTTTGGTTTGTGAAGGAATGTTAAACAGGATCTTAAGAGGTTCTGGACAAATCATTTGCGTTATTACGCAGAGACATAAACGTATACACAAGGAAACGATAGGAGATAACCTATTTTATCTCTGTATACATTTTAACTTTAATACATCGTTGAATCGAATTTGTCCAAAGGTCTTGAAACGTAAAATACCTAAATATTTATCTTAGACCTTGGGATGACCTTGTACAAGAAACATTAATGTTGACCTCGGTTCATCTAATCATAATTCGCCAAGGGCCATAGTATCATCAAACGCCAAATACCTAGACATTGATCGTTTATGCCTTGGTCACATAGGCTCCGATTTTCACTACGGCGCCCGGCCGATTGAGTATTTTGTTCAAAATTGAATACAATATTGAACGAAACACTCAATCGGCCGGGCGCCGGCCGATGGATCGGAGCATATGTGACCCAGGCATTACTTGGATTTAAATAAGGAGTATGATTTTAAAATTGGCTAGGTCGTGGTTAAGCAACAATAGTATGTTCGAAATACCGCTGTGTAATGCCTGGATCACATTTGCTGCGAGTATTTTGTTCAAAATTGAATACATTTCTGAACACAATACTCAATCGGCCGGGCGCCGTAGTGAAAATCGGAGCAAATGTGACCAAGACATAAAACAATTGAATAATACTGTATCAGTTTCACATTTACAGCGGTCAAAAGCATTTACAAAAAAACCGCCAGAGTTGGCAATCATATAAAATGAAACCAATCCCGCTGTGATTCATAGAAATAACTAATTTACTGCATTAAGTTCAATGTTATAACCATGTCGATTTACATGAGTGTCCGATTCATTGTACCAAAGGATCTTGTACACCTGCCATTATGATCTCCCCATGAACAAAATGAATCATTTTTAGGTGTAATATAAAGAATACAATGTTACATAATACTTTGGAAAATATTTAAGCGTTTGGCCCCACATGGGCTGAGGTTGGGGTCATTAAGTTCAGCAAGGGTGTATTGACTTGACATTGGATGTGTTCTATTGACTTAAAATGTGGATACCATCAGATTCCAATGGAGGCCATTGGTTTCTATTGATTTTCACAAAAATACCTAAAATACACTATGACCTGAATCGATTGCAAATTAAATAATTTCACAATATGACACAAATGGTATTTCAGATCAGATGTGCAAATATAAAGTTTGCAATCGATTCAGGTCATACTTCAAATTAAAAGATTATTCATTTTTTTCATCATTTTTTTCCTACAAAATGGCTATAGAAAAATGCTTCAAAAGCAACTTTTACACTTATGAAATCCCATACAACTTTGTAAATCCAAAGATTATACTGTTATGATTCATTAATTAATAACATATTTTGATAAGATGTAGGGATGTGTAGGATGCAAATGGATTTTGACAGACACAAAAAGACTTCCTGGTTTGGCATCTCTACCCCTGTACACTTTATGATTGAATATTGCCCTAAAAAGTGGCTCATTCATCAATACAGAGCTGAATATAGGTCAACAAGATACTAGTGTACATATAAATGTAATAATAAAAGCAGTATATTTATTTTGAAAAATCAGATGAATTTATTTTTGTTCATGGGGAGATCATAATGGCAGGTGTACAAGATCCTTTAAACCTTGACTGTTCTCCAGAAAGCAATAAGCTGACATATATCATATTTTACATTTTAATACAACTGAAAAGATAATAAATGTTTTAATATAAAGTTGACGTAGTTATAAATGTTTTCAGCGTAAAATCAAAGCACAACCATATAATTAAAAACATTACGCTGGGATTCCAACTGGATACAACTGACGAGTTGTATTTAGGTGGCCTAAAGTGCTGCTTATTTTTTCGTGAAGCCACTCCAGGCCCGTAGCCAGGGGGGGGGGGTCGATGGGTTCGAGTGAACCCCCCCCTGGCCAAAAATTATTTTAAAATCATGCAGTTTTTCACCATTCTGAGCACTTTTTAAGTGATTTTGGCCATTTTCGGACCAAAATTGTCAAAAGTGAACCCCCCCCTGGAATTTTTCAAAAAGTGAACCCCCCCTTGGCAAATCCTGGCTACGGGCCTGCACTCAGTAAAATTACAATTTCTCTCAACCCTGATGTTCAATCAACATCATTCGAGTATCTATATGTTCTTGACACGTTCGGGCATCCGGTTATGACAACGTCTACCCAATGTTTGCACGAGAAATTGACGTAATTCATGACTGAAATCGGGAAGACAAAAATATGTGATATTCTTTCAGAATTGTTTATAATAACTATTTACAAAAACGTTCCCGAGACACAATCCATTTAGGTAGGGTTTGTTTGAAAGTCGAAAACCCCAATAAGACAATAGAAACCCAGATTAAACCCAGAAGAATGCAGATTTCATGTAATGATTTACGTTCATGTAAACAAGGAAAGTACATATAATCCCCATATAAAACACTGGCCTACGTGACATGTAAACACAGGTTCAAATTGAAATATAGAAAATTTTCAACATAGCATTTGCTTCTGTGTTCTGTATGCCCCTCTACCTGCTAATAAGACAATGTATCTTCAAATAAAACGTTAGCCAAGTAGATAAGGGTCTCTGGAACACTTTTGTAAATAGTTTTCATAAGCAATTTTATTCCCGGACGCCCAAACGTGTCAGGAACACATATATATTTGAATGATCTTGATTGGACATCAGGTTGCAGAGAAATCGTATTTTTACTGAGTGGATTATTGAATTTCATAGATCTAGAGGCCCTTCAGGAGGGGAAAACCTTAAATTATCAGAGATTAATGTTTCCAAACTGTTTTGAAACAAACTAACGTCTTGTTTTCAACCTACACCTTGCTCCTTTCTGTCGTATTTAATAAAACAAAAATAGTATATCACGGAGGGATACGAACCACTCACCTGGGACTTGGTTATTCACTAGCGCCATAGGCGTTCTACTATTCTGGATACAACTGACGAGTCCTATTTAAGTGGAGACAAAAGTGAGGATCATTTTGAATTGACGCTCGGTATAAATATATAATACTTTTGTTCTTTCATATCGGTAGCTCGTTGGCCTAATGGTTAGCGTGCCTGGCTTCCATAGTCTAGGTTAGTTGATCGAGACCCGTTCATGTCGAACTTTTTGATTTGCTTGTTGTCAAGATATAATAAGTAGGGCAAAATCCAGAAAAAGTAGATCAAAAATACTCCAATGGAGTATAAAATTGTCACCAGGATTCCGGAATGAGACGAATGTTAACTCGTGAAATCTCGGTAGATAAGGTAGGTCAGAAAATCCGGATTAATCCGAACAAGGTTCGGGAATTTCCGTCATAAGAAGTAGGTCAAAAATACTCCAATGGAGTATAAAATTGTCACCAGGATTCCGAAATACGACGAATCGAATCGGCTAACTTCGGTACAATAATGAAGTGCATAAAAATCGTGAAACAGGTGTCAGGGGCTTCCCTCATCTTTCCATAAATGGTTCTAAAAGCCTTATATGGATCTATCACGTGACATTCAAAATGACGTTCCTATATGGTTCTATAGGCCTTATATGGATCTTTCGAACACGTGACCAAATCAAAATCAAAATCAAAATTTTACCTTGACCATTGGATGGGATTTCATAGAAAATATCAATGAAAACATATTCTCGTGATCCTTAAATCACTTAAATTCGATCATTTTATCTTCACCCCTTGATGGAATTTTATGAAAGAAGTTATGAAAACACATCATCATGTAAGGGTTTTCACCTAAATTAGCTCGTTTTATCTTGACCCTTCAATTGAATTTCATTGAAAAATGTTTCATGAAAAATATCATGTTATGATTTGTATTTAAATAAGACCGTTTCATTTAAATACTTGCTGGATAATATTTCATTAAAAAACGCACTTTAAAAATATTTCAGGATTTGCCTTAATTTATCAATGTAATGTAAGTATTAGATTGACTCTCAAATAGGGTTCTATTTTAACTTTTTTATTGAAATTAATACTAGGCAGGACTCACTCTCTAAATAGCTAATAAAAATTCAACCCTTGGATGTGATTTCGTTGAAAAAAAAAATATGACAAGTCCAGAATCAAATGATTTGTCCAGAACCTCTTAAGATCCTGTTCTTACTGTATCTCTAAAATCGGATGAATTTCACTTATGGCAGAGCTGATATTGAACTTTGCAAAACTGATAGTTGCAACTTATAGACAATCTATCAAATACTGATCATGCAGAAGTTGACACTCTCCTTATGGTCCATGTCTTTTACAGTGCTGCAGACAAGACAAAGGAATTCAATGTTGAGCGAATTTGTATTCAGCCTAATGATACAGAATGTTGCTTGCAAAGAAGGATGAGAGTTAAAATGAGCTCTTCAAGTTTCTTATGTCTTTCAAGTAAGCATTCTAAATTACTATGAATCTCAAAGTGCAATACCTATTTGAAGATATATCAAAGATGGGTGTCTTGTACCAGTACTCACAAACAAACCCTCGTAGCAACACAAGAAACATGTGTCCTTGGCAATTCGGAAATGTAAAAAGGCAAAAGGCAGAGAAAATTGCTAATACAAAGTTTCTAGTCAAGGGTGTAGTATTGCTACCTGTCCATGTGGCAATAAACAACACAAGTGCACATTGTTGGACAATATTTTAGGATGAGTTTCTCAGAACTATAAAAATTATTTAGAGATCTTACATATCTGAATATCTTGTGGTGTCATGAGACATTTAAAATTACTGAAATGCAGCTCTAACGTAGAACCAGGGAGATATCAAAAACCAGGCTGTTGCTGGATTAAGTTCGAGAGTTGTGAACAATCATGTTTTTATATAGACATATTCTTTGATTCATACATGTATGAGAGTAAAATGTGAAATTACAAAATTATTTCGCACTGTTCTCAATCTTTTAAAAATATGGTTGTGTTGTAATTTTATCTTTAATATGTACATTTGTGTTTAAAACACATCGTCTATGCTTTGAAGATAACAAGACACATAATTGAATATATATGATCTAAAATATATCAACTAATCACCATTCAACTAAAAATATAAACAACTATTGCTGAAAGTGAAAAATTTGTGATTTTGCCCATTTATGTGTCATTTTTGATTTGTGCTTATAAATGTGCTAAACTTTTGAAAAGCTTAAAGAGTCACTAATAGGATACCACAATCAAGACCCCTCTGGACTTTTTTGCATATTGAGTTTCACCACATATTCACCCATCTACTAACCAAAGAAGAAGTCCCAAATCGCCCTCTTTCATTGTGAATTTTTGCGATTGTGCTGGCCAATCTAATTATTTTCGCACAAATTAATTCAATCTGAAGTTTGAATATACCGGGAAAGTCCTCCTGTTATCTGATTGGTCGTTGGATTTGTTTATCATGAATCTGATTGGCTGCCAGGTTCAAGGCGCTTGTGGGCACTTGTGTGACTCAATGGGGATTCCCCTCGCTAGCCGAGGAATCGATTTTGTTTAATTCTGGAGGTCGGTTGTTCTGTTGATTATTTCAATATTTCGACAAATAATATGCCCAAAAGTTATTCTCAAGATATATCCATGGTATGTTAGATATTATATGAGCAAGAACAATAGGACATCATAAATTGTCTGGGGGAGAAACCTTTGGTATAATGCACCTTTAAGAATATTAACATGCAATAATAATAAAATTTTTGTTGGTTTTCTTATTAAATGGTGGAGGGGAGATCTTATACATACATTTTCTATAACTTAAATCAAAGAAGACAGATTCAATAAAAAACATATATCAACTATCATTAAAGAATTATAATTGTGGAAAATTATATGCTATTGCTAAAAGCAGAATGCTAAAAATGCCAAATTTTGTCCATAAACTTTAGACAAATGTAATCAAATGAAGGTATACATAGTATTGGTAGAGAATAGCTACAATTTTGTTAAAGTTTATGTTTTGAAATTACTTTTTCATTTACATTATAAATGGGGTAGGGGAGATGTGAAGGCTCTAATACGAACATTGGTTGTCCAATATACATGTTGTCTATATAAAATGGTTGAAGACATGTACAAGTACAGATTTGACCAAGAATGCACCAACCAATCAGCATGAAACTCAAGATATAAGGACCTATACGCTATTGCTGAAAGCGAAAATGATAAAAAAAATGCCACGTTTTGTCCTTAAATGTCTCATTTCTAGGCACTAGTTTACCAATAATGGTTCTGAAATATCTTAAAAACATTAAATAACACATAATATTGATATAGAATAGAAAAGCTACAACTTTGTTAAAGTTTTTTTTATAATTTCAAGTTATTTTATATTTTCATATTTTTCTTTAATTTTTCATGATAAATGGGGTAGGGGAGATCTGAAAGCTCTAATGTGACCATTGGTGGTTCACTATACATTTTCTATACCTTAAATGGAAGAAGACATGTACAAGAACAGATTTGATTAAAATTGCAACAACGAGTAAGCATAAAACTCTATATATGAGGAACTATATGTTAGGGCTGATTTACTTTTTCATATGTTTCGGTAATTTTTCATAATAAATGGGGTAGGGGAGATCTGAAAGCTCTAATATGACCATTGGTGGTCCAATATACATTTTTTGTATCTTAAATGGAAGAATACATGTACAAGAACAGATTTGATCAAAATTGCAACAACCAGTCAGCATTAAACTCAAGATATAAGGAACTATATGTTACTGCTGAAAGCGAAAATGATCAAAAATGCCAAATTTTGTCCTTAATTATCTTATTTCTAGACACTAGTACACTAATGAAGGTCCTGAAACATCTGAAAAAGATTAAATAATACATAGTGTTAATATTAAATGGCTGGAGTTTTGTTTGAGTTGAACATTTTGACTTTTTGTAGTTTCCATTTTTAGCCATTTTTTTCTAAAAAATTCAAGGTATGTCTTCTTCGGACCAGTATTTAGATATGTTCGCAAGAGTTATATGCTTCGCAGGCGAAATCCCTTATGCAGGAAACCCTAATAGAATGAAAAATACAGAGAAACTCCATCCAGCTCACAAAGTCATTTCTTGCACTATTCTCACACCTTCCACCCCGAGTAATTATGCAATTACAATTTCTATAAAAAACAGCCCACAACTTACGTATCAAGAACATATACGTCTACCGAATCACACCCCAAAAGTTCATCTAAAATTAAGAGTTATTTACGATTATCAATAAAAGTCACCTACCAATACAATGAGTATAAGTATAAACATGGACACATACGTGTACAACATGTCCCTACCAATGGATGATCCTATACCGGTATAGATTATCAATCTAAATGCCCGGGACATTAATCAGTTGAAAAGACAAAATATCCAAAATGGCCGCCTTAATATTTACCAAGAATGCCAAAAACATAGCGGTTCCGGGTTTGCATACAAGGAATCTTCCCTGAACTTTTCAAATCGATCAGTCAACCTATTTGCTAGAAAATATTTAGAAAGAATTTACAGAGAAGATTTTAGGATGGAAAACCCGAAATGATCCATTTAACATTTACCAAGAATGCTGAAAAACTAGATTCTAGATGTCCATACAAGGAACCAAACCTAAAAATTTGAAATTGATCCTTTGGGTCGATTGCTTGAAAAGGAGGGAAATTCCAAATTGACCACCTCAAAAAAACAAGAATGCCCAAATTCATCAGCTCGATATTTTCTCAAAATGGCCCCACGCTATGTGGATGGGACATAATAAGTTACCAACATTAGAATCGAGCGAATATTTGGATCATAAAAGAAATCAGTACACTTTCATAACCCAAACAATTAATGGCATGAAAGTAAGCAAAAGTAATTGTTTTGAAAAGTCATGTAAAGAAAGGTATTCCAGAAACGTTTATACAATTAATTAGTCTCAGTATACTCCACTTTATCATTATATTCCCAAATATGTCAATAGATTCTGGCGGATTAATTTCTAGGAAATGAAAAATGTTAATTCTTGAAAGAGTTAATTTATCCTAACTACAATAGAAAAGATATATGAAAAATCTCCATCCATTAAAACGTGAGGGTACAGAATTGGGTAAACCAATGGTGAATAGAAAAATATTCCATTTATGGTTTGTATTTATTACCATATTCAGCCTTGTAAAGTGAATTCATTGGGCCAGCTTGGTCAATCCTATCAAGTCCCTACAATAAATGTAACTGATTAAAATTTGGAATTTTCAGAGTTATATGCCATAATATGCAAGCTTCAAGTTGAAGATGTAACTATTTCATTTACAGGTCAATATTACTCATTATTATGCACCTCATTAAAATACTCAAATCTGATTGGTTCTTAGTTGCTTGTAATTTGGCAATACTCTGCTCTTTTCTGAAAACTGCCGGATATTTTTTCTCTAAAGGGTCAGATATTTTTTTCAATGTTTTTGCAACATTCCTACTTCAGAGTTTTATTTCTTAATAACTGGAGTACTACTTAAAGTTTATATCTGAAACTGACGGAAATAGAATAAAAAATGCACTTAATCAATCACAATTACCCTTATCATTCAAAAGTTACATATAATTCTGCAAGAACGTCTCGAATAAATAAAAGTTAAATTCCCGGGGCAAATATTTTCGTCCAGTGTAGCGAATAAACTGGTCGGAAGTCGTCTGAGTTTTGAAAGAAAAAATAAATAAATGTCAAAATAATGTCAACTAAACGACAGTTTAAGCCTGTAAATGAGGTAAGTAAGTAAGTACTCCACTTAACTTTGATTGGGAGGTGCATAATAAAACAAATACTGGATGATCAGGAGCTGGATATGGCCAGAATACCTATCCTCGAAAAAATATTGGGCTATTATGCACCTTGTCTAGATTCTGAAATCTGATTAGTTATAAGCTGTTGGTAATTTGGCCATATCTGACTTTGTTAGAAAAATGCCCAATCGTTTTTTCAATGTTTTTGCAACATTCTCCACTTAAGAGTTTTATTTGTCAATAACTCGAGTTCTACAAAAAGCTAACATCAGTAACTGATGGCAAATAGAAGAAAAAAGTGTTCTTAATCAATCACAATTACCCTTATCATTCAAATATTACGCATGATATAATTCTGCAAGAACTAAATTAAATCCCGGGACAAGACAACGCTTTTTCGTTTGGTGTATAGTTAGACGGAACTCGTTCGAGTTTTTAAAAAAATCAAAGGTTCTAAAAATGTAAGTACATCGTAGCACACTCAAAACAAAGATTGATTGAGAAGGTGCACAATAAAACAAATACTGGATGATCGGGAGCTGGACCCGGGGAGCTGGATATGGCCAGAATACCCATCCTTGTCTCGCCTCGCCTCGCCATATATTTGTTTCTCGAATAGGTATTCTGCCATATCTAGCTCCTGATCATCCAGTATTTGTATATTATAATATGGTCAGAGCAATATCAGGTATATAATAGCAAGTGATAAATCACATATTTGGGACAAGGATGATATCAGGATGAGAGGGGTGATATTGATATTAGTAGCAATACAGATTGGTACACAAGAACTGGCCAATCAGTGGGATTCATTTTACAGATCATTCGATGAAAGAAAATATTATCTGTTCGATACATAAGGGTTATGTACTGGGAGGTTTTGGATGTGGGGTTAATCCAGAGGGAGATATGCATATCTACCCGAGGGGCCGTACATAACTGCTTTATCCTATACCAAGTAGAGTTTTCAGTGAAATTACCGGAATCGGGAAGATATGCACCGAAGCGGGAAGATATGCACTGAAGCGGGAGATATGGCGGGAGATATGGAGGTTCTGGATATGGAAACCTCAAAATCAGGATACGGGATATATCTTACCACCTTATCTCTGTAAAACTCAACTTGGCATAGGATAAATAGAGATTATCCTATATGAGGTTCAGGATATTGGGATTATCCCGAGGCCAATATAATATATCTGCACGAGGGCCGTAGGTCCCGAGGGTAGATATATTATATTGGCCAAGGGATAATCCCCATATCCTGAACCGACTATAGGATGATCTGTTTATCCCATACCAATCACAATGTCCAATTGGCCACAGTTCAGAGACTTCGTTACCAACCTTGGAATTATTTTAAAACATTCATGTCCAGTTTTGTATTCTTATCCGTAGCCGGATTTTCCTGTTCAAATATTTGAATATTAACGGGGCATACTGCTCCTTCCCTTCTTAAAAGCATCAAACAGATCGGGATTGTCTGCGTTTTTTCTCCATTGTCGTTTACAATATGCGAACGTTACAACAACGAACCAATACGGGAACAGCGATTATGACGTAGCGGGCAGATATACTATATCTGCCCGCTCGGAGCGGGACGTAAAGCTATATCTGCCCGTTGATGAAAATATAAGGTTTTACAAACCGGCTTTATGTACCTGTAACACGTCCAAGTATGGGATAAAAGTATGCTCCGAGCGGGCAGATATAGTATATCTGCCCGCTACGTCATAATCGCCGCTCGCATATTTGTTCATAATTTGTAACATTCGCGTAATGACTGTAAACTACAATGGAGAAAACACAGACAATCGGGATCTGTTTGATGGTTTAAAAAAGGGAAAGAGCATCCACTTAATCAATCAAAAATTCGAGAAAATAAATATGGGAATATTTGAGAGAACAGGAAAATCCACGGCCAAGAAAACAAAGCTGGACATGAATATTCTAAAATATTTCCACGATTGAACAATGTGAACCAGATGACCAAGGTTGGTATGGGATAAACATATTATCCTATAGTCGGTTCAGGATATTGGGATTATCCCTTGGCCAATATAATATATTTTCCCTCGGGACCTGCGGCCCTCGGGCAAATATATTATATTAGCCTCGGGATAATCCCAATATCCTGAACTTCATATAGGATAATCTCTATTTATCCCATACTTGGACGTGTTACGGGTACATAAAGCCGGTTTGTAAAAACTTATATTTTCATCAGCGGGCAGATATAGCTTTACGTCCCGCTCCGAGCGGGCAGATATAGTATATCTGCCCGCTACGTCATAATCGCCGCTCGCATATTTGTTCATAATTTGTAACGTTCGCGTAACGACTGTAAACTACAATGGAGAAAACACAGACAATCGGGATCTGTTTGATGGTTTAAAAAAGGGAAAGAGCATCCACTTAATCAATCAAAAATTCGAGAAAATAAATGTGGGAATATTTGAGAGAACAGGAAAATCCGCCCACGGCCAAGAAAACAAAACTGGACATGAATATTCTAAAATATTTCCACGATTGAACAATGTAAACCAGATGACCAAGATTGGTATGGGATAAACATATTATCCTATAGTCGGTTCAGGATATTGGGATTATCCCTTGGCCAATATAATATATTTTCCCTCGGGACCTGCGGCCCTCGGGCAAATATATTATATTAGCCTCGGGATAATCTCAATATCCTGAACCTCATATAGGATAATCTCTATATATTTCACTTTTTGTGATTTTATAACATGGGGTCTAGGGGAATCTTCTCGAACTAAATATAGAAGTCACATTTTCCCAAAAGCAAGTCTAGATGTACTTTTATTTGTAAGCTAAGAATGACCCGGTGTGAAAGAAATTATGGTCCCCCATGGATTATGGTCCTCCCTTTTAAAGGCCCTTACTGTCGCTGACTGTGTATAAGATAATACGGGAAAGAGCACAAAGAGGTCATCATATAAATCAATGGCCATGGAGAGTAGGACCATAATAGGACCACCTACCCTTTTACACCTACCCATCCACCCACGCACCCATCCAAATGTATCATTATTTTACAATTATTTTTCGTTTATCTGTTCTGGGAAGGTACCGATGTATTGATTGAGAAAATTCATCAAGGCATCGGCAACTTTTATCTCCGCGATAAAACTCTCCTGGCGCCCGTACACAACGTCTAAAAATCGGCCGATGTTGCCGATCATCGCCCGGCGCCCGTACAATGCCCGGTCGATCATCGGTCGGACGCCGTCATGAAAATCGGAGCAAATGTAAGTATTATATATATATAATGTGAGCTAGGCATTACTCTCATTGATTTACCCCGATCCATCGGCCAGCGCCCGATCGATTGAGTATTTTGTTCACAATTTTATTCAGTACTCGACCCTTGTGTAGACTTTTCGAACAAATGAGCACTACTCTTAAAGGTCCATGTGCAGTATGGCAAGTGATTTTAGACGGTGATATCTTTCACAATGGGTACTTTCTGGCCATCAATACAGTGGTTTTTATTAAAACAATATTGTTTTCTTTCAAGTGAAGTGCCCATGATAGTAGAATATATCGATCTAACTCTCTGAAAAAGTATGGATTAGGACCCCACCTTGGCACTTTTTTAACATGTTAGGCTCATTTTCTAAAAAGAGGATCTTGTATTCTCAATTTGAACATATCAAAAGTTTCTTCTACACTATATTAACAATTTCTGAAAAGGGGATGCGTATTGAAATCCGTTAAAGTTAAAAATAACATATCCCATGTTATTTTCCCTTAGGGAAAACACGCGCTATCCATTGTTTTCAGCATAATTTTGGTCATCGAAAATTGATATCTTCAAAACTAGACTTTCAATACCATTCACCTTTTGAAGATGTTTTAGACCCCTTGTTGAAGAATCTTTTCATGCAATAAAAAACAGAAAAAGAAGATGGGGTCCCCATTCATAAGTTTTCGAATTGTTCGATTGAAATTTTTATCATCATGATTACTTCACTTGAAAGATAACATATCGTTTTAACAAAAACCACTGTATTTATGCCCAGAAAATAGTCATGGTTATAGATATGACTGTCTAAAATCACTTGCCATACTGTACGTGGACCTTTACTCTTTTCAGAGTCCAAAAACCAATGTTTTAGTCATATTATCACCATGACCATTGTGATTCTTGTCATGCCAATTAGTGGAACTAATAAAACTGATTGGATGTCACATGAAAGGGTAATTTTTCGTATTTTATCTTATCTTTGTTCAGGCCACTTGCACCTACGTTAGAACTAATAGACTGGGGATATTGTATACCTTGGGATATACTTTTTTCATAAGGAACTCGTATTTCTACAATTTAGAGTAACCCTGCATTCTTGATCTTGCATTCTCCAAGTAAGGCATATGTTTCATTATGTTTATGTTCGCTCATAATTATTATCATTCAATGTTTTCAAATTGTCTGATAATGTTTAGCTAAGTTTAACAAAACGTCCATTACCGTCGATAGTTTGTGATTATGTTGATTTTGCATTGCTCATTGGCATAAAAGCAGTTCCAAGAAAGCCTTGGGGATTTTCGACGAGTTACATCTTTGGACTTATTTATTTCATGATGATGTAACACCGACTTACTTCTTAGTTCAGCATCGTTAAACCTCCGTAATGGTATTATTATCAGTTCTTAATCGTTATATGGATGGTACCTACCCAATTCTGGGAAGCGTCAATATTGTTGCACTGTTCAGCTAGACCCTGTATCACTATATTAGGATTGACACTGACAACATTCGTGTTCTTTTCTATCTCCTTAATGTACCTGGAATAACATTACTCAGGAAGCTACTACGGTAAAATCATTTTTTGGTCCATTGAGTACTGAGATGCATTTTTAACTGAAAAAGTTCGGAATAATTTACAAATCATTGCATCTATTCACATCGTCGTAAAAATATACTGCTTAGCTCGTTCTTCCCCCTTCGTTCGAAGGGAATGTTGGGCACAAGAGGCTGCAACAATAGCCAATGAGCGGCTAAAGCACCCGCGAATTGTCGGGACTGTGTGTAAATGAAGACTAGGACTAGGCCACTATGGTCCACAACAACTAAAGGAAAGACAAAGAGGCCAAAGATCACCAAGGAAATACGGAACCAGGAAGACGACGACAAGACTTGTGAGGACTGTTAAGGAGAAAACGGCCAACTGACCTGAATTACCTTTTCCCAAGCCTTTGCAGCCTTAAGCCAATCATTTACTACATGTGTTTTATTCCGCCTGTATATTGGGGCAAAATGGGCGAGTGTCTTACCCGAACTTTCATGTTGAACCAATTGATAGGAAATTGAGTATGGAAATTCGATTATTCACAAAATTGGAACTTGAAAGCCATAGTTTTTAAACTTCAAAGATGTTTTGGCACAGTTTAAGAGTCCTTCATTTTGTGTTTTTGCAATTGTCACCATAACATATATTGGACAACAATATCGGGACTTATGAAATAACATTTTAATATCTCTGATGCAGTGGTCACATTTGCTCCGTTCTTCAACAACGGCGCCGGGCCGATGAATATTTTGTTCAAAACTGAATGCTATTTTGAAAAATATATTAGATAGTACTTTTAATTTTCAGTATCATCAACATCTGATTACATATTTGAAAACTAGAGTAAAATTCTGACATACTAAAAAAATAGTTAAGGAACAACTCTTAATTTCTTGATATTATTGGCATGCATAGTATGACTCACTGTGAAAAAAGCCGAATATAGTTTGTATTATAGCAAACTGTTTTTTAGAATATCCCCCATATAGTTTAGGTTTCACCTAAAATATGGGCGAGAATAGTTTCTCCCATCTTCCTAAAAACGGAACACTTTAATATAAGTCCTGATATACTCTCCGGTACGCCCATATAAACTGAAATAAGTTGCATATATCATTGCAGAATGTATATCTTTACTGAACTATTTTCCACTTATACGCCTCAAAGTAGGAATCAAACCTACTATATGGGGTGAAAAAAACAACTTACATTTAATAAAAACAGACTATTTCAAACTATACTTGACTTATTCTTCTCTTATTCTACCTCAAAACAAACTATACGCGTCTTATACGCGATATTATCCCACCCTAAGTGCTTTATATGATTGTATAATAGCATTGTATAACTGCAATATAAAACCAACACTCATCGTATACAACTCTTGAGAACGATATACAACTCCTGGAGAGCGTATACAACTCCTGGGCAGCGTATACAACTCTTCGACTTGATATACAACTGCTGAATTTAGATTAACCTTTTATTGATTAAAGATTAGGGTGGGATAATAAGATCATATAATGGTTGATTCTGTATATCGTTATACTCTCGTGAGTATATGATATATTCACTCGTTCCCTTCAGTCACTCGTGAATATATCATATACTCACTTGAGTATAAACACGATATACGGAATCAACCATTATATAACCTCATATTACGTAATAGCTTCAGTTCCCGAGTACTGATGCAAATACATAATTCATCATTTTGCCTTATATTTGTTCAAAATGGCGGTATATTTCGTATTTGAATTGAATGTTCAGTGGAAAGGTAATATTTAAAATGTCATTGGTCTATGAAGTCATGTAGACTGCTGCTTTGGTATGATCGGTAATGACTGCATTTATACCTTTTTGTTTTAAATTGTATGTGTACGGTAAACTTCATACAGTGTATGTACTAGTATATTGGTAAAGTCGCAGAACTTAGTTTAGTACTATACAAGAATGTCGACTAAGTATTAAAATTCATTCTGAAGAACTTCTGACTTAGAAATGTCTGGACATTGACCAAAAAAGATTTAAGATCACAATGTCACACTGACATTTACAGGTGCTCGTGTGGCTGAAAGTGGGTTTTAATCATGATACGGCGTTCGGTTCGTGATCGTATTTTGGCGCACATAGTTTCGTAAATGAGACAGTGGAGAGGTTAAGCTTTGCATATATAATCGAAACTGAACCTGTACGTATCAGTCGACCATATACAAATTCATGTAGCCTTCTCATATAAATAGCCGTTCAAATCCAGTGTTTGTTTAGACTACACCATAGCGTGTAATGATTCTATAGTATATATTGATGCAGTTTTATAGCTGGTTTTCTAATACATATTTTAAACGAGCTCGTTTCGTAAGATTTTTGGCGCTAAATCATGCATGACATACATCATCGTGTTCAGCAAAAATTCAACTGTACATCGAAATCAAAATTGACAGCTAGTGTTCAATAGACACGAGTAAAATGGTTCCCGTTGACCCAACGTCAAATATTCAAATCTCCCGTTCTAAACCCGAAACTCTGAAGCTGAAAGAGTATCTGAAGTAGACTAAGCGCGCATAAAACTATGAGCGCTCGATACATTCCTTTGTTAATTTTTGTACTTTGCGTTCACGGTTACGTTGTGAAAACATCGTTAGCTTAACCTCTCCACTATCGTATCGCAAACGTATGCATTACGATAGGTTTGCGGGTTCGTATTTGCTCACGTCATACGTGTTTACCACGATGGCTTTATGAATAAGGCCTCGGATCTCCTAAAATCCCATTAAAACAAGATTTCAACGAAATTTCAAAGCTTTAAAGGGTCAATTGAGACTACGGTATTAAGTTTTAATTAATGTATTTTCGTTAAAAACTGTGTTCGAAGAAAAAAGCTACAACGTGCACAGAATGGACTACGGTTGTCTTACCTTTCATCCATGCATTCGATGAAGTAGAGTCTCGTGAATGTCTGCAGTGAAGCCGTCTTTTCATTATAAATCTCACGCTGTGTACTAGGATTACAACCGTACATAGAAGCGTCTACTTTCATGCTGTCGTACACACTCAGTGCTAATCAAAAGACAACTAGTTAGTAACAATTTTTTTGAAAATAATGTTTTGATTCTGTTCATCATTACCAGATGAAATTGAATATATGATAAACTAGGTTAGGATTTTGAAATATTAGAACCTGGGGAATACCTTCTGAATCGGTAAGTGAAGTTTTCATTTCCACAATATACTGTCCTGGAAAACTGGCTGGTTGTACGGATTGTGTATTTGTTCCTTCTAAAACAGCTCCTAAAAAGTATCTCGAAATCTCAAAAGTAATCTACTTTACTTACAGGGTGGGCCAAAAAACTAATACACATGTGAATATCATATTTTATATCAATTTAAAGATAAATCATTTCCGAACAATATGACAGTATCTGATTGAATAACTTTTGTTTTCCTGTGGAGTTAGAGGCTAAGATAGACACCAGGGGTGTCCTGAGCGACCAACAAATAATATTCACTGCAGATTACCGAATTGTGGAAAATGGAGTTTGTTTGTTTGTTTGTGAAAATGTTTCCCCCAAGCAGCTCAGGCAGTCTCAATTCTACAAGGATACGCTTCCAAAGTGTTCCAGGAGTGTTGCTCTTTTCAGGCTTCTGGGAGCCTTTTGATACATTTGAGCAATGCTTCATGGCTATAAAATTTCTCCTCTTGTTAGTCTTCAATTAATTTTTCGTCTCTGTCCTCCATAATTGCAGTATCAACTTTTCACCGTCCATTCACTATCCTGGTAATTTAACTTCTTTTGACGTAATCAATGGTCAACTACAACCTTACAAGAAACATTGTAGCAATTTAGGAAGAGTTAATTTTTGATATTCTAAGGGTGATCAGCATTTTACATAAGCTTTAAAATGATATATTGGAAAATATGATAACTTTCAAAATAAAAAAGTTAAGGTGAGAACAGACTCTACTTGATATAGGATAAAGCAGTTATGTATGGTCGGTTTGGATATTTGGTTCATCCCTCGTGACATATGCACATATACCTTTGGTCCTTACGGTCCCTCAGGTAGATATGCATGTCTCCCTCTGGATCTCCCTCTGGATAAACCCCATATCCAAAACCTCCCAGTACATAACCCTTATATATTTAGGCATTGTGTAGTCATAACATATGCCTAGCAAACACATAGCAACGGTTCCTAGTCAAATCATAGTAAGCATTAGAAAATCATTTAGAAGCATTTAAAATCAAATCCACGGCAAAATCTGAATAATCGATTTGATCAATCATAAAATATCTTTATGAATGTGTCCGGTATGTGCTTAAATATGGTATGTATACTTGCTTTGATTGTTAAATTGCAAACTAGGTAGGGTAAAGAATATGTCAAAGTCGTTTGATCTCGTTACAGAAGCAATATTTTGTCACTTGTATCTCCCAGAATACCTTTAACTAGGGTCTGAGTTAACTAGGTCCAAGTTGACCAGATACACCTAGCAACGGTAAAACATTCACAAAAATGAGGTATTTTTGTCAGTATTATGCCATTTACTTTTACTAATTCACAAGGCATAGCTAGGGGGACTCATGACGTTAAAATGTTAACCTATCAACCACTTAGCAAAGTTAGGTTATGGACTAAAATGGTCAGTTTTGGGCAATACTATGTCAATTATAGGTAGTTTCAGTTGATGTCATTTTGACTTCATTTCATATTTTGTTCCCTGTAGTTCAGAATTTCTTTAGTAAAGAGTAGTGTATATGCATAATGACACATAGACATACTGATGTTTACTGGTTCGGCAGACAGTTTCAAATAATCAGCTATCAAGTAACTGGCCACCAGCCAATCAGATGCCTTAATCTTCTTTTCCTGGCTGAATAAATTTTCATCAATAATGGGTGTCTGAACTTGGGTGTGAGAAACTGATCATGTGAATCAGAGTAACACAAGATCTTGAAGAGACAAGACCTTGTTAGGAAGGAGATTGAGGGTGAGTCCTCCTTGAGGTTGACGCCATCATGCGTAGTTTGCGGTACCAGGTGGTACTGATTTCTTCCGAGTGATTATAACTCTGTCTAATCTCATATTGTTGATCGATGTACTAGACCACACCAAAGAGCAGAGGCTCAGGTTACTCCTGTTTCGAAGTGACTTCCAAAGCAGAGGTTACTTCTAGAGCCTCGACTCTTCCAAAAGACGAGTTTGCTCATAGAGATGTAGCTCTGTTTTGAGCAGAGGTAGATTAGGGATCACTCTGGTTCAGGGTGTTCCTCCACTGTTGAGAACATTTTCCCAATCTCTCCATCTCCATCAAAATTCTGTTCTGACGGTGATGCTGGCGTTGAAGAAGCCATTGTTGTCGCATAGCTTTTTGTTCGCTTCTAAACAGCTAACTGACTGTTGCTCTACACAGCACGAATGATCATTTATTCATCTGCAACTCGGTTTCAGTTAATTTATGACTGGGTTAACATGACCAAGACTGCAATCATGACCTCTATGTAAAAGTTGCTACGAAGAAGCAAAGCCTGAACAAATGTAACGAAATGGAATCGGACTAATTCCCACGGGTTACTAGAGTATCCGCGTATATTGAGTATGACCGGTTCTAAGCTTACGAGTGTGACCGTATTTCTGTTCCTATAAACAGACGGGGTGAGTACTTGCTTTTTATGAACACTTTCGAACGTTTTCTTTTTATCCTACTTGGTCAATGAATGATACTTGGCATACTTATATTGCCAGGCATATCACAAGGGGCCTTAATCAAAAGAAAACGTATTAATATTAGATTGAAGCCGTAAAATCCTAGTTTCCAGCATCTTTGATCAGTTTTTGTGTAACACAACGCAACTCCGAAGAGGATGACACATCTTATGTATAATATATAGCTAGATCTACGAATTAGTCATGAATATTTTAAATAATTTAGCCTGCTCTGTCCAAATATGATACATCTTTGAATTTTTGAGAATACGAATGTCACTGGTGCCCCATTATTGGAGAATACGGTTGTGAAATGTCTTCCATGACATTTCACAAGCGTATCCTCTGGGAAAAGATAAATCCTTCTCTTGCTCACTCCACGGGGGATCATATAAACTGAGATTTGGAGATCTTGTTCAGGTTAGCCATAAAAAGGTTTGGGATTTGTTTTTTTCTACTGTGATATTAATGATTTGGCTCTAAGGCGAGAAATCTGTACTTTCTGATTGATATTCCATTATGAACAGTTACATTACTAAAATAGCTCATGTTTAACATTTTTTTGTTACATTACTATTAAATACAGTATAAACTATATTCAACAAACACAATTTCAAAAAGGATGATATAGAAGTTGACCTTTATTTTCCATTTTTAAGCAGCTGTGCCTCTCATGACTTTCCAAAACAGGTCATATTCGTAGCCTAAGAACCGGTCATACTCCATATACGTGGAAACTCTAGTAGCCCGTGATAATGTGTCAGCTGAATTTGGTACTTGGACACTAATATCTTTCTCATTCATCATCATTTTTCCCAACTTCCGCGGCAGATATTTTCTTGATCTACGTTAATATAGCAAACATGTATTTATAAATGGTTATTTTCCAGAAATTAAGGTTCCGCTAAAACACCAGCAGAACATCTTTTCTGGACCAAACAAACCATTGAGGCAACACTCAGAGATTGGCAGTTTCGGTTAACTGTCTGACCCATATTATCTACTGAAAATAATTCTGGCACGCAAAATGAGTTTGGGAAAAAAGCATTGAGTGTGGGGGAAAGGGTATGGGTTTGGGGGAAAAGGTATTGAGTGTGGGGGAAATGTTATTGGGAGTGAGGGAAATGGAATTGGGTGTAGGGGGAATGGTGTTGGGTGTAGGGGGAAATGGTATTTAATTTTGATTTTTTTATTCACAAATATAAAACATGTACACTCCCCTCCATAAGTTTGGCAACCTTTTTCCCCCATTGAACTACGTGTTAAAACCTCTTTACCTTTGAATTTTTATTTACTTAACCTGCGATGAAAATACTTAATACTATTGATGGAAACGTACTTTGACTTAAATTCCAATACCTCCAAATTTTCTCAATTTTTTTCTTCAATTACAATAGGTCGAAAATTAATGATGAATTTGATGAATTTTTGAAAATCGACATTCCCATGTTTACCAATGGGAAATGGTAGGTTTGCCGCAAGTCATATGACAGAATATCCATCCATCCGAGTCCTTGCAAAAAATACGAGTTAGGCAGGTAATTGAATTTGCTAACTTTATTTAACAAAAAATTGATATGTTTCTTCAGGTTCAACAAAGTTATAGGGCTTTAAAATTGTTTTTCAAAAAACCTCTCCCATTGAAATAACACAGGAGGCGAAAAATTATTTTCAAAAATGACTTTGAAGCGCTGTAACTTTAATATTCATCAAATAAACTAAACACTTAGTGTTCAAAAAAGTTAGACAATTCAATTTTCTATATGAAAATATTTTTTGCTGAATCTTTTACTGAAAAGATATCCTGATTTCTGATTTGCCCCGAACCCTCAATTTCCCATTGGATTACATGAGAATGACGATTTTCAAAAATGCATCAAATTGATCATCAATTTTCGACCTATTGTAATTGAGCAAAAAAATTGAGAAAATTTGGATGTATTGGAAATAAAGTCAAGTTAAGTTTCCATCAATATCATAAGTTATTTCATCGCCGGTTAAGTAAATAAAAATTCAAACGTAAAGAGGCTTTAACACGTAGTTCAATGGAGAAAAAAGGTTGCCAAACTTATGGAGGGGAGTGTATATGTAATTAATGTATAATGATTCAGTCAAGCATATTGAATGCAGCTGTGACTGCAATATGGAGGGAAGTTTGGGAAATTCATTTTTTGATTTTTGATCGCTCATGATACCCCTGTTGTCAATTTTAGTCCACAGGAAAAGAACTGGTTTTCAATTAGATGCTGTCACATTCATAGGAAACGATTTATCTTTAACATGATATATTATAAATGGCATATCAAACACATGTCAAGAAAATTCATCTTTAAACTTGTGTATTGTTTTTTTGGCCCACCCTGTATTTTCACTATTAACACGTTTGATGGACCGTGAGTTCGATTATAGCGTGAGTTTGTGCCTGATTCTCCCATTTTATCAATATATAAAACGGCCCAGATCTACACAAATGGCAATCAGGCCTCGGTATCTGGTGAACGGCGAATTCGATCACTAACGGAACAATTTTCATTGAAATTCACATATTCGTTCACGAGTAGGCTGCACTTGTTATTGGGCTTTGATTAAACTCTAAATATTGCTTTTGCCTGCAGTTTTCTTCTTCTCTTCCTCTTCTTCTTCTAAATTTTCTAACTATAACAACTCACTTAAAGTCTCACTATGCGTACTTTCAACATTTTCTGGCAAAAAGACTTACTTTTGAACTTCATAGCACTTTATCTTTCATTAGACATCAAAAACAGCAGCTCAAAACAGGCCACATCAAAGGCTTACAATAAATATTTTTGATATGTCAAGTTTTTAAATATCTAGTTTTTGCCAATGTCAATGAAAGATGGCGAAGTTGTTTGTTGTACATGATTCAATCATTTTCAAACTCTGCGGCGGGCAGATGAAGAAATCACCAAAATTTGGAAAAAATAGTCCCCTTTTCATCACAGATGTAGTTAATTTTCACACAACTTATAAAATATATATTATTTTATGTTCCCCAATCATTATTTTGTCGAAATGTTTCGAAAATCATGAAATATAATGCAAATTAAGCTTTGTATATGTTTAATTTAGTGTGTAAATAACATATTTCAATGAGGTACGAGGTATAGACTGACTGCAAATAAAATTGAAATCCAACTTCCTGTTTAGATTCTATGACATTTTGAATTGTCGAAAAAACAATGATGATATCCAAATGTTAAGACAATTAAAAGTCGAAGAAAGCCTGTAAAAGAATTGTCTAATGTCTGACTCAGCTTATCCTGGATGATTCGGCTTAAAAAAGTTTGAAATCTGGAGTCTAAATTGAACTTGTTCAGTTTCACCAGTCTAGTAATACGAGAAATACGAAAATACGAAAATCATGAAATATAATAACAATCCGCTATCGTACTTAGTTGCGCAATCATGCTGTTGTTTGTTCATTGCCCAACATTACAATTTATCAATTGCAAATGTTAACTTAATCGTTTCTTTTTGATACAATTACGACAAGCTCATCGATAACAATGTGTACAAGATATAACCTTACGTGTGCTCTTTGGATATAAAACACACTATCTTACTAAAGGTAATTAACCTTTAACGGTTTGTTACCGGTTTGTTTGTTTCACACAAACGTGTATCAGTATCATATGTTTTAGAAAAGATACATGCGAAAAAATAGCTCAGAAGACAACATATAATCGTCGATTTAATTCCTCACTTATGTTACAGAAACGATATGGGTTAAAAGTGCAGATCTTAACTGTTTTTCGAAATACCGTTTCTGTAACTTAAGAATTAAATCGACGATTCTGTTGTCTTCTGAACTATTTGTTTGTAAATATGTACATTTTCTTAAACATATGATACTGATACACGTTTGTGATAAAAATGTCGTGGGAATTCTGCCTATACTTGTGAAATAAGGACAAAAGAAAAATCGTACCTTCGACGTTCCGACATTTTGTTACCGAAACGAACCGTTTCGGTAACCAGCGTACTCAATGAAAACTAAGAATTATAGAATAAGAATATCCTATAATACTTTTCTGGATCCTGATAATCTCCCAATCTGACACAAGATGACAAAGTGTGGTACATCATGTAAATCGAATCCGCTGTCAGATGTATTATTTCTACTTCAATTAACTTACCTGAACATTCCTTCAAAAGAAAAAATAAGTTCACTGCCAATACTATATGTCCCATTACCATACTTGTGTACTGCTGAAAGTTGTAAGTAATGTCCTCACTGTTTTCTAGAACTTATTTTATAGAGTTTAGGTAATTACCTTGGTTTCAGTTAGTGCAATTAAATCAATCGTGTTTACAATAATTCTTTGAAAAATTATTTCAATCGACTCCCATAATGATATTATTGTTCAAAAGCATGAAACAGATTTTAAGATATTGAAATGTCAGGCTTATCTCATGATTGAGGAGTTTGATTTATTTTCCTGGATAGCATTTACTGAACGAAGGCTATTCAAAAGTCAGTAGAGTTCACTGTTACGGTTAATAACAGAATGTGAGAACAAACAAAAAAGCAAATAAGTGAATTTTGAAAAATTGTTTACAAATTTCAAAATAAAAATACTATAATATAAAGGCAGTTTGATACTAAAGTGATTGTCCTATCTGTGATGTGGCTTATTGCATATGTAGTGTTGATAATATTCATAGTAATATCCAAAGCGAGATAAACCAAAAAACGATTCGATGACAAAATGTTCCAATGGCAATATGATGGATGATAGTATCCAGAACGAAAATTCAGAATGTTCTTGAATGGATGTTGACCCTTTGTTACGCTTTTGGACATCGAGATTGGTTTTGTGTCTCACCCATGCAGCCATATGGACTTAAATTACATTTGTATGATGTGAGACTCGACATTCACCGGGAAACTTGAAATAATTTGTCATCCATGGGGCAAATTAATTTTTACTGCTTAATAAATGGGGAATGACAGCAAGATTGAGTTTTATAAGCATGAGAATAGCAAGATGTCTTGATATTTCAAGGAAACGTCGTTTGAAAAGTGATGGCGGTGATTGAAAAAACGATGTGAAGATAAAACCGCAACGAAATATTTGTAGATTTCTCTGAAGAACTAAAAAATATACATCACATATCGAATTTTCCGGAACATAAAAAACATGTATGAATTGTCACCCAATCAATATTTGAAATGCAACTGTTATTCGAACTTTGTAATCAAAACATCGTGTCATATCCCATAATACATGAAATAAACAAAAGAAGACATTTGTATTTCATAACAAACATGTATTATTTTACACTACGACTGACAGAAAAATATATACACTTTTGAATACTGACATGGAATTACACATATCTAGTTCCAATTTCTTAAATATTTATCGTTACATTTTCAGTATGTTAAGAAATTCTCATCATACTGTTTCGTTTATTCATTCTAGAATCGGGTATATTATACCACTACTCAATGATACATACCGATAAAGGTTGAAACACCTAACGATGCAAATTAAAGATTAATCTTTTGCAGAATGTTATTGAACCAGTCGTACAATCAAGCCAATCTTATGATATGATTATAAGAGATACCATAGTTATTATCATCTTCATATAAATATATACACCATTATACTTTCCTTTAAATAGCAAACATGTAAATGTATAGAAAATAGAACATTTACTGACGAATATATTTACAAAAAATGAGACCTGATATGTATCAAACAGGAAAATTGCACTTGAGATTACAAAGTATCACAGACTTCATAGTTTGTGTAAGTTCAGGGACATGCAAATATACATGTACGAATAAACGATAACTTTACGTTTTGGGTCATACAAACACAGTACTAATAATAAGATTTGGGTCATACAAACATAGTACTATAGTTTTACGTTTTGCGTCATACACACACGGCACTAATAATAAGATTTGGGTCATACAAACATAGTACTATTGTTTTACGTTTTGGGTCATACAAACACAGCACTAATAATAAGATTTGGGTCATACAAACATAGCACTATAGTTTTACGTTTTGGGTCATACAAACGCAGCACTAATAATAAGATTTGGGTCATACAAACATAGCACTATAGTTTTACGTTTTGGGTCATACAAACGCAGCACTAATAATAAGATTTGGGTCATACAAACATAGCACTATAGTTTTACGTTTTGGGTTCTATATAAATACGTTTTAGATCATACAAATAGGAGTACCATAACAAAGGTAGTGAATAGAATTTTAGCTGTTTCTTAGTTCTCTACATAGACTACACTTTTGATAATGTCAACTTCCATATGGAGGTTAAGCTTCAAATGTCATACTGTTAAAATATATCATCTTGTGGCTGATTTGGTAGAGGACTTCCTCCATTTTTCCCGTCCTTTCCCGTCAGGAAGTACGTAATCAGCTCGCCCTTTCCCTTTACTTTCACAAATCCACGCTTCTCAAATGTGAAACCAAATTCTTTGAGTATTAGCATCGTATCCTCAACACACTAAAAGGCAAAATAAATAAAAAGCAATGTCAATCAGAGATTTACAAGAAATTTGTTTTTTATACTTAAATATATTATTTAACAGCTTGTTCAAGTGTCTTTGCAAGTTTTTAAGGAATGATTTGGAATGATTCATCTTACCTGAATTTTTCCAGCCTGACCAGTTGATTCCATTCGACTTGACACATTAACAGTGTTCCCCCAAATGTCAAAATGGGGCTTTTTAGCTCCAATCACTCCGCCAATAATTGGCCCCTGATTAATGCCTACAATATTAAATACGGTAGGAACATTTAATATGATGAAATAAAATGTGAAAAGTACATCGTAATTACAATTAAGGATTTAAGGTCACTTTCAATTAGAATGCTGGCCACTTCATTCAAGATAAAAAAGACAAATCACAATACGATGTCGTTTAATATATAGACAGGCTAATCCCATTTATTATCTTTAAAATGATAAATTATAACTGACCTTCAGGATACTGTAAATACAGTAAATGATAAATTAACTGATGTGCATGAGACAAGGTTCGTGATTAAATAAAAAATAAAAGCATGTCAACGATATAGTTCAAATCTTACCTATTCTCAAGACAAAAGAGTTGAAGGACTGAGAATTGATTCTGTCAAGGGTCTCTTTAAGCGCATATGCGAAGTCTGTCAAATCAGCTAGGTGCTGCCATCTTTCTTTAACGGGTGCATCCTAAAACGAATTCAACATTTAAAATATTGAATTGGCAATTGCTTTTTTCCAACAATTTTATGAGCGATACTACATGTATATTAGTAATAGTGAAACTATTATGTTAGCGTATCTATGTTCATAATTATTAGACTATCTATAGCTATCTGTTATATAACATCCAAAGTACCACGCCGAGAATGCAGATACAGTATTAAAAGAATACATTTTTTATATTTTGTTGGCGTATATTTTGACAACCGGATATCCAAAATTGGACCACGTGTTTGCGCATGCTTATCAATAGCGACATAAAAATTAATTTGTCATTAATTTCCAACCTAATGTAATTGAGAAAGAAATTAAGGTTCAAACATATTAAGCTTATAAGACACCCCTTTGCATGATGGATAAATCTGATCAAATCCCCACGGTACGGTCTAGGCAAATAGGCTAGGCAAATGGAAGTTTAACATCCCCAAAATTGCAACAGTTTTTAAATTAGGCTTATATTGTATATTGATATCAGTTGAAAAACATATCAAAAATGTAGAAAAATATATGCAGTGGACAAATATGAAATGTCACATTCTAGGTACCCCCCTCCAAATTTGAGTATGGGATTGTAAATAATTTTTTATTTCAAAATGGGATGCTCTTCTCAACTAAACGAGTAATATTATGATAGTTTACTGACATAAGAGCAACTAAAAATTGTTAACCAACTATTTGAGTGCAATAATTGGCATTTCTAGCCCCAAATATCTGAAAATAGGCCATCAAATAGCCTGAATTTAATATAACAATGTATTTATTTCTGTATCTATTCATCAGAATTGCATGAAAAAAATCAAGGAGGTTATTATACACCTGACCATTGTATTTGATAAGTATCAGGGTCATTAAGTGGATATTGAGGGTGAAAATAATATTTGAAATTTCAATATTTTACCACATACCTTTTTGGGGTGACCTTGCTTTTGTCTAATTACTTCCAAGATATGTCATATTTGAACTCAATAGCACAACTAAATTATTTGTAAAGGCTTATTTTGTCCTGAAAACAGTTTTTTGATGTTTTCAGGAAAGGATTATGTAAAAAAAAAAGTAGAAAAAACAGCAAATGCCAGGTGAAATATAGGGGGAGCCCTACTTTTAGTTCATAACTGCTAAATTATCAAATGTTTTTTCCTTTTAAATTCAATTTGATATATAATATACCTTTTCTGGTAAAAGAGAGAACGATTTGTTAGAAATAAGTACAATCGGTGGTCTAAAAATATCCTTGAAAAGGCAACAAAATGTTAAATATCCCTGTCCCTGACATCAGTTTATTAATATGAGCCAAAAAGGTAACCCAACTAAATGTTTGTTAATAACCCAGTCATTCAGCATGGGTGTGACATCATATTTGGCACAATTACCTTGTTCAATGTTCTTTCATTCTACTAAGTGTCATTGATCTATCCTTAATAGTCACGATTTTATGGCCATTTACAAAATGTGCTCAAAATATCGCAATGTGCCTAACTGACTGGACATCAATACCACCATTTTTTATTATCTGTGGACCTTTTTTCTATACTAACAACACTTGAAACAAGAGATAAGAATGAAGATGAGAGCCATGACACAAGATTTTTATGCTCCTGATTTGAACAACTACGTACGATACGTTCAAGTTGGCCTCCAGGCATGACACTCATATTTCATGGCATGGTATAAAATGGCCATAAAAATCGTGACCACCAGAGATAGACCACTGAGACTGGGTAGATTGATAATACATTGACCAAGGCTCAATTCTGCCAAATATGACACTAAATCCATGCAGGATGACTGGACTGGGTTATTAAGATTTGTTTGGGATACGTTTTTGGCTCGCCCTGTATTAAGGAAAAAGAGTTACTTTTGACTACGGTGTTCTTAACCACACAGTGATATTGAGAAATGAAATGAAGAAGTTCAACTGAAGAATGTTGGATTTCAAGATGAAATTTAATAAAAAATGAGGAAAAGGTTTCTCCGTTAATAAATACTACTGAGTTAACTAGTGTAAATCCCTGGTCTTTATACAGGGCATGGCCCGATTATGTTATGTTCATTATCAAAAATGCTGCCTTAATTTTGTAATCTTAACCTTCATATATATTTGTCTTACTTATAGAGAGCAAAAAATAATGCTGATTAAATAAGCGAAAAAAAATTTTGGGCCCCTAAACCCCTAAAGTGGGCCCAAATTTTGAAATATTGAGGCCCATTTTCTTCAAAATTTGGCCTGAAATTAAAAAATAAGGCCTTAAAAGGCCCTCTTATGACCAAAAAGGCCCACTTTTTAGGGCCTTAAGGCCTTTTTGGTCCCAATTTTTATTCTTGGCCCGCCCAAGGGGGCCCGGACCCCAGCCCCCCCCCCAGATCCGCCAGTGTTCATTATTTAGTCATCATTATTTTCATGATCAGTTATGGAGGTATTTGCACAAATGCCTTTGCATACCTACTTCATAGAAGTAAAATATGCCTAACACACACAATGGATGATCTCTGAGAGAGGAGAGCTGCATTTAGGCAATAAGAACAAACGTTTCGTTGCTTATTTCCCAGCAGTTTATTTCCCTCCCACTCCTGGATCTGATGGTACACTCTATAATTGTTGTTTTCCGCAGCATCAGAAGTTGGAGGAAGAACACGGGGCTGCAATAATTCATATCTTGCTGCTCTCTTTTAATAGAATTTTTGAAGCCTAAGTTCATTTAGGGTTTCACCATTTTTCCACCATAAATTGACAAAAGAGCATGTTCCTCCACAGACTCTTAAAAATGAATTACTTGAGTATTTCCCAAGTATTTCCCAAGTATAAAAATTACTTAAAGTTAAATACTTAGTTTTACTTCATTTTAATTTGTTTAACTTATATTGTCATTTTGAGTGTTTTAATTGCTTAATTATGTAAATGAGTATTACAATTACTACAGTAAGTATTTCAATTTCTCTCCTTGCATTAGTAAATTCACCATAAATGAATTACTTAAAAATTACTTAAAAATTATTCAGTAGTTCAAGATTATTGACTTAATTTTTGACTTAAAATGAGTAGTACAATTTCTCAATATAAGGAAATCCAAGTAATAATTTTTAAGAGTGTCTGCAATGACAGAGTTACTGGCATTTCACTGGTTTTCCACTTGATTACGTTGTAACAAAATGTCGGAACATCGAAGATATGATTTTTCTTTTTTCCTTATTTCATGCGTTGTAGGCAGAATTATCACAAACATGTATCAGTATTATATGTTTAAAAATGTACATATTTGCGGACAAATAGTTCAGAAGACAACAGAATCGTCGATTTACTTCCTCACTTAAGTTACATAAACGGTATTTTGATAAACAGTTAAGATCTCACTTTGAACTGCCACCGTTTATGTAAGGAATGAAATCAACAATTCTGTTGTCTTCTGAGCTATTTTTGCGCAAACATGTACATTTCTAAAACATATGATACTGATACACGATTGTGAGAAAAAAACATCGTGGGGATTCTGCCTACAACGAGTGAAAAAAGGAAAAAAGAAATATCGTGCCTTCGACGTTTAGATATTTGACCCGTTTCGGTAAGAAGCGTAATTGATCGGATCACCAGTGCTTTGATAATTTAAAAACAACCGCTTGTTTTCTCAAGAACTCACTCTTTTCTATCTGCCTCAATGATAGCTTCTTGTCTATGCCATATACCGGTATAACCTGAATGCGTTGTCACACCCCAGAAAAGATAAACAAAATATTGTCACAGACCACTATTTCCGAAGACAATCTTATTTCATTTATATTCCAACATTTTGATTCTTGGGTTGCTGCTTTTGGTTCAGGTTTGAAGAAAATGTTGAAGTTTGTGTTTTGTGCATGATAAATTAGAAGCACAAGGAGATCTGTATGAGTATACTGTATTTGAGGTTTGGACACTTTGCATTGCAGTTTTCACAATCACAATATCTGCATCCGATTCTGAATGTAGCACATGTACACTCAATGTTTTCCAACCTGACAGACAGATTTACCATCATTCCTACGTAGTGAAATTATATTAATGAATGTGCTCTATCAGTTTAAATTCCGTTTAATAACCATAAATTCGTTTCTACAGCATTATACATCCAATTTTATAGTTCAAAAGTAATGTACTCTTAATATGTAATGATTTATTTATCTGATGAATTTAAATTCTTTAATTGCGGATTGTAAATAATAATTTAAACAATATTAAATTCCACAGAAACTACAACTTACATTATTTAGATAAGCCTAGTATAGAGCAGTTATCAAATACCCTAATATCAGAGTGGTGATATGTAATTATTCATCAAATACAAGTGAGGTCACCTTAACATTTCACCTGGTGCAACTAATAATTCCTAGTTTTCATACTAATAAGGTATAAACCGTCACAAAACTTGTATTTTAGATGATGACAATCCTATATAAATGATTTAGATGTCAACTCTAATACAAATGTGATGCATTGTGGGAGTTAGTCATCAAAACTATAGTCTCCCCTATAGTAGGCGGGGCAAAACTATGAAAATGAAATAATTTTTTTCTTCCTAAGTATACACGTTAGAATTCTGACACTCACCAAACATGAAGTTCATATGAATATGTAACACCATGATTTTTTCATGCTTTTCTGACTAACTGATCCTAAAATATCTAAATAGATATGTGAAAACATGCCTGTTTTGTGGCATATTTTGTTATACTTTGGGGTCAAATGACCAATTACTGGTCTCAAAAATGGTTAAAATAATATTTTAATTATTTGTGAATATGTGGTCTATCATAATAAAGCTTGAATACTTGACTAAAGTATTCCATTTGGGAAGGAAAAATTGTTTCCTACCAATACTCAATTTTGGGGTAGGGTTGTAGGGGGTACCTAGGAAGTGAAATTTCATATTTGTCCACTGCATACATTTTTATACATTTTTGATATGTTTTTCAACTGATATCAATACATAATATAAGACTAATTTAAAAACTGTTGCAATTTTGGGGATGTTTGGGCCTTTTATGAGCCCATTTGCTTGGCCCTAAAAACGATTACAATGTATTGGCATTTAGCTCGGCCTCATAATGGTATTTCGGAGGCTTCAATAGAAGAGTTTTATGTTTAAGCAGGCCCGTAATCATGCAGTTTTTCACCATTTTGAGCACTTTTCAAGTGATTTTAGCCATATTTGGGGCAAAATTGTCAAATGTGAACCCCCCCCTGGAAATTTTTGAAAATTGAACCCCCCCCCCCCCTTGGCAAATCCTGGCTACGGGCCTGTTAAGTAACGTATTGTCACACGATCTGTAAATACTTATATCAACTTCAGCTTGATATAACGTATCAAAGCACATTCAGTAATACTTGAGACGAGGACAAATAGGAGTGTAGCTAGATTATACATTACGCCGACCAGACTGATAGAATATACAGGGTATCCAAAACGTGTAGAGATATTATGGTTACCCTGTACTAAAGGACTGTATGGCAGAGGACATTAGGAGGAAGCACACAGGGAGTAATACTAGGATTGTTCAAATAATTAGCTTATGATACGCGTTTTCAATTATTCAAACAGAATTATTTAGTCTGTTTACTTTGAATAATCAAACGATGTGCTCGTCTTTTTATTATAGGTGTGCTGCTAATATGAAGGGGTATTTAAGGGGAGACAATCCGAGACATGGTTTGCATAAAGGTGACATAATAAATTGTACGTTTCGGATTCGTAACAGCGGTATAATGTTTACCCAACAGTACCGATACTGACAATAGAATATAAAAGATAATTTTATAATGGTTGCAGGTGCTAGCAAGTGTAAGGATCTGAACTCCACCTAACAAACATGCAGCATGCATTTACATGTGTAGGACAAGCATGATAGATTACAGCGAGGTAGGGCATAATAGAAGTGAGATAACAAGTGGGTTACCAAAACCTTCATTTATACCTGGGTCACATTTGCTCCGATCCATCGACCGGCGCCCGGCCGATTGAGTGTTTTGTTTGATATTGTATTCAATTTTGAACAAAATGCTCAATCGGCCGGGTGCCGTAGTGAAAATCGGAAAAATGTGACCAAGGCATTACTGATACAATACATTAAACGAGTATCACCTTTCACATTACCTGCTTTGCCCCGTTCTCCTTCTATTGTACAATCATATTGATATAGTTATAGTATCATAGTTTTGTATAATTCTACTCAGTCACTGACAAATAAGTTATTTAAATGTTGTAGGAATTTCTATACTATAATTAACTTAAGAATAATATGATTATTATGCAAATGATCTTAAAAGTTGATATTCATTATTTCTATTTCGATGATAAATAATAACTCTATTATATTTGATAACTAGATATAGTTAGTTACCTTGGGGATACTGTATCCTAGGTTCATGCCACTAGCCGCCATGTACGTGGATCCGATAGTCTTAATCTTTATTATGTTTTTAAATCGAGCCTCATTGAGAAGCTGAAACATAAAGAAAAATGACTCATTCAAAGTACTTCTAAGGAGCTCCAAGATGCGCGTTAATATAGCATATCAAATTTTATTCCATAGTTAGCATGATATTCATAGGATAACATGTGAAAATAAAAACAGTATTTTTGTAATCAGTGGTAAAATATGATATTTTTGACAAATTTTCACTTAACCATAACATACGGTTTTTAGCCATGACATACGACGTCGTATGCGATGGTTTATGGATTTTTGCTACTTCAGACTCAAAACGAGGCTAAGTGTCAACATCGCCGGATCGTTTGGAAATTCGAATTAAATAACTTAATTTCCGACGATTCTGATGATGAATCTAACTATGGAATAAAAAGAACATCCTATGATTTACTCGTGATATGATTTTAATCCACTCATGGATATTGATATCTGCACTCTCTCGCTACGCTCGCTCGTGCAGATATCATATCCATTCGTGGATAAAAATCATATCACTCATAAATCATAGGATATCCTCTATATCTTACACATTACTCAAAGTCTGATATTGGGTTGAAGTGGCGAGTGATAGACATTTCGGATTAATTAATACGATAATTTTTGCCATGTGCTTTCTCTCCTCATATGTGACAATTTGATGTCTGTAATTCGATTCCTACTCACCTCGTCATAGTCAGATATGATTTCATTGAGGAACCTGAGACACTCCAAGCCGTCATTGTTGACACTATCCTCCGTGTAGAAGTCGTTAAAGTTGGGGCAAGATGCAAATATAACACCAGCCTCGTCATACGCCTGACTCACCAATTCCTGAAATCAAAATATTGTTTAACATACCGTACTTACTTCTTCAGGCGTCATCTCAACAATCAAAAAGACTTACATATATCGATTCTAATTGGCATATGATTCTTCCGGTTGCTCGCATAGATATATAATCATATTTATTATGTAGTACTATTGTTTCAAAGGTAGGATACTGCTTCTATGGAACGTACTTCGTCTCGTTTCTTGGTTCCAATGAAGTCCCTAGCCACATGAGCAGGTAAAATATTGTATACTAAGGCTTCATTCTTCTCTCTTTGTTTTTGAATCAGTTCTTTCGCCTCGTCAGCCTCATACTTCCAAATGAACAACTTGCGCATAACAACCTCATTCTAAAAATTAAAAACATGCCCAGTTACAATTTCCTGCGGAAGTTGGTCAACATCTGCATTATAATTACAATCGACATTATTGTGTTAAAAGATAAAGATGTCTAATTTACCTTTTTTTATTAACAAAATGTATATTCAGAAGAAGAGCAAGCTACATTGTGTAAATATGTGATAATTAGTATCATTTAATGGAGCATGCCGCAACATAACTCAACACTGAAGTGTTCAGACTCCGTTTTAATCTTCAAATATTTGTAAAATATGTTTTACTTACATGTCTTATGTAGAATGCAAGTGTCAAAGAGATCGCGATGGCCTTCCCAACTATAGAATACTTTGTGCTTACAGTTGTCGCCAACCTAAGAGTATAAGACAATGGGTAATTCAATTTACATGTATGTGATACCTTCAATTATCAACTCGTTCACATTAGATAACACTTTTCAGAAAATTGATGAAGTAAAATTTGGTAAAAGGGTGATCAAATATTAACACCTACCTACACAGTGAAAACTGTGGCTCAATAGATGTTAATTGTGCATAGGTTTTACTAATCAGACAAATTTCTCAAAAATAGGGATAAGTTCTACCAATCAACTATAAATATGATGTCCAATTGTTGTTTAAAAATACAGGGTGACACAAAAAATGTTACCCTCTAATTTTGGAATAACTTTCTCAAATATGATTTAATCTTCGTGATTTTTCTGTGTAGACCATATTTGACGAAATTATTTTAAAATGAGTAGATATGACATTACTGATAATATGTGTAAAGGCAATTCAGAAATGATTCAAATAATGACTAAGTCAGAAATCCTTATTTCAGTAAATTGAATTTTTGAACATTTTCGCAAGAATTTACGTCAGGGCAAATCTGGAAATCTCGAAATCATACATGCAAAATAAGAACACCACGCTTTTCTCAAAATTGAACACAGAAAAATCACAAAAGTACATCATATTTGAGAGTTATTCCAATACCCAAGGGTTGTGTGCAAAGTTAAAACTGATATATTGGGAGGAAGCAGCAAATAAATAGACCTTCTTTACGAGGTCAAAATGTACTTTTTAGATGTGAATACTTCAGAATATTGCTTACAATGATTAGCTATTGCAGATCTTTCTACAATAAAAATGACAAAGAATGTTGCAGAGAGAATGTTTATTTTCTGGTGATTGTGTCACTTTTGTACAAATTACCGTACTCTTCTTCTTAGAATCCTCATAATGGTGGTCATTTACTGTGGTATAGTTAAAATTTATGTTATTTTTGAATTAAAAGATACCATCTCCCAATTTACATTCCTTGCCGTAAGGCGAAATATTTATGTAAGTGGTCACTGACCATGACAGACCATCAGGCTTATGTTTAAATCAGTTTTAGGCCCAACTTCTAAAAGATGAACATCTCTCACAATTTCTCTTGATAATAAAATAAAGTACTTGAATAAAACAAAATATGAAATAGTCGGTTATTTAATATAAAGGAAGTTAAAACGCTTTATAACATGGTGGAGCAGCGGGGTAATTTCCTATTTCTCAAATCCATAAAAGTTTCATTTAGATTTTGTTAGAGGACTGAGATCTTGGCTGCTCCACCATGTTATAAAGCGTTTTAACTTCCTTTATATTAAATAACTGACTATTTCATATTTTGGAAGTTAAAACGCTTTATAACATTACGATCCCGTTCAACAAAGGAATGGATGAAAAGGATACAAATACATTATTGTATGCTAAAATAAACTTCGACCTGCAACATGCATGTTCGATTATATTAACAATTTATCGAATTTATCGGGAGTTAAAACGGATTACAGGGTTCCAAAAGATCAAAAGCAATTTTTGAACACCAAATCCCGCAAGTTACAGGTTGCGAGTCGCAGGTTAAAGTTTTTTAGCCACATTTCAAACGAAATTAAGTAACAATTGCTTACGTATTGTAGGAACCATATAGAGCTATATCATATCTGTCAAACAGGTTCGGGAGAACGATTGCATACAACACACAATACACGACAGTGAGTGGGACCAATATAAGTATCTTCGCCAAGAATCCCAGCTGCACCAACACTGTTACTTCGATCAGCACGAGAATGCCATAGTATGAGAAATATACGGGATACTCGCAGTTGAGAGATTCACTGTTCAAAGGCAGGGAGAATGTATTGGAAATGTTGGAATCACATCCGAACTGCAACAAACAAGAGCACATGTTCTATAAGCCATACATGTTGTTGGTCTAATCATTATGACCGGGTCGATGCCATTGATAGTTGTTAACTGGTAACCAATATTGCCATGGGCATTAGATCTATTATGACAACATATCTACGTACGCAGAGAGTGTTAACGTTTAGTCAATAACTGCCTCGATTCGGAAATCATCCTAGTAATGTAGTTCCTTTAGTTGGAATATGTTGTTCATGTATTGTCCTATAAGGCATTCGATTATTTTTGGAACTGTCATGACATTTGCCCTTTCAAGATCACCCTTGGCATACGCAGCTACTGCTGCTGATAATGGACCGGATGGGTAGGTTACAACAGCGTGACCGACGCGGTATATAACTGTTATTTTTTAATTCAAATAATCTACAACTAGGTTAATACCTTTAGTGTCTTTGGAATATTTAGAAGCTCTCTAATTTAAAATTTTTAAGAGAAGTAAAAAGGAAAAGGCCTAATTTTAAAGAGTATTTATTATTTAAAGAAAATTTACAACAAAAAGTAACCGATATATATTATACCAGCCACGCTTGCCAGTATGTGCTTTGATTTTGTTTTCCGACTCACGGTTTTTATTTTCTTGAATGGATCCCGAGGCAAATAGGTAAAAGGATCAATAGCCTATAGTTATACTTTCACCGCTAATTCACCGCTTAGCTTAATCGCAGATGTGATTGCTACGTCGTCATGATACTAGTATATTATTATTTACATTCTGAATGTGAGACAAAATTTTATATTTATATAATTAAAGTTAAAAGTCGGTCTAACGGTATTTATTGGTATACTATGATTTTTGAGTTTACACATGTATAGATATCAAAACTTTGCTTACAGTGAATGAAAAGACGTACCATATAAACAATATTACAAGCAGCAAGGACGAGAATAGCGGAGATAGTCCACCCTGCCCTGAGCCAAGGTTTGCGTAGAAGCCATTGTGAGAAAGACACTGCGCATCCAACAAAACGTTTTGGGCTACTTGCGGCGAATGGAAACACGGTGAACACCGTTAACAACAGAGCCCCAATTATGAACGTCAATATGCTGAATAGACTTCTGAAATAAATAGTACATGCGTGTTACTTCGAATACATCATACTTGATCACTGCAAATATACCATTTCAATATTAATGATTATATTTTGTGGTGTTCTCGATTGCTTCCATCTTTTCAAGTTGAAGTTCAATCGATATTATATTGTATCGGATGCCATTATATTAGTGACACCAACTAGTTGTAAACCTGTATAGTTTTTTCAAATAACTATAGAGCTTACGTACACGTAGCTCGGTGCGCTGACTGATGTGAAACGAAACTGACAGTTTATTATTAAACCAATGTCAGGATAGTGAATATATTTAATTCATTAATATAGGTTATTTACTGGGAGGGATTGAATATGGGTTTTATTCCGAGGGACAATATGATATTGACCGAAGGGTAATATGATATTGACCGAGGGAGCACATCCCTCTAAAATGTTACATCTGGATAATGCAAACATTATGCACATTGTTTGCGCTCACTCGGTCAATATCATATTGTCCAATGTCAACATAATATTTTCCGAGAAATAAAACCCATATTCATTTTATCAATTAGTCAATGTTAAAAATAACCGGGAAACCAAAAATAGGTTAATACGCTCCAATACGATTTTTCCCGGGGACAATACGATTTTTTCATGTAATACGCTCCAATACGATTTTTTCCAGGGACAATACAATTTTTGATGTAATACGATTCAATTATACGATTTTATTCCTTCATATTTCCCTGGGAAAACAGTAGTATTATGGAATAACTTTATTTATTTCATATGTATCTACAATGTACAAGAAATGTGCCAATGGAAAATAAATTAAAAGTTTGAAATCTGATGGTATATAATAAAGTCGATTGAATTCATAATTGTGCTTCTCCATTAGGAGGCAGTGTACTCTGTATAAGAAGGTAAAGTCAGCCATGACAAGGGTGCATCAATAACTAATGTTAGTGCTTATCTTTGGGATATGACAGAATGGCAATTAGGGCAATGACTTTGATCCAACAAGTCTATGGAAATATTGCATGATTATAAACAGAGAACAGATATAGCGAATCACTCGTTGAAAAATTTTATTGCATTCAATTTATCAGGGCTAATTTTTTAATAATATCAATTTTATATAGTAACACTTTTTGATACTTATTTTTCGAATAAAATCGTGCTTTGAAATTCAAGGCGAGCTTAAAATCCCATTTACCAAGAAAGGATATATGCGAGACTTGTTTGGTTTAGTTTATCTTATTTGAAAGATGATCTACATTTAATGTTTGATTATTAGAATATCAATATTAGTATGTTGTAATATACCCTTAATTATGGTCAATAAGATAATCAAAATGTGTATATATTGATCTTACTTTGGTGCTATACAAACGTATGAGAAGAAACAGCAGACCAATACAACGCATGTACCAAGGATGGCAACAGAACTGAACTTCTGACGGTTTCGATCAAACAGCTCTTCCATGTTCGTATCGTGGTAATGCATAGTTATGAAATTAATACGTTTGCCAATATCTCTGAAATAAGATTGGTAAGTAGTATTTAGTATATGTGTACACAAATGAATCAACACAAATAGACGCATTCAATATACTTTACGAGGGTTGTTCCGAAAGTAATGAACCATGTGTTTTTGAACACACGTTTTACACATCGTCAATTCAATGGTCATCTCTTGAATTGTAACAATATAATTTGAAATATAAATTTTCTCTATATTGTTTTATAAAACACACCCGACACTTCTTTTGTTCTTGGTATCATATGTTCGGAATGAAATAGACATCTTTCCGAACCTCATGAATTGGAACAAAAGACATAAACACAACGTGTTTAGGTCTATTAATATTGTAATTGTACTAAGAAAATTTTGGTTGATTTAAAAAAAATATCTTGTTAATGAAATAAAAGGTTTATCTTAATTTTTGTCTATTTTTGTAGGTTTTGTTTTAATGATATGTCATGTCATTTTGTTCCAACAAGGTTCAGAAAGACATTTCATTCTCAAGAATTGGTAGAAAGGAACAAAAAACAATTTCACTAAAAAACAAAAAATGTTAACAAAAACAGTTATATAAAATATATGTAAATGATTTTCGCATTAAATTGTTGTCAATCAGTAAACATTACATAAAGGACTGTGTTTTTACAGAATGTTTTCAATAATTGGTTTAAGAGAAAAACATTATTGAATTCAGTTCACCATATCGATACCTATCCTTTAACAGAGAAGTCTCCAATTTTATACACACATGCAACAGACAACTATTACTCGTACAAGGGGCAACGTTATTAGGGAACCAAAGGAATTCAGCTTACACTACAAACAATTGTGAAAGAGATAACCAATCTCTGTGAAACAGAATATTATGATACCACAAACATGTCCATTTCAGTAGCTTAAATTCGCTTCTAAAAAGAGCCTAGACATTGTAGAAAAAATACAAAACACAGAAACGATGAGTTGGTTACTAGGCATGATAAAAAGATGTAAATATCCAGATTGTGTACAAATATAATTGCAAATCGATATCATTATGAACATAATCCGACATCGTTCCGAGCGCTTACAAAGTATAGGCATTTATCATCACTCACCTAAGTAATTGTTTAATAGTATTAAAAACGATCATTCTCATCAATATATATGGATGTCAATTATCATTAGCAAAAAGGTTTTTTACTGCCTGAGAATAACATGGTGTGGATAATAAACCAATCTGATTTTCCAGGACCTCTAATGGATGGGGATATCTTTTTCATAAAACGTGTCACGGTATTCTTCATTCAGGGAAAGTGGGCAGCACTAAAAATGTTGATTTTTTATGAATAAAATGTGATTTGAATAGATATATGAGATACGATATGCTTTTATGAACCTAGTTATCTTAAAAGCAAAAGACTATGTATTTATATACTTACTGGGTGGCTTCTTTCTCTACAATGGCTTCATATAGCAATTTGTTGAGATTTTCCTCCTTATTCTGCTCATTGTTATCGTCATCGTCCTGGTCAAATATCATCCCACCAACGTAAATTTCGTCTAATGTCCCCTCTGGATACTAAAATATAAACCATCAACATAGATTTTGTCTAATTTCACTTGTGTTTATAAACATAAACCATCAAAATATATAGGTTTTGTCTAATTTCCCCTTTGGTTAATAAAATATAAACCATCAACATAGATTTCGTCTAATGTCCCCTGGTTACTAAAATATATTTTTTCCAAATATCTTTTGCACTGATGTCGCATTGTGATGGTCAAGTTTGTTAAATATAATTCCTTTTATATTTGAATAACATGTACAATTTTTATAATATTTAACAAATCATTGTAAATACCATTATGTGGCACCTAATACTACCTCTTGGGGGTCATAGCCACTAAAACCTGTAAATATGTTACATTGATTTTAATAATAAAAAAAAATTGTTTTAGCTAAAACACAACCGGATTTCTCTCGTAAAATGTGCCCGCGCCCGGTGACCAGAAACACAACTATTTTTACGTAACCAAAAATGGATGGGTGAATCAGACAAGACGAATGAGTATATAGAAACATTTTATTATTGCGTACAGTTCACATACAATAGATAACCGTATATGAACACTTAAGCTAATATGTATTACCTTGCTTCTAGTTGTAAAGCGCCATTCTTGTTTAAATTGCAATAGGAATGGCCTTTGTGCATTTCTGCTTTTATTGTGCGTATTGTACTTACTGGTTTAATAACTGATTTAATGAGATATGTCTTCATTCCTGCCATTCGTATAGCTTCCTCTCTCTGGTCGCCATCACCTGGCTCTAATTCGAACTCCCCATGCATAAACTTAGTCGTGGAATGTGATATATGGACTCGTCTGTAAAATATGCATTTCACAAATAATGGGATCGAATATAAAACTGCAATATAGTATACCAATTTGGAGAATTGAATGCATAAATGGAACATGTCCCTAATAAATACCGTCATGTTGTATTGCTTGATATATATGGGAATATTGTCGCTCCCAGTTCATAGCTTTTTTATTTATAATTGAAGCCATCAATGAAAGAAGGAAATGAACGTTTTTATGTTATTGGTGATAAAACTTACCCGGCAAGTCCTCCACTCTCCATCTTATTGGCCAGCGAGACATCTTTGCCCAGGACGTCAAACTGCCATTGTTTCTGTCCTACCACACCACCCAAGACTGCACCAGTGTGAATGCCTACACGCATATTCACATCAGTCTTTGTCTGTGCTCTAACATCGCTAAAAATAATGAAGTCAGTCATTGATATACACTTTAACAACAAATGGAATTTTCATTGAAATTGTGAAAAAGAAGTCATTGACTTAATTATCAATATCCGAATAGCTTTCAGAAAACAATGATCTACTTTGGGAAACTTTTTTGAACCATATTAATATTATCAAAAATGAGGCCGTAGTATATTTGAACCAGCCTTGGGCCCAAGCGCATGAAGGATATGACAAGACTCTAACCTGATGGCATCAACCATGGCGAGCCCCATGTGTACACTGAGTACGGCATGATCAGACCGAGGCTCTGGCGCTCCGCTGATGCAATAGTAACAATCTCCCAAGATCTTAATTCGAAGTTGATGATATTTCTACAAAATAAGTCAATGGTGTTGGTAATCATAAATTGATCGCTGTCTCTTGTTATTCATATTATGGGTAGCATGTGTTGTTGAACTGCTTGTTTTGTTCATCATCCATTAATGCGTTTCAGATTATTTATAGTTTTGCTTGTTTATCTATCTATGGATTGCGATACGCCTCTAGCGAGAACAATTTCCCTCGGAGACGATAATAATAGGGATCCAAATAAGTGCTAATCATAATTGTGAAATCATTCCGATTTAAAGGAATTAGAAAGGACAGAGAATGCGCATGCGCAAAATGTAGGAAGCAAATCTTTTAGAAAGCATGCCAATATATCCTTATAATCCTAATTTTATCTTTAGAATGTGCATACGTTTTCAAATATAGACGTTGTTGAAGATATACATATAAGATGTAGACATGTCTAAAGTCCTATAGTAGAGTATAACTGAAAAAGAGGATATCTCCGTTTCAAACCTTAATCAAAATCAAAACTGTTGGGACTTTGTAGAGACACGGCGAAACATAATTGTAAAATGTTTTCGATGATTTGTAAAATATTTTCGAGTCTTACTCTCAACTCTCTTCAGCCTTTCAACTTCCTTTACTTCAGTTGTCACCGTGATTACCCTTATTGACAAAGCCAATGATAAGAGGACACCATCAAGAGTATAGAATATTCATATAGCCTACGTTATATAATAGAGCGAAGAGTGGTGTTATTATACTTTATTTAGAATTACAGAATTGGCAGAATTCCTACCTCTGCGAGTTTGTCGAATCTTGCAAATAATTCGTTCAGGATCTTTACCAATTCTCCAGCTGTACATTTTGACGATATTGCAGTAAACCCCACAATATCAGCGTAGAGTATACTGGAATATAAAAGATACATCTTTTTAATCATTTTTATAATTTGATGCGTGTCCTTGAACTCAGAATCGAAAGAACAACAAGGACTGCAGTAATTTTATATTGATTGTAAAGACAGTTGTAATCGTATGCAAGAGAAGAATCTTCAATTACAGCAACTAATTAGCTCACATAGGATTGATTGAATCAACAACATGTCGTGTAGTGCAATTTATTGTCATGCAAGTATATAAAAAGCCCCACGTAAAGTTTGAAATTATATTTGTTTCATTTGCATTGTGTTTTTCATCACTAAAACTGTGATACTAAAACCTTAGTGAACACCTCTCTCTGGTGAACACCTGTGTTTAGTGAACACAACTTCAAGACACATTCTACATTGACCCCTGTATAAAATCCCCTCTCTGTAGTGAACGCCTACTTATTTCAACAACAAAATGTTTCTATATCTCTGTTATAGCATTTTTAAAATTGTATGATGTCATGAGGTAACACCTTGATTTCACTAAAGGTGAATAAAAACTATGCTTGAATATTTTTATCATGAATTCCAACACTCTACTGAAAAACGGTTTCACCACATTTTGATTATCATATCACTGGGTTCATAGTAATATAAATTCAATTCGAATTCGATCCAGTATGTTAGCTTGCAGTTAAATTCCTTGCTTAATTTGCAACCGATTATCAATATTTTTGCAAAGAGGTTCGAACTTTATACGGGATCTTTAAATTCACATTGTGAACATCGCCTTCCCTCGATCTTACTAACCTGACATTTTCGTGTCTACTCATGTATATTTTTCTGAACTGACCATCTGCGACGAGAACGTCTCCCATATCTTGCACCATCTCATCAGCCACGTGTTTCGGGAGCACGGACAGAAGCAAACGTTCCTAGACATAGAAACATATGAAATTGTTTTTTTACATCTTACATGTACTTTCAGGGTAAAGTTGAACACCGGTAAATTGTTGATTCGAAAAAAGCTTATACCCCAAAAAAGAATTTTCCTTAGTAGCATCCTTAATCTTGTTACATTTCACATCAAGGATATTTATAATTTAATTTCAAGATGTCCATATATGATATCAATATATTGATAGAATGTATCACAATGTCAAAATTAAATTTAGTTGCAAATAACACACGTATATCTACACATCATAAATTAATGGGGTGTTAAAATGGGAATTATTATAGAAATTGCAATGACTCAAGCCAGCAGGCTGTCTATGATAGCAAACAGTTCATACTGACTACCTCAATCTGACTTTACTATCATATTCACCAACAATATGTCTTAGATCAATTTATCAAAATGAGCAATTTATGTGCTGGCCTCTGATTAATATGAAACTCTAATCGATCTTTCTGACGGAAATATTGAACTAATGTCCCAGAACTATATATGACTTCGAGAACCTGTGTTAATATACACTGGTGTTCCACTCGATTACGCTGGTTGCCGAAACGGTTCGTTTCGGTAACAAAATGTCGGAACGTCGAAGGTAAGATTTTTCTTTTTTCCTTATTTTTTTTTCACAAACGTATATCAGTATCTTATGTTTAAAAAATGTACATATTTACGAACATATAGTTCAGAAGACAACATAATCGCCGATTTAATTCCATACTTAAGTTACGGAAACGGTATTTCGAAAAACAGTTAAGATCTTTTTAACGTTTAACCTATTAACGTTTCTGTAACCAGCGTAATCGAGTGGATCACCAGTGATATAAGAAGAAATGCCAGAGTAAGACGCATAAAGATTCCTACGTTGCATTTGTACATGGCTTTCATTTCTAGGTCAAACCTAAGGGGAAATGCAAATATATTAATATACGTAGATTGTAGGGGGGTCAGTATTATTTATTATTACCACCTTGCCGGGCCAGTTCTAGGGGTTTTAGTGCTAGTTTAGAAGGCTTTCATTTTACTATATCGACCTGAGCAATATGTGACGTCATAGTGGCAATTTTCCCCGGGAAATTAGATATCGTTCAGTGCGTAAGATTTTCTTGCTGTTTCAGCCCTGGTCATTAACGGTGGTAATAAAACTAATAACGTCATTTCTGCGGGCCTTCGGCCCTCGGTCCAATATTTCACTATATTGCCCGCAGAAATGACGTTATTGTACTATTCTCGCTCTTTTGGCCTCGTCTTATTACCTGTTCCTTTGAGCCTTCCTCTATGATGATTTTTACGTTCAACGACGCCTTTGTTTCCAGAAATGCTTTTCTCTGATTGATATCGTTGAAGAAATATGAAATGATTCCAAGTATGTTGGCACAGAGGAATAAGAATATGTTTGCACCGACCTGAAAGTGAAAAGCACATATGTGGTAATCTATTTTATTGTCCGAGGTCTCCCTCATGATGCACCATGCCCGGGCACCAGGTCATATGCCGGTCAAGTCAGGATGGATATATATGTCCTCATTTCCCCGATCTGAAGCCCGAGATGCTGTTTGTTAAAATAACCTGATTAAAAACCTAATAATGGTTAACAATAACATTATTTAAGATATTACTGAAGATGTTAGAATGTAATCTTTAAATGATAACAACCACACTTTTGTCAATTATATGATCCCATCAGATGATCTCTGACAAGGAAATTGATATCTTATTGGATCAAAGCATCTTGCGTTGCAAAGCAAAAATATGTGATTAATATCAGAAGGAGAGTTTCGCATATTACATCATTCTCACTGATTATAAACTAGCGGCCCTTATTCACTTGTTAACTATAAGTATTATTCACTTGATCAACATCACGCGGTCCTAACTTCGACCGTTAATTTGAATTTTTGACCTACTAGATGTTTGAAAATCAAGGATTACGAGTCTCATACTGCACCGTTTTTCTTCAAACTTGTTCCATTCAAAGCATAACACAAATCCCTTTCTGATGGTGCATTATTCTCTTCAACAGAGTCCCTACTTCCAGCGGCATTTTGGTCCCCAGCTGTAAGAAGGCCTTCTAACAGCTGGGGACCAAAACGCTGCTAGAAGGAGGGACTCTTTACAGTAAAGTAATGCACCGACAGAAGGGCAATTTTGTTCTGCTTTTAATGGTATAAGTTTGAAAAAAAGGTGCAGTATGAAACTCGCAATCCTTGATTTTCAAGCACCTGGTAGGTCAAAAATTCAAATTAACGGTCGAAGTTAGGACCGCGTGAACATGGTATTTTGTACTTTACCCTACATATTATTATAGTATTATTATATTACTTTTATTATAATTGTTGTAATAAATTATATATAAATGCAATTTTGAAGAGAGATCGTGATGAGTTATTAGCGTAGTATAGGCCTACACATTTATTCAAATAATGAGAGTTATTATTCGATCTAGCCAAACATTTTCATCTTTGATATAGCCTAGTTACTGTTGTATAATTATGCAATTGGACTATTTTTTATTTTAGTTCAATGATGTTTTGTCTTCTTGTAATAACATTTTCAAAGTGTCATTAGAGTCTTTGTAATTGCTCTCTGAAGAGGTTATATATTTTTCATATCATAATGTCTATCACTTTTTGTCATATCTACACCCATTCCATAACTTTGCCAACCAGAAATCTAATATTATTATGGATAACGTTTTAAAAGGAACTAACTACAAACTTGTTGATAGGAGTGTATGCCATTTTTACAAGCAGAAGTATTTGATCGTATATCATCTTTTCATATCAAAGTGCTTTTGGCAAACTGACACTTTAACACAGTTGAAGATCAAATCCGATAAAGCGAGAATTTTTCGACAATTACGTTTGAGTTTTTGGGTCAACGCCTCCCTTTGTCAATTATCAGTGACAAGATTTTGTCCGGTTGAGTTACTAAAAACAAAACAAAAATCGAAATAATTTTCAGTAGAAAATTAAAATAAATATTTTCAAATGTTGAAAATATTTGTATTAGAAATAATCTGGCTGATCAACAGCAAGACAAATCTGATCAGCTGGAGCAGTCTGACTTTTGATGAAAAGAAGAACGCGTTATCCAGTTCATGATAACACGCATAGTTGCCTAGTAACGTAACGTACATTGGAATCTATTTTTGATGTATGACATCAAAAAACCTGGGTTAAACCTGTCAAACGAGAAAAAATTCATATTTATGTTAGCCTCGGGGTCCAGGAACCTAAACTTTAACTGTCTTTGCTTAAGCCTAAAAGAATAGGATTATTTAAGATAATACCTTTATCTCAATATCTCCTCATTTACAATATCTATTACCCACGTGTTTTTATATATTGATCTAAACCGATACATACGTGTGATATCATGGAGGTAAGAAGCAGAGAATGCGGCGATGAAGTCGTTAAAGGGTTGACATCTCGAGAGAATACAAGATTGATCACATCATTAAGAGAAAAGAATAGCATTATAAACCGATTCTAAAATTGTAATTCATGTTTGATATCTTTATTTGGGCGTATCATCTAACGGGTAGAGAGTCGTACAGAAAAATCGCATTGTCGTCACTTTAGCGTGATCGATTCGATTGACTATATGCTATTTAATCATCATGTTTGTTATCAAACTTCTATTCAAACGAATACTATCCCATTCTAAACAAATGAATACTCGAATAATATTTCAATTGAAAAATAACCTATTGTTCCTTTTATTTATTAGTACTAGAGTAATAACGGGTTGACACAATTCAATGGATGCTCAGGTAAAATGTTGTGATGGCAAGCACCCTATCAACTTATTATAACACAATTGATTTGTGATTTGTAGATTTGTGAAAGTGAAAAATCCCATTTTATTTTTCAAAAAAGAATTGAGACTTCGGATCTAATATATAGTTATTAAGAACCTAAAAACAGAAACGTCTAAATGTCACTACCCTGCCATTTTTACAGACTCCGAACACAAACCTCCAACACCAACCGTCGAACGTCAATCGTCGCAGAGCGCCCATAAAATGTTTGAGACTATAGCAATCATGGGCACGTATCTCTCATCGATTTTTAAAAGAAAACCTCAAAAATTCAGAGATAAGTCTAAAATTAACTTTTGAAAAACACTGAAAGATGAGAGTAAAGTACAGCGTAAAACCGATTTCATCTCTATCCTTTCTTCTCCCTGGACTAATGGAATCCTTTAAGGCATATATAAATTGTGCAAAAGTAACATTATCTTTTTGTAAATGTACGAGAAACTGATGAGATTTTGAGTAATCCTCTGCAAATTGTTGTCACCAGTGGAAAAAGAAAAAGGACTAGCTGGTCAATTGGTATCTTGATTCGCAAGGTGTTGAACCATCAAAATGTATTAATTGTTTCAATTGGAATTTAGATCAATCTATTTCAGAAAACTTAAAAATCCTAAAATACTGTGGTACAGGAAAATAAATTTATAAATATGTCACACGAAGTAAGGTTCATGTACAAATAGCAGAATTGTACACCTTTAATTACATATTTCTAGTTGTTTTTATTGTTAAAATATAAAACATTTTGTAAAATATGACATTTGGCAGAGTAATTATCACATTAATTATCACAATTAAAATATAATTATGAATCTAGATAGACTTCGCTGGACCAATAGCTCACAATTCTACACACCAGGAAACCTTAAAACGGAAAGTTCCTTTAAGTCTGATGTCCACGATTTAATCCGTTGTGGAAATAAATGTCATACAACTCCAAATGAAACCGGAACCTCTCGCAAAGTTGGTCTCATAGAAAGCTACGCACAGAAGGTCGAAATATTTCATCAAATAGAAGAGCATGCAGGTTTTTAATGATTGAACATACAGATCTCTTATCAATTTATCAAAATGAGACTTCAACGAGATTTCAAAGCTATATGGTAAAGTCTCTATTCGAAGTAGGTTTCTCTAAATCTTCCAATATTGTAGACCATGTCAATATCAAGCTATTAAATAAGTTCATTGATAATATCAAAACGATCAACTTCAAATTTCCAAGGTCAAATCGACCTACTATTTCTAATATTGTCAACAGCATGAATGTTTCTGTCTCAGTGACCTGTTTCAATATTATAATAAATGTATACATTAAACACCAGCTGTTAGCTTTGTTGCCAGAATGACTGCGTAAATAAACGGCGGTAATTATCATTTAATAAAACTAACATTTATCGATTTCCGATCCTGTGTTGCATATTTTCTATTAATCCATTTTATATCTTATCCAATATCCATGTTTTTAATACTATATTTTTTATTGCTTTTTTATATTGTTTTTAATACTAGTGTTTAAACTATTCTATATAATAGGACTGCGCCTAATATGGGCATAATAGACTAGTCCTAGACTCTGTTTAAACTCAATTTGTTGCATCTACTTTGACTTGTACAAACATAACTTAATTGTTCTGATACCCATCTCCTTTTAAGTACATATTGTAGAGGTCAGGTGTATTTGCATTGACAGATGTATATTTTTACGTTGCGTTCTTTAGAATAGATTAAGAGTTAGACACAAACTGACGCAAACTGATATATTTCGTTAGAGTCTAATTTTTTAAGCTTTTAAAGTTTTAAAGCTAAAATAAATATTGATTTTGGACCATTTTTATAGCGCCATTCTGTGAATATGCTCAATTAATTAGCTTCAAAAAAGTGTAACAACAGTCGTTCCCTAGAAAATAAAAATGATATTTTTCTGGAAAATGGTCCACAACATGTAAAACATGGAAAATGTATTTCTTAGTAATGAACATGGTATTTATATTCCTTGTTAAGCATCACTTTAAACTCTATATTAATGAAATGTTTATCGTGTTTTCTGTTTACATATATCATTTATCATCTAAATAATAATTAATGTTTGCAAATCCTTACCGCGTTCCCAATTTGGTAGACGTTGGGGTAGTTCAGAATGCATATGACGATAACAACAATAGTATGGACGAGGCACGACAGGGAACTGAGCAGCATGCACCATCTGAGGGGAAGGGGCAGCATAACGTAGCTCAAGTAGGCGAGAAAGCACTGCCAGCCAACGGCTAAGGAGGGGACTATAGGTTCTGATTCCAGACCAATGACCACGTAGATCTCCGTTGCGAATAAGATCCATGGTATGAATGGAGTGTACATGAAAAGTTTATCTGATATCAGGCGGAACTTTAGAAGTATGAACATGACGATATTGATGACTACACATACTGAGAGTATAGCTATCGGGGGAATCTTCTTTTCGGTGAATGCTATACAATATAAAATAATAGAAGTAACGCAAAAGAATAGAGACAGTATGATTAAAACTAACACGGCACTGTTTTTCTGCCGACAATAATAGGCTCTATATAAACTTTCGAGTTGTTGGTCAGCGAAACGATGCCTCAGAGATGAGGGTAATAACCTCTGAAGTCCTGACTGATCGATTTCGACCTGGACCGTACTCTGACTGTTCTCACTTTTTCTTCTTCCCTTTTCCAAAGTTCCATTGTCTTCGCCTTCCAGGCCTTTCACTTTGATAAGTGAGGCCTGTGACTGGGATTTGGATCTGATACTTCGGCGGCTTTTGTTCATTTCCAGCATGGTCTTTCCACCACCCATTTAACTGCAATATGTCAGATATCCGATATTGTCATTGTGTTGTCGTATCCCTGAAATCAGAGTTCCATTTTTAGAATGATATGTGAAATATGCCTGTATCGCCCATGGGGGAACACTAAAAGCATATAATTAAGAAATATAACCAGACACAATATTATAACATATTTCTATGTCTCTAGTATAGTTAGGGACCAATAAAACTCTGACCTGTTGAGCATACGCTTCGGAATTTGTTTTAGCAAAAAGATACCCTCATAATAAAAATAAATGAAAACCGTGATAAAGGTGGATCTATATCGGCCAAGAGCATCAATTACGCCTTCCCCATTATTGAGCATTATAAATCTGTGCATTATAAACACGATGTTTCTCCATACAAACCACGGAAATGCATTTAGTTGATCAATGTTCATCACCAATTTGCGAACTATAGTAAATAATATTAGCACTAATGGTTGGTCTATTATGATCGTCCCAAGGGGTAAAACCTGAGCCGACGATTGGATCAATATCGCAACACACCCAACAGATGCCTGTGCCGAGAACTAGCCTAACTGCCATCATTCTAGCATAAACTTTTGAAAAAGTTTAGAATATTTTAGTTTTTCAAGTTGTTTATATTATATAGTTTTCAGAAAAATGAATTTTTCGGAATTATTGCAGGAGCGTTACCCTGTAGACTTTCAAGACGTTTTGTACTACAATTAAAAAATAATCTTGATTTTCAAATGAAGATTTGGTGCTAAAAATTATTTTATCATTATAAGGCATCCATGGCTGAACGACCCCTTCCAACCCATTATTTCCATAACATGGGATTGACATTGGTTAAAAACATAATTGTATAATATAAATATACTGCTTGAATAGTTTTGATGATTATGTCATTTCGGAATGTTCAGAAACTCTTGTTGCCGCATCATTTTTGAAACAAAAATATATTTGATGTTATATTTTCAAATAGGATGCTCAATATTCAGAATCTCCTTAATTTTGGTATGCGCCACTAAAATCGTATCCGACTGATATGACGTAACATCAAATCGTATCGTATTCATTAGTTTTGAATTTAGCGCCGAAAATTGTTTGACAAATAGCAGCCTTGCCTAATTGCACTTCAAGAATATAGTTCCAAACATTATGTGTTCATTAAAATGATTTAAATGTTTTCATGCAATCACTTTATTCGGTTTAGGACTCGAACACAATGAAAAAAACTAGAATTGAATTGTTTTCTAAACCAAGGTGAAAAATTAAATGTGATGTGCCATTCTCCGAAGGATTTGGATAATTTCAATTATCTGCAACCATAGGATAAATAAAATATCCTATGATATTCTCGGGCTATTATTTTATCCACTCATGAATATCACCCATCTCCACTTATTCGCTGCGCTCGCTCGTGGATATGGGTTATATCCACTCATGGATAAAATGATATTCCTCAAAAATCATAGGACATCCTCTATATATTTACTCTATGTCATGGTCATAACCAGTAGATAGACGAGGGAACTTTATACTCAATAAGAATAACCGAACATCATTTATTCCACAGTTTTTGATCTGAATAATATATGGTATTTCAGTAAAACTTAAGTGAGGCAATTGCTCCGTCTACCTGGCTACCTCACACCTGGCTACGACCTGGATGTAGTCAATAAACAAGTGAAAGTCTGAATTGGGGCATGTGTATTAGCCATTTTATCATCGTGATAGATCATATATTACTCTTGATACTCTATCAACAGTATATATAGTAGTGTTTGAGTGCAATAATACTCGTTAGTTATTGCCTCCAATAAAACAATACCAGATACTCGATCAGCTAGACAGCTTAACAGACACGCAGGTGTGTCAAATAAATCAGGGGTATCCATATGTCATCGAATGCAAAAATCAGAAAAATAGCATGATTTGCATGAAGTTACTACCAGACCTTATGTGATGAGGTCTAAGTTACATGAATTATTTGACTCAACATGAACATCTTTCATGAGTTGAAACTCACACGTGATTAGATATTCCCTACCCTGCGCGCAGAGTCTAGTTATAAACTACATTAACGACGAAGCTCTCTTTTCAGAAGTGAAGTCAAACGAATGCAAGGGTAGATCTTCCCATAATGTGCGAAAGAACAGTACAAAATGAGGCGAGTTATGACATCTTCTATTTTTGGTGCGAATTCATAATCTATCGATATCCGGTATAACAGGACATTTACATGACATGTCCTGTCATTTCCCTAAATGGCATCACCCATTTACACTCAGTATTAGAGCCAAATAACTATAGAGTATTCGTTGCCATTGTAACCATTGACCATTGCCATTGGCCACAATCCGAAATGTGGATAACGCGTTGAGTTATATATTGTTTAAATATGAGTCAATCTGTCATATCAAGCCTTCACTTTGTAACAAACGGTTAGAATTGTCTCATAATTGTTACCATGGTAACATATATTGCCAAAATCTTAACACTATTGCACTTTTTCGGTTATTATACAACACTCCTTGAAAAAATGCTATGTTAGAAAAACCTTCGAATATGTCCTCAAGTTCTCTATTGTTATGGTAACATACCAAGGTCTCCCAAAATGATACCAAATTGAACAGCAAAAATCTCTTTTTATCCTTTGGATACTAAATAGTACATGGTTAGACAAATAACAGTCTTGTCTGAATGAACTAATTTTAATGTTTTCATGCAATCACATTGTATAAAACCAGATGTTTTTCTTGAAGAGTTTTTGACATTTCGAAATCAATGTTAAAAATACGTTTGCCCAAAGAATTTGTTTAGATAATTATTAGTAAGACTAGTACTCCCAGTGGATAAATAGGATATACTATGATTTTCTCGTGCTATTCATTTCCATCCACTCGTGGATACCACCCATCTAGCTGCACTCACTTGCTACACTCACTCGTAGAGATGGCCTATATCCACTTTAATGAATATCCAAAAATAATACCTTCAAAATCATAGAATATCCTCTATTTCTTTTATCAAAAAAGCTGATAAAAATAATTCATATTCTAATATTTTGAAATATGAAGGCGACTAGATGATTGTCATTAGTCTCCTACTTCGTGATTTCATTTCCAACGTTCGGAGTACTCGACATCTGGAAACAACGTTGATTAGATGAAAAGATACGTGTATGGCGTAATTGTTAATCAATCAACTTCTATTTACACATTCCTTTCTTATAAATGAATAATAATGTCAACATTAATAACTATTGGCAATTCATTACGGTGTAAATACCTTACCGCATATGTAAATCTTCATATTTAATAACCCCTGATATGTCATAAGAATTATGTTTTAGGGGTAATCAAAATTTTTACAATTATAGCTTAGGGGGTATGTTTTTATAAAAGAAAACAAAAGTTGTTTTACTCATATCTGTTACAATATGTTATAGCAAAACAGTTGGCTTCGTCGCATGGACCTCGTCGCTATGGAAAAAGCCCCCTCGCCAACATCGATAAACATTCGAATGACCAGCACAATATTGACATTTCACTGGTCAAAGTCCTAAACACGAACACATTATCTAGTAGCAAATTTTAGTATTCAACCTCGATTATGGATGATTTCTTTTTTGTTCGACAATGGCAAGGTTATTGAAATTCTATGAAAACATCGTCTACAGTTTGTCTTCAATTAAACCTTTGTACCTTTATACTTCCTTTATTGCTTTTTTGTTGGGAATGTTTAAAATAGCTGTATATCGCTCTGACGTACAGCTGAACTACATTTCGTACTTAGGCCTAATTGAATTGTTCGATCTGTACATTTACTTGCGACTGGCATGGACTATTGAATAAAATGGTAACTTTTTCTTCATATTGGTGGTACCTTAACTACCATTTCCAATCGAATTGATCTCGCTTCTAGAAAAGGTAGCTAATGTTAATCTACAAAAAGGCTTTTACAAGGACATAACTTGGCGTATTGTACATAATGCCCAAATTACAAAATGACATTTATATCTTATCTACATTCAATTTGTTAAATAAATACAAATATCATACCTGCTGTACACACCACGTTAGTTTCATATAGATGTATAATTGAAATCATTCTGTTTTTCCAGTGAGATGATACTTTTTCTATGAAAGAACATTATCCAATATAGCCATATAATATGTTAGCGTATATATACGATTTCTGTATTAATTCTGCTTTCTAATTACAACTGAACTGAGATAACCACGCTGTGTATTTGTAAATATATACTGGTTTGTATCCAGAGCCAATTGTACCTGTCCAGAGATGCCTACTGTTGGCTGTTTAATAATACCAGAAACAATAGCACTAGCGTCTGGTTATATCGCACACCTATTGATCTACATCTAAACATTCCTGCTTTGCCATTATGTACTTGTACATACTTACTTCTATCCTAGAGATTCAATCCATAGGCTTGTCTGGCCGTGGAATTTTCTATTTCATATCATAGTGTCCTTATCGTTTAAGTAGCAGGTACACGGTTCATGTTGCTAGGTCAATAACATCTTTAATTGTGTGCACTTTTTATAGGCTGACAAAAAAGGCTGACAAAAAGGCTTATAATACGTATATTACATGCTAACATTTCTGATTCAATAGATTTTTTGCCGTATCTTAGGGATTAACATACTCTAAAATTGTCTAATAGATATTCCCATGACAATCGACCGTCTTGCTTAATGAATTAAATAACGTCTTTCTACCGTTTTCCATCTTTTCTGAATTCCTCATTTAGCAAATTGAAGGAAGTAACACAAATAGCCAATATTCGATGAAATCATGCATGTCATTGTTTAGACAGATGCTCGACGAATTACAATAAATGGATAATGCCATACAGTTCCACCTTTATAGATTCCCTTGCAAGAAGGCTCATCGCAGTTATGGAAATGGTCATATGACGTTATTCATTTTGAGATAAGATAATACTCAAGAAAAAATGATAATAACAAGATTGATGAGAGCTTAGACAATACACGTTAAACATACAATAAAACGACATCGCCACACAAGCCCATCCTTTCCCACTCGGAGAGGTACATTGAATGATACAACCATATTATTGTTCAGATACTTGAAGGTACAATATAAACAAAGCCGTCACATAATATAATAATCAACATAAATACGAACATTATCCTGTGATAGATGTATAACTGAAAATTTCTTCGACCACGCCATTGACTGAAACCAAAGACATTCACCATTCGATTTTCTTGTTAAATAACTAAAGAGATAACAAGAAGATTCGCATATATTGAATCAAAGTGGACATCATAGGGCAGTGTATGCTTCTCTTTTACTTGATATGTTGTATGTGTCTAAGTAAGAACCTTGTCGATAGCTACCTAGTATCCATTCCCATTAAAACAACATATAAGGGGGATTAACGATAAATCTATGGTTAATCTATAATGTTATCAGGCTACTATAGAAACCGGTGTAATGAAATGATAAATACCTATAAAGGAAGTGTTGAAACAGTTCTCTTCAAGTTTTCAATTTCACTACAAGTCGATATGTTATCCTATTTAACTTTTCCTAATAATCATGGAACGGCATATTTAGTCAATGTAATCTAAAGGAAATAATTATTCAAAAATATTATACAAGGCATTAACATGCAAAATGTCACCACCTGCCATTTGTCAAAGACGCCGCACGCCTAACACCAACCACCGCCTTAAAAAATTGTAGACTATAGCAGTATGTCACCACTTGTGGTGGTGAAGTGGTGACATAAAAATGAAGATATTTTGATAAAACATTACTTGATTTCCTACGAGAATAAAATATGTTGCGCTTGATAGAGAGTTTACAAAAAGGCACAGCAAAACATTGTATTCAGGAACGCATTTAGTTTGTCACTTTTTTATATTATTGTATATACATTGAGGGGACATATCCTCGATTCCCATTGGATTCTAGCACTTTGATCACTAAGATCTCTAGAACGGGATACGCGTAACATTTATCATAATTCAAATGAAGTATTGTACTTGAGATAATTCTATGATAATGCTATTTTGTGTATATTATGCGATTTTAATCATATCAATAGTCAAATTATGATGACAAATACAATGTGCTTGGAACTATATCGCCCTTTCAACCTTCAAGGCGACATTGATCTAAAATGATGACCTTGACATCTCCATGGTCACAACATTGCAAGGATGACCTTCAGTGAGCCTAAAACTGCAAATAACTGCACTTTCACCGTTCTAACTCCACAGAAAGGCAAAGGTCTGCAGTTCCGCCGAGTTCGAGCCCACGTCCAGGAAAGAATTGCTTGTTGTGAACTGAACTGAACTGAACTGAACATCTCCATGGTCACAACATTGCAAGGATGACCTTCAGTGAGCCTAAAACTGCAAATAACTGCATTTTCACCGTTTTAACTTCACAGAAAGGCAAACGACTGCAGTTACCCCGAGTTCGAGCCCACGCTCAGGCAAGAATTGCTTGTTGTGTTAGGAAATTCAGGGTGTTTGACCGAGTGGTCTTCAATAACTTCAACAGTTTGTGGTGTGTTGTGTGGTGCGTGGCAATAGTAGATGCTGTGCTGAACATCAGTTTCACAGTTTCATTACAAAGTGGTGGTCAATAATTACTTTTCAGTAAGCGTTTAGTGTTTCAGTTGCTGCGCTTGCGTCATACAAGGTGATATCAATGACAAAGGGTTTCTTATTTGAGGGGTTCCAACTTCTCTTTCATGGTTACATATGTAAACTTACGGCCAGTTTAATAGAGATCACATGTTTACACACAATTCAAGTGATATTTTCACCTTTGTGGTAAACGAAATACAATACAAAACAAAACAATCACCGTCTGGAGGGATTACTTCCGAGTGAATATTCGCGCATCTGATCTCACCGGTGTCATTATTTGGACTAGCTAACCATAGTGTTTCTCCTAGAAGCCAATAAACACGCTGAGTAATAATCAAGATTCCACGATGGTTAAAATATATACCTGCAATTAATGTATTTTATTTAATAAGTCCAAAGGTCATCATGTAAACCTTGTTAAGACCTGGCTATTGTGCGCTGGAATAAGTAAATGATTTGCGAAAACTCGTTACAGTCATTAACAAGATGAATCGGGAAAACACATCATACGTTACGTTCGTACGTAATTATAATGTAATTGCAACGCTACACTTCCAAGTGATCGCGACATCTTACCTAAATTATTTATAAATCATTTTTGTTTGAACTGAATCAACTGATAGCTATGGCTACACGCAATGCTTCTGCTTCATACATACCTGTATTTGAAGTAAGGTAGTTAGTGATATATGTGGGTTTGTTTCTGAAATCAAAGTCCAATTTCATGTCCATAAATTACTTTATAATCCATAATGTAATAACGTTTTGGTTTCAGCATTCACTTTCGTATCGACTCCGCTATTCAAGCCTTATGAATATAGAGCTAAACGTTAGCTATCAATAGGTGCCTATACAAGTTAGTTTCTAGGACTACATAGATCCTAATGTACACACCATTCTTACGCATAATATACTTGCTTTTGTAAAGGTACTTTCTTCAAATATTTAATTAAGACGGGACTTGGTTTACAATGTCAGTAATGTTTAGTGCTCTTTTAGGACTACTGTTTATTCTTCCAGACGTGACTTCGGTAGGGTTGGCATACGCTGTTTTGCAATTACTGTTTATCGCATTGAAAATATGCATTAAATATTTATCGCAATTAACGTTACCACGTTATGAGAGCAAAATTGGTCGCGATGAAGCAATCGATGCAAAGTTTGAATGCTTTTGCAAAATATCTATAAATAACGTAAATTGTTCAATTTGTTGATGGAAACAAAAGTCAGTCACTAGTTCATAGGGTCTCAACGTACTACCCATCATTTTAAACCAGTGTGTTCCTTCAGTCATATGGCCATGGATTCCTTGATGGATCAAGATTCGTATTACCGAGCCACCGTGTCTCCACAACAATATGGCCTGCCTTCCGGTAACAAGTTCTCGTAGGATATTTATAGGATATCGTATGATTTTGAGGAATATCATTTTTATCTACGAGGTGATATTGATATCTGCACGAGAGAGCATAGCGAACGAGTGCATATATCAATATCACCGAGTAGATTAAAAAGATATTCTGAAAAAATCATCGGATGTTCTTATTATCCTACACTTACAAGGAGTGTACTCAATGGTACTAAATGTATTTATCATTGCAAAATGAATTTCATGCCAAATGGAGTCAATTTATATAGTCAAAATATATTGTAGTATTTCTTTGTTCCACTTTGATTTCTTTCGTGTTTTGCATTTCAGCAGCCATCCTGCAGCAAAAATGATACCAGTATGAGGATTGCTTGTCTGATGGCATTTTCTTAGAATTTGACATGTGCGGCCATTGTCATATGTGACATTATAATTAAAACGCAATTAATTGGTTGCCTAGTAACAAAGGAAGTAAACTTACATGGTTTAACATTCAAAATTCAAAGAAATATAGTGGTCAAGACTTGCGAAACAAGAAAAATGGCGGTAACATTTAGGGCTGAAAGTTGCCATGTGCGAATACCGTTCCGGGTGGCAGGGTCGCTGTATTAAAAACTATCTAGAAAACTATACAAAATATATCATTTCTCCATGAAATTAATACACAAAGTAGTTAGGTTGTTGGTCTTTATTATTGGAAAGTTTAAAGTTATTTTATCAAAAACCAACAAAAATAGAGCAGGGCGTCCAAGACTTTTGGATCACCCCTCGTAGCAGTTCTTTTTCATCCATCTGTATTTTGCCAAGGCTCAAATGATAACAAAATGTAACAAGTCCACTTATTTGGTTGCCTTGGTAATAGATATTGGCAGAAATGTGTTGGAACTCATGCCATGTTTGTATATTTTCACAGTAAAGAAGTCAGTCTGAACTGCAGTCGTAAATAAGTTAAAAATCTGTCACTGACGCTGAACGTCGAATACCGTCCATAAACGTTGGAGAACTTAACAAGACTATAACTTCTGGTGGTGACATAACAATGTGCAGCAAAATTTAGTTGTGACAAAATGGACGTAGAAAATCGAAAATTGCCGCATCTCTTTACCAGATTGATTTACATGCTTGGTCTATAAAAGACCCCATCTAAATATGTTTTTTTCATTCATTTTCTACTTTTCATAACATTAAACGTTTTTTGAAAAAAAATTTAAATGAAATTTTTTTTCAGATTTTCTATTGTTGTTGCAGTCCTAAATGCATATATAAAGCAGATGACTGTCTATTGCTGTACTGCAGTCCTAAATGCATATATAAAGCAGATGACTGTCTATTGCTGTACTGCAGTCCTAAATGTATATATAATGCAGATGATTGTCTATTGTTGTACTGCTGTCCTAAATGTATATATAAGGCAGATGACTGTCTATTGTTGTACTGCAGTTCTAAATGTATATATAAGGCAGATGACTCTCTATTGCTGTACTGCAGTCCTAAATGTATATATAATGCAGATGATTGTCTATTGTTGTACTGCTGTCCTAAATGTATATATAAGGCAGATGACTGTCTATTGTTGTACTGCAGTCCTAAATGTATATATAAGGCAGATGACTCTCTATTGTTGTACTGCAGCCCTAAATGTATATATAAGGCAGATGACTGGTTATTGTTCTACTGCTGTCCTAAATGTATCTAATGCAGATGACTGTCTATTGTTGTACTGCTGTCCTAAATGTATCAAAGGCAGATGGCTGTCTATTGCTATACTGCAGGCCTAAATGTATATAGAAAGCAGATGACTGTCTATTGTTGTACTGCAGTCCTAAATGCATCTAATGCAGATGACTGTTTATTGTTGTACTGCTGTCCTAAATGTATCTAATGCAGATGACTGTCTATTGTTGTACTGCAGCCCTAAATGTATATATAAAGCAGATGACTGTCTATTGTTGTACTGCAGTTCTAAATGTATCTAATACAGATGACTGTCTATTGTTGTACTTAAGAGATTATTTGTCACGATGTACTTTACTATTGGTACCATACCACCAGATGATGCGGGTTGTGATCTTTACAAAATTATTCAGTTTTGTTGAGTCATTTTCAATGGATTTCTAGACATCAGGCGCTTTCGCGACAATCGTAACCGTTGTTTCCCGCTCCTAGCGAATCAGTCAAAAGTTTATTTACAACCAGTTTCAAATATCCCATCGTCAGATTGCTATCTGCTTCGTATTCTTCTATTTTAGTTGTACTTAATGATAGGGTCTCGATTTCGACATATCCGCACTTTTATCTACAATAACTTGATTGGTCAATCTGGACTAGATGCGAGTAGAAATAATCTTTACTTACGTCATTAAATATTCGAAATTCAGTCAAAGTGATGTCATATTTGAAATCTACATGTAAAAGTACATCTAGAAATATGGTTTCGAAAATTGTTTATCAACTTTGAAAATATAATTTTTTTCTAGTTCGGGTTGATTCCCCATAGACCCCATGTTACAAAATCACAAAAACTGAAATAATTGTTCTTGTATTAGACAGATATCATTTTCTTTAACTGGAGATATTTTAATTTGCATTACTATTAGATACATAAAGGGTGATATGAGATATGAAAATCGAGCCACTAAAACAGATTTAATTTAAGTTAAAGGGAACTTTCTACTATACCCGCCATGCTATCAGACCCGAACGAGCCACCTAGTGGTGAAACTGGTAACTACCTACTCGCTTGTGCGTTATTGGCAATTGGTTAATGATTGGTCAGTTATCTAAATTCTTTATTCTAAAATGAAATTAAGATAACAAGGGAAACATATGCATGCTTTTAGAAGATTTCAACATTTTAGGTGACCCTACGTATGTACAACAGAACAGCCATTGTATATTATATTCGGGAGACGTGCGATAATCAAATAAATTTCGGTTTACAGAAAATTCCAGTATTTACCTCCAAGGAAATGTTGTTTGATGATTTAATTGAAATCTCAAGAAAATCGCTATGTTTACAATTTTTCTATTGTTCACATTATTTGGATTCACGTGGAAAATAAAAGTTTACCTGACCATGTCTGTTGTAGCGACAACGTATGCAAAGATATGAGAGGCAACGTTTTGAAAGTTTATTTCGTCAATTCCGAAAAAGAATGAATCAAGCTCTGTTTAAAAAGCAATATACGAAGTAAGTAAACTATGATCTATATCTTTTTTAATTTTGTTACTTCAATTTAAAATCTCGTCATTTTATAACTAGAAATTGGAAATAATCATGCTTATTCCTAAAAAATTATACTTTTGTAGGAGCGGATGTGGTATGCATTCAGAATGCATCAGTTAGGAAATGAAAATCAAAGTTCTTTACTTAGAATCAAGCTTATTTCAGTTATCGAATTTATTCATTCCATTTTCAGCTCTTAAATAAGATACCTGAGACATAAAGCGATGGGTTCTGGTGCAAAGGCAACCGCGTCACGAAAATTCATGCTTGTATTTAATAATGCTTTTCTGGTAAGTGTTGCTTATTAATACAACAGTATCCACCAACACACGGCATCTTTCCCATTTTTTCTCATTTGGTTGAAGAAAATAAGTTACGGCTATAGTTTAAGCCCTGGACTCAGTTCAGATCTGACTGATTCATTCCTTCGAGTGTGAAGTTTAGGAAATAACGCCTAAGTGGAATGAATCAGAATGCATTAAGGTCTTTGCATCAAACATAGAACTTAAGTTCTTTTCACACATTGCAAAATATTTTCTACAAAATCACCTATGAGAAAGTGAAAGTTTTCGCAAGGATCAAGTTTGCAAAGCATTAATTTCAATATCAAGTTTCAACGAATGACCTTATGTGAATTATTGGTTATAAAATGCAGTGCAGATATATGAAATACTTTGGATTGACTGGAATCGGACACATCTTTCTTAGCTATGTGTGATATATCGATAGCACAGTCAACCTATTTTAAAGCAAGAAGAGGGGTTGCTTTAGATGCATTCCACCACCAAATGAAAACCTACAACGAAATATTAAAACCAACGTTTGGTACATTTGGACATATATTGTTCGGAGTTCGATATACCTTATATGTCAAATTATCGTATATGCGGTTAGATCTACAATTATTTAGTGTAGTGTCATTTCAAAAAATGAGCAAACGGTAATTGCATCAGTATTGTCATTTGAACGTTATTATATATGCAGATATCCAAGGTGTCATCTCTAATCTTAGCAATCGTAAAGCAACGGGTGTAGACCAAATACCAAATGAATTCATTAAATATTCTAAAGATACTTTAATCAAACCATTATTAGATCTCTTTACCCTTATTAAAATGTATGAAACCATTCCAGATGAATGGAAATATGGCTTATTGAAACCCTTGCACAAATGTGGCGATTTAGAAACGCTTGATAATTATAGAGGGATAACGATCACATCTAATGTTTACAAAGTCTTCTCAAGCCTTATAGAATCGAAAATGATGTCATACCTTCAGGAAAATAACCTCCTTGGCAATCTACAAGGCGCTTTCCAAAAAGGACATCGCTTAGAAAATCATATTTTTACTCTGAAAGGAATATGTGGTATCCGTAAATCACAGCGTTTAAAGACTTATTTAGCTTTTATCGACATCTCAAAAGCCTTTGATGTCTTGGATAGAGATATGCTTTTTATAAAATTATGGGAAAAGGGCATACACGGTAAACTTTGGAGAACTCTCAGACACCTATACTCTAATGTTCAAAACAAAGTTATTTTTGGCAATTTTTGCACTGACTGGTTTGAATCTGATGTTGGTGTCAAGCAAGGATGCATTCTCTCTCCAACTCTCTTTTTAATTGTGATGTCAGACCTTGAAAACAGCTTGATGAAAACTAATCTCGGTGTTAATCTTGATAATGAGCGTATTCCATGCTTGCTATTTGCTGATGACATTGTTCTCTTAGGAAAAGATGAAAACGATTTGAAAATGCTTCTCCAAACTGTAAATACTTTTGGTATTAAATGGGGCTTTAAATTCAGTAGGAAAAAATCAAAAATTATGGTGATAGGAAAGCACATTGACCGTGAAAAGATCTGGAAATTGGGCGATCTTAACCTAACCGAGGTGACTGATTATAAATATCTTGGTTATATGTTTCATAAAAACCTAAGAGACTCACATCATATTAATAATTTTGTGAAGGAAAAGGCACGTAAAATGTATAATTATACCTCAGCAACCCTTACAAAACATTGCAATGTCAATCGAATTGAATTTGGAAACACTATATACAAGTCAATGCTCGAACCAGCGATACTTCACAGCTGCTCAATATGGTCTACCCTAACGAAAGAATCAAATAAAACCCTTAAGTCTATCCAATATAGAGCAGCTCAAGCAGTACTTCAATTAAAATGCAAACCTGCCCACTCCGCTTTGATTGGAGATCTTGGTTGGAGCCCTATATGTGGAATTTATGAAAAACGCCTTATTGATTATTTTATATATCTAAAGTACAAAGCTTGTAAGACTTCCCTCTCACATAAAATATTTTGCTCGCTCATGAAGCGCTTTGAACAAGATAATGAAGCTTCGTGGAAGTATGTATCTAATGTTAAAGAATTACTGTGTAAACGAGGTCTCGATGATGTAATTTATAGAAGAGATTGTGATTGGTATGACAACTATTTGTCTATTTGCAAGGATGAATATGTTAATGAGTTTCACTCTAGTATTAAGGAATATAGCTCCTTAAAATTTTATTCAAAAATCAAGAAACACACTAATTTAGAGAACTACCTGAAACAAAACAATGACTTCTATGGATCAAAGCTCAAATTCTTAGCAAAATGTAACAAATTTGCTCTTTATTCCAATTATGAATCACAAAGAAAGACAGATGGAAAATGCATATTATGTAAAGATAATGTAGATGACTCTATCCAGCACAGACTTGTAGAATGTTATTTCTTTAACAAAGAAAGAACACACTTCTATTGTAAGTTACTAGACAAATGCAATGAGAATGTGTTTAATTATTTTATATCCTGTACCTCAGAAAATAAACTCTATTTTATGTTAGGTGGTGATGTTCTCAGTCAATGGGGGCACGATCAATTTTATATTGTAGATGGACTGGTAAAACAGTTTTTAACAAAGATCTTTAAACCTGACTTATAAGAACGATTTTAGATATTTTAATGATCGTGTATGTATTTTGACTGTAGACGCACCTAAATACTTTTAGTGTGCCACTGATTTAAAAGTGTACGTCTAAATAATAAATAAATAAATAAATAATATAGATTAACACTTCCCATGTTCTCTTTTTTGATAACGTAAACAACAGTTACAAGTTGCAAGTTGCAATCTAATAGACTAGATGCGAGTAGAAATAATCTTGATTTACGTCATTAAATATTAAAAATCCAGTCAAAGTCAAAGTGATGTCATACGAGGGGCATTTGAAAAGTTAGTTTCTTTTTGCACTGATTTTTTTTATTTTTACAGATTTATTTATGAAACTTTCAGCATATGTTACATATACATATATCTTGAGTATACATCAATATAAATATAATTCCTTATAAGGAAATGAACTTTTGGTTGCCATGGCAACAGCAAGACTTGGTTTCGTTGAGCTTTGTATAGACGTGTCGCAAAAAGGTCGCGCACACATTGTTACACATTTTCGCTTTTTAACACCACAGATTGTGACGTTTTATGAGAAAAATGTACACATATGGAAATCCTTTCGTCCTCCACATTTGCCTCTATATCTCAAAATATTTAAGGGGAATAACTCTGATATCGTATATGTATTAACAATGGGATAGGAGCATCATAAAACACGAATCAATTGATATTTTAGGTGAAATAAATATACGTGTTGCTGTGCTTGAAAATAGTGTCAACAGGGGATATTTGCCAGATGTTTTGGTAACTCTTTTTTAAAAAAGAACGCGCAAGAATCGTGAACGGAGTGTAGTTGATCTAAAAACTTCATCGAAACAGCTTTAAAATGATATATAACTTTAATTAGAATATTATCTTATAATCCGGGGAATCAAAGTTACATTCACGCGATACCCCTAAAAAACAAATGCGCCACCTTTTTGCGACACGTCATAACTATAATATTGAGAGGTCTAAAAACATGTTTTATATGCTATTTTGTTCCAACAAGGTTCGGAAAGACATTTATTTCATTCTCAAGAAAGAAAGGAGCAAAGCCAATTGCACTAAAAACAAAAATATGTTAACAAAAACAGTTATATAAAATATTTCTAAATAATTTTCGCATTAAATTGTTGTCAATCAGTCAACATTACATAAAATACCGTGTTTTTTACAGAATGTTTTCAGTGATTGGTTTAAGAGAAAAACATTGTTGAATTCAGTTCTCCATATCGATACCACTCCTTTTGTCTTGTTCTCATCATTCCAGGTATTTTTAGAGCAAAAAAGAAACGAACTTTTCAAATGCCCCTCGTATTTGAATTCTATAATTGAAAGTACATCTAGAAATATGGTTTCGAAAATTGTTTATCAACTTTAAATTATTTTTTTTGAAAATGTGATTTCTATTTCGGGGAGATTCCCCATAGACCTCATGTTTTAAAATCACAAAAGGTAAAATATCTTTTCTTTTAGTGGACAGATAACCTTTTTGCTTGACAAATTCTAATTTGCATTACTATTAGATACATACGGGTAATGAACCACGAAACAGTTGCATATTAAATTAAAAAGGAACTTTTTACTATACCCGCCATGCTATCTGACCCGAACGAACTGGTAACTACCTACTAGCATCCGAGTTATTATGACTCATTAATAAACGTGTAACGAAACTAAGAAGTGTAAAACGAATGAATTTCAAATGATAAAAGAATACACAGCCAATCTCAAACAACACTGTACAACGTTGTTTCAGAAACGGCACTGTACAGTGTTGTTTAAACGGTGTTGTACAACGCTGTTTTAGAAACGGTATTGTACAGCGTTCAACACTGTTTAAAACAGCGTTGTACAACACCGTTTTAAACAACACTGAACAATACCGTTTAAACAATAGTACAATCGTTCAATGCCGTTTCCAAGTTTTAATATGAAAAGTATACGGTTGTTCGTGAGCATTCTGATACTCATAGCATCGTTCTGTTTCATCTGAACATCTCAGGGCGCCGGCTGAGAAGAAATGGGATGTCATGGTTTATCATGATAGTTCATGATTATAGGTCTACACTGTCCCTCCTACGAGGTGACCCAAAATTAGGTACTGTTATAGACCCAGGCATAAAACTGTCAGTGCTATACAATGTAAGCTTACATTAATGATATATCACTGGATATGCAATATTTTCCTTATTCCAGGTATTAGGGGGAGGATGTGTTGGATTGGCTATATGGGTACTTGTCGACAAGAAATACTTGAACGCATTGACGAAAATTGGAGGTTTAGATGATTACAATGTGATGTCACTCTTAGAGAAATGCGCTTATTCCTTAATAGTTGGTGGAGCTGTAATTTTTGCAATCGCCTTCCTTGGCTGCTGTGGGGTCATGAATGACAACAAGTTGGCTGTTTTCTTGGTAATTCGAAACTGTTATTTATCACGATATATAGATCAGTAGAGATATGATCATGACTGGAATAACATTGTCATTTTTGGATCGGATTCCGCTTACTAGCTAGTAAGCCATTCATATCGATATACAAATATTTACACCAAGTTTGCTCACAGTTTTTAATTTTTTATCATCAACTCCTCATTGATTATTAAAATAGGCTACCCTGTAGTTTCATATATTCATATCCACGGCCATACAGTACATAGCATTAGAGTGAACAAGGACGGGTTGATATAAGACTTAGTGTGATTCGTGTTGCAATATATGACGATTTTTCTGGTCAATGTTATTAAAATACGAAATCGCGAAGCAGTGTATTACAATCGGCAGAATAAAATCGAAAGTAAACTATTTCAACGTAAATCATACACTGTTCAAAATCGAAGTCTTTGATACGATTTAAATTTGATAACCAAACCAGAAAGAAACTACCATATTTTCTGTACAGTATGTTATACCAGTATATATAAGTAGCCATTCCGGTACATACCACATTCACTGTTCCACAACTAGTTACTTTGACGGAACGTCAATGTAACAAAATGGATGAACTTCCTCTTTACGAGTTTTCTGTTTTCTCGATTTAACCCTACTTGTAAGTCAAGCTGCAGATTATAATTTGGCACAAAGCTAGAAAATATAGTCTAGTTTCAATAAGTTTCTTCAAATTGGAATTTGTTTTGTAAATGAAGTTGCAATTCATATATTCAGCCCCTCGCTTTTTTTACATTGACGAAAGTGCGTTTTATTACCAATGTATGTAACTTTGACAACTTACGTCAATGTAACAAAAGCGATGGTCTAAATGCATGAATTGCTGCTTTATTCAAAAATCAAATTCCAAACCGAGTGCATATTCTAAAAGCGAGACTATGTCGTCTAACTACGTAAGTTTAAATCGAGAAAACAAAAAACTCGTATCCAGGAAGTTCATCCATTTTGTTACATTGACGTTCCGTCAAAGTAACTAGTTGTGGAACAGTGACATTATTATTTAATCAGTTTTTCTCGTTAATGTGACAACACGCGTACGGGCAACACGTACCCTTAATATTGTGAGTTATATGTGTTGTAGTATGCTGTCGTGTTATCGCTGACAGTTATATGCGAGGCGACAGGCGGGGTTATAGCCGTTATATTCAAGGAACAGGTAAGTAAACAACCATATTCTGTGCCGTGCTATATCTCTGGATGTACAAAAACGTGCAACATGACAGCCATCACAACATGATCAGTATAACCAATTAGGTAAAAGGATGTTCAATCGATTTGCTGTTATGAATATGATACTGGGATTACCGCTAATTAGTTTTGTTTCATTTAAAATTGACCGTACGGATGCGTCATAGATCAGATATCTCGAACTATTTATAAAGAATCTACAAATATCAGGGCGTCAAATCATGAGATTATTTCCTGGATCGGAAGTCGGATATTACACTGATCCTGACACTAAGATCCCCCAAAATCATTCTAAATATGGTAAATATGAGGTAATATTTTTCAGCTGGAGGTAGAACTAAAATCGTTTCTTAACGACACAATTTATGAGAAATACGACGGAGATCTGTTTACTGCAGAACCATATTCTCTCGCCTGGGACTTCGCCCACGTTACAGTAGGTGCAATAAGAGATGTCCCTGGTATATTACTCTTTGTATAATTTCTAAACAAATGAGAGGGGTGTATATACGTTATATGTTGCACTGTACAAGGTGCAAGAAACATTAACTGTTCACCCCTACAAAAAATTCAACTGATAATAGTACAATAACGTCATTTCAAAGGGCAATATAGTGAAATATTGGACCAAGGGCCGCAGGCCCAAGGTCCAATATTTCACTATTTTGCCCGCAGAAATGACGTTATTACTATTATTACCACCGTTAATGCCCAGGGCTGAAATAGCAAATTTGAAATAGAAAATCTTACGCACTGAACGATATCACTTTTCCAGGGAAACATAGCCGGGCGGATAATGTCATTATTGCCCGACTAAAGTCATTAACGCCCGACACAATATTGCTCACGTCAATATAGCAATTTAAATGCCTTCTCAACTAGTACTAAAACTCCTAGAACAGGCCCTGCAAGGTGGTAATAATATAATATAGTAAACATGTGTCGAATTCAATTCTTCAGTTACGAGCTGTGTTATACCACGGTGTATAACCCAAACGCTCCTACATGCACGACGGAGCGTTACATTTACGCGGAAACGCTCCGGAGCGAAATAAAATGGCGGCTAATGAAGATTCTACTATGACCGTAAGTATTGTTTCTCTCGTTTCTCTTACATATCATATGTCATGGTGAAATATTATGTACCATTCGATGAACAATACCGTGAGCAAAGATCTTATTTATTCAACTTCTGGTGGTAAACTGTTATTTGCTTGATCACAGCTCCGTAGTGTAGATCGAACGAATCTGAAGATGACGATTTGACCACAAATTACGAATTAAACTAGTATTTCTATGAAAACGTTAATCTTTCTGTTTAAGTAGTAGATCACAAACTCGTATATTCTCATTTCCTAAAATCCCAGTCCAAATCCATTACTTGTTCTCGAGAAATCGCTTGTTTTCCTCGAAACGCTCCGTCGATTTAGACCACAATTTTAGAAACGCTCTTACCATTTTGTTTTGATATCATTTTCAGATTATTAGAGAAGAGTTCCGAATCGAATCTATCTCTCAAAAACGTGTTGTACTTGTTAGGCAAATTGAAACATCTGAACCTGGTGGTGCTAAACGTGCAACTAGCTGATTAAAGCCTATACATTAGATGATGTCATGCCTACATATGTGCTAAATCATAAAACTATAGAAAAAACGAAAAGTTATATGTGAATTAATCTTTCTTCTATTGATGCCAAGGGATATAATAGATCTTTTCTTTCTCTTCCTGAAAAGGAAAGGCAAGCTATATATTTCCTTAACTGATCTAGACTACCGGAGCGTTTCCAATTCACTGTGTTAACCAGATCGGAGCGTTTCTTGAATATGAGAATGTCATCATTTTTAAGACTGGATTTTCGGTCATCAAATCACTATTACGATAATGTATGGTGCGTTGAAGCATTGGAATTTGACTAAAATATACGTTGGTGCTCTAATCTTGGCTCAACTCATCACATGTATCGACAAAAGGGGTTTTGACCGGTATAATGACAAATACGTTTTGAATTTTGATAACTATACTGCTTCGTACAGCTCTTCCTAATTGCTTCAAACGTCAACAGCCAGCCACGTACAACATGAATATCACACCCATCGAATGGTATACTCGAAATATGTAACTCATACCTCTTATTCCCATTATTGGGGAAATTGTCAGACGGCTCATCATTCCCGCCAGACAGTTTTCTTACTCCGGAGCGTTTCTTTGCTTAATTTCAGTAATGAAACGCTCCATCGTGCATGTAGGAGCGTTTGGGTTATACACCGTGTATACGAGCGTAGCTTTGTATGACTTAATATCACAAATAAAAGGTTTAATAGGTTATCGTATACATATGATATTTCTATTATATATTGTGGCATTCAGACTTATATACTGTTCTTATGTTTTAGTTTGATTGCTGTGGAATCTACAACTACACAGATTTTTATATTGCGCAACACTGGAACAGAACATATACTTACCAAGATGGAAACAGTACTGTTGCCATGGTGGCAGACATTCCTACAATGTGCTGTAAAATAAAGGACAAAGCACTTTACCCTCTAAATGTTCTTAATCTTGAGCTTCAAAACACGACCTGCCCTCTATACCCGACAGCTGCAAACTCCTGGTTTTTAACGGTAAGTTAAATGACGATGGGCTCCATGTCAATGTACAACGTTGCTGATAAATAATGGAATATTAGATTTGGCAGATCAGAATTGATGTTTCGGAGGAAGACAACATTATTTCGATTCAATTTAGCAATTCATTTTATAGGGAAATCATAACCACACATTTCATCTAAAAATCAACATTTTTAGGGAAAGTATTTACATTTAAAGGGGCACTTTGGGAATTTTCAACATTTTTGAGGCAAAATAAAGACTTACATTTAAATTTCATAGCATGTCCAATGTGTTGATAAGAACCTTATCTTTCATTTGACACCAACAACACCTCAAATTGACCACATCAAAGCTTACAATAAATTATCAAAAAATATTTTCGGTCTATCAAACTTTATATATCAAGTTTTTATCAATGTCATTGAAAGATGGCAGAGTTGTTTGTATTACATGATACATTCATTTTATACAAGTGTCGCCATCTTTTAAATAAATAGTAATTTAAAACATGCACTCTGTTTAACATGTGCATGCATGATCTCTGAACTACAAATGCTTTTTTCTATGTGAGTTACTTTTTCTTGGTTCAATATTAAAGCAAATCAAACTTTGTGTCATATTTGAGCTAGTGTGTGAGTAACACGTTTCAATGATTTCTTTTTTCTTTTTTCTTCTTAATTAAGTATAGTGCAGCTTTAAGTTTTCAGGTCATGAAGATGGAAGTGTCCTCTATCTAATGATAGCACTAATAAGCGGTACACTCCATAAGTTTGGCAACCTTAGCTCACTCATTGAACTACTTGTTCATGTTTGAATTTTTATTTACATAACCTGTGAAAAAAATACTTATGATATCGATTGGAATATACTTGACTTCATTTCTAATGCGTTCAAATTTTCCCCAATTTTTTCCTCAATTACAATAGGTCGAAAATTGATGATAAATCTGATGAATTTTTGAAAATCGACATTCGAAAATGGTATTTACACGTCGCACGAAACTGGGGACAATTAGCGTAACATTATGGCGTCAAAAAAACAAAACAAAACGATGAGCAGTATAGGGCGCAAACAGCCTTACAACGTCAAAAACGACAAGCGTCACATTTTTTACAAGTTTAGTCAATCTAAAAATAAAATACTTTATCCTTATCTAATCATTACAAAATTTACAGGGTAGCAAGATCTCGAGGACAATATTTCTAAAATGTTTTTGAATTTTGAAAAACGGTCAAGAAATCCACTTGGGGCGTTAGTAAAAATTGATATGTATGGAATTTGTGGTAAAAAATCGATGCGTCACATTTTTTCAAGTCTCGAAAACCAGCTCTTATTTTGATATTATTTGCAAAATAAACAAACCGGTTATTGTTTTGTAAATTTCGCCATGACAATATTGTGCAGTTAAATTTTCTTTCAAATCAGACCTAAATTAGAAGGTTAAATGAAGGTAAACTTATTGCTCGTCCCATTCGCCTTCAAAACCTTACACAATTTTGAAAATTTTAAAAGCGTTCGTATAAGATAATTTGAAATGTAGCCGTTAAGCAATTGTGACGTCATAAATGCAAATGTTCCATTGAATAGATTGTGAAATTTAAGTGGGATTTTGATCATTATTTCAAAAGTTATCTCAATTTCAACGAGCCCTGTAAGCGTAAAGTGTTACGTCTTACAGCGTATTTGACGATGTCGGAGTAGATTTAACTTTAAAAATGTGTTGGATCCCATCAACATTTTGAAGGAAATATAATTTCATTGAAATGCGAATAAAAAATACTTCAAAATGATATGTAAAACACATAGTTGGCTTTTTAAATAAGGCAGAGATTAACGTTCAAAGCTGAGATAAGCCCGCATTTCCCGAATTGTCCCCAGGTCCGTGCACGTCATAATTATCTCCTACATTGCACAACGACATACATCAAATATTGTTGACACGCGGCTTCATATGTCTTTGAACAGTAACTATATATGAGGACGACCTTATATTTTAGTTCTTAGCATAGGCATATGGCATGACACTGTTTTATAAAAAAAATCTGAGTGAGAATTATTGAAATCATAAAGACATAATCAATCGTTCATTAGTCTTTCTGATGTTGCATTCAGTTGGGAAATCTCACGATTTATAAAAAATAAAAAGTAAGTTAATGCTGGATGTAAAGATGAACAGACAGGATTAACCCGAAGTTATTAGTCTACATCATTAATATAATTATTTAACATATTGCATTAGTTTAGTTATCAAATAACTTTATATACGATGTCAAAACAAAATTGCGCACTTTTAATTAAAGAACTAATTTCTTCGTAAATACTTATTTTGATATTTGGCGACTGAATACTGAGTAAATGATGTACTAGTATTTTGGCATTTGTTCTAGGGTTGTTACGATTCTGTTAAAGCGTGGATATTACAGAATGACATCCTCCTCTTGTGTGTAGGGATAGGCATCGCATTTATTGAGGTGGGTCACAAACATGCCCATTGTAATATACTAAGAACGTTTTGCCATATATTTTACTACATTATTATTCAATATCTGATGTGTCTTTGGTAAATGTAGTTAAAGACACATTATGCACATTTTAGTTTAAGCCTAATTTGTGTCATTTGTTTTCTTGTCAATCTAGGCATTCGGGTGATTATAAAAATAATGTTCAGAATAGATTTGCCTATATACACGATACTTTTTTTAAACCTGAAATGATTACAAGGTCAAAGGTACTTTAAGGTGTTTTAAGGCCCTTTTGGGGCCACCGGCCCCTTTGCAACTCATGATGAGGTAATCCGAGGTCAAGGCTAACGTTTATTGGTCAAGGTCATTCCAAGGCCAGGGGTCAATATCTGGGTGTTTTAAGGCCATTTGGAGTTGCTGTCTTGATATCCCATGGCCAATGTCATTTCAAGGTCAAATATCAATAACTAGGTATTTTGCGTTTTAAGGCCAATTTGGGGATGCTGCGAACGGCGCAGTTAGATTGTTAGTGTAAATAATTATGTTTGAAATAATATTGAAATATTGACCTGATTTCTTAGGTGATCAAATGTTTGACAATATGGTTTTTATAGTTTTGAATATATGGACAAAGCATCAGATGGGTTATTTAAGCAAGGCCTATAAACGCTTGCAATATCTCCCACTTTGTTTTAAAATTAATTTACCTTTAACTTGCAAATTGCAAAACATGTATCACTATATAACTATTGGAAATTACATTTTTATTATTTTATTATTTCAGATAGTTGGTATAACTGCAGCATGCTGTGTTTTCTTTGATATTAAAAGAAAAAATGAATCAAAAGTAGGACAAGGCGAGTGACCTTGAGGCCTAGTGTTGACATACTGTTGGATTTCCAAGTTTTCTCGTGTGTCTAATTGTCTAAAGCATTAGTATATACAGTGCATACCCGAGTATATACTAAAATGTATTTTAACTTCTCTTACACTTTTTAAAGAACTCGATTCTAACTATTTACAAAGGGTACACAGAAAAATATACACTTGCTCTAAAAGGTTAGTATCCTGTCCTATTCCGCAAATGCGTGGTAGTAAAGCAATTTGCAATTTGCAGTTTGCAATTTTATCAAATTCATATTTCATTTTTATTATTTTATGGCCTTTTGTAATTGCGGGACAAAATTAAAATTGACGCAGGATAAATGGATTTCCTGTTGACAAGCTTTTGGAGGGAGTGTAAATTATATAAGATTAACAAAGGGTTTGCAAATAACATATAATAATTTTTAAGGGTGTATCATTTTTTGTAATAAACTTTTTTTATTATAAATGTGTTACTTTGTACTGTTTAATTACATCGACTCCGAGCAGATAATAATGTGATTTTGTATCTTGCGAATGATATACTTTTATAAGTTTGCTTGTTCGAAACATTGTCCAAGATCCTGTAGAATTTCTATTTCAAACATTTTGATGCATCAGTTATCGTCACTACATTGGCGTCGGAAGGGGGAGGGCGTTTGGGGCGACCGCCCCCGCCCCCCCCCCCTCTTTCCAAGATTTTTTTTAGATTAGTAAAAGTCAACGTTTTTTAGTCAACGTAAAGTTAAGTTTTCTAAAAAAAAAAATTTTTATTGGGTATATTGTTCTGAGATATGTTCAGAATGCATCAGAAGGGTCTAAAGTGTTCGAAAATTTTCTGGGGCATGCCCCCGATATTCCTAGATTGCGCGCTTCACGCACGATCCATTCATACCCAAAAGTCGCCCTTTCCCTTGGAAAATCCTTTTGACGCCCCTGTACTAGATATAGTATTTCAAATATTTCCATCATTTTGATGTATCAAATTGCTGTCTTTATCTCCAAAATTATCAAAATACCAGTTTTTACATCATATAATAAGTGTTGATTTCTTGTGTATCCAATTAAAATGTCAAAATCAAAGCTCTCTTTAGCATCCCTATGGCCTCTGGCGTAGAGCCATCTTTTACCAGTGTTCAACAGCCAAAAGGTAATACAAATGGCCATTAGAAATCAGTCCTAGAAATATTAATATATCGATTGAAAGATGGCAGTATCGTTTGCTTGTTAGGTGTAGTCTATATGCACAGCTCTGCCATCTTTCAGTCAACACCAAACTTTCTATCGGCCAACATATGGCGTGGAAAATGGAAGGAACGAGCAGCGGCTGAAAAGTATCTATCCTCTAAAGAATTAGATCAAAAGCACATGGTGAACTCTTAATCCTTAACTCCAAAAGTGTCACCTTCATGGTTAAAAACTAGACATTCCTAAATTTCCATAAGGAGAAACATCGCCAAAATTTCACAGCAATCCATCGGACAAATGGTTTCTCTTGAAATCGCTATCAGAGACAAGAAAATTGAGACGCCGCCACGCGCCCGGCAAGCTGACGACAATGGCACACATTTTAAGGTACCGAATAAAAAAACAGAAGCGATAGTGAGTGCGTTATAAAATTATACCAGACAGGTGACAATTTGATCGGCATTGATTTGATCGATGACCCATTAGTGAGATACTATGGAATGTCCCTCGGACAGCATACGGAACCGTTTACAATGCTTGAAGTTTTTTGGCAATATACCAAATAAACTACTTCACTCATATTTTCATTCAAATATCTCGTGATCGATATTATAGTATCAGGTATTTTGGAATTTATTTTAATTTAATTACGAACTACAAATATTTGTGTCCGCCTAATTTGAACTAATTTATAGGAAATGTTTGACATAAATGGGCGTACAATTCCTCGGAATCTTATCATAACATATTATTTAAACTTTGTTTAGATCTGCTTAACAAAATATTGAATATTTTATTTGGCAATCGTGTCAAATGACTTTTTCCAACCTATCCAAGTTTCCAATTATAACTGTTCTTTGTAGACACCTGGCAAAATAAACAAGGCGCAACCAAATCATCTGTTCGTGGAAATATCTAACTGGTTTCGCCGGAGAGGATTGCCTAATCCTAATGAATTTTAACAAAGATGTAGGCCCGCAACTGTCTTCATGCGAAGCCTGCTAGGTCAGATCATAGCCTGAGCATAGTCTTAACAATTGCGCCTGAGACAAGTACCATCGGCAGTATTTCACACTCGGTAAATAGAGAAACAATCAATGGGCCCAGTGTAATACATTGCGGATGAAGAGCATTCGTAAACTGTGGCCATTGTCATGGTTACATTTGCTTGTGGCTATCGCATTACAATTAAGAAATTTACCATCCACAATATCTAACTTCTCCTTCCGACACCCTGTAAGTGAAGGTCAAAACGTGCATGTTTTTATTTTGCTCATACACTTTAAATGATGCATGGATTTCAATGATATTTTGGCAGAAAAGGGAATTGAAAAGGTAAAAGTCTGCTCTAAAAATGAATGTTCTTACGACCACTTTTTTCTTGATCCCGACAGCATATGTCTTATATATAAACTTTTTATATTTTAGGTTCCATGTGGAAATGAAAGTATACCAAACGCCTAGACCATTTGCATCTGTCTCTTTGACATACTTTATGTGAATCAGATGTCGTTTAAGACTTATCATTAAAATGTTTTTAATACACACATTATTCAAAAGGATCACCACATAAAACATGGGCGTTTTGCTGTCCCAACCTGTAGATTCTTTTTCTGGCATAGTCGTTTTTGCTCTAGGATATTACAACTTCAATATCCTGTGGTGGTAGTTTGTTCCAAAACATTTTTGGGATCACCCAGGCTGAAAAACCAATATGTTTCATCAACTCTCACAACAATAAACATTGCCAGAGGATTTAGCGTGAAGTGCCATTTATAAATTTTGTATCTCAAGGGCTAAACTTTTAAGCTATTTAAACATCGATCGTTTAGTTGAATCTCTAACCCTAAGACTAAAGTCTAAAATAGACTTAAATTATAAAAGGCAGAATGGAACAATCAAGATATTGATATAAATGTTTTTGTAAATAGTTGAAGTTTGAACATGCTCGCCTAACGTCTTTTTTCTTTGCAACTAAATATAATGTTAAAGTGGGCAGTATTCTTGATCCTTTAATTGGTATTTACAGAAATTAAAGTTAAGACAGCGATGTCTAAGAGTTTGGTTTTTGGAAGTCAAAAATTTACTTTGTTTGAAAATATTCCATCAGGTCCATGAATGAACCGTTGGTATCGTGTAAATTCACCTTATGAAATAGTTCATTTTAAAGTTGTAATTACCTAGTGTAATAAATTATACTGCGAACGCACCCTCGCCCCTCCACCATAACTAATACAAATAGAACCATTAGATGACAAGAGGAAAAGAGTTTTAAAATGTTTTTCATATTACGCTTCTAGCTCAATTTTGAATGAAGTTGCATCAGTTTTTGTAAAATTCAAAATAAATGTTAAACTTTCTTTGGCTCGCTTATACCACTATTGCATCCACCCGGACTGAAAGCTGGCTACGTCCCTGCCACATGTACACGAACAACTTTGTGCAGTAGCAATTGTTCAGTGAAGCTGACCTTACGTACAGTATCATATCATACTGTTTGAGATATATTGATACATTTGGCACTCACATCAATCATGGTTGACGAATAAATTCAATTAAATGAATTAGTGTAATGGCAAAGCATTCCAGGTATTAATGTATGATGCAGAAATGAAGTAGCAATTAATCCAATATAATTTATGTTATGTCACACATCACTTGCGAGTTTCAGAAATAACTCACCTTTGATCAAATGTACATTTCATTTCATTTAACTTAATCTTTCAATATTGACACACAGTATATGAAATAGAAGAACATTTCTAAATTTTTGAATATTTGCCACGTCCAATGAGAATGCTTGCTTAGATTGAATTGGCAACAAGTATGAGGCTGAGAAGGACAAATTGTATCTTACAACATCGCTTTATTAGAGTAATCCAGATCAGATTGTAAAGCTTGACCGCCCTGTGAACTCAAAAATATTTACAAACAGAATACACTTTGTATAAATCCGTAATATATAAATATATTTAAGTTACATAATTACTGCACAAAGGCCATTTGAGTCCAATTCCATTTGTATAAAAATAGATAAAACAAATTCTACAAGAATTCTTAACAAGTGTAACAAACATGTTGTTGCCCTATCCACCTCCACGGTATTACGCACTGTTATTATCCAACTGCTAAAATCCATTGTTAAAACACAGTATTGGCCAAAATATCGCTGAACTATGCGAGAGGTCATCTTGACCATGGTCTCCAAACATCCTCTTCAAGTTGTTCCTGATCCACAGCGTCAACTTGTGGATTTGGGGATGGTTCGAGCACCGGGGGTTGATGCTGTTGTGCTATAAGCGACGGAGAAGTGTACTGGTTAGAGGATGCACAAACAAATGAGCTAGTACCCTCGAAAGGATTTGTATGTAAAGGGACAAGAGATGAGCCACCATGAACTTGCCCCGCTATCAAAAATGATTGTTTTGCTTCTGATGTGTTATGTCCGGTATTAGGGTGTGTTGCATTGTGTTGCGCTGGGGGTATTATGCCAACAGCAGGAATAATGTACTGAGGAATAGATACCCCACTCCCAATAACTTGACTCGGCACTAGTATCGCAATCTGTCCAGCACTTGCAGAAGGAAGTGTTGTCGGGATAGCAAATGTAGTAGTAGCATTTACAGTTTGTGAAAATGTGCAGGTTGTTTCCAAATCAGTACTTGTTTTTGTATTAGACGTGTCCATGTCCATCCTTGGATGTACCGGCTCTTGGTTAGATGATCTCATAGTTAGGTCTAATGCGCTAGAATACCCTCCACTAGTAGATGGGGCTGGGTTGTCGGAGCGCTCACCTGGTGAAAATTCGATATTTGAGCTACTGATAAAGGATTCTGGTTTAGGTAATAGTAAAGGAGACTGGGTAGCAAGGACTGACTGAACAGATCTTGAACGCATTATAGGGACTACATGGGGTTTGTTGGCCTGAGTGTTAACGTTAGCGGCGAGGTGGGACAACAGCCGCCCCCTCATATGTACATCTATCCCATCAATCGTGGTTAGATATCGAGCCACCTCGTCAGCACACTCATTATAGCCATCGTGATATTTGGCGACTGAATCCGGGTCTCGAACGGTCGCTGCAAAATAAAAGTAGAAGTAGCGTTTAGAAATTCAGTGTATTATGCCTCACATAAAAGATTGCTCATTATCATTGGCTGGTGATTTATAATAGAAATTACCTTACCAAAGAACTTAACATAAAATGATACGAAGTGTCTTTTTAAAGAATTTTCCCATGAGTTTTTATTTTTAGTGTTTTGTTTATAAGTGATACATGATCTATTTGGGGAGCTAGATTATAGTAACATCACTTGGTTCATACACGCGGAACGTCAATATTTGCTAGGATGTCCCAGGTTAATATTAATAATGATAAATGACACGTTTTATTTATCATGTCATCTAGGTTATAAACTGAGGTGTTGAAATGTATACACTCTCTAGAATTAAATTCTCCGAAACTTAAATCACTTTAATTTTATAAATTTCAGTTGCAATTTTGATTAACAAGGCATATTTAATATATACAATTATTTAGCATATTGAAATAGTCATTGACATCGTTGAATCTATAAATCACATGAAATGAAATAACAAAAGGACGTGACACGTTAACAAAAATATATGTGGGGATTTATTGACTAAAAAAGTCAAGAATACAAAGCTGAAGATGATAAAGTGTATTAAGCCTGACCCTCGCCTTGGCCTCAGTATTAGATGTATACCTGAAAGGTTGGTCCTCTGGAGTTGGCGCAGATACCTAACCGTCATCTCCAAAATATCGGCTTTCTCCATCTTTGAATGTCTTGAGCCCTGTTAAAAAGAACATCATATCTTATGATTAATCGGGATCAATGAATACCTTTCAATGTAAGAATATTCGTGTATGCAACTTATGATTAGATTCCTAGTTCACCTATGTCACACTGATCAAATTTTTCTAAAGATCTATCCTTTATCACGACTAAGCTAGGAGCGTGGGAATATGCAAACCAAAGTTTACCAACATGTTTTTTATTACATTGTGCTAACTGATGTTTTGTCCCAAAAGGCAATTTCAGTTGAATTTAATTTTGTTTGCGCAGTACTATTCAATTCAATATTCGATCACGAGCAATAGTTTCAAAAGAAGAAATAGACCAAACGATTGTGAAACAATACAAATGGGGACATTTTTTCTTTGGTTGCAATTGCGCAAAAAATGTTTGGCGATACTTACTTTTGTTTTACGTTTAATCGTGCTGAACAAATCACACACTATAATTTACGTATTTACATTAGAAGAAAAGTTTGGAATTAAAATTCAACCAATGGCAATATTAGTTATTAAACGTATCAATACCCTACAAAGCGAATACATGTGATTTTTTCTAAAAGGCACGAGGTGAAATCAACAGCCGATTCATAAGAAATATAACTGGTATTGAGATTGGATTAATCCGACCAATTCATTATTAATCTTTGATATTTCCGTTTCATTAGGCATGAGATCAAATGAACTGTTCTTCATTTACCTCTTGTTTCATGAAGTCGACCAGGAGTCCTTTCAGCTCAGATAAGCACGTATTGATCCTCGCCCTTCGCCGCTTTTCCATCACGGGTTTATTACTCTAAACAATAATCTTACGTAATATATTCATTCTCACTGCATCATAAATCTAATAATGGCGTTTGGAATTAGATATAATATGATTTATTTATGTATTACTTAAAAATGTCCAAACCTTTTTTGATGCATTTGCCTCTGCAGTGGACGACGATGACGTAACACTCTCAGACGCCATTGTTTATTACACTTAACCGGTTCCAATTAGGCTTGATCTGTTTGGCTGTTTATCGTTGTATTTTTCGCATGTCCAGGAGGACAGTTGAACTTCAATGAGATTAACCCTACACTGGAATCTGACGATGTTTCACGCTCGGCATCCAGCATACTACTAAGTTTAACTAGTTTAAGTTGAAAGATGATCAGATTTGGCAATGACAGAAATGGAGCCGTGGGAAAGTTGCCGGTAAGTTTCAACATACCAGCGTAAGATCAATTGAGGTAAGTGCGCTATTCAATCCTGTTCAAAGCGCTGATGATTGGCTATACAAAGGTAAAACTGTTGACTCGAAGCCTGGCAACCTCCCCTGCTGCATCACTATCAATTAGGGACCAATCCCAGCCCGTAAAAACGAAGACGCGTGCCAAGACTATTGTATACCTGTGGGAAAACTCCGCCCCTATTTGCGCATATATTGAGCGAGAAAAAAACACGTCCTGTTACTGTATTATACACTTACCAAATAGGAGATCTGGCTGATCGTGGTTTTGAAGGAAATTCTTTGGCAATGACTAATGAGACACATGAGGCGACTGACGGTGGCACTTATCAAAGCATTGAATACCTGATCATGATAAGACAAAATTTGGAGACAAAGGGTTCTGCGTTTCTAAGAAAGTACAACGAACGGAAACTCAGATGTTGGCCTTTTGTCGACGTCCCCTTTAGTCTTACCATAGCAATGCACGATATATATCGGTGTCACAAATCAATATGTTCAATATAGCACTTGTCATTGATTATTCATTGTGTTTATTTCAACATTTACTTACCTTTTCAAAGCATAGAACCTGTTATTGCCTCTACATAAATAAAAAGTTGATGTGACATTTTGCTTAAAATCACAATGTTAAAGTTGGCCATATTTCAATATTATAAGCTAAACCGTGGGAACTCATCGCTAGTAAAACTGCAACTCGAGATCAGAGAGACAGATAAATATACCATCAAATATAAACGAATACAACATTAAGATTTGACAGGATAAGTCACTGACAATGGTAGATGTCAGTTGCCCCCAATCCGTCCGAGATTGAATAATAATATTTATTTCAATTGCGTGCCTATATTATATCAAAAGCAATTCATATCTCACCGACAAACGACCCGAATAATATTCTAATCGTGACACATACATAGAAGACTTAAGATATAACTGAGGAAAACATAATATTAATTAGTATTTCATACTTGAGTGGGTTTGGGGTAGATATCACCCGGGAATATATATCATATCTGAGGAGCGGGCAGGATATATTGTATATGTCCCGCCCTAGGCCAAATGCGGGCAGATATAATATACCCATCCCGCTCCCGGGAATTTTTTCAAAAGTTTAAAAAGTTTGAAAATTTAAAAAATTTAAATTTCAGAAGTTTAAAAATTTTCAAAAAGTTTAAATGTTACAATTCTATTGTATTGAGCTGAAGGAATATTATGAAAATGTTGAATATAAATTGTGCTTTTACAGTATAGGCCTTGTCATTTGAAAAAGGTGGTAAAGGTTATATCTACCCCAAACCCACTCAAGTATGAGATACACCAGTTATGTACGGTCGGGATATATCTGTATAAACCCTGTATCCAAAACCTCCCAGTACATAACCCTTATGTATTCCATACCTGATGAGGTTTCAGGGACATATCAACCGGGAATATATTCCATATCCGGGCAAATATTTTTCGTATGTCCCGCTCCAACGGAGCTCCGGGACATATAAATCGTATGTCCCGCTCAAAAAAAATTGAAAAATAAATTCGGGAAAAAAACTTTGAAAATAAAAATTTGAAAAAAAAATTGTAAAAAAATTCTGAAAAAAAATTATGCAAAAAATGTGAAAAAAATGTTGGAATTTTTTTTTCATTTTTGAAAAAAATTGAAAACAAATTTGGAAATTTTTTTTTTTTGAAAATGATAACATTTTGCAAGTAAACACACCAGAGCATATGGGATACATGCTTATTATTTCAAACCTCATCAGGTATGGAATACAACAGTTATGCACGGTCGGTTTGGATACAGGAAATATCCCTTGGGATATACAATATATCTTCCCTTGGTCCCTTCGGTCCCTCGGGAAGATATATTGTATATCCCTCGGCATCGTGAGATATCACAGCCTTCTCTCAGTGTCCTTCTTGTGCATAGCAGAGATGGTCTGAGTATCAGAATGATCCCTCGGGATATTCCCTGTATCCAAAACCTCCCAGTGCATAACCCCTATATACATACTTTTGAATAAGATTATATCTTAAAATACCATTGATCTCATTTCCAAGGGCAACGAATCGAAGAGATTTTGATTTCACTATTTTGCCTGCTGAAACTAGCTTATTAGTATATCATCATCTATTAAAAACTAAGTACATACTCGTTATTCGCCCTGGACCAAAGCGGATAATGACCGTGGGCCCGTCACTGTTGCTCAGTGTAGTTCCTGAGATTGTCAAACCATGTTAAGTGTCGCAAACTCGCATTTCGATTCATGATGGGGAGGATATAATATGGAGATACTTTTAACACTGGCTGATGTTTTCACTCTGACTTGGAAAACAGGTTGCGCCATCTATAGTTTATTTATCGTTGACCCTCTTCAAATAGTGCTATCCTAACTTCAACATACTCGACTCACTTATTCATACTACTACTTTGTAGTATGTTCCAATCAGTAGACCATGACATCGTTGTACGAAGTAAATATTCTTTTGTTTTTACTTTAATTTACAATATGCGTCAAATATTGTTTTTATTCAAATGTGAAAGCATGATGACTGGAACAAAATAAAACTTAAACTATAAAGGAAGAAAGATAAAATAAGAGTAAGAATTGATCAACAATTCTTCTTTTGGTTTTATTTTCACTGGATTATTCAATAATACAGGTCACGGTTATGCTACAAACTGACTGTCTAACTCAGAAGACTTCATTTAAAAGAAAGATTTGAGAATATGTATTGTCTGTGTTCGTGTGGTTATAGAAGTGATAGTCATAAAAACCAATAGAACATACCACCTACCAGTCTATGGTTAACAAATAACAATGGATAGTATGATCTTTAACATTCCAAACCACATACCATTTATAATTAACATTATATTTTATATTTTACTTGGGAAGAAAGTACTCTTTAATTCCATTTTATTACCATAAAAGACATAATTGCTACGTAAATTCTCTAAGGAATCTTAATAAGACACCTGGTTCAAGTATAACATTGACACTTTTTAATACACATTCACTTTTTTAATGGATCGAATATTCATTTTGGTTTGAGATCTATTTGTTCCACAGTTCATAGTAATCCAATATAGTCTCCCATCAAACAATTTTAAAAAATATATACAGAGTGACCAAAACAGTTTTTTGGGGTATTAAGTACTTTTATACAGTGCAAGACAAAAAAGTAATCTTAATCTGTTGAGCTAATGTCTACACCAACAACAACCCTTGAAACATTGAAACAAGAGATAGGAGGAAAAATGAGAGTCATCACCCAAGATGTCTGTGTTCGGGTACTTCGACCGATATGTTTGCCTCCAGACACGACGCCAGCATTTTGTAGCATGTTTTGTAAAAATGACCACAACATATTGACCATCGGGGATAGACCCATGCGATTTGGTAGAATGAAAGAACATTGACCAAGGTTTAATTTTCTAAAATATGACCATAAACCCATACTAAATGACTGAATAATTAATTTTTGTTTGGGTTACCTTTTTGGCTCACCCTGTATGTAGTTTAAAAGTTGAAAGCTTTTAATGGCACCATTGAGGGGTTGTCTGACATATGAGCTCTGAAAAAAAAACTTCTCAATTTGCAATTTAAATTCTCCGTACCTATTGATCGGATTTCATGGAATAAAAAGTATCTTTGCTCTTGTACAGATGTGCGGCGAATAAAACTGATTTCTGTTCTAACCGACTTCGGGTACGAAAACGATCATTAGTAGACTATAGATCTCTCATGGCAATTATATACTTTATAGCCGTGTCTATATGACTAGGGCCATCGGGAATGTAACTTTTAATATCAATTCTTGCAACGTACTGAGAGGGTAATTCTTGGTTATTTTAGATATTCGAGAAATAATTCATAAGGAAAAGTTTCCAGAAAGATTAATTAGATTTGTTCTGGTGGCCATTTTACTGAAGTGAACGTGAAGTGAAAGTGAAATCAATAGTTGACGATGCGCTGTTTAAACAATACCAATATGGAGTTAGATATTTTACTCCTTTAACATTACTGCGTGATCAATTTGTTCAATCATGTTTGGAAAATGTAGGTTACAGTTGTGTGCTCTCTTTTTGCCAATTCTTCCATTGAAATTGATGGGTTTTCCAATGCTTCGTGTTTCTTTTAACATCATTGGATTTACAAGATTTTCTTATTCCCAAAATGCTGTTATTCCACCAGTTATTCAATTCAATTTAATACATTCATACATGCATATTACGAGCATTTTCGAGAATTCAAACTATAATTAAATAAAAATTATGTGGATATAAATGACATATTACTTAGAGTGTAAAAATAATTAATGTATAGTGTTACTGAAACGAAAGCTAGACAAACCGAACGTCTCGACTGATTGTTTAAGGTGCTTGGTATTACTTTAATTGAAATAATGTGATCATAATTATTATCCTATATGATAATCATGGAAGTAAGAAAAATGAAACGAAAATGGCTAGAAATGTAAATCTGACGGGGATGGGTGGGAATTTAAAGTTGGTATTCCTTTGCATCTTTTGTTTAATGTTAAAATAATATCACGAATATATGTGTGCAACTGCATATCATATCATATCATATCATATCATATCTCGCTTTATGATGCTCGCCACAATAGTAAGTTAACTATCAATAATGTATATATAAATATCGAAGCACAAAAGGGAAAGGACCAGAAACTATAAAGAAACCAAGCAAGAAAAACAAACTCTAAGTGTAAACCTTAAGAAAGATAGACACCATATATCCCAAAACCATGGTCTAACGTGAAAAGAAATAATGTCTAACATCCCCTTCTCCCCTCTAATCGAGAACCAATATCACATTCCAGGACCAGAACACCAAGGTACATTTCATTCATACTGAAGTCATTACAATACATGTTAAAGAAAACATTGAAAAAAAGATACTCATAAATCATAACATCAAAAATAGTTGTAGATACTACTCATCAAAGATGCATTCAATCTCAAATGATGTGGGATAGACGAATTGATAGAAGTCTGGGATCTCCCATGATCGATCGTAAAATGTACGTGTCATATGGCATTGACCAAATAAATCAGAGCACGAAAATATGTTATACGTTCACTAGCCAGGCACCAAGGTACAAATATTTCGTCTTGATTTCAAGTTTCTTGTTATGCGAGGTATAATCCAACAATTTAATAAGAGATTTGGAGTTGGTCGAATTGGCTTGACATTCTAAAATGAAAGGT